ATCGCATTGCTTGTAGACAATGATCTCTTCCAGTTCAGCGAGCATCTGCACACGCACCACAACGTCGTAGGAGCGGTTGTATGATTCCGTCACCAAGGCGCTGAGTTCAGTGTCTAGGCCTTCACGTGCCATAACAATGTTGTTGATGGCCTCTCGGAATTGATTGCGATGAAGGCATAGGATGGCGCCGAAGAATGCTCGGTCGGCCGTAGCTTTTCCAAGTGACGACAGATAATTCTCCATCGAGTCCCATTTGCCGAGACCCCAAGCGGCAGCTGTCGCCAGCGGCGCGATTTTGCGCTGCACCTCGAGCGAGGAATTGGCCCAGGCCGTGCCAGTGAGATCAGCCAGGGCATCCCACTCGCCGAGAGCGTGCAAGCAACGCATCTTACCCATGACCACGTCGACAGGCACGGGCTGATCTTCGGGGATCTCGGCTTCGCGCTTGTTGTAGAAGGCGAGCGCCTCATCCCACCGTTGCAGCTTCTCGAACCAAGACTCGCGCAGCTGAATCCCATCTTTGTACAGTTGCGCTTTGCGTAGAATACCAATGGCAGCGTCCGACTGCTGTAGATTATTGTTGATGGAGATCAGGGCCTCGACGGCGCCGCTGCTCTGGTCTTGCAGGAATTCGAGCTCTTTGTAATGCAATGCTTTGGCGTATGCGTGGCAGCGCGCAGCTTCTCGTCCTAGAACCCTGATATCAATGGGCAGTGCTTTGTCATCATGCTCCATGAATTCCGCGAGGTTGAGCAGGAGTCCAAGCAGATCGGGCGGCACATTCTCAGACTTGATGGCATTCTCAATGTTCTGGATGAGTTCTTCTTGGAACTGCTCATACAACTCACTCCAACACGACACGAAGGCTGAGTTGAAGAGTTCGCGTGCAAGCGGCGGGTATGTGGCTCCCAGAGAAGCGCAGGCTCGCAGCGCATGGTTCGGCGATTCGCTTAGCAGTGTTGCGCTGAAACGGCGCTGCCACTCATGCCAGTCGTCCTTGGTGGACTTGCCGTGCGTGCCCCAAGCGGCCTTGAGGTGCATGGGGTTCATCTCCAGCTTCTTCCCCTGAATGTCTGCAAGGGCGGGTTCATCCACCACTTCGACGAATGGCGCTTCGGAGCTCAGATCTTGCGGCAGCACTTCACCATTCTGGAGCTTCCTGACGAGCAGCTCATAGTTTTGATGTTGGATCTGGTGCTGTGCAAGGACCTTGTTCACAGTTCCGGCAAAATGGAGATAGTCCCGACCCAATTGCTGTATAAGGGCACACAGGGTGTCGAGCGACACGTTGCGTAGGGAAGGGTCGCCCGCATCCAGCACTCGTGTCAATGGGTGGATGATTTTGGCGGCGTAATCATTCAGGTTGACCTGTCGGGAGATCTTCCCAATCGTATCAATGGCGGACCGGCGGATCGATGCTGGTTGGCCTTGTTTCTCAAAGGTCCTCACAATGACTGGCATGATGAGATGCATATACTCCTCCGCGCTGGCACCGAACACTAAGAATGCATGCAGTACCTTTTCCGAGGGCATGCGCTTTGCGGAGCCGTCCTTCTCCAGCACACCCAGCATCAGCGGCAGAAGACCCGCCAGGTACGTTTTGAATTCGCCCTCCAAGGAACGGCTGATTGCTTCAATGAGAAGCAAGATTGTCGTCTGCATCGCAGCGGACGTGTGCCAGTACTCCTGAATGACAACGATGATCTCTGGCAAGTAGTTCCTGATATGCTGGCGGACGATGCCGACGAGAGTAGCCAGATGGCTGAAGTAGGATTCCAGACTCCTATTTGTCGACGTTCTTATCACAGTCAAAAAAGCCGGAATAATCCTGTCAAGGAAGCTGACACACTCGAGTCCGAGAGTGCGGAAAATGCTCATGATCCCTTCGACCACGGCAGCATGGTGTTGCACTAACGACTGGTCTTTGAGAATCTGGAGAAGCGCATTGATGGCCACAGTGGGATAGTACTCCTTGTTTGATGGAGTTGTACCCGTCATCATCAGGGAAATATCCGTAGTCTGGCCTTGCTCCGAACGCCGTTGATCCTCAGGGCTGCTCTCCTCCACTTGTTGGTGCTTGTATGGATCGAGCGCACCAAGCACACCGAGAAGCTTGATGGTCGCTTGGCGCAGGGGGATGACGTGGCCTTCGTTGCGAATAATGTTCTGGAGGAGTTCGAGCAGTTGAGGATACTCAAGGTAGGGCGTGATGACATAGCCCGAGCTACAAGCAAACTGGCCCAGAGCATGCAACGCCGCTTCACGCTTGATGTTGGAGCTCTGATCTTGCAGCGCATCAATGATGATGGGCATCAAGTCGCCCTTGTACTGCAGCATGTCCTCGCCACCGACAGTTGATAGCTGACCAATAGCCTGGAGAATCGTGGCGGCTACGCTGGGATTCGAGTCGCTGGCCCTTGGCACCAAGACCGAGACCATGGGGTCGACATATGGTTTGATCAGCCCTTGCGCGTTTTGAACAAGTAGACTCAACAACTTTGCGCTCTCTTCTTTGTTGCGCGCCACGTCGGAGTACTCAAGCTCTGTAAGCAGCTGAATGAGCGTCTTGCGCAAGGACGGAATGACATAGGCCGGATTGTGCTTGGCGAGACGGCCAATGATCGAGATAGCCACCTCCCGGATAGCAAAGACCTCGTCATTGAGCGCAAAGAACAAGACTCGGATGTTCTCGGCCTTGCTCAGGTGCTTGTCGAATCGTTCGTCGAGTGCGGCGAGCACCACGCGTCTTATGCCAGGCTCGGGGTCAGAGACGCCAACAGTGAGAAGCTTCTCGATGACGTCGCCAACCACCTGTAACGCGTGCAGACTGGTCTGGTTGACGATAGGATCGCGGACGTATAGCTGGCAACATGTGAGGGCCGCCGCTTCTCTTATCTCGGGGTCGTCATCCTCCACGTATTTGATGGCAACGTCTCGTACAAATTCATTCAACACGTGGCCCTGGAAATCAAAGCTGCCCAGCGTGTTAAGTGCCAGCTTGATCTCGGCCTTTCGATGGTCATACGCCCAAGGATCCTTTGGGTCTTTGGTGATAACTGGCACTGAGCTCAGCGTATTGGGTTGGGGCGCACCTAGAGGTTTGAATGGCTCGCCGCACAAGACCTTGCTGAGCATGTTGAGTAGCCGCTCCTGGATAGTTGGCTTGATAGGGGGGATGTAGAAAGCCATATCAACCAGCGCTTGTGTGAGCTTGGGTGTGAGGTCGCAAGCAAAAATGGGATCCAGTAGAGCTTCCACGTATTTGCTCAGAGTCTGTCCAACCGCGACTGCCAGACGACTGATACAGTCAAAGACAGGGTCCACGGTTCCTCTCTTACGAGATGCCACGCTGAGCCCTTCCCTGACGTGAATCACCACGCCGTCCAGATACGGTGCAATGGAGCTTTTGACAGCATTGGCGATCGAGCCGATGGCCAGGAAGGCGTCGTTGCGTTCCTTGTCTTTCTTGAGCATACCGTTGAGATAGACCATGAACTTGTGAAGCCACGCCTTGGAAAACTCAGATGGTGCGTAATTGGCAAGGTTGGGGATCAGGATGACCACAGTCTTCCTGATGGTGGGATCTCGATGATCCTTGTGCTTGAAGACAATGTCGCAGACCTGCTGGTAGTGCTCGTGCATAAACATGCCGCCTTGCTCGAGTAGCTCTTTGATGACCAGCAGGGATCCATGTATGCTTTCGACAGTGGCCAACCGCAGGCCCTGTTTGGCCTCGGTGTATGTCTTGTTCATCCACTGCTGCTTCATGCTCTGATCTCTCTCCCGTATAATCTTAAAAGCTGCGCTGACCGTCTCGGCAGAGGTGACGCGAATGAGGTGCTTCGGGTCTCGCAAACCGACCCATATCCATTCGAAGATGATGGGCATGTACCCGTACATGAGGGTGGGCGCATTTCGGGACAGTTCGCGCAGGACAAGCACGGCGCTGTATCGGCGTTCCTCGACTCGGTCGTTCTGCAGCCACTCCAGGGCGGTGTTGACTTCGGAGTCGACCACTTCGGAGATCATGGAACCGCCAGGTCGACAAAGCTTGCCCAGTGCCTTGGCAGCAAGCTGCATGGGATTGATATCCTTTCCTCGGAGGATCGTCTTGAGGTTCTGCATGAAACGAGCGTATTTAGCGGACGCTTCGACGCCTTCAAAGTCGATGAGGGCATCGAGGGCGTAGATGCCACCGATTCGATCGTATGAGTCGTTACCGTGCGCGATCAGATTCGATATGCTTCTGTTAACGGCACCGAAGAAAGCCTGAAAGTTCTCATTGCTCATGTCTGGAGAGGGCATAGTCAGTTACGAGGGGCTCTCAGAATGGGACGTGGCGCATGCGCTTACCTCGATGGCAGACACCGACAAGCTCTCGGAGCTGCAACGCAGCCCTGCTGCGTACTTCATCATTGGCCCTGAATTTCTTTAGCATCCATTTCGCAGCGAGTTGGCCATGAGGGTCAGGGACGTGGGTGACGTACCTGGAGCGAAGACCGCGCGTAATGACTTCGAGTCGGTCCAGGGCAATCTGCTGCTGAGGATTTATCGTCGCCATCCTCCCCGTGGGCGACTATATTATATATACCAGCGACGCATGTGTCGCCTCGTGAATGGTGAGGTGTTCGTCGCTTCGTTCGCGCGCGCCGTCGGGAGCTTGGGGTATGGACGTGGTAGGTGCTCAGGCCGCAAGTATCACCGCGGGCGACTGTATCTGCCGAGTCGTTGAAGGCGTAGACAACGCGCCCTGGCCGCCCTTTTTGATCGTCGTATCGAGTGGCCGAGGGTCGCCTGCACCGAAAGCTATGGCGTTGATGATGGCTAGAGGTGTGCGAGGCTCTCTCGAGGTTGGAGGTCCGGATGGACGACTGAGCTGCAGTGCTAGAAATTGTGGAGCGCGGGACTTGCCAGCCAATTATTGGCAGACAGTTCGTTATGTGGCTCGGCTTCGGGTTTCCACACCACAGGCGGAGCTTGTCTTTTCATGTACGTGCAGTCGATGTTCCTTGCTGCAAATCGTTGCGGTGCTTTGAAAAATGTTTGCGAAATGAAGAAAGTTACGATCTTAAATCTATCGTCCGGTCAGGGTATTATACGTGGCTAGACCTTATTTTGTGCTTTGATTCAAGCTTCGTACCAGGTAATTTAGCGTTCAGTGGCAGACCCAGCGCAGGTGAACCGGGCCCGGGCACTGGCAGTCAGTCTGACAGGGACTGCCCCACCAAGGCAGCAAACTTTCCTGTCCGAATGAACCATACAACACACATCACGATCCCAAACAAACTTCGAGAACGCGGTATACGAACAAGCCACACAATCTTCAACCACTTCGAAATTGCGCAATGGGTAACGACGGTGGCTCGATTCCCAAACGTCGCGAGCTCGTCAAAGACGCTGCGCGAGCCCCCACAATTTCCGAACTCAAGGCGACCGCGCTCGAATCGCTAGGCCATGCCTGGACACACTGCGCCCTGAGCGGCGCCCCCATCGATCTCGCGTCGGTCGTGTCGGACTGGCGTGGGCGCCTGTACAACTACGAGTCTGTGTTGAATGGCCTCGTGCCATCGGATGAACCCGCCGAAACGACGCCAGCCTCGTTGGGCATCCGTTCGTTGCGCGATGTCGCAAAGCTACAGTTCTCCAAGACAGGCGACAAGTGGACCTGCCCGATATCGATGAAGGAAATGGGACCCAAGACAAAGGCAGTGTACTTAATCCCTTGCGGCCATGTGTTTGCCGAAGTTGCCATCAAGGAGATCCAGGAAAAGGCGTGCCCCGAATGCGCCGAAGCCTTTACGCAGGAAAACATCATCCCCATCCTGCCCACCACTCCAGCAGAGCTCGATCGCCTCGCGAAGCGGATGGAAGAACTACGCGCGGCTGGGCAAACACACACACTGAAGAAGGACAAGTCTGAGAAGAAGAAGAAGCGCAAGGCCGATGATGCCAAGGACGACGATGCGGACAAGGCCAAACTGAAAAAACGAACTCATGGCGGGGAGAACGCAGCCAAGAAGGACGACCCGCGCACAAACGGCATCAACAACTCGCTCGCGGCATCCCTGACAGCCAGGGTACTGGCAGAACAAGACGAACGTAACAAGCGTCGCAAGATGGCTGCTGTTAAGACCTGAACTCAAGGCCCAATAGCCTCCATCTCTACTTAAACGGGGACATTTCCCACCTCAACATCACGGCCTAGTCGGATGCGCTCGTCTCAACTGTCAAACAGCCATTCACCCGCCGGTAAACCAGGTCGATCGAGGCTATCGAGGTTAGACAACTCTGTCAGCATCGCGGGTTCATCCTGTATATGCACCGCGGAGAAAGCGGCATCAGACAGTTGCCCCGGCACGCCATGTACCAACATGTTCATATGCACCAAATCAGACAATGTACTTGTGCCTCACACGATAAATTTCTACTTGCCCCGTGCTATGCTGACTTCTATCCCAGGATCTTCCACTCACTGAACTTTCAGGAACGTCTTTCTCACACTCCACTCCGTCATCCCCGGTTCCGGGTCCATGAACGTCGTGATCCACACGCCGTCGGCACCGGCTGACCCAATCAACGTGTTCTTGATACGACTGCCTTCCGATATGCCAAAGGGTGCTTGGAGCCGTCCCGGGTCAATATTGGTGATGGCGCGCGCCGCCTTGACGTCTTGAACGAGGGGGACTGGTCCCCTGGGTGCGTCGCGTAGCGGTAAATCGAATGACGTTCCCTGCCCAATGTCAACGAGTTCCTCTTGGCTGAACTTCGTATCAGGCTTCTCCAGCGAAGGAGGTTGCGTCAGAGGCACCCGCAGCTCCTCTTCATGATGCCAGTACCCCTCGATCCCGTACATATCGCCGAGGCTGTCATAGTACGTGGACTGCTCCTGGCCCTCTTCGACCTCGATGATGTAGGCTGCGATGACGATGAGTTCCCGCGCGCGCCAAAGGTTCTCACGCCTTCGCTTGACTTCCTCTCTCTCCAGGAGTCTCAGGGCCGCGCGTCGAAGCAGTGGATGACGACATTTAGCTGCCGTCCAATAGATGGGCGCGAGGTATTCTGTCTCGAATGTGAACACGGCATCTTCCCGCTGCAGCGAGCCTGTAGCCGCAATGGCTGACGACGCGTGCGAGATGACGGCTGCGAATGATGAGACGTAGTCGTCATATGTCGTCTCGCACGGCGACAGGGCGCTGCCCACCCAGATAGTTGCCGTGTGGTAGAAGACGTACAGCAAGTCCTGCGTCGCCTTGGACATGGCCGTCTCGCTGATTATGGTCGTTCGAAGAAAGGTAAAGGCCGTGTTCCACTGCGAAAGCTGCGCGAGGATGTGCGCCTGCGTGGCCTTGAGCCTTTGCACCTCCCATGGGTCGGCAGCTGGGTTGTAAACGGCATGTTTACCCGACGTCGTGAAGCGCAAGCCTTGGTCCAGGAGATGGAACATCATGTCGCGGGCGTCGCTCATTGATTCGAAGGTCAAAGGCGTGCATCCGTTCCCCGTCGTGAGGTGCACCGGTATAGGTTCTGGTCGCGTGGCGAAGAGGTAGCTGGCAAGGCTCAGGCGAGCGTAAATGGGGACGAGAACCTTCCGAATCATCTCCATGGAGGGAGAGTCCAAGCTCACCTGCTCCATTCTGGAGAGTATGAGGCGCCCCTGGCAAATGTGCAGCTGCGAGGCCGCTTCGTACCGCATGAGAAACTCGATGCAGATGAACAACACACAGACCAAAAGGGGGATTGCAGCGGATTCGGGTCCACGACGCGTCACATCCCAGCTGCGCACGGCGGCAATGGCTTTGCCATACTCTGAGAATGCAAACCCATTTCTCAGGTGAAGTCTGCCTGCTTCGTTTCCCTTGCACAGTTCTTCGTGCAGGCAGCTCAGAGCCAGAACAGCGTGCCTTACAGCTGGCTCGGTGACTGTCAGCTGGATGACCAAACCACCCCAGAACTCTTCGCCCGCAACGGTAATCCCGCCCAGCAGAAAGGCAGATCGACTCTTGTAATGATCGAAAGCCCGCAACTCATCAGCCGTCTCCAATGCAGGCGTCGGACTGGGCGACTTGAACCGTGAAGCGCGTGGTCGCAGGACAGGATAGCCATCGCAAACGCGACCAGTTTTCACGCACCGCTGACAGGAAGGCTTGGCTTCGTCGCATTTGACTTTGCGTATCCTATGAGAAGCAGACGCCACGTACTCGGTCAGCCAACCTGGCTTCTCAACGCTTATGCGTGACAGAGGCAGATGTTGTAGCAGGGGTAGACTCACTTGCAGGTGATGCAGCCTGTGCGCACCTTCTTGTTGCCCTTGCGGCGCGAGGCTGGGGCTGGCGGCGTCGAGGTCGATAGTTCGGCTACCGAGCCCACGGACGATGTATCGGAAGACGACATGATACTGTAAGTCGGAGTCTCACTCTTGGCGTCGACTGCGACTGGCTCAAGTACGAGATGTAGGGTGCCTATCAGGACCTAGTGGTGACTATCAGAGCCGATACCAATTAGGTGCTGAGAGATCGAGGTCTGAAATCCGAAGTTGTCGACGATGGGCACTACATTTATTAAAGGTTCCAGGGAATCCTCTGAAAGGGCGCCAGTTACAAGTGCGTACCTTGCTTGGCTCGGGCGTCGTCCGCCGGCTCCAGTCGTAGTATTGATTAATCAGGATTTCTCCACGGATCTTGACCTAGACAGGGGTCTTGGTGGTTTAACTCAAGCTTGGGTGGAGTCGGTGTAGCGAAGGTAGTGTTTGATTCTAAATTGAATCAATGACATTGACAGTCGCGCCAGCATGTACGAAGCACACGAATCGATTGCGCCAGAGGTTCTGGAGTTGTCACTTAGGCTCTTAGAAACCAGTGTCTCTCACCCAGCTTGTGGCGATCAATGATGTTTCGCTACCCTGGCGACATTTATATCAAGGAGACGTGTATTGATCTCATGGCTGCCTTGTGTAAGTGGGAGGCAAATAAGGGACCCCTGCCTACTGCTGCGCCGCCCCTGCGACGACACAATTGCGGCTCATGCTGTTGAAGAACAAAAATACACCGTAAGCACGCGTGCGTCACTAGCGATTAGGACCGGCACTAGGTGAAACATTTTACTGCAGTCCCATGCTTCTAGTATTTGTGACCGTGTTGACGCGAGTACAATTTTTGCTCGCTCGCCGTTTATTTGAACTCAGATCTCTCAAGACTCTAAGTCATCCTGTCAACTCCCTTGCTCACCTACAAAATAAATTTATAATCATAAATAGCCGTGGAACCGCGCGGCAGCCTCAATAGGATTTACGTTGACGCACGTCTGGTCTTGACAGTCACGCTTGTGTGCATGTAAGGATGTACGTACAGGGTAGTCTTTAGTCCCCAGTCCAAACCGCACACGCAATTGGCTCGCTCGGACTTGAATCAGCTCGGGTCCAGGTTGAGCCACGCGACGGCCTTCAGAAGTGCCCGCCGTGAATCCCTCGAGAGTCGATAGCCGAAACGATCAGTAATAAAAGACGATGGGACCATTTGTGATTTGATGGCGCCTTGTTGAGGGCGCAATCCTTGACGGGACTAGGGGCAGACTCCTACGGACAACAAGATTAACATGATTGTCGCAAGACACTATCTAGGTATGCTTCAATTTAGCGTGGTTGTGCGAAGCAACAAACAAGTACGTAGTGCGCCCTATCCGAGAATAACCCCCTGTCAGGAGGATCCCTCCTCCCGAAGTCTGCATGTGCCTAACAAGTCACCACTGCCGGTCAATATTCGCCGGGGAAGAGCATCGATTACCACATAGGCGCGACAGTCAAAGAGGCTGGCCTGGGGAGATCAGTGCTCGCAGAAGTCATATTGCGTTCTGACCCATCTTTCCTCCATCTCGTTCGTTCTCGCGGTGCGCTCTTTCATCAGTGCAAGGCGGTGCTCCTTGGCCTCGTCAAGAGTCATACATCCGTCCGGGAGCGACGTCTCCTCGCCTTCTTTGGCCTCTTGTTTCCACCAACTACTCTGCTGGGGAGGGACGTTGGCCGTCGAGAGGATTCGGTGGTGGGGATCGACGAGCCACAGGGCCACGAAGCGACGGTGACCAGGCTTGGTGTTGTCCTTGAGCTTGAAGGGTGACACTTTGTGCTGGCTGGAGCGACGGCAAGTCAGTATACACTCTGTGTTCTGACTCGAGGCGCAACTCACAAGACATTGGGAAAGGCGAGGACCCGACCTTGTCGGGTTTCAATCTCCCCATACGTCTGTAGGCAGGAGCCGGCAAGGCCTCGCGAGGCGCCCAGTGATGCGCCGTGTACCAGCTCAAGCCAGTGGTAGCTATCCTGTCCAGCTTGCATATCATCCGAGATATAGCTGGACGTAGGCATCCGGAAAGACAAGGTGCTTGCCTCAATGTTCTCCGAGTCCACGTAATACAGCGCCGTGGCACAGATACGCTCGTTCATCTGGCCCTCAATCTAGTGCAAATCTCTCGTCAGTCAACCGTACTTCACATCTCGCCGCGGACTTCGACTCACGTGCCAATTTCCACCGGCGAATTCGGGCTTCTCGGGCGTCAGCTCGGCAGAGGCCATCTTGACGATGATTTGAAGGCCATGTTTGGCGAATCTTTGACGGATGCTCGCATGCTGCGGCTCGTAGTCGATCGTCTGAAACTCAGCTGGCTCGGGATACACGGGGTCTCGCAGCTCGAGCCATTTAGCTAGCTGCTTGTCATCCTCAGTCAGTTCTCGTGGGCCGTTCCGGACTCCTTCCCATTCTGCTTCGTCATTCCGCACATCCTCCAAGTCGAATTGTTCAGCTAGTTCCTCGAGAGTGTCTTTGCTCGGCTCATGCTGGATATCCCTCCACTCGTCGAGGTCGAATGGTTCCCAAAGCGACTCATTGTCGTCACTAGAGATTGGCAAGAAGGTACCGAGTTAGCCCACACCATTGCATACTGTGTGAAAGTCTCACTCACTCGGCATAGCCGATCTGCTTGAACCGGGTTGACGTTCGTCCAGCGGGAGTCTCTACGGTGTACCTGCTCATTCCCCGTAGGCACTGGTCCCATGCCGGTATGACAGCGTCAATGAGTTTCTCTACCGCGCCATAGATTTCAGGGTGCTGTTGCGGATGCAGCCCGTTGATGTAACTGGCGATCTTGGGCGTGCCATTCTTCACGTCCACCAGTGAGGGAAGCCACTGATACTTTTCGGACCAGTACCCCGAAGAAATCGAGCCGCTACCGATGTAGTTCGAGTAGGCGTGTCGTCTAGCCTTCGTCTTGGGCGCCTCAGGATCCTCAGCCTGGGACGGAGTCGTCTCTCCTTGGCCTATGTGCGCGATTGCATCGGCCACACCGACCTTTTCTTCGCGCAAGAACTTGGAACGCCCTGTGAAAATCAGTGAACGGAACTTGCAGAGTGCTTATCCCAAAATTCCATACCCCATACCAGCGGATACATGGAAGGATGAACAAGATTTTGTTGCATTTCATCACTCCCCGGATGCCAGTCTTCTTTCCCAAGAGCGTCTCTCTGAAGCTTGTCGAAGGCGGCAGCCAGCATGACATGGAGCTCATCATCAACCAAGTTGTCGGACTTGACAACGGTGTGGTGGCCAGCATCGAGGGTCGGGATGAGCTTGGATGATATGAAGTAGGCCGCCTTATTGCGCAGCTCGGCAATACCCTTATCAACAATTAGCAAGGCAACTCAGCCGCAACTCAGGGTCCCATACATAGTTGAAGGTCTCCTCGGAGAGGAGCCTCGCCACGCGCGGCATGTGGATTTTGTCGGCGTGCCTTGCCTCGAAGCGCTGACCAGGGCAGATCATCTTCCACAATCCTTCTTCGGACTGTGTCATGGCTTCTTGCCGCCATTTGGCCACGATATCGTCGTCAAAGACTTTCTCTTCCCAACCCTCCTTGTCTGTGATCTTGTTCATGAAGATCATCATTGCGACCTCGCGCACTTGCAGGATGGGCGATTCGCATCCTGCAAGCTCGGTACTCACGCCAATGGCATGGAATCTGTCACTATCACGCCCAATGTTCTGCCAGTGCGTGTTGTTGCGGCCAACGCCTAACTCATCAACGCGGTAGCGCAGGTCATAGTCCACACCGGGATACTGAAAACTCATGTTGGCGATGGTGTTTATGGGGACGGTACTCCAAGTCGGTGCCTTGGACACGATGACGGGTCTTTTGTAGTTGTTCCAAGGTTTGCATAACCGTGTCTTGGTGATAGCGTGCACGAGCTGTGAACTCGAACGTGAATGCTGCCTGCGCAACGTGGAGCGCGTGAACGGCGACCTCGTGGGCCGATGCAGGGGAATTCGCGCCTTCGGGGCCATGGCCAAAGTGTTAAAATTCGCCAGTCATGCTTGGCGAGTAGCAACAAACTGCTCGAAGCGGCCAGGAGATCTCCAGAGAGCTGCTTTGGGGAGTTTGGACCCTTTGGTGCCTGGAACGCCAAGTTACAGGCGCGCCGAGAAGCGAGGTCATCCCCGCCGATTCCACTATTTCCGTGGTGCCTGCGGACTTTTGGCGATCATCTCCAGCAAATGCGTGCGTGCAGTATCGTGAGCGCTCGCTGAAAACATGAACCGAGGCGGCTGAGTTTGTGCGTTCCAGGCTTCCAGTGCTGTCCATGTAGTGGGATTGATGGCCGCGAGTCGCGGACTACAGATGCTTCAAGATACAAAGGGCCTTCATTTGTTAATATTAGTTGGGTCGCGGACTGCTGGAGTCACGCGCAGACTGGAGACCCGCCCGCCAAGGTTGGTACTTTATTGGGAATGTCCTCTCCGAGGTGTTTTCTCTTCGGTGTAATTTACCCTGCAGTACCTGCACCCCGAGCATTGCCCTAATTGGGAGTCACGTCGAGACATAGGACATATCCAGGCATGGATGATATTGATGAGAAGACTTGAACTTTGATATTATTGCCATCCTTTCATCACAACCTTGCTATTCCTTAGTGTTTGGCTTATCTGGTCCCGTACACCCATGCCAACCCACAGATGCTGTTAGCTCAGCTTTGCCCTGTTTGCACAATTCTTTGACTTGTTGCTTTGAGCTGAAAGCCCGTCCTTGGTATTTGCTTTGGTATCTGAATGGTCCGAATTTCTGACGATCATCATGCGGTCGGAATAGGTCATTTCTTGTTCGGACTGCAGATATCGCTCTAACGTGGGGCTGGAATAAGTTGTGTAGGCGCCGCTAGGCCCGCTACAAGGCGGTTAGACACATCGCTAAGTCGCTAGCTAGGGGACAAATGGGGCGTCTGCCCCCTGGGACGTACCCTAAGCTCAATTGGCTCAACGCCTCAGTGGTCAAGGTCATGATGATCTCTGTTGGGTGTGAGATGAGGATGAATGGAAGTGCTGTCTTGTGAATGGATTGTTCGATTGTGTCTTGAAGCATATTCTCATGAAGAGGGCGCACCTCGTAACTTATACTGACCATTGTGCCCGGTCTTAGCGGCAGAGATCTATGGTCTAGGACTCGCAGTCTCGTAGTATCGCTGGGCGTAACTCTCACAGCGCGGGCATGACGAGCGACGGACGAGACACACTCTCGACACTATTACATGACGGTTGCCAGGTCTCAACGCGCGCCGCCACCGTCACAGGGCCGGAGCGCACCGGGGATTTATCCCGAGACTGATCACCATGGTCCAATAAGGGTTCAGAGAGCTGTAATTTGACAGAGGAGGCGAAGGCCAACGTTGCCAGTTGGGCTGACGTCTGGAATCTCGAATCTGTAATCACGTATCACGCGGGTGCTCATAGTTTACAACTCGCCAGGGCGAGCTGCATGCGTAAACACTAACGCCAGTGTTCAGCGTTATTTCGTCCATCCCGCGTCCAGAGTCCAGAGTCCAGACTCCAGCCAGCCTCGCCCCGGGTTACGTATACCAGGCGTCGCGCGAAGCATGCCCTTGGCCCGATGGGAACATTGAAGGTCCGAAGGGTCCAGTCGTCATTCGTGTTGCCTGTACGGAATAGGACAATAGGTAAAAAATTGATGACTCGACGTGACAACGAGACCGCATTCGGTCATTCAAGAAGTGGGCAGCCCGATGGTTCGCACTCTGCGTCAGGCAGTCCGACTGGCGACTACCCCCACGAGTGGCGGGCGATTGCAGGTTGGATTCGCAGCGCGCACGCGCGCGCCCTTGCACGAGGAGACAGTGTTACCTATTGCGCTGAACGTGTCCCAATCTCCTCAGCCTCACTTCTCATGAGTCAGGGCACCGGCTTCGAGGCGTTAACCCGCTCGCAAGAGTCCTAGTTTCAGATGTTCAACTAGAACACCACCAATGGACGCCCCCAATGGCGCGAATTTGGGCCATGGTCCATAATACTCCGTAGGGCTGCCGATGTCTCCCTCGGAGTCCCACCTAAACGGGTCGTCGCATCGCCAACCTGGGGAAGATGACGGCCACGAGCGAATCACAGTCCGAGACTCATTCACACCCCTGATTGACATGGGCCTCCGTGTCGGGGGCACCCGCTGCGGCAGTGATCAATCACAGCGACGGCCGCTTGACATTATTAGGCGTTCGCAACTTCTTGGACTTGGTGATACGTAGCTTGGGCTCCAGCCCTCCCGAGTCCAGCGCCCAGCGCCTTTGGCTTCCTGTTGTGACCTGCAGTCTGCAGGCAGCCCCGTTTCATCTGCTCCTGTTTGTCCATTTTGGCGGCGTTCCCGCGCAGGCTCAAGGGGTCCACGGTCCAAATGGGTAAAATCATTACGAATGATGGGCAGCAGGGGACGGACGGCAGCGGCAGAGACGGAAAAACGCCTCGAAGGAGCAAGATCCAGCTGAAACTGCCCAGCAGGTTCGCACGCTCATCCACAGGATTGCCTCCGGTCCTGAGGTACATTACCTTACCTTAGCCAGGAAAGTACGGGCGGACTTCCATCGCAGTGCCCCTCTTTCCTTCCTTCCCTCATCTCTCATGGGTGCTCCTTTCCGTTGTTGGCTTCGTTCTTGCCGTTCTCAAACAACCAAATTCATGCGGGCAGTGCCGGTGACACTGCCAGCTCCATTACACCAACGCACGACATTCGCACTTCCATTTCTTCAGCCACGTCGCGACGCTGTGGTTTGCAATCGGGTGCCGTCAGATTCAAGCCCTCGTCTTGGTCAATTCCCTTCGAGGCTCGCGGCATTGGGCAACCCTGCGCAGGTACCAGCGTCGCAGCATCACCTGTGCACCACCTATCGACCATCCCAAGTCTGGATCACAACACTTGCACACCCACCGCGCAATGAGCTCCCAAGATAACGCGCCAGAGCAAACGAGTGCTGCAGAGCCGCAGCTCTTCCCCATGCTCCCCTTTCGATTGCGCGATCGCGAGATTCCTGGCCAATTCGCGAAAGCGCATACCCCAGCATCCGCCAGCCCTAAGCTCCGAGAACCGCGGATCAAGCAGTCTCCTAGGTCGCTCGTGCTTGGTAGAGAGAGTACCCACGTTCGATCACCAACAGAGTCATCCATGAGCACGTTGAGCAGCGCGCCGGACTCCGCCACCACGTGTTCCATGTCAGTGCTAGGAAGTCCTTCGAGCTTGGGTTATGCGAGCGATTTCCACGACTACCAGGACATTATAGCTGGCTCGCGACCTGCTAGTCGCGTCCTACATCGGCACAAGCCATCGGATGGGACATGCTCCACATTCGTCAATGACGATGAAGATGATCCCTATTTTGGTGCGATGCTGTACTGCTCTGGGAAAGTCCCTGTCGCCCCTGTTGAAGCTACCCCAGAACGCAACACCGTTCATCAGAGCAGACCCGACAGGTACGTCAGCAGCGGCTGGACCAAGACCGAAGGGCTTGAGAAGTCTGGCATTACTGGGATGGGGAGGTCAAGACTAACCTGTGATTGCAGCCCCTCTGCCATATTAGTCTCGCCAAGTGTGCAGGACGCGAGTGAGGCCCATCTCACCTTCTACGAAGAATCTCTCCCATCTAGATCCCCTGAACCAGCGTCGACACCACTAGCGGAGAAGGCTGAGAAATGGGAGTCTGAATCTACAGCCTCAGTTGAGTGCTCCGCAGACGACGCCGATACCATTCTAGACTACACTCTCCAGATGGCATACGGTGTTGACCTAGAGGCGTCATCCTTGGACGTTCCCAGAGCGCGGCAAATCGCACGGAACTTTGTCCGCCAACTTGGCCAAACGATGTACCAGTCTGGCTTAAACGGCCCAGACCAGAACGGCATGGACTTCTCGAACAGCAACTCGTCCACACCGGGCAATAGTGGCGGGTCACATCGAGACGGCAAAAGGAAAAAGCAGCCTGGCGGTGGCAAACGGGATGACGGGACGGATGACCTCAGTGAAGGCGAAGGCTATGGGTTATTGCCGGTCAAAAAGCCAAAGCCCAACCCTCCGGAGGAGGAACCTCTACGCCTGAGCTGTCCGTTTAGGAAGCGCAACCCCAACCGGTTCAACGTCAGAGACCATCACTCCTGCGCCATGACATACTTCCCCAAGTTCGCCGAGTTGAGGCAACACATTGTCAAGCAGCACAAGCGAGATGAACAGTCTGCCTTTGTCTGCGACCGTTGCAACCGTGATTTCGCGGCGCGTAAGGAGCTTCGTGATCATCAACGTCTGCCACGCGAACAGATCTGCGAGATATCTGATCATGACCCGGAATCCGGCATCGATGGACCAACTTCTGTCAAGCTATTGAGTCGGAAGCGAGCCAGCGGAACATCGCCTGAAATCCAATGGCGCGAAGTCTGGAATATCTTGTTCCCTGACGACGACGATAGCAGAGTGCCCACCTACCGTGAGTTTCATGATTGTCCATGAAGGCCAAAGCTGACCAACTCGTCCAGAATTCACCCCTGTCATTGAACACGTTGAGATTTCAGATGCTTATCAAAACGCGTTCTCGCACCTTCTCCAGTCGCTCAGCGGCATGTTTGCCAACCCGGCGACCTTGGACACCCTCGCCACCAAGTTCCACCAATGCTTCCTCGAGACGGTCCAGCGGTGCGAGACCGAGGCTCAAAGTATGCCATACGCCAACCGCAGCAACAAACGTGGCGAGCAACTTGCTACAGCAGCTTCGACCGGCATGCAATTGCGCAAGCCAACGGACATAGCCTCAAAGCGAGACTCCGGCGTTAGCATGAATGACGAGGGTTCTGATGAAAGTGGCAGCGTCTTAGATCTCAGTTACAAGAACAGCGTACGGACAGTTCAGAGCTCTGTGAGGAACAGCCACCCACCGTCGGCATCGAATAGAGAATTGGCCCCCGCAAGACCCCCATCGGCAATTTATGACCCCATGCCGTTTCCTATTCCATTATCTGCTTCAGCGACTCCGCTGCCGGGAGCCCCGAGTTTGCTTGGAGCGACGGATATGCAGGCGTGGACACAGGACGTCATGATGCCATTTCCACAAGCCACTCATGGCTTTGGTATTGGCCCGGCCGATATGCATGTGCCTCATGGCATGAGTGACACGAGTTGGCAACACTCGTTTTACGATCCCAGTGAGGATACGGATGGCATGCGTAACGATCTCTCGGGGTTCATGTAAATGCAACTGAAGTGCTGCTGATGGACCTACTCTGGTTCGTGCAGCTTGGTCCAGGTTGGCGCAAGGAACATGGGTGTAATTGGTATTTGACATAGATCTAGAGTATACATGTATGAAGAGGGCGAAATCCGACCGCAAGCGAAGAATCCATTCTTTGATAACCTTTGACGATTGGTACCCACCAGCATACATCATCATCTTTGACCTTGATGCCCCCGCCCCGCATCCTCAGATCTCACACTGCTCTGCCCTGAACCACCACCTTTACTTCCAGTCCTCATACCGCGTCATTCGTGACAAAGATTGGCATTGGGACTCATTCGATATGGCGCCCTCATTCCCTCCTCTGCTGGCCTCCAAGGTCACGGTATGTGCCAACCCAAGCCAAACGTCGATGGACACACGTTGACGTAACCGCGGTCCGCACCCAGCTCGCCAACGGCAAAACTATTCCTCAGATTCAGCTAGGCGTCTACATGATGTCTGGTGCCGAGGTCACCAAGTCCGTTCATTGGGCTCTCCTCTCGGGCTATCGCGCCATCGACTCGGCCCAGATGTACCACAATGAGCGTGAGGCTGGTGCCGCCATTCGGGGCTTCCTGTCCTCATCGGAGAACACACTCGGTCTCACGCGAGAGGACATTTGGTACACGACCAAGCTGGCCAACTGTAGTGCAGACTATGACGAAGTTCGCAAGAGTATCAAGCGCAGCGTCGAGGTCAGTGGGCTAGGCTACGTGGATCTCTTCCTGTTGCATAGCCCGTATGGAGGCAAGAATGCGAGATTGACGAGTTGGAAAGCGGTGGAGGATGCGATTGATGCTGGCGAGGTGAGGATGGGCGGTGTGAGCAATTATGGTGCAAAGCATGCGAGTTCCTTCTTTTCCGAGAGACTTTTCTCATGAGTCTGCGCTGACGCTGGAATGTAGATTGAAGAACTTGTTGGCTCTAACCCGCGTATCGCCCCGGTCATCAATCAGATTGAAGTGCACCCCTTCAACACCCAGACTGGCATCCGGAACACCTGCCTCAAGCACGGCATCGCCATCGAGGCGTACGCCCCCCTCGTTCGCGGCATGCGGATGAAGCACCCGCGCATCCAGGAGTTGGCGACAAAGTACGCCTGCACGCCCGCACAATTACTTGTACGCTGGAGCATCCAGCACGGCATGATTACCCTGCCGAAGAGTGTGCGACGCGAGAGGTTGCTGGAGAATGCGAGTGTCGAGAACGTGGACATTAGCGGCGAGGACATGGGGATCCTGGACGGGCTGGATGAGAGGCTTGTTACAGATTGGTGAGTAACTTTCAGGGGGGAGAATGTGTTCGGTTTGATGGTGTGCTAACGGTTACAGGGACCCGACCGAGACTGCATGAGGAAGACATTTTTCGAGGCCTGCGCAGAGGGAACACGGTAGAATCAATGAAGAGGGATAATTAGATGGCAGGCGGAGATATTGAGGCGATCTATGAATGCCGAGCTTCTGTTGACTTTCCCAGCTAAAGGGGTCCAAGATCTACCTGGTAGTTAAGGCCTTCAGCATGGATAGCGAAGATGTTCGCAGTTGGTGGTCGAAGTCGCCGGTTGAATGCAAGTTTGATTCCATAAATGGCCACTTGTATTAATAAATCCCCGATCATGCTTTCTCGCCATCAGATTTGCCCTCTCTCTTGTGTTGTAATGAATCGTGATCGGGATATCTTCCCATTCCCGCCGGTATCGGCAACAGGCACCGAGGGTCGACTCGGTCGAACATCCCGAGCGCCACTCATCATCATCAGACTCAACATGCAACAACAGCCAAGCATAATAGCCGGGCTATGCCAGACCAGATCGATCGAGTCTCGCACCTCATTCTATTGTTTTCATGGCAATATCCGACAAGATGACAGACTCGAAATCAAAGCCGATGATTGTCATCATTGGGTGCGTCACCTCCCCGTCGCCCAATTCATTTGCTAATCCGTGACAGCGCAGGGATTATCGGCCTCACCACTGCCCTCAGGCTTCAAGCCCAATTACCCTCCTCATCAACAGACATACTACTGGTCGCCAAAGAATGGCCCACGTCCATCCCAGGCGCACCCCCCTCTCACTCTGTCGACTATGCGTCCATGTGGGCGGGCGCACACGTTCGCCCCATCCCAGCTTCAACCCCACAGCTCACACGCGAAGCAGCATGGCTGAAGACGACGTGTACCGAGTTCGCAAGGCAGGTCGAAAAGGAGCCGTCCATTGGCGTGACAAGCACAAAAGGAGTTGAGTTCCTAGACAACCCACCAAAAGACTACGCAGCGCAGACAAAGGAGAGCTTCGAGAAGGAGACGGGCCTCGTCGGATATAGAAGATGCAATACTGGAGAGCTCCCAGAGGGCGCGAAGCTGGGGTACGAGTACTCTACGTATTGCATCAATGCGCCGGTGTACTGCGCCAACTTGCTCAGAAAGTTCATTGCGAGAGGTGGGCGGACGATGCAGAGAGACCTCAGGACCGAGTGGGAGGCCTTTATTCTGCGGGACAACGTGAAAGTGGTAATCAATGCGAGCGGTATGGGGTTCGGCGACACCAAGTGCTTTCCCACAAGAGGTGAGATATTTCTGAAGCAAATAACAAAGCCGGTGCTCACAAATTGTAGGCCAAACCGTTGTCACAGACCTGGTCGAGGCCACGAGGACAGTGACAAGACAGAACCAAGATGGCTCATGGAGCTTCATCATTCCTCGCTTCTTCGCTGGTGGGACGATCATGGGCGGCACCAAAGAACCGGGAAGTTGGCATGCCGAGCCCAATCCCACCCAACGGGCGAAACTGCTCAAGGGAGGCAACGCGCTGACAAAGTACGCCACGGACGAGGCGGTCAGAGCACCACAGGACGTCAATGTGATTGCCGATGTGGTCGGTAGACGGCCCACGCGTGACGGTGGGGTGAGAATCCAAGTCGAAGAGAAGCAGCTCACTGGAAGAGATGGTGAGTTGAGGACAGGCCACGTTGTTCATGCGTATGGCGCCGGGGGGCGAGGCTTCGAGATCAGCTGGGGCGTTGCGGATGAAGTGAGCCAACTAGCCTGCCAGGTTTTCAGAGATCTTATTGGAACGAAGTCAAAGCTATAGACTGCTCGGTCTCGTACGATGCTGCTGTTTTTGTCACAAGAAAGCGTTAGATGAACCAAATACAAAGTATATGCTCGTCTATCCTCCATCCTCCGGAATACTGGTGGTGTCACCCAAGCCATACTGCTTTAATCCTCCTTGACACCGACCTTGCCCGCCTTGCGCAGGCCAAAGAATCCAATCGCTGCACAAGTCACCATGAAGGCAAACATGGCCCAGAAACTCGCCCGGTACCCTTCCATCAGCGCCTCCACCGGCTTCATACCCTTGTGATCCTTGGCCACCAGCGACGAGATGACCTGCATAATGGCCATGCCAAAGGCATGGCCAAACTGCGAACTCGTGTTGAACACGGCCCCCGCGACAGCCTGCTTGTCCTCCGGGAACACGTCGGTGATGACGATCAGTCCGACGGTGAACAGAGCATCGGCGGCAATGGGCATGAAGATCTGCGCGAGAAAGGCGTTGGCCCAGTACGGCGTCTCGGGCTTGATGACGGCCATGAGAATGGGCGCGATGGCTGTGAGAAGGGAGGAGATGCTGACGATCCACATGGCGGGGACTTTGTGGATGAACAGACCGGTGGAAAGGTTGATGAAGAAGCCAACCACGAGGCTGGGCAGGATGCGGATGGCGGCTTGGAGCGCAGAGAGGCCTTGGATCTCTTGGAAGCTGCGCATCTGGTCAGTGGGAAAATTTATAAGAGAACCTATGGCTAGGACCTACAACAAGCTTGCAAACAGCTCTAGGGAGTTGATAATGGCGAATGCGATGGCAACGGCTGCGCAGATAGACGAGAACGCCATGTTACGCCAGAATGAATTGGGAATGAGCGCTGGCTTGCCCGATTTCACCTGGCGGTGCGACCATCCAAGGAAGAGTGGCAAGGATATGACCCCAAGGCACAGGAAGACGATGGTGTCTGACTTGCGAATGTGCTCGACATCGCTGCTGATAACACTGTTCCCCGTTAGTCACAAATCCTCATGCGTCTGTCTGAACCGCAAGATAACTCACGCCAAGAAGTAAGAGAGCAACGCCATGAAAGACGATGCCAGGAGTGCTCCGACCCAATCTACCCTCTCCCTGATCTCCGCCAAAGTCTCCTTGAAAGTCCCTAGGACCGGGCTGCGAGGGAGAGAGAAAGCTCCCACGGCCGTCAAGAATAGTACAAGACTTCCGTAGAGGTACCATCCAGCTCGCCATCCCACCTTGTCCACCAGCACACCACCCATGACAAGGCCGAACGAGAAGCCGAGCACGGAGCTGATACCCAGGCAAGCAAACGCCACATTGCGCCCCCGACCCTTGGGTAAAGTCTTGGTGATCAGGGAGACGGAGCTGGCGAGGTGAAGTGCCAGTCCGATGCCCTGCAGTGCCCGTAGTGCGACGAGCTGCTCTCCTGTCTGCACGAAGCCACAGCCGAGCATGAAGACACCCAGCACGAAGCATCCGACAAGGTCGACGCTGCGCGGCCCGAGAACATCGGCCAACGAACCAGCAATGAGGATCGTGGCCGTGGTGGTTAGAGCCGCCACGGAAGAAGGCCAGAAGGCGAGGGACTGGGGTAGGTTGAGATCGATGGTCATGACAGGTAGCCCGACCACGACAAGACCATTGACGCAACTGTTGGCGAAATTGATGCCGGACAGTTGGAAGGTCACGGCGGTCTTTTGTAGCTTGGAAGAGGGCTTGTGGCTCGGTACGCCAGAGACGCTGTCGCTCTCGGCATTGTCATGTTGGCTGTTGTGTTCATGTTGTGAGATGATAGTTGTAAGAGGGTGCGAGGCTTCGCCGCTGATCGCTTTGTTGGACACAGGCGCCGCCAGCACTGTTTGTGTGGAAGTCGACATGATGTAATGAGACGCACAAGTCTTCGCTCTTGTCGACGGTGACAAACGAAGATTTCAATATGGTGTCTTCTGGACGGCGACTCTTATTATACATCGGAGTTTTGCTGTCTCTCCGCCAACTAGTTAGAATTAATTAGCAGCCAAAGAACCATGAAAAGGTGCGCCTTGTCTTTGACATGACATGGTGGGTCTTGGAGACAGGGTCCCGATCCTACGGCTGTTGTCGTGGACTCGTGGAGTTTTCTCCGATATTTCTAAAAAACAGAAGAGAATCGGAAATACAAAGTGCACCCATTCATTGATGAACCTGCCGCTTTTACTGCAATATTTCCGGTCAAGACTTAAGAATCAAGACTTGTTGTACGTATCAGCGTCATGAAGTACAGTAATCTTGCCTACCCTACAGACGCACACGGGTCTAGCCTCACGACTTCATGTCGGGCCCTGCAACGCTTTAAAACTCAGGTCATTATGATAAAACTATCAAAAGTCTGGACACTTTATTATGTACATATCAAAATCAATCCAAGCTGTGTTCGTTTGGTCTAGAAAGGTCTCGCCTGACTTTTAACACTGTTTGATGTGACGACTGCCTATCACAATCAGAGGCGTGTCCAGATTTGAAAACCTGTCAATCTAGTAACTTTATACGTAATGCCAGTTAATAATTCAAAAAGAATCTGAAGCTGAGCTATATTTTTACGTGTGGAGCGAAATTATGAATAACAGTCGGCTACGTATTGACACTTCTCGAGGCAGGGGTTTGGAGCGCTTAGCCTACGTACTGCAAAGAGACTGTTGAAGTCCCCCTTTCCGTACAGCCAGAATATTTCGATCAAAGCCAGGGCTCCAGTCGCTGTCTCCGCGGAAAACCCCGCTGCTATCCTCAAAAGCATCACAAAGTAACTTCGAAATCCAAACAACTGATGTACGTCTGCTTGTTGCCCGTCGCGTACCAGTACCATTGGATCACGCAGTTGCCAGCCTCTGCGCAGTCGGTTGGAAGATCTTGCGGGATGGTGATGTTGAAGTCGCCTGTTTCTGGTCAATTACATGTATGCATACTCTCGCAAACAGACAGGAGTATGAAAATGGTTGACATACGTTCGTCATCCGGGACACTAGGGTCCGAGCTGAGGAAATCATCCCAGACCTTCAATGGTTCGCCGATGATTTGGTTCGTCATGGCGTCGACAACTGAGATATTCTGCCCTCACGTCAGTATCTTGAGTTTCTTGGAAAGCACCCAAATCGAGTCTCATACCGCATAGCCAGGCTTGTGTCCAGCGATGATGTCGATGTGAATGTCCAGCACATCACCACCCGCCAGACTCAGGATGTTCTGCGTGTTGTCTTCGAATTGGTATCCTCGACACAGGAACAGGTTGCAGTGATAGTCATCATCAATCACTGCCACTGAGTTTTCGATCGGACCCGCCTTATCTAATGACTCCCCGTCAGATTCATGTGGAAACATGAATCGAGGTGAAGGTTAACATACCGTCGTCCAAACGGTCGGTCACAGCAGCACCGCATACAGCTTCTTGCGCCGAGCCGATCTATAAACGTCAAAAAAGAGCCCTGTTGTCCATTGGCTTACTTACACCACGGGGTTCGGGGGTAGTCATGACCGCGTGGGACCATGCTGTCCCAAGTAGAGTCCATGAGACGACGACAGCCGACTTGGTCAACATTGCTGCAATTTTTTGATTCGAAAACTATAAAGTTATTCAACACAACGCTCTATACATAGTATTGATACGCCTCATTTATACCAAAGTGCCGGACCCCTAGCCTCCGTCTGTCTGCCGGGCTGGGATCGCCCTAGAAGTTCATCCACCAATGACAGAGGCATCGGCGGAGCAGATCAAGACCGGCCTGAGATTGATGTAGCACGAGGGATGATGTGACTTTGAACCGTTTCTTCAGAAATTTTGCAGTCTGGTTCAAGTGATCCCCGTAATGTGCTCCAAGGGCTGACCATCGCAGCTCTCGTCGGCTACTTGGGTGTTGAGTAACCGAGATATGGCTTACCCCAGAGTCCAAGACTCGACGCCCCCCACGACAAGCAACAGATGAATCGGCTTCTCCAGAGCACATCTCATCTCGTCGCCAACAACATATGAAATTCGCAAGTCAAATGTAGCTGAGTGAGGTGGCATCACGCTCTGGTATAGTGTCATGCCAACTTATGTGAGAAGACTCACAATTTGAACTCATCGCAAATCACGAGATGTCTCGCGTCATGGTTCCACAAGCAGCGTGGCGGCTTGTCAGCCGCCGCAACTTCTCAACCACGCCTCGTCATCCGATCATGGAGACTTCCGCGTTCACCGACACCCAACTTGATGTGCGCGAGGCCATCACGTCTGTGTGCAGCCAGTTCCCATCCACCTACTGGCAGGAGCGCGATCAATCACAAACGGACCCAAGCGACTTCCACGCCTCTCTCGCCAAAGGAGGATGGCTGGGCATCGCGCTCCCCGAAGAGCTTGGCGGCTCGGGCCTGGGGATATCAGAGGCCACCATGATGATGCAGACCATTACAGAGTCCGGCGCTGGCATGGCTGGTGCGCAGAGCATCCATGCCAACGTGTACGCCACTCAACCATTGGCCAAGTTTGGGAGCAAGGAGCAAGTAGAAGAAACAATTCCCAAGATAATCTCTGGCGAGTGGCGAGTCTGCTTTGGTGTCACTGAGCCGAATTCTGGTCTGGATACGCTGCGCCTCCGCACAGCAGCCCGCAAAGTTGACGACAAGACATATGCCGTCACAGGACAGAAGATCTGGATCACCTGCGCGCAGGTCGCCCGGAAGATGATGCTGCTCGCTCGAACAACGCCACTCGGGGACGTGAAAAAGCCGAGCGAGGGACTTTCCTTGTTCTGCATCGACCTCGACCGCGAGCAGGCGGGCCTGGATATGAAGAAGATCCAGAAGATGGGTGGGCGGGCTGTCGACGCGAATGAGGTGTTCTTTGACAACTATAAGATCCCCTCCTCGTCTCTCATCGGAGAGGAGGGCAAGGGGTTCAAGCTCATTCTGCACGGGATGAACGCCGAACGCTGCCTCCTGGCAGGCGAAGCGCTAGGCTTGGGCTACGCCGCCCTGACACGGGCAGCGGGCTATGCGCGCGAGAGGACGGTCTTCCAGCGACCCATTGGGCAGAACCAAGGGATCGCGCATCCCCTCGCGGACGCGTACATGCATCTCGAGGCAGCGAAGCTGGCCACCTACCACGCGGCGCGTCTCTATGACAAGTCCAAGACGGACGACAGTATCAGCCAGGACTCGATTGGTGTCGCGGCGAATAGTGCAAAGTATCTCGCGGCGGAGGCTGCGTTCACGGCGTGTGAGCGAGCGGTGCTGACGCATGGCGGCATGGGGTACGCGAGTGAGTATGATGTCGAGCGGTGGTTCCGCGAGTGTCTGGTGCCCCGGATTGCGCCTGTGAGCCGGGAGATGATTCTGAACTATATCGGTGAAAGGGTGCTGTCGTTGCCACGAAGTTACTGACGGATAGATGTAGCAACAGATTGGCAACTCCAGGAGTTCCTCATATCTAGTAACCTGTAAATTGTCGTCGCTGTTTGCGTGCCTTTCGTTGGCAATACATGTAGCTTCTTCGCTGTGATTTTGCGACTCGTGTCTCTTAAATGCTGTGAATTTTCGTGATGAATCACCAGAGTCCAGACGCGATTGCCAATCCGTCTCCAACAAATGCACCGCGCGTGCGACCCCAGAAGCTCCAACGGTCTAACCTCGTCACCTCCACCTCCATGTCCATTCATGATCTCCGCACGGCGACCACTTCACCAAATGCCGCCATTGGCTCCTGTCATATGCAAACGATGAATGATCATTGTCGATACGCCTCTTGCTCGCCTTGACACAACTGAACCGGACGACTGCGCGCGCCTCAGCCTTCCGTGCCCGCCATGGCGCCTCCTTCGCCAGCGCCATCATCCTCGACACCCGCCGCCAAAAAGACCCGCGCAAAGCAGGCCTGTCGCGTCTGCAACAGCCGGCGCGTGCGCTGCAATGTCATGGACGTTCAGCCATGCGACAATTGCGTCGCCGGCGGCGTGAAGTGCGAGATTGTCCCGTCTCGTCGTGGTCGGTTCGTTATACCAACAAGCACACACCCACTCACTCATTGGCAACCATATGTAGCTCACTCACTCACCACATCGCGGTATCAGATACCCCCGTCGTTCCAAACGTCAGCAGCAGGGCTCCGTTTCGGTGACCACCGACGCATCGCCAACGTCCATGAGCCCTCGCCCCAGCCTGCGCGCACACCATCCTATCCAGCCCGCCGCCGCACCTGTGGCCTCAAACTCCAACCCAGCCCGTCCTGGTGAACCCACCGCGCCCCCGACACCGGGGACGCTGTTCTTCGGCGAGTCCAACTTCATCACCCTGGTCCCCGGCACAGCGCACAACAGACATGTCTTTTCCGTGCCCGAGACACCCCAGGATGCACAGGCCGCCGACATCAGCCCCGCCACGATGCGCTATCTCAAGGAAGGGGGCGCGCTCACGCTGCCTGACCTGCAGACCTGCCTCCCGGCGCTGCAGGCCTACTTTAAGTGGTTCCATCCTTGTTTTCCGATCCTGGACCGTGCCGAGATCACGCAGAAGCTGGCGGCCATGGCTATCTCGCGCTTGCTGCTCCAGGCGATGCTCTTCATTGGCGCCACGTACTGCGATGAGGAAACGATTACGGCCATGGGGTTCAGTGACCGTACGGAGGCGAAGCGTCTACTCTATGGGAGAGCGCGGATCCTCTTCCATGCGGATTGGGAGAAGGATCGGATGATACTCATACAGAGTCTGTTTCTCATGAGCTTCTGGCGGGGAGACGCAAGGGATGTGAGAGACGTCCGGTACTGGCTGGGCGTGGTGATTACGCTGGCGGAGTCACATGGCCTCCACCGATCGTGAGTTGCCTGAACGACTTTGGTCTGTCTTCGTGGCTAAGAGATTGCAGAGAAAAGATCATGTCCAAGGATCCAACCTTGTCCAAAATGCGGAGACGGATTTGGTGGTCCATCTACGTATGGTAGTCGGCAACTCGTCTCGCATCAGTGCTAACAGGACAACACAGGTTCGTGAACGACAGGCCGCAGCATCTCTCGGCCTCCCAAGCCGCATCCGCGACGAGGACTGCGATATCGAAGCGTTGAGTGCGTCAGACCTTGAATCGGACACTAACCCCACCGTCGCGTCCCTCTTTGGCGTCTGCGAGCCGCAGCATGTCACCTACGTCGTCAAGATGGTGGAGATTGCAAGGCTCTGTGAGCTCACTTTGCTTCCTGTGTAGTCTTGGAGTAGCAGCTGACGTGAACAGTGGGCCGTGTGATTGATGTGCAGTTCGTGCCTGGCCAGAAGACGCACCACGTTGACCACATACCGGAGCTTGACGCCCGTCTGGAAGAATGGAGAAGCAGTCTGCCCCCTGAGATGCAGTACTCGTCGGATGATGGATCAAGCTCCACATGGACGTGCTTGCTTCACTTTGCCTACAAGTTCGTCTTCCACTTCTTGGGTCTTGCGACATCTGCTGACTTGCAAACAGCCACTTGCGCATCCTCATCCACCGAACTAACTTTATGCGCTTCCCCGAAGATGATCCTCGGAGTCAGGTCGTCACCAACGCGGCCTGTCGCATCAGCCGAATCGCTGAAGACATGTCTGCCCAGGGTACCCTTCGCTACGGGCAGATGCATCTGTAAGACAGCCCTCGACCCTCACGATGAGCCACGGCACCCCACTAACCAGCGCTGCTCCAGGATCACCAGTCTCTTTGCCGCCCTGTGTATCCACGCCCTCGGCATACGTCGCTCCAAGTCTATGAACCAGCGCATCGCTGAGCACCGTGCCCAGCTCTGTCTGCTGTGTCTCAAGGAGGTACAGAAGTACTGGTGTGTCAACAACAACGTCCTCGATCTTTTTCTACAGTACCTAGATTCATCCATCGCCAAGCGTCTGCATGGTCACGTGCACGAGACGTCGACGACGGCGCCGCCACCTGAGGCACCCAAGGAGCCATCGGCAGCAACATCGCCAGCCGCCGTGGATGCGGGCGGTTCATTCGAAGACCAATACCTAAGCCTTGTCAATGGTGAATGGGAGGGCGATGATGCGCTGGGAGATCTGAGTCTGTTCTTGTGTGGCGGGGAGGGCTTCATGGGAGACGAGGGCCTGGACTTTTTGGGGCGATCGTTGTAGTCAATGGCAATGACAGCAGCATTTCCCCATTCGCAGTAGCGTTCATGAGTCTAATGCGATGGATGGAATGTCGGACGACGGCTGATGCGCATTAGCCGCTGACCAGGGCCAATGATTGGGTGGCTGGTTTCTTCATGTTGTCTGTCGTCTTGATCCCAAGTGCCACCACTGCTTTCGTCTACCTTGGGGTACGTCGACTTGCTCACGCGGCCACTTGAGCTTTAAACTTCCAATACCTGCCGCCCGTTCTGCCGTGTTGGGTTACCAGGATGTCTCGCCATCCCCAAAGGACAGGATCACATCGTGCTCCTTCATTGGGCTAGATGGTTCGTTCAGCCAGTCAACGCTCGCCTCAAAGGTCAGCTTCGGCTGGTGGATGCATCATGCCCTGCCATGTGCCCGCTTCAAGCTAGAGTGGGACATGTACGCCGCCCCATGGGACGAGGCAGACTTTCCCGCCAGGGCTGACATGCAGGAATCAGCTCCACTACTACCCTGTAACTGGCCTGGACCCTGAGCTGCACTATAAGTTTCGGGAGAGCTCCCACATACCTATCCTTCGACCTTGGCCTAGCATCAGCTCCAGGACCAACCCTCTCAGCCCTCTACCCTTTCACATCTTCCAGCTTCGGCCTCGTCTCAATTGCATCGACATCTTCCTATTCAGCTCACATTCTTACCGAACAATCGTCAGCATGTCATACCAACCACCTCCCCATCCTCCCCCACAACAGCAGCAGCCGCAACAACAACAATACCACCACCCGCAGCAACAACAGCAATACCCACCCCAGAGCGACTCGGGCACATTTCCAGGCGGCCAGTACACCGTCGCCCACCGTGACACCAATGCCGTGCTCAACCTCGACCTCCAGCAAGGCGCCACCATCAAGGGCAAGCCTGGCGTCATGATCCACATGGCCGGCTCCATCCAGCTCACGGGCAAGGCCAAGTTCTCCATGAAGAAGCTCATCACCGGTGGCGACATGACGGAATCGACCTATGTCGGCCCCGGCCGTCTGGCGCTGGGCCCAACCCTGTTTGGCGATATTATCACATTGCACGTGGACGGGCGCCAGAACTGGATCATTGGCAAGGACGCTTTCCTCGCGTGCACGCCCGAGGTGCACAAGGAGGCCAAGAGCCAGGGCTTTGGCAAGGCACTGTTCTCAGGGGAGGACCTGTTTGTGTACCACGTCCAGGGGCAGGGCATAATATGGCTGACTAGTTTTGGTGCCGTGGACCGTCTTGACGTGAGTGATTGTCTCTACCTACCTAAGCATCCCTTTGCCATGCTAACAAGTGACTCTCGACAGCTCCAACCTGGTGAGCACCACATTGTGGACAATGGCCACCTCGTGGCGTGGAGCTGCGACTACAAGATTGAAAAGGCGGGCGGCGGGTTCATGGGCAGCATGAAGACGGGTGAGGGCCTGGTGTGTCGCTTCACGGGACCGGGCTCTGTCTATGTGCAGACGCGCAACATGGATGAGTTCAAGGCTTTCATCGTGGCAAGCGCAGGGCCTCGATAGGAGGTAAGGTATGTACAACTATAGTCAGCAGCGGGTGCGATTGAATAATTGATCCTATGGTACTCTATGGAAATTTTAATATGTCATACGTCTGTCACCGGTGCCCAGCTACTAGGTCTTGGTCCGATTGAATCAGGCTCGTGAGCATCTGGCTGGGGTGCATCATGTGACGCGAGGCTGGGTGTGATCTCGGCAAGGCAGATCCTACCTCAGCAAGGTAGCTGCGTAAGTTAAGTACTTGCTTTCTGCCACAGGGCAGCAATTTCCGCTGTGTTTGAAGTGACTGGTTAATGGTAAGGTAAGGTAACTGCGCTCCAGTTGCTTCAGGGGTTTCACTCCACCTATTCTTATAGAATCACAAGCGAAGGTTAGTTTTTCGTGCCTCAGCACCAGTAGTGCAGATAGACAGACACTATAGCGAATCATGCCAAAGGCAGTCCTGTTCATCTTCTTACTTGGAGGCTCATCCTATCATCCGGGACACCAACGCACTGTTCCTGGATACTGTTCCAGACACGAGGTGCTTCCACGCTCTCCGTCAACACCAGCACCCCATTGCAGCTGCATGTCACCAGGGGGCCGGTGTTCATCAATGCTGAAGTGATGGGAAGCCCCTTTGCTTCGAAGCCATCGGGCATGCGACCAACCCAGATATGAAGTATATCCGCGGATCCAGGCAAGCCGCTTCCTGGAAGTGGGCCATCTATTCGCTCTGCAAACACCCTGAGATGCCTGGCAGTTGCGGCTTCGGGAGGAAGGACGAGAGCGCATACCAGCCATCGACTCAGGCAAAAGCATCATGCATTCGGACATTGACGGAATGTCATATCTGAACGCAGTATGCATTGAGGCTCTGAGGCTCTATCCAATGGTATCATCCACGTTCCGTGAGGTCACAATGATCCAAGGCGTACCGGTGAAGAAGGGCACAAGTCTCATACTCCTCGCATGAGGCATGAACCGATATGCCAAGTACCGGGGCCCAGATGACGAGGAGTTTCGCACGAGGGGAACTTGCGTGCCTGTTGGCGGCATGGGTTCGGCGGTTCGAGTTTAGGTTGAGGGACCAATCACCGAGGGCACATTGGGTGGAAGACTGCATTTACGGTCAAGACTCAAGCCTGGGAACTTGAAAGACGGGGTGTGGGTCAAAGCGAAAGCGCTTGGAGGGTATGAAGAGGAGCGTTCAATGATTTACTAAATGACCTTTGAATCGGTCTATTTAACAGGACTGTATAAAGCCTATACTCTAATATTCACGCATAATGGTATAAAGCTTAGCCGCCTTGAAATCGGCCACGCCTAGCTTCCCCTCCTACCTGTCCGCCCACGCCGCCCGAGCACGACACTTGCAGCTGGCTCGACAGCATTTTTTTTTTTTTTAAATCTGCTGCGGCATCAGCGAGGCGGCGCTGGTCAGTACGCTTTGTCATTCGACACATCATGCAGGTGCTGGCCCGCTGCAGTGTGAAAAGACAAGGTCACATCCTGTCCTGCTGCATCCGCGGCCAAAAATTACCTCGTGCAGAGCCCAAACCCCCGCGTCCATCATTCCTACAGGAAATGCTGCCTCAAAAGACTTCACGCAAGGGTGCTCGGATGGCGTTCTTGCCTTCTCTCTGCACATCCAGATCACAACCCTTGGGGCGACGTGCGCTTGACTGGTCCAGGACCAGGACCAGGACTCTCGAGGCAGACTGGCTTGGCCATAGCTCAGCACCGTACTCTTGCCCATTTGAATCAAAATTTGACTCTCATGGCCAGTGGCCTTGATCTGGCGGGAGTGGTTGGCACATGGGTGGCAGTGGCACTGGCTCTTATCGCGCTCGTGGGCATTGTGGCGCCAGTCCTCCTCATACGTGAATCTCGGAGCGATCGTTTCCAGGCCTTGAATGCCGTCGATGATCAGAATACTGGGTATATTACCGGCGGTCTCAAGCTGCGCGGCAGCTCAACATATTTCCAGAAAGTCAAGGTACCCTTGCTGAGCAGCCCGCCCGGACCAAATGTGATATTTGACCGAGCCTCGATTGCAAATCTGGCCCAGGCGACTGGCTGGGTCAATTTTGCCGCGGCGATAGAGCGATACACATCCTCAACCGACAAAGGCGATGGTCTCCTGTTGTTCCACAAGCAGACTTGGCTCCCCGTGCACCGCTTCTGGCTCCTTACCTTCGGACTCTTCGGCAGATATGGACACCGGGAAGACCGCGGCATAGCTATCAGTCAGTCAAATGCCCAACGACTTATGATAGAGAGAAAGCCTGCTTATCACGGCCACAATATACCAGCTAGGCGGAGCTTGCAACCATACTACGGTCTCACAGGCAAGATCCTCTGGGCGCCAATGTCTCCAGAGGCCACCATGGCCGATGGCATGATCGACAGGCTCTACTTCAAAGCCCATTCCGCTGAGAGCCGACGCGACCCTTTTCCCGAGGCTATTCCTCTCAAGACATTGTTCTGGCTTTCTCTGGGCTGTCTTCCCCTCGACCATCTGCCACCAGATAATCCCGATACGACTCGCGTCTATGATCTAGCGACTTATAGAGACGCCCTCATTTCGAGACAGCAAGCCCGTGAAGATGTCCATGAAGTGTTGTTCTTTCGCTTCCAGGAGCGAGAAGGTTGGACAGATTGGGGAGCGCAAAGCCAGTGGGCGTTCGCCATGGGTGTAAACAAGTATTCCTTGTGGCGCTTGGAAAAGGATGAAGTGCCAGACAGCCCAGAGGCCATCGTCGAAGAGGCAAAAGTGGACAAGGGCCATTGGCACATTATCCCAGACACTGGCGAAAGGCATCTGGTGTGGAGATCTGACCTTCACAGTTTAGTGCAAGAGCTCATGACGATGCCAATAAGTCGTCATGGCTTCCTCTTTGACCAGAGAAGAGACATGCTCATGTCGATTCTTAAGCCAAGCATCGAATTGTTCTACGAAAAATTGCTTCCATCCTTGGAAAGCCAAAACAGCCCCGAGAGACTGTCCCCATCCGTAACCCATGGATCAGGCGAAAATGCTATCGGAGCCCGGATCGAAGAACAAGTTCCTCTAGCAACGGAAGCTAGACAGGCAGCAACAGTCCTGAGGTTAGTGAAGCGATATGAAGTGTTCGGTCGGCGGAAGACCGAAGCACATGCTGTCTTGGATGCCGAACTAAGTAAGAGAGGGATGGGGGCGAGCGAGCACATCCGTGCTGTTGTAGCCATTTTGATGGCTACAACCGAAGCTTTTCGAGCAGAAGTGGCAAGAGGAATTCGCGACACGGCGGAAGTCTCCAATACCTGTCTGAAACTTCGACCCGTGGAGAAACAGGCTATCCTCATACGAGCTCCGGCTCCCGCCCCTGGGGTACAACAACCGGATCAACACAATAACGGTGATCGAGCAAATGTGTTGGACCACGACCGTGATAGCAATGTCCGTGCCACCGTCGCAACTGAAACCGATGCTACGGAAGCCACTCCTGCATCACAGGGTCTGCCGAACGAGGTCCTCCCCAGAGACGGACCATCCCAGGAGAAGCCAGTGGGAAGCCCGCAGGTTGAAGTTGGGAAACCCTCCATCACGAGGCACGCAACAAACAATCATGAGCAGGAGGATACCGTGCACACCGATAGTCCCGCTTCAGGTGATCTAGTGCAGACTTTCAGCCTTGACTCAGCAGCTCTTGTTCCCCATGGCGGGACCCGGAGAACTGCCCAGGAGACGTACAGGTTTGACGACTACTGGCCTGGTATTTATGCAGCCGCGCTCCAGGCCTGCAACCGCTTCGCTTACTTCAACGCACAACTGACCTCATCACATCTCATCTCTCTCATTCAGCAGCTGGGCGATGTAGCGCACGTTTCTGCCAGACCGGAACTTCCCAGTAGAGACGAGGCCAGAGCCGAGGGAGCAGTGGTGCCTTTACCGCCAGTGCCCCTGCCGACGACCGTGTACAATGACACCGAGCTCAGCGGGACTCAGGACAGTCTTATATTGTCGTCCACGGGAGGGGAAGAGAGATCCGTGGTCATGCACCAGGGTATCGCTTTTGGACTCTCTGGTCGCAATACTGCTAGCTGTCTTGGAGATTCGATAGCGGGCGGTCCGGCACGTAGCCATCGATCGACGCGATCGGCTCCCCCCGCCATACATCAGTGAATTTGATTTCCAGATCAACATTCAGCGGACTCTTCTTGAAGATCAACACACGAGCCGCAGCTAGTTGCGCCCAAACGAAGCCAGAGCCGTCACGACGGAGCGGACCCTGACAAAGAAGAGCACTTGACTAGGATAAGAAGTTCAATTGAAATCCGAGGGCGTAATTTGAGCGTCTTCGTCCCGGAACATGACACTCGTGAGCTCCTCTAGACGAATGGCAGGCCAGAGCGACGGTACTTGAATTGACCAACGATCACAATTCGAGGGAGCACAGCATCCCAGCCCACAGATCACTTTCCTCCGGGGTCTCTGAGAGTCGCGACCGACGCCAATTGAACTCCAGGTCTCAGCGCCGAGGGCCCGCGCGGACAGATGTGGAGGACTTTATTGTTACAGTCACGGTCTTTATTAGGCGGGGCCGCAAATGTGGGGGAAATCACTGACAAGTCCGCCGACCATCTGAGCGTCCAAGTCCGCCAAGCCACGTGCAATAACGACGGCAGGGGCATTAAGCTTACAAATTAGAGTCGAATCGAGAATCAAATAGAATCAGTATACTGAGAATCAGAATGTCATGGTGCTTCATAGCCGACTATAAGAGGAGCATAGACCCAACGACCATGTGAACTTGAACCTTGCATTCTACATCCATCCTCAGAAAGCTACCCTAGAGCATCATCACCGCGATCACCACCATCAGCCACAATGACTCTCACCGTCAGCGTCATCCCTGCATCTTCCAATGCCGGCCAGGCGACAATCCGTCATCTTCTCAAAGACGAAATTGCCGTCCGTGGGTTCTACCGCAACACCAGCAAGGCACCTCACGAATTCCACGAGTCGCCTTTGTTCACTGCCACTCAGGGCGATGTGCAAGATGCTGCTTCGTTGAAGTTTGAGGGCTCGGATGTTGTATTCTACGTCCCGCCTCCCATCTACGATGGCACCGATCTCGGCGAGTTCGCAACCAATGCAGCGAACAACATCAAGGGTGCCCTGCAGAAGGCAAATGTGAGGAGGCTCGTGCTCTTGTCAGCGCCAGGAGCGCAGCACTCGTCAGGAATTGTGAGTTCACAACTACATATGGCCAGTTGTCCTAGCGATAATATTGACTAGCCTCAGGGAATCCTCAAGATCAACCACATTTCGGATGAGATACTCAAACAGAGCGTGCCAGAAGTCTTTATCATGCGACCATTCTACTTCTACGAGGACTGGGCAAGCCAGATTCCCACCTTGAAGGAGGATCCCTCAACTATCACGTCAGTCTACTCGCCTCTGGACTTCAAAGTCCCCATGGTCAGCATCAAAGACGTCGGTCTGTACGCTGCGCGCTCTGTCACGGGTCCGCCACCAGCCACCAGTCCCCATATCTTCAAGCTCTACGGCCCCAAGGCATACTCAGCACTCGATGTGCGGGACGCGATTGCTCGTGCTATCAATCGTGATGTGGGCATCAAGGAGATTACACCTGATAAGCTGCGCGAACACACGGCTGCGTTGGTGCCAGAGTCGATCGTGGATGATATCGTTGGTATCACGACGGCGACTTTGCCAGGTGGAACGCTGCAGGACGAGTTTGAGCCTAGGCAGGGGGTCGATGAGATTGGCGAGATCACTCTGGAGGATGCATTTCTGGAGGTCTTTGGGGAACTGAAAGGGTAGATTCAACTGTGCTGATAGTGTACCTGTCATCTTGGCCAAGTTCTCTTACGTGGTGAAGTTACACCACAGGAGAACCAAGGGGTGGGCAGAAAGACAGCAGTGCAAGGTCATTAGTACACAATTTGGTCCGAATCACAGTTATTTTTCATCTTCCCCATCCAGCAATGTTGTCACTCAGAATATGCGTGATACCCACTCTATTGTTCTCCTCGTTGTTGATGCCGTGACGCGTGACATCATCCATCCGCTTATCCGGCTCATCACCATGATGCGATCCAGATCATGGTCTTGTGAATGCAGATATTCCCCAATCCAACACTGACAAGAGGGTCATTTCAAATCCATCATTTCCCATACCTTTTCTCGCCCGTCAACTCTGTGCCGCAGCCATGTCCGACGTCCACGTCCCCCTCTGCTTCGCGTCCTGCTCCATCGGCACACCAAAGCACACGCTCCACCAAAAGATCGAAGCCATCGCCCACGCAGGCTTCCAGGCCATAGAGTTGTCTATGCCGGACCTCCTCTCTTACGCAACTCTCCATTTTGGTCGTGACGTGCAAGAGGATGACTACGATGCCCTCTGCGAAGCAGGCGAGCACCTCCGTGCTTTGGTGGAGGGCCACAACCTGACCATCCTGGTGCTGCAACCATTTGCCAACTTTGAAGGCTGGCCCAAGGAGAGCCGAGAGCGGTACGAAGCGTTCAAAAAGGCGCGAGGATGGATACGCATCATGTCCGCCGTGGGCACAGACATGCTGCAAGTGGGATCCTCCGACTCGCCAGGGATATCCTCTTCCTTTGAGGATCTCGCTGCCGATCTGCGCGACCTGGCCGATCTCATGGCCCCCAAAGGATACCGCATCGCGTACGAGAACTGGTGCTGGGCGACCCACGCACCGACCTGGAAAGACGTCTGGGACATTGTCAAGCTGGTGGACCGCGACAACATTGGGTTATGCCTCGACACGTTCCAGACAGCCGGTGGCGAGTGGGGAGATCCGACGACGGAGACGGGCCGGCTCCCCGATATTTCTGAGGAGGCGCTAAATGAGCGATACCAGAAAAGCCTGGACAAGCTTACGCAAACGGTGCCTAAAGAAAAGATCTTCTTCCTGCAAATCAGCGACGCCAAGAAGATGAGCCCGGCGCTGAAGGCGGAGAATGACAAGAACGGACTGAGGCCCCGAGGGCAGTGGAGTCACGACTACCGGCCGTTGCCGCATGATGGCGGCTATCTGCCCATCGCGCCGTTCGTCAAGGCCGTGTTGGACACGGGGTTTGAAGGGTGGTTCAGCATGGAGGTCTTTGATGGCAGCTTTAGTGAGCGCTACGGCAACGATCTTGCGGGGTATGCGAAGAAGGCGGCGGATGCTAATGCCAGGTTGATTAATGAGGCTGTTGGGAAGGGCAAGGGGAAGGCTGCTGTGTGATTTGCGGTGGGGATACGCTGGTGGAGTTTCAGCGCTTCATGTAGGCAGTATGTGTTCAATACACTTTAATACTCATCTCACTGCCTCAGACTACTCTGCCACGCCTTCTGTTCTGCATGTGCCTGTCTGAGCCATTCAGTCTTGGACATTATTAACAAAGCCGGACCCGGACCCGGAGCTGAAGGCCGATGTGGGTCCCGGAGCCCGGGTCTCGTTTCATCTCATTCTCCGTTCGCCTGCCATTCATTGGCTGCGTCGATTCCGTGAGCAACCACCCAAAATGCCGGGGCATTCTCGCAAAAGGCAGGTAATAACAGTGTCCGCATCGCGGGCTCCTTGGACTTGAAGAGGAATTGTATTCTCGGAGACGAGGCGCCGTCGACCATGACGTGTTCCGCTAGCTAACATCCAGTCCAGTTTCCTCTCCACAGCCCCGCGTCAAGCGAGTTCTGCAGTGAGAAAATGAGCAGCAGGAAGCCACCAAGTCCAGAAAACATTCGACCGCAGTCAAATGATGCGCCGACGCCGAACCCAAGAGTCATGCCCTCAAAGACAAGCCAAGTGAAGCCCAGAGTAGCCGGGGTACAAAGCCTGCGAGTCGGGTCAGTAAGTCAAAATCGCACAACGACGCGTCGTCGTCGTCGGTGCCACATTCGAATCTATCGGGCCATCTGCACGTTAGAATTCTGATCTTGTTTCCATTGGCTCGGTAGCGGGGCCAGAGCCGAGAAAGCAAAGCCAAAGCCGAGCCACCGGGTATCGAGACTGTCGAGCAGCCGGTACAAATACACGCACCCTCCCCCCAACTCCTTGATCAACCGTGCACCAAAAAGATCCCCTCGAAGGCTGATTCCGTAATAGTATGCTGTCTCTATCATGCAAGTGCGTGCGTCCCTCACCATAAATCCAGTATGTAAACAGTCGTAGCGAATCGTGTCATGTCTTCTTCTCCGTACCGTCGGTGTCACAGATCATCGACGAACAATGAACCAAGACGGCACCACCTAGTCTGCGCAAGGTCCGAATTGCTTCTCGTGAACGTGTCGTAGGTAGTTGCGTTGCGACTCGAACGACGAGTAGTCGCCGGCCATGATCGTATCGAGAATGCCACCTTTGGTGTTCTTCGAGGCAACCTCCTTCATGCGATCGCGCAGCGTGAGGAAGGCGTCCTCAAAACGACTCATAATCGCAGGGACGTTGCTAGAGCCACCCGAGATATCATTTGAGTCGTTGTTGGGATCAATAATGGACAAGCGTTCTCTGTTCTTGTAAGTGAAGCCACGCACATCAGACTGGACGATGCCCGTTGTTAGTAACTGTCGATATCCCTAGTGCAAGGACACACGCACCTTGGGCATGTAGCCAATCCGCCCCGTGAGAGAAATCGCATTGTGCTCATAGTTGAACTGGCGGCCGTACAGGTCCAAGAATTCAAGGAGCATCTCGCCCAGGTGGTGTTCTGGAACCAGATTCCTGCTCTGCACCTGTGGCATCAGCTGCAGCATGCTGACCACGAGACAAATGACCGAGAAACCACCAATGCCTCCATTGACGGGCTCGTTCAGTCCCCTCATGAGCAGGAAGTGTTTGATGACCGTAACCAGGATCGGCATGGCGGGATAGCTAGCCTTCCACCGCAAGAAGGTATCGATCGCCTCCACGCCACCCAGGTTCTCAAACGAGACGTCGACCTTAAGCGCAGTGGCCTTGTCGACAAACTTGACGAGCGGTATCCGAGCGTGGGCGATGACCTCGATCGAGTCTGGATCGGCCACTTTCTGCGAGACCAGGAGCTTCTGAAACTTATAAAGCCAGCTTCGCGCGCTAAGATACCGTGGCGGCCCGCCACGCTGAAAGCTTGAGGAACAGACGACCAGATCCATATCGGCCGTCGGCAGGTACAAACCCGACATGAACGAGCCAAATGCATGGATCTTGGCGTCGGAGAAGTTCCTGCCGTCCCGAACCATGCACTTTTGCAGGTTCTTGACGAGCTCGTCCCGGATGCGCTGCTCAAACTGGCGCGGCCTGACAAAGTTGTAAAAGTCCATGACCTCTTTATGCAACCTATCCAAGGTCAGTTATTTGCGACGCGCAACTATGTATCGCGAGACTCACCTGAAGGCAACGTTGGACGTTGCGGAGTGGTCGACTGTGGCCCAGGGAGCCGAGGGTTCCCCTGGCTTCACCTCCCACATTGGTAGGACAGCTCCATTCACCTTCTTCATGTTGGGCTTCTTGAGTTGGCCGTAATCAGGCACCTTGATCACGTCGTTTGCCGTTCTCTTCCGCGACCCCAGTGGCCCCGATGAATCGCGCTGATCAGGCAGCGCTGGCGGAGGAGGCGCCGCGGGCAGAGGTGGTGGTGGTTCCCTCGGGGGCGCAGGTTGCGGCGGTTTCGGAGGCAAAGACGATTGAGGGCCTTTGGGAGCGTTGGGTGGTGCTTTTTGTTCTTCTTCTTCCTCGTCTTCTTCGTCTTCCTCCCGTTCGCCTTCTTCTTCTTCGTCAGTCGTCTCAAAGGCGATGAAATCCTCAGCCTCCTTGGGTGCAGTGTCCACAGCCTTCTCCTCAATTCGAGCCTTGCGGATCAAAGCCACGACGTCGCGTTTCTTCTGCAGCGTATCGTCGGGACAAGGCAGCGCCGTGTACGGGTCGGGATTCGACCACTTGGGCGCTGCGTTACCGTTGGTTTCGACAGCCTCCGTCCTCACCCTCTTCTTGGCGGGTCCGTCCGACTCGTTCTCGTCTTCTGATTGATCCGAAATGTCCATAGCTTCTTCGTCATCATCCGACATGGCATCCACGTCACGGAACTTGGCGGCCGCCTCGGGGTTGTGCAAGGGCTCTGAGGGGAGGTTGTTCATCGAGCTGGACAGCAGCGCGCGCTCCGACGGGTGCACGGGCTGCCATCGGCCGCCCCGTCCTCTGCCTCGTCCACCCCGTCCTCGATCTTTTCTCCCGCCGCGACCGGAGCGATCGTGTGTCGGGCCTGTGGGTGGGAAGCTGGGGCCGTTGTTGCCCGAGCGGAAAGTGAAGTCGCCCTGAGGCGGGCGAAACGAGTCGCCGGGGCCCGCCCGATTCGAATAGCCGTTTTGTCGGGGTGAGCGATCACGGCCAGGCCTATACGACTCGCCGCCGCCATTGGGGCGGTACCCTCTGTCGTCGCGTCTTGGGGGACTTCGAGGTCTGCGCGGGGGCGATTGTCGCCGTGGGCGGTCGTCACCGCGTCTATCTCGCCTGCCACGACCCATGTTGATGTTTGTGTCTCGATTCTTCTAATCGCTCGCGCGCTCGTCTATTATGCGATGGTGTCTGGCAAGGAGTGAGGGTGATGGACATTGTGCGTGTTGCCGTTTGACGAAAACTTTCGACTTCGAAATGCGCCGCGCTAGCCGTTTGCGGTAAGCCTTATCGGTCGCGATGCTGAATAAGCGCTCTTATCGGGATCTGGACTTTCGCGTTGGAGATTCTTGGCGACAGAGTTCGTTCATTTGCTATCAACTATTTACACTGCACAAGTCCGTTCATCGCCTCGAGAGTCGAGCGCCACAACCTCAATCTCGACCCTCATTCCAGGAGCACCCAGTTGCCTGACACCAACCTGCGTCCAGATAGGCTTGTGATCGGGCATCCACTTCTTGAAGCCGGCCGTCATGGCAGCCGTGACTTCAGGTGTCAGCTCAAGGTGATAAGAGTTGACACGGTACACCTGTGTCCAGCCCCTGCCGCCAGCATGGCGGATTGTGCGGTCGACGTTGGCAAAGGCTTGTTCAATCTCCTCGGTAATGTTCTCGGAGAACTTGGGTACCTGACTGTCGGGGTCCCAGCCGCCTGCGCTGTGTTAGTGCATGTACTAGCTTTCAAGGCTGAATCCTCTCATCATACCTTGGCCCGAACACTCGATGCGATCGCCCACCCGGATGGCTTGCATGTAGCCCAGGTTGTCGCGAGCCCATTCCCCGAGACCAGGGTAGGCAAAGGACTTGAGCGAGGCGGCAGACATGCTGAGGCTTCTTTTGCTTGGGTACGTATGTGCTGTTGCGTGCGGCGGTTGTCGTTTGTGATGATCCAGATGTGAAGACTCTGAGATGGACGAGCTGTCGTCTTATATGTCCCATTCGGGGCCACATTCGCCAGGCTGGCCTTGTCACCTCCCTCGCGGAAGATGCTGTGAGGTCAACATAAAGGTCGCTGCTGAATAAGTCGGCGCATCTTTACTCGAAAACCGGGGGTGATTAGTGAACAAGGTGCCACGAACAGCCTCACTTTGCCAAGACCAGCGGCGCAATTCTGGCCCGGCGGGAAGATGGTGCATATTGGATCTGTGTCAGGCTCCGGATCAGCCAATCAACTTGTACAGAGTCCGAGAATTGATGTCGACGGTCGGCCTGCCTGCATGATGTCGGCTCCTGGAGCCAAGTGCATCGACCCTGGCACGATGAGATGGAAAGCCAGAATGTTGGTTGTTGCCCTTATCGTGCATGAGGGCAGATTGCTTGCATTCCATACGGATTATCCAGACGCTTCCGAATCTCAGGTACAGAAAGCCAAGAAGCTGGCACTACGTAAACCTTTTACCGTCGTCGGTTACTCTACTACGTACATCCCCAAGGTCAGCCATCGAATCAGTCAGAAAGGCGAGATGGCAAGCATTGGCTTCATTGACACGCTGGCAAGCAACATCCCCAGGGTCAGCATCTCCCCAGTCTCGTCCTCCAGGGGGGAGACTCATCATGTATCCGAGCACCGAATGACGAACAATTGATGAGCTAGACAGTTTCCTATACGTATATCCGTCGCATTTCCTATGCCCTTGTACCCCGCAGCCGTTACTATGGGGTAATAAAAGCCACCACCCGCAAGCCGGTGTTGCGGAGGAAACAGACCGGGAACCTGTCTCAAGGGCCAAGACTCCCAGGCCTCGGTACAACGCAACTCGATGAGCTCAGCGAGTTGAGGGCACCAACTAACACATTTAAAAACCTCCGTCACACCTGTTTTCCCTCTCTTGCGAAGCATTTGATCCCATCACCCCGAGAACGCACAACAATGGTGGTCTGCACACTCCACATCATCGCTCTAAAACCAGGCGTTTCGGTCGCCAGCTTCCTCTCCAAGCTGCGCGAGGGAAATGCCAAGCCCGTCTTCCAGGCCAAGGCTCTGCGATGGATGATTCTGCCCTCGAACCAGTCCGCCGGCCACCTGCTGGGCCGCAACAAGCATTGGGACCTGCTCATTGGTCTCCAGGCCGGCACTCCCCTCCCGCCCCGTGCGGTCGCCGACATGGACGACGTATGGACCGCAAGCTGCGGCGTCTCATCCCAGGCGCTGTCGGGCTATGCCCAGCTCAACGCGAAACTCTTCGACGCCGCCACTCCACCTATGCCCTTTCCCCCCGGCCATGACGCGGCGTCGTCGCAGAACCTCGAGCTATCCTCGGAGCTACGCGAGTGGTGCGCCGCTTTGCCCGCTGAGCTTCAGGACCGGCCCGTCTCTATGCTCAACCTCCTGGCCTTTGCCCCCGGCAAGAAGGACCAGTACAAGAAGTACGGCGTCGAGTTCTCGTCTCGCGTGGGAGCCAACTACGGCGGTCGTCCCAAGCTGGTCGGTCGCGTGATTGAAGGGGCCGAGGGCCGTGCGCATGAGGATGGGTGGGATGAGGTCGCGTTTGTGCACTATCCCAGCCTCAACCACTTTGCGTCCATGCTGGCCAGTACACCGTACCAGGAGGTCAACCAGCAGTACAGACTAGGGGCGCTGAAGGACACGTTTATTCTCTGCGTCGTCGAGATTGATGACCGAGGGGAGCTTGTCGCCAAGCAGCTCAAGCACAAATTGTAAAGCTAGGGACAGGCACAGCTGCGTGATTCGAGTCTTGTTTCTATCTTCAGGTTATTGCTGCGGCCTACCATACAGCCAAAGGGTTCCTCCAGGGGTGGATTGACATCTAGTCGCTATCTCACAAGTCGACATCTACGAATCTCAGTTCCGAAGTCCAGCAAACTGGCACTAATAAACCTTCAACTATCAGTCATTTTTTCCCCTGCCTCGGCTATGAAGATTGTGTGAAAAGAGAACATCTGTTGTCTAACCGTGAAGACGCCCATAGCAAAGAATGCGAGGTGCAAGTTGGCAGCCCAAAAGCCTTCCTTTGATCTCAAACATTGACATGACAGAGCTCTGTGAAATCTCTATACACCGGAACTTCACTTTTGCCCTGGTCTGCCTACTTGCATCTCAGGTCCTCTCGGACGTCTTCCCGCGGGCAAAGGGCTCGCCAGCGCTGTCTCGCGAGTGCAGTTCCATGCATTCCCTGCCCGAACCATGAAGATTGCCGGGGTACCAGATCAGAAAAGCCAACATGACCACCGCCATGGGGCCAAAGTCAAAAACATAGAGTGGCCACTCATTCGAAAGTAGATACGCATCCTCGCCCATCACGTACTCGATCGTTCGAAAGATGTTCCTCGCCATGATCGTCACCGACGTGCCGTACAGCATGGTCAGGGACTGCCGCCACGGAACCAGCGTCGTTTCCCCCGTGTTAGCCAGGTAATGTCGAAAGCGCCTGTGGAAGATTGCGCAGATGTATATAAAGCCAGTGAAGACGACGACGTGGAGGATCAGGCCCGAGATGAGGATCCAGCGTCCCGCCGTCGCAACGGCTGGCGTTTGGTTCGCTGTCAGGCCCGCTCCGTTGCCTTGGATGTTGATGCAAAGAATATCGGCCGCGAGAAAGAGGCGTGTTGACCAGCGTGGAGGAATGATGGAGCAGTCTTCTCGACCCAGCGCGCGGACGATGCGTGTGTACACCATGTACATGGACGCCGCGAAGAATGCTGGAGGCAGAACGAGAAAGGTACTCTGCAGGATGTAGAAGATGAGGTTGGAAGTGTTATAGTATGCGATTCCGCGCATCAAAAAGCCGAGGATCATGACTACATGTACAGGAGAATGTTAGTCTGGTGGTCGCTGCCTGCCACGCCTCGGAGATCAAACTGTCGTCGGACTTACTGATACCTCCGAAGATAAAAGGGGAGCAAAACCAGAGTCTAGCCTTGATCATGCGCCATATATGCGCCGTAGTAATGAAGAGGAATAAGACTCCAAAGACGATGCACACAGGAAGATTTGGCAGGTACTTCCAGAGATAGTAGTCTCCCTTGTAGGGCTCGAGGTGCGGCATGTTGACTAGTCGAGGGTGGAGCGAAGCACTCACGACTGATGAGACACACACAGACAAAGAAGAATTTTGGCAACGAGTGGAAGAAGAGTCGTGTTCAACGTGTATAGGCGGGATTTGAGTTTGCCAGATATGTCGAGAACCTCATGTGGTGGCGCTTCAGGACTAGAAGTATCTGATGCACTGTCCTCGCCCTCACGGCCTCCACCTGACTGTCTTTTCAATCTTCCAATCGCATTGCATCCAGTAAAGCGATGCAGATCACGACAGGGCTGTCAATCCATGGATCTTAATCTCACACGCGTGTTACGACGATACCCTGGCGCAGCAAATACACTCTGGGCCCCTGGACCTAGGGGGCCTTAGCCATCCCCTCTAGCCCATGCACAGTCCCGAATATCCACCGCATCTTTGGGGCCGTCTTGCCAGACGAAGCCCAATAATCAGCATGCCCAAGACCCGTTGCTGTTGCCTGAGCATACATCAAATGTCTGGTCAATATGGGCCCGGAAAGGAGCGTGAGAGGCGGAGCGAGTGGATTCTCAATCCCGATACACCCCTGAACACGCGTGTTAGATAAGCATCTCCAGCCCGCTTCTTGGCTGCGTCGCATTCCTCGTTTCTACAACATACGCGACCAAAGCGAGCACTCCAGCCGCTGTGCCTTTCTATCGGCCCCAACAGCCAACGACCGCAAGAAAATTGACAGGATCCGGCTGAAGGTCTCAGAATCTGGATGGCACAGGCGCTTGTTACTGCGCGTCAAGAACCTGAAGTTGAGGTGATATACGCTGCCCTGCCCCTGGTAGTACAGCATTGGCTCACCCTGGGTTCCAAGTCCAAGTGCGTCGTATGTCATTGAATCTTCCGGCGGATGAGGGCCTGTTTCGTGTCGATTCCGGACCGTCGTAAGATATGCTCCGTCGAAGTCACAAAAAGTCCAAAGATGGCTGTGCTGAATGGTGAGTTGCTCAGCCCTCTTAATAAACTCACCTGGCATGTGGCCCGTGATGTCAACGCTGGACATGGCTGACAACGCGAGGCAGCAAGCGACGCCACGTCAAGGTACAGCAGCCACTGAATGCCAAATCCGGCGGAGACGAGTCTCGCCCTCGGCAATCTGTAGAAGACCTCCAAGACCACTTCTGACGTGCACACCCAGTGCGATGAGGCTCGACCCTCGTGCCGACTCTGCGTCCTCTCGGATCGTGTCTGCGCCTACACCTCCCAAGGCTCAGCCCTACAGGTGAATCCCCCCTCTGGGACACCCTCACAGGAAGGTTCCTGTAGTCCAGCACCCCATTCAGAGCCCAATGGAAGGCCCATACCCGTCGCTGTTCGGCCCAACCTGGAGGGCCTCGCTGGTAACTCTGACAATGGTCACACGGACACTGATGAGGTCAACCTCGACCACATGGAGCTTCTCATCCACTTAACTGTCGATGAGAACGTCTTCAGCCTCGCTGACCGCGTCGAAGACTACAAGTTGGCCATGTCCGTCGGTCTCCCCCTCGCCCACGCCACGCCCTACCTCCTCTACCAGATGCTCGCCTTCTCCGCGCGCCACCTCGCCCACCTCCATCCGGATCGCTTCCCCAAGTACCACAACCTCGCTGTCAACCTGCAGACCCGCGCCGTCTCGCTCTTCAACGCTTCAGGCACCGCGCTCACCCAGAAAAACTGCGTGCCCATGCTTCTCTTTGCTACCATCCTCGGCCACCACCTTTTTGCGGACATGCTCTCGCAGAGGGAAGACGGCGGCTTCCATGCCTTTATCACCCGCTTCACGCACTGCTTGGAGCTACACAGGGGCATCCACACCATCTTCACGGCCGCCAAGCCTGTCTTGATGAAGTCGCCTCTGGAGCCGGCTCTGAAGGGGAGCATGGATCTCACGTCACGAGACCCGACAGGAGACGACTGCGACGAACTGATGAGACTGATCTCCAGCTCGTCCCAGCTCACAGCGTCCCAGAAAGAATCATGCCTCGCCGCCACGCGCTTCTTGCAGGTCGGCTTTGACTCCTCCGCCGATGGTGACGAGGCCCCCCAACGCCATCAAATGTGCTTCACGTGGATGCTTCTGGTGCCGCCCGAGGTGACAACCTTGATGGCAACGTGCCAGCCAGAGGCTTTAGCGATCTTGTTTCATTACGCATTGCTCTTGCACTCCAGTAGTAGTATCTGGCAGATTGGCGCATCGGGCGGGTATATCATGGGCAAGGTCGGTACGTTCCTTGGCCCGAGCTGGGATCACTGGCTCAGTGCTGCTCGACGGAAAACGGCACAATCTCCATTAGCCGCGGCACCACCGAGTGTTGTCTGAAAGAATCTACTGGATGGCGTACAATTGGGGAACGTGCATAGAGGCCAGGGGCCAAGACACCAACTGCATGAGCTCGTAGCCGCCAGGCAATCCTACTGGGGTAGATGCAAACGCGACCGCGTGAGATTGAGCAAGTTTACGCGCGCGCAGCAGGCCACGACAAAACTAGATCACTGACATTTCCTCCCATGAGACCATGACTTTAACTTTGTCTCTTCTGGCACGTAATAGTCTCGCACTGAACACCTCATGTCGTTCAGAGGACTGGCGTTTCTCGTTGCAGAGTCATGTCTTTCCTTGGCGGCTCTTGTCGTGTTCACGGCAGTGTTTGTCGGCGACTACCGAATGAAAGCTTGGCTGAATGGCGGTGGTGAAGGCTGGAATTCGGATCCAGCACAGAGGGTGTACTTTTACGCCAACTTCAAGGAGCCCCCCGAGATTCCGACCATATGGACACAAGCGTGAGTTTGTCCCGTGTCTGTCACTGCAATGTCTAACAATCGAGGGCAGTCTTTCCAAGGCAACGCTGGGCATGGCCATCTTGACAGTGGTCTGGCTCTTTGTGCATGGCATTGCATCCCGGCACCACTATATCTCTCTTGGCGCGACACTGGCCTGCGAGACCTTTATCGCCCTTCTTTGGATCTACATCACCTTGGAGCAGTGCTCGAGTGACTTGACGGACGAGGAGCACTTGAGTCAGTACCCGTGGTTTCTGACGAGAGCTTGCTCGCGGGCGTGGGACGACGCAAAGGCAGCCTGCCACACGCTGCGTGCGGGCTTCTACTTGTCATTGGTGATCGTCTGCATGTTCTGTGGGCGCATCATCCTTTCGATACATACACTGTCTTGTGGCCGTCCGAGGGAGCTTGGATATACAAAGGCTGGTACCGGCAGCAGCTACCATCTTGGGGCCACGGAAGACGATGACGAAGCGTTCGAGCTGCGCTCGTCCGAGGACGATCGGCAACAGGCGTTGCGGGACGCAATAAGCCCGGTCTTAGCATTCTTCCCGGCAAGCCATTCACGGTCCCTTGATGAACACTTCTGAATGCGCACGTCCATGTGTGGGAAGCGTGGTGGGCAGGGGTGAACTGGCGCAATCATGCTCAAAGCAAGTTGGCTGCGCGCGTGAAGCTTCTCAATTGTTCTCAGGTACATAGTCAAGATACCCAATCCAGATCTTCCCAGTACTCGTGCATTGGAACCATGCAGGCATGAACAACCACCTGATCGCCTCAATCAAGAACGCCCATGGCAACCAGTCCCAACCCACACACCATGGGCGCGTACCCCCAGTGATCCCATTCACCAAATCCATTCATCTTACACACCATACCGTCGGCCACGGCCACCGCGCTGATGGCGACGAGTATACCGCCTGCTGCCTTGCGCGCCCCAAAGTAGAGCGCCACCCAGATGGCGACACCCATGAAGATGTCTCTCACCCCGTAGACGATCATGAGATATGTGACGAGTTGCTCATCGCCCGGCGTGCGGAGATTCTGAAAATAGAAGAAGCCCAGTGCATGTTCGGGTCGGAGGAGGCAGTTCACGCCAAAGGCGGTGGGGACGATGCCAGAGACGTTGGCGAGGACGCTGACGATGCGGGACTGGGAGATGGGCATGACGGCTATTGGTGTTGTTGGAAATGCTGATGCGTTGGTTCCTGTAGTGTGATGAATCGATTGCTGATCCAATCACGAAGTCAAAGGGGCTTGTTGAAGACGAGGTCTGTTTTATTATAATGTGAAAATTGATCGGATTTCCGGCTCACGGCCCATGTACGACAGGCCACGGATAACTTGCATTTTCCGGGCCCGGCGACTAAAGTGAGCTTGGATGGAGATCTCACGTCAGCATCGCGCGGAGCAGTCGGTTACCGCGGCAGCATAGAGAATCTGCTTTCTGCCTGCTACTAGTTGCATATGTGGCTGTGAGCAATGTATACATGTGTATCTATATCAGCGCTGCCGCCACCGGCCAGTGTCCCAACCCCCAAGGGACACAATCACGGTCGCCAGCGGAATGCTGGGTGCTTCCAGTCAAGATCCTCAATCTCGGCTTGCGTCAGCCCGCTCAGCTCCTCATCGATATCCCGCTCCTCCCTCTTCTTATTGTCCCTCTTCATCCACAACAGCGTGAGCGTGCTCAGGACCAGGATGGTGCTGGCTGTGGCGAGGTTGAGACCGTTGCCGATGGGGAAGTTGGGCGCGTCCCAGGGCAGGAAGCTCCAGGAGCTGATCAGACCACCGACGTTGCCAAACATGACGTTCATGCCGATACCGGCGCTACGCGCGGTGTCGCTGACCACGTTGGCCGAGACTTGTGCATTGCTCAGGGGCCCGAGGATGAACGCAGAGGACGCGATGAGGAAGGTCGCGGCGTAGCGGGCGGTGCCGTTCTCTGTCCCCAAGAAGATGCAGTAGCCGACCATGACCAACGGGGCGGCCAGGATGAAGAAGATCTGGCGACGGTCGATACGCCATGAGACGAGTGGCAGCATCAGGACGAAGAAGGCTCCAACCACGTAGGGCGGGACTGTGTATAGCTGCTTTTGCACGGTGGTCGCCTCGGTGTAGATGCTGCTGACAATGGTTGGCGCGAAAAAGGCAAGCCCTTGCACGGTAATGTTGTTCAGAAGGAAGATCACGGCCGTGCTGAGGGTAATAGGGCACAGCATGCCCCGAAGTAACTTGGGCTTGTCGATCTTGTCGAGGACGACTGTCGAACCGACCCTTTCGGACTTGACACGATCAATGGCGAGCCTCTTTTCCTCGGGAGATAGCCACCGCGCGGTCTCGGGACGGTCGGTCAGGGTGATGAACCCAATCAGGGCGATGCCAATGGTGATAATGCCCTCGATAGCAAAGATCATGCGCCAGGAGGTGACGGAGCCAAAATGGTCCAGGGTCAAAATAGCCGATGCCAAAAGGCCGCCAAAAGCGCCAGCCAGGGGCGCCATGACCATGTAGAGGCCGAGTCGGAAGGCCAGCTCGTTGTGTCGGTACCAGCGGGAGAGGTAGTACGCGATGCCGGGGAGCATGCCGGCCTCGAAAATGCCCAGTACGAAGCGAACACCCGAAAGTTGTGGGACGGTGGTGACAAAGGCGGTGCCGAGCGAGACGATGCCAAAGATCAGGGTGGTCAGTGGCAGAAACCAGCCGGGTCCTATCCATTTGCAGAGCAGGTTCGAGGGGATCTCGAAGACGATGTAGGAGATGTAGAAGATGGACACGATGCTGTTGTAGTCGTAGCCGACCATGCCCAGGTCCTTCTCAAGGCCAGCGATTTTGGCATTCCCTGGGGAGTATCAGTGAGGGAGGTTCTCGATATAAAGTTGCACGAGTGTCATACCAATGTTGGCGCGGTCAATGAAGCAGAACAAGTACAGCAGGGCGACGGTGGGTACAATCATCAAGTCGATCTTGAGACGAAGTTTCCTCTCGGCGCTGGGGTCATATTGCACCAAAGCATGGCCATATCTGCTGTCGTATGAATATTCTGCGCTCTGCGGATTACGTTTATGAGGTCCCGACTTACTTGTCGGTAGCCGCCTGGCCCGTCTCGGCGGCATCGTGAGGCGACGACTTCGCGTGGTGAGAAGCCACGTTTGTAATCTCAGCGCCCATTGCGAATCACTTCAAGGAGATATCCGGTGTCAGGAGCAGAACTGGGCAGGACGAGCGGTGGAGGAAAGGGGGATGAGGGAGTGGGAGATGCGCGCCTGGGGGGGGTTCGACAGTTCGACTGGGATGTCCGTCTCCTTAAATATGCTCATCCAGCGTCGACAAGTGCCAATGTGAGAGATGACGACGAAATTGGTCAGCTCGGCTGTAATGCTGAAGACGTCGGCTAAAGTCTCGGAATGCACCTCGAAGCAGACGGACATGAATATCCCCCAGGGGTGAAAAAAAAGCTGCCATCCGGCCCATCCCACGCAACAAGCTCAATGGCCAGACTGCGGGGACGTTCGGGGGCAAGAAAGGTTGTCTTGCAGCTTATCTCGCGTCTGTCCAATCAGCTGGGGGCTAGAAAGGAAAGAACCCCTCATGGCCGGGTTCGCGTGGTAGAGCCTGGACGCTACGCTAGCTGTGCCCTTCTCGTTGGAGGGACTCGAGGGCGGCGTTGGAGGTTTTGGAATACATCGCGAACAATTTGCCGTTTACCCCGGATTTTCGGCCGGACGCTAAGCGCCGCTGGGCGAGTCAAATGGGGAAGTGTGAGCGATTGCTCAATCTTGGCTTGGGAATCATTGGTACGTTAGTTTGGGGGGAAGCTTGATGGGTGTGCGGAGTGGTGCGTTCGGCAATTCAGATCGGCAGAGGGCGGCTGGCAGTTCGGGTTACCCTGTGGCGCTTTTAGCCAGTGGGCAGTTGGGGTTTGCCAGATGGCTGCTGTAGCATGCTGCGGAGTATTTTATGCGTACGCATTAGCTTGATTGGCTCCAAGGCATTGAACATGGCATAGTTCTTGGCATCCTTGTCGGCTCGGAAATCTGTTGATTATGCATGTTGACGTTGAGAAGAAACATATGGCTACCTCAGATACCGCAGGCGGCTCCGAATCACGTGCGTCACCAATCTAAATCATTGTGAGCAAGCTTCAACATTAAAGAATACTTCTCGGCTATACTTTCGCCGTATGTGTTGTGCCTTATATGGTGGTACTGGTCCTACGTACTCTGAAGACACAACTGGCCTACAACTTGGCTTTCCAAAGATGTCAGAATTGGGAACTGACAACGAGCCCCAACGGCAGCACTCAATAAGCGTAATTCAACTAATTTGATCGTTATTGGTCAGCTGATCAATGGCATGTCGAACGACTGGATCGTACCATCGTCAAGTTGGATCACGCTGGGCCCATGACCATTGCGTTGGAAATCCAAAGCCTCTGATTGGACAAGACCGCATCGCAACCAATCACCAAGCACCTGTTCTACGCATGTTTCCGTCAGCCTTCCTACTGTAAAACAAGACTAACACGAACTATAAGAGGAACGTCATTCGGAAGAATTAGAAGCTCTTTAGACACATCATTCTGGTTCTACTCAAAGTCAATTCCAAACTTCCATCAAAAAACCTTCCCAATCGTTCTAAAACCATCCCACTCACTCCCAACCTTCACAATGGTCATCGCCAAGTCCTCCACCTGCTGCGGCAAGGGTAACGTCGAGTGCGCCTGTGGTAAGCTCTGAACATTACGAAAACTTACTGTCCACCTCTAACAATCACATAGCCAAGCAAGCCACTTGCTCCTGTGGCCAGCAGTCGGCCCTCCACTGCAACTGCAACAAGGCCCCCGTTGAGAACCAGGTCACTGGCCCTCGCTGCTCATGCCGTGCCCGCCCAGCGGGTGAGTGCACCTGCGAACGCCAGGCCACCGAGAACGCATCGGTGACCGGCTCCACATGCGCCTGTGGTTCCAGGCCTGCCGGTATGTTTGTCGACGTTGGACTTGTGCCGCGATGGCTAACAGCGGCAGATGCCTGCACGTGCGAGAAGGCTGCTGATGGCGACTTCAACCCGGCCAACGAGACTGACTTTACCACCAAGGCATGAGCGGTCCTGGATGGATGGAGTGTGAAAGAGATGAGTTGTCGCGTGGCGGCGGTACGGCGTTCGGTTGGCAATGGGGCATGTTGCGTACGTTGGGAGAGGGCGCATAGGGCGGCGTTACGATATCCTTTTTCGCATACCATACGGATACAGTGAATACCATATAACGATTTAAACCCGAATTTGTCAGTCAAAGTAAAGTCACGCATCGTAGTGAAGCAACAATGACTCAGTCTCACTACGGTCACAAGGCAGCTCTGCAGCCTGCAGCTTCCGAAGAATTCAAGCTGGGGTAGCCTAGACTGCTGGGCGAATCCAAAGCCGTGTTGTGGTGGCGCTGACTAACCGACAGCACCATAGATTTGCTTTTTAATGTTCGCATCGTATGGTATGGCAGAGCGAAATCAAAGGGTATTAATAATAATGAGCAGCCTGCAGAAGTTGACCAGTGGCTCGGAATGTCGAGTCTCGTTGTCCGTCCGTGACCCGTGGCGTCGACCCGCTATTATTGACGCAGGCATCCCGATCGGTGGCTCACAGTCGTAACTTTTTTCACAGCGACAGCGCGCACTCGTTCCCTCCATCACACCGTCAAAATTGTTTGCTGATTGTCCATGCCGGTGAATCGGACTGCATTGTCTTCAATCGATTACCCGAAACTTGCATCGCCTAGCGAGTCACTCCCTTTGTGTGTCGCCGTTGCGTGAAAATCATAGCATTGCCCTGCCTCGCGCGTGTCGCTCTGCCGCTTTCCAGCATCCGCATCGCGTCGCGTCTTGGTTCGTGCCCTCGGCTACCACACAACAACCATTGCACATAAAACTCGACGCCCACACCAGCACATACCCACAATGGCTCCTCGAAAAGCATCCGCGGCAGCCAAAGCTGCCAGCGCTGACACCAAGGTCACCAAGAAGGCAGTAGCCACCCCGGCTGCCAAGCGAGCCGCTACACCAAAGGCCTCTACGACCACCACAGCCACCAAGAAGGCGGCAGCCTCCAAAGAAGCCGCGCCAAAAAAGGCCGCTGCGGCCAAGAAGGCCTCTACACCTGCTCCCGCGAAGCGAGCTGCGACCCCGGCCGCGAAGCAGCGCGCTGGGTCTGCGAAGCCCACCACGAACGGCACCACGGCAGCCCCCAAGTCGAAGAAGCGCAAGGCTGAGGAGGACGAGGAGTCTGACGCCGTCCCCGAGACCAAGAAGGCTAAGAAGTCTGCTGTGAAGAAGGAACCGACGCCTGCTCCCACGGAGCCAGAGGACAAGCGTCCCAAGGTCGCCATTGGGCCCAAGATCAACGAGGCGCCGACCACAGTCCTCGATGTCTACGTCTTTGGCGAGGGTACGTCTGGCGAGCTCGGCCTCGGCAGCAGACGCGTCAACGGCAAGAAGCCGATTGACGTCAAGCGCCCCCGTCTCAATGAGAACCTGTCGGCCGAGAAGACAGGCGTCGTCCAGATCTCCTGCGGTGGCATGCACGTCGTCGCGTTGACGCGCGACAACAAGATCCTCACCTGGGGCGTCAATGACCAGGGCGCCCTCGGACGCGACACCACCTGGGACGGTGGCCTCAAGGATATGGACAAGGCCGCCAGCGAAGACTCCGACTCCGAGGACGACGATGACGACACGGGCATGAACCCCCACGAAAGCACACCCGCTGCCGTCTCCGAGGACTACTTTGCCAAGGACACCAAGTTTGCCCAGGTCATTGGGTGCGACAGCGCGTCTTTTGCTCTCACCGAGGATGGCCGCGTCTACGGCTGGGGCACCTTCCGATCCAGCGATGGTATTCTAGGATTCACCGAGACGATCAAGATCCAGCCTACCCCGATACTCCTCCCCACGCTCAAAAACATCAAGTCCCTGGCCAAGGGTGCGAATCACGTCCTCGCCCTAGACCACAAGGGCAACGTTCTTGCTTGGGGCTGTGGTCAGCAGAACCAGCTCGGCCGCCGTATCATTGAGCGCAACAAGCTCTCCTCGCTCATCCCCCAGGGCGTCGGCCTGCCTCGCGGCAAGATTGTGCGCATTGCCTGCGGCTCGTACCACAGTTTCGCCATTGATACCTCTGGCCAGCTCTGGGGCTGGGGCCTCAATAACTTTGGCGAGGTCGGCGTCGAGGGCAACGCGGGCGAGAACGACGCCGTCATCCTCCGTCCCGTCAAGATCACGGCCCTGACCGACCACATTATCCGCGATATCGAGGGCGGTGGCCACCACTCCGTTGCTTGCAACGAGAAGGGCGAGCTGCTCACCTGGGGCCGCGTCGACGGCCACCAAGTCGGCATTGACCCCAGCACCTTGACGGAGGAGAATGCAATCTTTGATGACCGCAAGGTCCCCCGTATCCTCTTCGTGCCCACCGTGGTGCCTGGTAAGTACAGCCTGTTTCACATTCTACTGTGTGCACTATTAACATGACCACAGATATCTCCAACGTTGTCGCTGTCGCCGCTGGCTTTGACAACTCCTTTGCAGTCACCGCCGATGGCCGCGCTTTCTCGTGGGGCTTCTCCTCCAACTACCAGACCGGCCAGGGCACCATCGACGACATTGAGAAGCCTACGCACATTGACAACACCGCCATTCGCGGCAAGAAGATCATTGGTGCCGGCGCTGGTGGACAGTACTCTATTCTCATCGGCAAGGCTGAGGGCGTCGTCAACGGCGCCTAAGGTCCACAAACCTATTACTACAATTATAGCCTCCGCTGGGGTATGCGGTACATCCGCGACTCTATCGGTATAGAGCGATTTGTTTGAAAACTTTTGGCGTTGACTCGGTCTGGGAGGCAATGGTCGGCTTGTTGTTTGTTTTCCTTGACGTTACTGCACAAGAGAGCCATGCATGCTGTAATACTACGATTATACGTACGCCTGATGAGAGGCCAAAACGGGGACATATTAGACACGAACAGAGTAGACCAATGAAGCAAGTGTGGATGCAAGTGGTGCAATGGTATCTTTGTTTCCCCCCTTCCACTGGTGCACGCGTAGTGAATGTCCTTGATGTCCCATCTTCTAACTTAGTGTACCATGTCGGCCTGACCCGAGTCTGCGCTCCCGCTGCCAAAGGGGTTCCAGATAGCCACCGCCCTGCTGCTAAAAATGCCCATCAAACCAAACCCAACGTAGAATAAGGCCAGGGGGTAGGCGACCAGGGCCCGCATGCCTCTCATCCGGCCGACGGCGCAGAACATCCCGCTCGCGCTATAGGTACACCACAAGATGGCGGCTGACGTGAGAACGTGGCCAAACGGCGTGTTCATGGGCACGACGATGCCGACCAGGCTGGTGGCGACCAGCGGCAGCAGGCAGTACCCCAGCACGCTCGCCGACCGAGGAAACGTCAGTGTCGCCGAGAAGTGGCCGCCGCTGACGCCGCCGCCTTGCTGCTGGTCCGGGTAGTGGTTCTGGTACGGACCCTGGTGTTCTTGCGCGGCTTGGGCGTCGGTCGGCGACATGAGCGAGAGGATGATGTGGAGGGTGCACGAGCCGAGGACGGCGAGGCCGTAGATGTAGCCGAAATGGACCTGGCCCGAGAACAGCAGGAAGGTGCCAAAGAGGAGAAAGAAGAGAAGGGGGCCGGCGAGGTCGGAGTCGTCCATGATGTGTTGGTTTATCGGGCGGAACGGGTTCAGCACGGCGAGGGTCTGGTTTGAACAATTAGCTTCTGAGTGCACGAGTTGACACAAGTAAGGGAATACGCACCTTGGCCTGGATGTGTCCAAAGTTGACGCCGAGCTCTTCCAGCAACGGTGGCTCCTGATCATAGCCCTCTGTCGAGAATGCGGCGAGCCATCCTGTCCGTAGGCCACCCTGCTCGCCCATCCGTCCGCTCACACCGGGACCAGCGCCGAAGCCTGGATTGGAGAAGCCAGAGGGCGTTGTCGACTGACCGAAACCATAGCCGCCTGCCTGTGGGCCGCCTGGTGGTGCTGGGGATGCGCCTGGTGCGCCGTAGGATGATGGGTAGAATTGGAGGTTTTGGGCGCCTTGCGGTGCGTAGCCGCCCTGCGGAGGGTGTTGGGCGTAGTAGTTGGCCATGATGGCGGACTATCCGTTGGGAGTGGTGACGGTTTCGAAATTGACTGAGCCCGGCGGACGATGGGGGGAGGAGGGGTCGAAAGTTGGGAGAGCTTGCTCGTTGACAGGGATGGCGATGATGGCGCTGCTGTGCGGTGAGGACAGCTCAGGTTCGTCGTGAGACAGTTGGCAGTTGGTGCCTGATGACTAAGGCCACATGGCGATCCAAGTTGCGTAAAATCGACGCCAAGAAGGCAACACACGCAGGAGCACGCTTGGGGATTCCAGGCACGCTCTAATTACATTCTACTCAGAGCAGTATGTTTGTGCCTGAGCTGCTGAAAATATGAGGCCAGATCCTCGCGCGCAATGCTGTTGGCGTCCTGTGTCCCTGTGAACTGCACTGTCACTGCTACCTACACCTGCCCACCATTTGCAGCTCTCGCCATGGCCCTCGATGACGTGACAAAGCGATCAAAGTCTGTCTGGAGCTCGGGAAACCCGCCGAGACACCTCATGCACTCCTCACGATACTCCGCAGCCTTCTGTGCGCGTGCTTCCGGACCCCCTGGTACCTCGGCGGCGGGTGTGCCCCAGAGTTTCGTCATCTTGTCCAATGTGGACATCATGGCTGAAAAGTCCTGAGCGCGAATTGTCGACTGCTCGCAAATTAGCTGTACTATCCCAGCATTCTTTGAGATGGAGTTGAGCATGCTTTGGCCTTGGTGACATAGCGCATGATGAACAGCATGCTGTCGTCGGCATAGGGCTGGCAATCGAGCATCGCTGCGCTGAACTCACTGGCCCGCGCCCAAGCGTCATCTTTCTGTGGTTTGTTTCCGGTCATCTTGGCGCGTCATGCCGAATGGGATAGTCAATGCGATATGACAGCCTGCTACACCGTACTAATTACAGTAAGGGATGTCCAAGGTCGGATGGCACACGGCAGTGCAAAACGCAACACCGCTTTAGCCTGTCCTGTTTCCGGGGCCGCGAGGGGTCACGCTCTGACACAGGGGCCGAGAGTCAACCCAGCAATGAGCAAACCCCAGGAAGTATAACAGCCGTACCAGTCACCAATCAACAGGTAGCATAATGCGAGGAGAGAGGGCAATTGCCGACCGATCACGAAGCCTGATTGCAGGCACCTCCTGATTGAGAACCTGGCCAAGGCCTTTATCAGCATCGAATACGAGGAAAGTGGGTAGTCCAATTTGACAGCGTTACGACACCATCAAGTATAAATCCAAGTGTAGCCTCTATCTCTGATTTTGAAGATGAAGCGCGTCAGACACTCACCCAATCACCAATATGAAGGCTCATCTGGTATCTCCCATCTTCGCAGGCATCGCCGCGGCCAGCATCACACCACCCACGGGACGTGGTTGTCTGGTCGTCGATGATGGAGCACCCCTGGCACCAAAAGTGAGCCTTCTCAGTGTCCCAAGCGTTCCCGAGAACATTACCGTGGACGTCAACTTTCATCTCTCCAGCACGCCGGAGCACGAGAACCTCATCACCAGCGAGATCGCCAACGCTCAGTGGAATGTTTTACAACAGGCTTTTGCCAAATATGACATCCACCTCCGGCTGAACTCTACGACTCGCGTCGTCGACGACATCGCGGGGCGATCATTCCTGCGCTATGAAGGCCCAGAGCTTGGGTGGGTTAACTACGATGAGGAGCGCAAGGCGTTCTTCAAAAACTCGCGCCTCGGTGGCTACGACGCCCTCAACATTCATTTCTTTAGTGACTACTCCCCCGGTGCAACGGGCTACTGTACATTCCCGACGGTGATTGATGGCAGTGATGACTTTGCATTTGGCCAAGATGCTTGCCAGCTCAGCGCGATGACTATGCCGGGTATCACCGCGGAACAAGGCGCCTTTGAGGCATGGAACTTGGGCCATCTGGCGGTTCACGAGGCCGGACATTGGTTTGGTCTCAATCACACTTTTGCTGGAGGGTGCTCGGAGCCTGGTGACTTTGTGGCTGATACGCCGGCGCAGCAGACTCAAATCTATGGCTGTCCAGTGGGCTCCGACAGCTGTCCAGATAGTATTGGTCTGGATCCCATCCACAACTACATGGGATACACGGATGACAACTGGTAAGTCAATCCAATGACATTGAGTCCACGAGTGGTAAACTGAAATCTTCCAGCACAAGCGAGTTCACTGAGGGACAAAGGGAGCGTATGCTCACTACATTCGAAGCGTATAGGGCCGGCGCATAGCGTTTGTATTGAACAGCGTCTGCAGGATTAATGTCAACATTCTGAATGTCAACTCGTTTTTCCGATTTGGTCTCGCAACCGATGCAGTATGTGTGATGGTTGGACGCGTTAAGGAGCAAAAGCGAGCCAGCATCGAGGCATGTTCGATCAACGCACTCTGTACCACTCGAGGGGCTTTGACTCGGCGTGGCCAATTTTTCCAGGGTCATTGATCTATTTCAAAGCTCATGAAGGGAGAGAACAATAGCAACAGCCCCTACCGCATGTGCAGCAACGACTGCATCAACAGAAGATTCCAGATTGGCCCATGCCAGAGTCGTAGCACTGGCAAATCAGCATGAATCCCACTTCAGGGGTCTGCAGCCAACAGGAACAGGAATCCATTGATGCCATTCTACCTTAATGGGAGTACAATGGCGACAAAACAAGAGAACAATAGCGGGCACAATGGGAGTTTTTAGGGTAAACCTGGCTGGGCTATGTAAATAGTTCTTCTACGCTCTTTGTCCGCATGTGCTATTGTTAGACTGCTTCTTTTCTCTCACAACACCAGCCATGGCCTTCCCTCAAGCTACAATCGCCATTACGGGATCTGGTGGAATAGGCACCAGCATAGCCCGTCGCATTGCCAATGGTCGACGCATCTTCTTGTCGGATGTTTCGCAGGTGAACCTCGACGGAGCTGCCGAGGCGCTGCGTCGAGATGGTCATACCGTAGAGACACACCTCGTCGACGTCTCCAAGTATGACCAGGTCAAGGCTTTCGCCGACGCAGCTGCTGCCTCCACTGCGCTGCAAGCTGTCATACACACAGCGGGCGTGTTTCCCAGCCAGGGATCGATTTCTCAAATCATGGAAGTCGACTTGCTGGGCACGGCCAATGTACTCGATGCATTTTACGAGGTAGCCATGCCAGGTCAATCAATTGTCTGTGTCGGCAGCGGCTCCGCCCACGTCATGAAGGAGGAGGTTCCATTGGAAGTGCTAGACCATCTAGCTCGTGCGCACCGCGACGCTCTGCTTTCCCACCCAGCCATCCAAGCAACTGTGAGCCCTCTGCTCGCGTACCAAATCGCCAAGCGAGGCAGCCTTGCGCGCGTCCAGCTGATGGCCAAAGAGTTCGGCTTGAAGGGCGCACGGGTCAACATCATCTCACCTGGCATGATAGCAACGGAGAGGGGCAGGCTGGAGTTGGAAGGCGACATGTTGCGGGCGTACATTGAGATGCTCACAAAGGAGTGCGCAATCGACAGGCTTGGTACTGTGTATGATGTGTCAAACTTGGTCGAGTTCTTGGTTTCGGACCGGGCATCCTTCATCTCGGGGGCGGACGTTGTCGTTGATGGTGGTGTTGCTGCGGCGCAACGTTGGAAAAGGGAATGACATGACTTTGCAGCAGGTCGAACGTTTCTGAGCTCTTTGGCAGTCGACATTGAATTCTACTCTCCGTCTTTCAGATCCTCCGAAATTCTTTCGGGTTTGAGTTCCGGAAAAAAATCAGCTTTGAGCCTAGGTGGCACTTGCCCACTCAATGGATTCTGAAGAAGTGATATATTGTTGGGTCGAATCTCAAGAACGGGAAGGACGATGGAGTCGTTCATAAGGTACTTAAGGTAGGTATGGAACATGTCCTATCGAGCTCTGAGTTCAGTGTGAGGTAAGTAACATCACGGGCGCTAGAGCTTAATCACGAGAATAATGAGTTGGTACAGGTAGCATAGGCCTGTCTGGAATTGGAAGATGCTTTTGAATTAGCAGTGATACTAGAATGCTGTACGAGATCAAGGGGAACCTTGTTGGGAATCCTGCCTCCTGTGCCTGTCATTGCACCGCGAGTTGGCCTACCCAGGCGAGGAAGGCGAGACTTTGAAAGTAACTTCTTTCCTTAGGTGGAACCTTCGCCTTGCCGACTCGTGATGTTTACCTTCCCTCCCCTTTATAAAGCGCACTCACCCCGCCAGCTCGACTCCGTGTCCGCGCAACAATAACTTGAACATCCATCAATCGCGACATCGTCTCTACACAACCAGACTCATAAATCATAAATTCCACGCAAACGCAAAGATGCGTTTCATCTATTCTGCTACGACTTTTTGTGAGATCACACGGATCGATTCTTGTCGACTCTGCTAACCTCTCAGTGGCCGCCTTCGCCTTAGCTGCACCCCAATCTCATCCTTCTTCGGAGCTAGAACATGAAGATGACTTCGACAATGACCACAAGAAGGATCTTCAATACATCACGGCTTGGTGCAATTCGGATGAAGAATGTGCCAGCGGCTGCTGTGCGGCCATTTCTCACGATGAGGCCATCTGCTCTGCCCCTTTGGTTGCCTACCTTGAAGGCAAATACGGTTGTGGCTTTGGCGATTCCACGAAGAAAATTGCCCAGGGTATCGATGTCACCCTGCCAGGTTTCAACAATGTCGGCACTGGAAACAAAGCGCAATTCATCACCGGTCAATGCTGGAGCGACGATGATTGTGCGAGCGGGTGCTGCGCTGGACACAAAGACCACAAGGGGGGATTTTGCTCCGCCAAGTTGATTGCGGAACAGGATGGCAGGACTGGTTGCGGATATCTGGAGTAGTCCAGTTGGCGCTGTACATTGAGTTAGGAATCACAGCACACGCAGGGACTTGAATTGGAGCATTGTTACTGTCACGTCTCACTTGATGCGATGAATGCCAAACCGAGTTTCTTCACGCCACACAACCTACCTAAAATAAAGAGATCGGAAGCATGCACCACACGGAGACAAAGCCGCCGATTCTTCTTTGTTTGTGGACAGGACAGTAGCGAAGCTTTCAGCTCTACACGGGCCCGGGTCCATGGCGGACTTTGTCACAAGGACAAAGACGATGCAACAGGTTATAAGATACTCAACCCGTCTCTAGCAAACGTGTCAAGACGAATTGACCCCGAAGCCGACCACGAGTGAACCCCCGATCAGCTTACAGTCTTATCACATATTTGTTCTCAATGACAGCCTATCAATGTCTAATGCAATGAACAATCTTTCACAGTCAAACCCGAAACAAGTCGAGATGCAGGCAGGTGAAGAGGTGGGACAGAAAGCCGTCCACGCGCTGCAAATCACCAACACAGAGTGGACCTTTTGGCTACCCACCCTCGAGGAAGTTTACGAGGAGTGCAGTTTCGACACCACATCGCTGAGAAAAGAAAATTACGAGGAGATATTGAGTAGACATGCAGCACCTGGAGGCGTTGATGGCATGTACGTCTACGACCGGCCGCGGTCCCGATTAACGGCCGAAGGTGAAAAGGGCTCCATGATGATCAACTACTACAAGGACGAGTCTAGCAAAACCATGAAGATTGTAGCAGTACGAATGGGGTTGTATCAGAAGGACGACTCGAATAAATTCAGAGCCGCCACCCGCACAAGTATCAGGTGGGCAGCCAGTGAGACAGCGGACTACAGCACATTTATGGATGTGGAGATCATCGGGGGCCGACACAGCGTCGCCCGGTGGCCCAAGGCAGCCTACAAATGTGCGCCTGATGATTATCCAATCTCCACGCTGGAACTTTCTCAGAGCATCAGGCAAAAGCAAAAGCACGCGTACAGACATGCTCAGAATTCCGATGTTGCCAAGGAGTTGGAGGAGAATGAGCAATACCTTCTCGTCAGCCATCGACGCAACAAGATACTCGCGGAGCAGCTCGCTGAGTCAAAGAAAAAGACTTCAGAAGCGAATGAACTCAAGAAGAAGCACAACGCCACAAACACCAAGCTTAGAGCCGAGAATAAGGACCTCAAGGCCCAACTCCAGAAGCATCTGAACAACTCCAATGACGTGGAGCGGCTCAGAGATGAACTACTGGGGACGCAAGAAGCCTTTGATGAGCTCAAGAGACAGTACAATGAGCTTCTCGAACTCGACGACCTTCCGTAAAGAAGCCAAAGACAAAGGGCAGGAAAGCGACGACAAAGAAAGTGGCCCCGAAAACGGCCAAAGTCATCGAGGCTGAGGTCGACTGTGAAATCTCGGAGTTCCAAGACGCGGCCACAAGAAAAGGCGTAGAGGACTTGGAACGAGGTAATCCAGAACTCAGTGAATCGGATGACGAAATGGGGGAGGCCGAAGATGCACCAACACGGAAATCTGTTCCCAGCGCTCCTCCTAGTCATAAGTCGTCATTCTCCTCTGTGCAGTCAGCTGGCGGAGATTTGGACATGGAAGATGCCCAGGACACAATAGAAGAGAATCCTGAATCTGTGACATCAGACTCAGACATGTCCGACCGATCAGAGGAGGAGACCGCAATCACTGAAGCGGAAGAGTCAAGGCCAACCGCCGAAGTGACTTCCGTTGCAGACGAGAGCCACAACATCGCACGATGCACCACTTGTGGAAAGTCAGTTGGCGGCAAACGAGCCATGCCAACGACTGAGGAGGATATCGACGAGAGGCCTACAGCTGGGAAGACTGTTGCTCGCAAGTTTCCGCACAAGTCTGTGCCCGTTCAAGAAGCGACTCCAGACATGACGGCGACCGACGAACCATCTGGCGGCGACGGCGACACCTCACCACTGGAGGTGGAAGTCGAGCAAGGTGCAAGATCACCCCCCACAGTCAATTCTCCTGCACGAGAATGCGAGACGTCCCCGGCCCCCGCTGCTTCTAACTGTGCAGAAAATGCGGCGGGGGATGAATCACCAGTGTCACAATCGAGCGCAGTGAATACTGACGCTCCAGCCTGCGAGGACGGCCGGCCTCCTGAGCGCAGTGAGCCCGAGGATGTCGCGCAAACTCCCGAACCCGATGAGGAGACAGCGGACACAACCTTTGAAGAGCCTCCGTTCAAATCTGCTGGAGACGCGGGAGAGGGAATGTCTCTTGATGAACCCATAGAGAAGGCCCCCTCTCCGTGCGAGTTTGCTGCTGAGCCAGAATGCATCGACGGCAAGTGTGAGGGTTCAAGCACTCCTTGCCCTGAAGTAAGTGAGGTCACTGAACTCGCTCCCGAATCGTCTGAGATTGGGGTGGCTGAAGCGTCCTGCGTTCAGAAAGAAGACGAGCGTCAAGACGAATCAAGTGATAGCAGCATTGATAAGGATGACGAGGAGGAGCGTCAGTGCAGAAGGTCCCCTGAGCTGGCCGATCCCTCAAGTGGCACCTCTCCGGTGTCTTCCCCGGAGACATCGAAGAAACGACCGCGCTCCTCCATTGGCGATAGTGAGTATGATGACTATGGCGACGGCGCTGAATCTGCCGCAAAGAGGCCTCGATTAAGCGAGGAGAGGAGTGCGGACGAGGAGATGGCTGAGGCTAGGCCGGAGTAGGAAGTTTTGCAGATGGAAAGTCCGATAGATTGACAGTTATTAAACACGAGCGTTCGAATGTTGAATTGAGCCCATGCTACCACGGTTTGCAAAGGTCAAGTGTCGGAGTCCAGAGACGCATGCGGCTGTTGAAGTCCTGCCGGTTGCCGTTTGGTTATTGCCACAGGGTAGGCGCAAAACCTGCCTGTCCATGACTGCTTAGTCATTTCAGCAAATTCTCACCAAAGTCAGTTCAACAGCCTCGAGACGAACAGACACTTGACACGCTCATCAATTCAAGAATTGGTCAAAATGCTTCCTCCTCGTTCCTTACTGTAATCTCTTTCAAAGTACATGTATTTCTTGTTTCTTTGTTCCATGATCGACGCTGTTGAGGGTTAACTTTGCCACGCATAAGCGAGCGCATGCCAACTGGAACGATGCGACCATGGCCAACCAACCCCATCACTTGATCATCGACCCATGGTCGCAAGGCCTAAGCGTCATGCGCGATGTCCTCTCACGCTGGTCTCGGCTGGACATCACACAGGTCGGCTCTGCAATTGCCATTGTCGGCACGATTCCCACAGCAGTCCGACTCCTGGGTCGCGTCTGGCGAGAAGCCTACCATTGGGTTCGACTCTGCTTCCTGGCCGAAGTGACAATCCCAGGAGGCGATCCACTCAACCGGAGCGTGGTGAAATGGCTTCTGGACAAACGACCGCGGCATCATCGATCATTCACCGGACGGACCCAGGTCCAGCACGCTCGCTCAACCCCCGATCTAGGGGCGGCCCTGAAGAAGACCCGCCACCAGGCGCAGTACTGCCCGCATTGGCACTCGCGCTGGTTCTTCCAGCAAGGCGACTTCTTCATTGTCAATCGCTCGGCGGATAGTTTCAGCGCGGCTCTATCAGACCCGAGCTATGATGGGATTGGGGGCGAGGAGCTCACGATCAGCTGTCTGGGCTGGTCCGCAGCTCCTGTCATGCGCTTCATTGAAACATGCCGCGCATATACAGACCGCCAGGCGCAGTTCTTTGTCATCATTTATGCACGTGATCGGTACGGGCTCGCCTGGAAGCCTAAAACGAGGACGCCAATTCGTCATCTTGACACGGTGCATCTGGACAAGGATGTCAAGGACAGCCTCATATCGGACGTGCGCAACTATCTGGATCCCAAGACCCAGAAGCGGTACCAGAGCCGCAGTATGCCTTACCGGAGAGGGTACCTCTTCTACGGCCCGCCAGGTACGGGGAAATCCTCCTTGTCTGTGGCGATAGCGGGCGAGTTCGGACTGGACATTTATGAAGTCAAAATCCCGACGATTGCTACGGATGCCGATCTGGAGCACATGTTTCAGGAGATCCCTCCGCGCTGCGTTGTGCTTCTAGAGGACATTGACGCCGTGGGCGTCGACTGCGCAGCCTCGGACAAGTCATCCTCGAGTCAGGACGGCAAAGAGCCCATATCGAATTGTACAATGTCCGGTCTGCTCAATGTGCTCGATGGCGTGAGCTCTCAGGAGGGCCGGATCGTGATCATGACCACCAACCGGCCGGAGCAGCTGAACAGCGCCCTTGTGCGCCCAGGGCGCGTCGACATGAAAGTGCTGCTCGGCAACATCAGCCAGGCGTCGTCGCTAGAGATGTTTCTTCGCATGTTCTCCCCGGAGCTCGGCATCGCTCAGCCGTTGGATTCGGAGGAGCTTCTGGCGCTCGCTGCGCAGTTTGCCCGTCAAATCCCCGAAGACACGTTTACCCCTTCTTTTCTGCAAGGGTTCTTTCAGCTTCACCTGGACTGTCCCCGTGAGGCGGCGGCCAGCATTGGACCGCGGGTGCAAAAGGCACTTGCGCATGGCATCGAAGGGGACTTTGAGATGGTCAACCGGAACAAGAACGGTTGACAATGTATACACTGTATATTGCCTGTAATGTATTATAGAAAGGCTCGGCGTCATGTTTTTTGTATAACGCATGTCAAGGGTTGGGGGATACTTTTGAACGTATCATGGACCTTCTATGGCTTCGAACGCTCTGCAAAGTCGTATCCGAAGGGCTCCGCACATTTCCATATCTCTGTGGACTTTAATCACTATGGAGCTCGCTGTTTAGCCCACCTTGCCTCGTGGATGGCCTTGATCTCCCCGACCAAACTATCGACAGGGCCATGCCACTTGATTCGCGTGGTGATCTCGCCAATGCCCAATGGCTTCACCGGACCCAAGGGAAACCCAGCCAGCCTCATCCAGTGATCATACTGTTTCGCTGATGCGATGAAGACAATGTCTCCCAGGCCACACCAGGCATGGGCAGCGGAGCACATGGGGCAATGCTCTCCGGACGTGTAGCACGTCGTCGACGCGCGCTCTTCCGCCGTCAGATTAAGCATGGCCCATTGCGCGAGAGTGAATTCCGGGTGAAGGGTCGAGTCTGGGTGAGCGCCGGTGCCATCGAGACCTGTCCTGGTGCGGTTGCGGTCGGTCTTGATGATGACACCTTGGGCATTGACGAGGCATGATCCAAAGGGCGAGTCGCCTGCTTCGGAGGCTTCGCGGGCCAGGGCGAGACAGGTCTGCAGAGCCTCTTGATGCAAAGAGCTTGCCATTGTGAGTGGAGGGGCTGTTGCGCAATGGTACTCCGTACATGTAATACGTGACAGGAAGTTGACTGGTGACTAGCGGTTAAGTGGGCTGATGGATGTCGACGGTGACGCCTGCGGCCTGAGGCTGCCAACATGATTTGTTGGGCCTCCGCAATTATCCCCGCCTCGCCTCCAGACTCTAGACTGGAGTCCACACGCCTCCATCCGAGTCCAAAGATCTGAGATGAGCCGTGAGCTATGTTGACATTTGAGATTAACTTAGCATGGTGACTAGACGACTTTTCCCCAATGCATAATCCCGGCCATCCAGCTCAATCTTCGTACGCCTTACTGATCTTTTTTTTTATCATAGGCGAGGAACTCTTCTTCCTGTCGCCTGAAGCACACACCCTCGTGTCTTTCCGGTGGCACCTTTGTCTTGGCTGTCCAGACGATCTTGCATCCAAGACAGTCTTGAAGGGGGTCGTTCCGGTAGTGCAAGCCCCCCCGGAGTCCCGGACGCATAATGTATGCAGCATCACCCGGTCGCCCCTCCGGAAGCATACTTCCCAAGTTCCAAACTCCCAACCCCAGATCCTCAAAGGCGGGGGAAGCCAGGGATCAACACGGGGTAGCGGCACCTCGGGAAATCCAAGTCGACCAGTCATGCACTAGTTCGTCACCATTGTGGACATGTTCAGACGTTAAGAAAAGGGGAACTCGATCTTCTGGGGGGTGCCTCGGCGAGCTTGTGGCTCCACGGCGGAATGGATGGACACGTGCGCCAATGGCTGAAGTCTATCAAGGCCTGATGGACAGCAAACTGCGGGAGGCGGGCGAATCGAGCAAGCCAGACCGGAGGTTGCGTGTATCCTGTTACACTGGTACGACTGGTACGTACGTACGTAGACACATACAAAAGCAGTCGTGGCGATAACATCCCGCTCCCTCTTGTCTTCTTGACACTCAATCCTCATCTCATCATCCATCCAGTAACATCTCAATCACTGTCGTCAGGCAGTTCAGCAGATATCGCCCAAGCCTTTGATCACGCCACCATGTCCGCCCTCGAGGATGGCAAAGAATACGACATCATCTTCGCCGGCGGGGGCACGGCTGCGTGTGTAGCAGCTGGACGTCTGGCCAAGGCGGATCCAAACCTGTCCATTCTTCTCGTTGAAGGCGGCAAAAACAATCTAAACGACCCAACGGTGACCAACCCAGCGATATATCTAGCCCATCTCGCTCCAGACTCACAGACTGCCATCTTCTACAAGGGCAACAAGGAGAAGGCGCTCAATGACCGTGAGGCCATTGTGCCCTCCGGTGGTATCCTTGGTGGCGGCTCCTCCATCAACTTTATGATGTACACACGAGGTTGGCATTCTTCACCTGCGTATGTTGCTTTGACCATGAGTTGACGTGCCCGTAGCACAGGCGTGTGACTATGACTCATGGAACACCGAAGGCTGGGATGCGGCAAGTCTGATCCCACTGGCCAAGCGATTGGAAAAGTACCACCCCAGTGATCCATCCGTGGACAAGGACCTCCACGGCTACGATGGCCCCATCAACATCACCCACGGCGACTACGCTCCCAAAGGCCCCCAGGACGACTTCCTGGCGGCAGCGGAAGCCCTCGGCACACCGGAGATCTTTGACCTCCAAGACTTCAAGACCACCGGTGGCTTCTCCCGATGGGCGCGCTACGTCTGCCCCGAAGGCAAGCGACAGGACGCAGCCCATCGGTATGTGCATCCGTTAATGGCCTCGGGCAACTACCCCAACCTTCACATCCTGGTCGAGAGCAAGGTGCGCAGGGTGATCTTTGATGGCAACAAGGCTACAGGTGTCGAGTACGAGCCTGCCACTTCGTCCCAGCCAAGCATTGGCCTCAGCAAGAAGGTGGTCTCAACTGTCAAAGCACGAAAGCTGGTGGTGGTATCCTCCGGTGCTCTTGGCTCACCGTCCGTTCTGGAGCGCTCGGGTATCGGAGGTGCCGAGCTCCTCAAAAGCCTCGACATCCCCGTCGTGTCGGACCTACCTGGTGTTGGTGAAGATTACCAGGATCACCACCTCCTCCTGTACCCTTACAAGTCCAACCTCAAGCCAAACGAAACGCTGGATGGGCTTCTGAGCGGACGAGTGGACTTTGCGACGGCCATCCAGGAGAAGAACCCTCTGCTGGGATGGAATGGAATCGACGTCTGCTCCAAGGTCAGGCCTACGGAAGATGAAGTGGCGGAACTAGGCCCCGAATTCAAAGAACTCTGGGACCGCGACTTTAAGAACAAACCAGAGCGTCCACTGATGCTCATGGGCGTTGTGTCTTCCTTCTTGGGCGACCACAAGATTCTCAACGAGGACAAGGATGGTGTCAGTCAATATGTCACCATGGGCACATACTCGGCCTATCCATACTCGCGCGGCAACATACACATTGTCTCGCAGGATGCGCAGACGCCCGCTTCGTTCAATACCGGGTTCTTGTCCCACCCTGCCGACCTCAAGAAGCAGGTCTGGGCCTACAAGAAGCAGCGTGAGATTTATCGCCGAACCAATGCGTTTGCAGGGGAGCTCGCCATAGGCCACCCGCAGTTCCGCCCGGGTAGCAAGGCGGCCTTGAGTGAAGGGCCACTGGCCCCCCATGGCTTTAGTAGCATCGAGGAGAGGCGCCAGCTGAAGCCCATCGAGTACGATGCCGAAGATGACGCGGCGATTGAGGACTGGGTGAGGTCGAATCTCAACACCACCTGGCACTCCCTCGGTACATGTCGCATGGCACCCAAGGAGAAGGGTGGTGTCGTTGACAAGGATCTGAACGTGTACGGGACTACTCATCTCAAGGTGGCGGGTAAGTACATCTCTGTCGTTTGAGGGCCCTGAAAGCGTGAAGCTGACATTGACAAGACCTCTCTATTGTTCCGGAGAATGTCGGTGCCAACACCAACAACACTGCGCTCGTGGTGGGCGAGAAGGCAGCCGATATCATTGCCGGTGAGCTTGGCTTGAAGGTATGTACTTTTTTCTTTCCAAGTGTGAACCAAGGCTGACCGCAAGCAGATTGAGCAAGAGGCATCTGCCCGGCTTTGATTGTGGAAGTACGTTTACTTGATATGCTACATGTACTGATCGCACACCTGCTATGGCCAGCTTTGATAACATGAACAGTCGCTGATGAATATATACTCTCTTTGGCCTGGGGTAAACGATGAAATAGTCAATTACGGACTGGGAACTGTTTCGGTACAGGCAGCGGAAGGTGTACACTCAACTCTCATCAAATTCTTTTTGATCAACTAAGGTCTTCTAAGAAAGGAATTGCCCACCGACACAGCCCAATGTCGTCTTTCCGCTACCTCCCTGAACGTCACAACTACCAGCTACTGCGTATTTTTAAGCATTGAGCTGGCGAATTAGTTGCTGTAAGCGCTGATGGCCTTCTCGAGGGTGCCTTGCAACATGTCAATGTCCATCTTGGCACCCTTCGCACAAGTAGGCACGAGCGAGATGATATCACCAGCGAGGGTGTCGACAACGCCCTCCAGGGCCCGGAGGACGGCAGCGACGGGCTGGCCGACAAAAGGCACAATCGTCAGCAGGCCAGCCTTGCCGATGACAATCTCGAGGAGGTTCTGGTGGACCTTGACGAAGCTCGTGAGGGCGTCGCAGATGGCGGACTGGTCGTCCTTGGCGAAGTCATCCTTGGGCATGTCTCCTTCCAGGGCAGTGACAGTCTTGGTGGCGGTGGTGACGATGCCACCGAAGCTGTTGGCGAGTCTCTGTTCCACGCGTTAGCGACTCCTGGGCATAGCGAATCGTGGACAAGGCTCAGTCACGTACCAGGAAGGCAGAGGGGAGGGAAAAGGGGTTGCTGCTGATGCTCTGAGCGACGTCGGTGGCGTCCTGGGAGAGATCGGTGATGTCGTCGATGCTGGTGACGACCACCTTGGCCGTGATCTGAGCTGTGACGGCAGAGGCCGAGAGGATGGCGACGAGAGCGGGGAGAACCTTGAACTGCATGTTTGCGGTTGGAGGTTGAAGAGCTGGGCTTGAGGGTGAGAAGACGTTTGAGTGTGTAGGAAGAGGTTGCTTGTGGATGCAGATGGGGCTACAGCTTTCCCTCCTCGGCGGACATTGAAGGTCTATATACACTGATTCGCATATCATACGTGAAGACGTCGGTCATTCTTGTCAGCTGTCACTGACCACAGATACCGACCTGGCATTCCATTGATCTCCATATCGAGACGAGGTGTAAGGCAATCGCAAAGTCCCCACGAAGAGACACCATGAGGCTTCTCCGTCAATCTAGGGCAGAGAAAGTTGGACATGCTCGTGCTCAGGGCCTGTCCTTCTCCAATTGGCGCCAAGAGGAGAAAAGCCGAACCATTCTTCACGGTAGAACGTGGGAAGGAATGTTAGTACGCCGAAGCCTGCCATGGTGACAGCCGTAGCTGTCGTGAATGCTCCCTATTCCATTCCAAGAACTGTCGCGGAATCCTAGGGGGCCGGCAGCTTACAGCCACTGGCAATGAACGGGAGTTCCCGAGTCTAGCTGGATAACTGAATCGGAGCATGATCGACAGGAAAATGTCTTGCCTTCGGGAACTGTCTCAAGGGCGGTCGAGCACGGATGGAATGCGCTGGGCGGTACATGAAGCGGTTGATATGCATTGGCCTGCTGCCCTTGCAACCAAGTTCCAGGTGACAGAAGCCGTTCAATGTTCAAGTTATTTTGGAGCCAAAATTTGGTCCTTGAATGTTTATTCGAGGCTGCAATTTGCAATTCCTAGTCTCGTAGTGACGCCGGGGTCCGGTATCTACGAAGGAATTGGGCTAGAAGTTGTCAAGCACTTGCACAAAAGTAGGAGTAGGAGTCTTAAGTTCTAACGTCCATGTTTGGAACTGATGATTAAAGGGAGGTTCCGAGCCGATCCACATGCCGCCAGCCGCTCCATCTGGAAGTGAGAATCGCTCAGGTTCAGGAAACGCAGGGTAATATCAGAGAAACAGATTTCCTCGACGACTTATTCGGGGAACTTGTGATCTGCATCGAAACTCGATCGCGGTGTACAGAGTACAGTGGCCCCAATCTGACCGGCGTGCTCAGCTCATCGAGTCCATTTCTGCGCACGAAGTGTCTAAGAGCGACAATCCAACCCACAACCCGCATCGGGTTCGGGAGACATGCTACCATGGGGTCCAAACTTTACATGCTACTTATAACGTTGGACGGGGAAAACCGTGCGTGCCTCCGCCTGCCACGTCTACCGTTCTCGCCCGCCTACCCTGTAGCCGCGACCACGTCGTGATGTGTACAAGTTCATGTAGAGAATGGTTAACTTTAGCAAACGCCATTTCAATTTGAAAAGGCTATATTATTTACTAAGGAGAGGGGTTCCGAGTGGTTTATCATCAGCGCATTACACTCCAATCAGCGGTTGGTTTTTGCGTAATAATTAGCATTTTATACTCAAATCTATTTCTCAATGAATTCATGTGAGCGGAACCCATGTTAATCAACCACCACGCTTTTTTACCTCGAGATGGAACTGACCCGAGTATACTCAGGTGCCCTTGAGCTGATGCATGTCACGTTCAATCCATGAGATGGTTCGTTACAGGTACTCCCTATGTGTCGATGTTTCACCACGGGCGTGCATGTGACAACTTATCTGGTAGCCGTCGATGTAAGCATCGTCCTCATTCCACCAGCTTGACGAACAAGCTGCAATCAGTTCGTCCGATCCTGTCCACGCCTGAGCCGAGGCCGAGGCCGATCGGGTGCGGCCCGGTAGCCAAGCTTTGTTAAGCTTCTCACGAGGCTTCAGGGAGGGGTCACATTGGCCCTCCACGGAGCATGCAAGTCTACGCCATGAGGGCGTCTTATGACCAGTAAGGCATCGCAGCTAGGAGACGCGACACAGGACCAGCCTGAAGACGTGTTGGTGAATGGTGTTGCTCACATGCAACCTTGACACACGCCCTTGCTTCCCCTCAGAATGACTGACTGACTGACTGACGCCGGGCCGAAGGTAATGGAGACTGCTACTACGTATTTCCCTCAATCCATTGGCCTGCAGCAGCGCCGTTTGCCCTGTCTGTCCAAGCGCGAGGTTTCGTCGCCCTGGGCCACTGTGCGCGTGATTGGACACGGCGGTATGTTCAAGTTGATGTTGACTGCGGCAGCAGATGGCCATTCGCCAGCTGACACATGTACTGTACCTGCTTGATGCTGAGCGGGAGCCCTCTAGGCTCTCGCATGTGAAAGTCTGCCAAGTTGCCATTTGATGCAATTCAAGTTTGAACCCCTTCCAATGAACTGCCGACTTCTTGCCACTGGAGAAAATTCGATTCGAACCTTGTTGAGTAGTATATATACTTTGGCACTTGGAACCTCATGCGCCAGCGACATCGGCCACAAACGGTCACCAGACCAGACCAGAACACCCTCTAATAGGCGGCTGCACATGCAGGTTCTCATGCACAACCGCCCGTCGCACGCACAGCGTGCCGCCAATCTTCATTTTCAGGTCCAGACGAGACAGTCTTTATCATCTCCCCGGCTCATTCAATCTCTCGACCTCTCCCATACCGGTCTGTCGAACCTAAATTCAGGACTACACATATTAGCACTGTCCCCTTCAAACCTACACGACGGAACTTTTTTCAACTTGTCTCGCCCTTGGATCGCGGGGTTCTCCTCTCCATAGTGGGGAGAATTGACGGGCGATCCACCATCGCGCCCGACTTCAATCGAATCATTCACTGGGATCGCGACGAATGCTCGACCGCCACCCAGCACTATTACATACAAGCCGACGCCAGAAGAGGGTAGAGTCACGTTCTATCGAAAAATCTGCGGCTCTAGTTCCCACTTGGCTCGCGGCGAGCATCTTCACCTCCTCCACAGCCGCGTGAACGTGTGGATATTCGCTGCCCTACAGGCTACACCGCCAGAGAGCCTTCATATCAGCTGCGTGATAGACCCGCTGGCTTCAGACACCCTGGTCCTGTTCCTGGCGACCTGCATCAAAGAAAAGGCACCATCACGGAAATTCAAAAACAAAAGACTCACTCGAGTTTTGCTCGATTTTCCCCATTTCACCTTTTGTGTCCTCCGTCCCCCGTCACCCTGTGGCCCTGGTCTTCTACACCATCCTTGACGTGCTGGCTCACCGTTCGTTCAATACATACATGTGCCCTTTGTGATCGTCAGCCCACAAGGACTTGTCAAAGCTCCCAGCCATAACCGACCAGGGACCACTCTCGCAGACCGCAACTTCTCAATTCAACGCTACCGCAACCAGGGCTTGCAGCAGACGTCCGACGCATCGCAACTTCTAGTGGGACATCGCTCTTGTCGTTACCTGGACAAAGAAATTGGAACTGGACGTGCGTGCATCGTCTTCGTCATTGTCGGTGGGCGTTCGGCGAACATGGTTCACCGACATATTCAGCAATCAAAGAAGGATTTATCGTGAAGTGAAAGGCTTCTTCTCCATTCTCTCTCCATTCACATTCTCCTGCGCGGGGAGACTCAACCACCATGACCATGCCTTATCGAACAAGCGTCCCACCGTCTCAGACGACATACCACAGCTTCCATGACATCGAATTGTACGAGCCAGCCTCGCCACCAAGGAAGACGGCACCAGCCATGCAAGAATTTGAGGTCGACAGGTCGACATCGAGCGAGGAAGACCGGTCTCCTGCCAAGTTCCAGATGAAGCGACAGGATTCTGGTTACGAGTCCTATGGCCCAGGCACCAGCCCCCGAACCTCCGTGTCTTACGGCAGACCATCACCACCGCCTCGACGCCCGACTTCAACATCAGTCCGTACTTCTACCAGCATCGTGCCTCATCCACGCACGAGGCCCACCACCCGACGTTCGACCAACAAGTCCTACCACCAACCCAACTCCTCCTCGGTGCACATTGTCCGTCCCCGCGAACCGGCGCCTCAGCCCTCAAGCTACTTTCACTTCCCGCCGCCGGACCCTTTTGCTGATGCACTCGTTGAGCACGAGGTCTCGCCACCGTCACCAACTTCACCACCACCGCAGACCACACACTACTGGACGAGCGACCAGACTCGCCGCCTCGAGTACGCGGCCATTGACGCGGCCAGCCGTGGTGTCAAAGGCTGGTGCCGTCGCAACCTCATCCCGGACTGCCTGACCGCCAAAGCAGAACGACACCTCTCCTTCGACGATGACACGGGGAGCGTGCGACGCTACAGACTGGAGCTCGAGGAAGAGGACGCGAAGAGCGTTGCGCCCAAGAAGAGGAGGACATGGCACTTTTGGGCCTAGAAGTCCTCCCTGATTCCCTTTGTTTTTCTCATGGAGCATGACAGATTGACGGTGCATTGCGAGTTGCCTTTGTGCAGCAAAGTTTGGGCATTTAAATGGCGCACTATACCCCCCAATGTCGTTGATGATAGATGATGACGATGGTGATGATGAGCAGATGGAGACGAGATATAATCTACGAGAGGCGGATGGTGGGAGCGGAGCATTGATAGCAGTTATCCGATTTGGCAGCCAGCGAGCATTAGCACATACACTTTGAACAAGATATTATCAATTAACACGCTTTGTATTCATATTTCTCTTGAGCAACTATTGGTTCTACTTTCGGCGCTTCTGCAACGCAAGGTCGAGAGTTTGTGTGTGCATCCCCATGTTACAATAGGTTGATCCGCATCGGGCGGCTGATTGAGAAGTCCCAAAACCTGGCAGTTCAGGACAAACACTTCACACCGAAGCGTTATTCTAGGAATAGACACGGAGAAGTGCGAGAATGTGCGTCGTCAAGCAGATAACCCCCAGACAGCTCGAGTGTGGGGGCGCTGGTGTGCCTGGCGTTACGAGCAAAAGCGCGATAACTTCGTTCTAGGTGATGCCCTTTGGAATGATTCATAGAGATGAGCTTACAACACGACTCACCTAGGCACACCGCATGATGGAAAGAAGATGACCGACTGCTGCCTACCCGAGGCTCAGATACTTGTTTGTATCAGGGGCTCCTTGAAGATCGAGGGCCTAAAACAACCGACCTGGAAATTGCGTGCATTCGGCAAGACAAAATACGATCAAGTTTGCTTGTTCCAAGGACTCTCCCTATCTACAAGAACAGTTGGCAGTCCTGTGGATGTGGATGTAGATGCCATGAAAGCCATGCAGGACATTCCTCGAGACGAAGACCTCAAAACATCAACACGGAACATGCTCGGACTTCAGCCGCCCTGGAAATCAAGTCGCAATACTCGCAGAGCGGTCGACGGCGGTGAGGCTTTCCGCTTACTAACGTTCACTCTGAACTCGGTATCTTCTCGTCTTCAACCTCACCTTGCCGCGCCAACCGCAGTACTACGCACGAGTAAGCCTCCCTCCTGGCAAGCTCCATAAAGGCTGGTTGCGGAAGTTGTCCGTTAAGTCAAGTTGACTCTATCGTGGCTGTGTACCTGCCCAATCCACGAGAGGAAGCTCGCTCATCACAAGCTTGGGTTTGCAAGACCAACAAACCACAATCAAGCACTTTGGGCCTCTGGACTGAGGAAGTAGACAGGCTGCCTCGCGGCGGCCTCCAAGACCGCCTCGCAGAACGGCGACTTTGTGGGCAAGCGGTGACGAGGAACTTTGCCGCGTGAGGCAGTGGCCGTATACACGTTTTTGACGTGTTGGGTACACAACATCACATCTTCGCGTACAACGTACCGCATGGCTGAGCAGTCGTCGAGGGACCACAAGTTGCCACGGTCCCTGCGCACACGAGTCGAGCCAGCCAACTATGTGATCGGACGAGGAGCCTCGGAGGACGTAGTTGCCCACCTTAAGCCACGGAAGACCACAATCATGAGCCCGACTCGTTGTCGGAAGCCCCATTTTCCAGACGCCTGCCCCAACGGAGCTACCCAAAGCCAAGACAGGGCAGTGCATCGGACGCTGCACAGTCCGCTCAGCATGCATGTAGCCCAAGGCATTAAAGCCTAATAACCTTAAGTGTCGTTGATGATGACATGATACATGCAGTATGGGAGTGCCTGGCATGGTCCCATGCTCAAGTTGCGAGGAAACTGTCCCGAAAGGCGAGAATCCGAGGAGGCGCGGCCAATCACAAAAGTCTCGCGCAATGATATCATCCCAAACGAATCTACGAGCGTCTGCTGCGCCCACGCTCCGGTGTCATCATGTCATGTTGCCAGTCCGTCTACATGCAGCGACTTGCATGCCTGTCCTTCGGGTATGATGTGGGGGGCAACCGCCCACGTCCCGGTGCTCGATTCTGTGTGATTTGGCGAGGAAATTGCGAAACCGGACGGGGGAAATGACCGTCCGTGCCAGTGCATAATTGCTTATCTAGATTTTGGCCGCGGAATCGTGATTCCATCCCAGGCGGTCGCGAAGTCGCGTTGCCAGATCGGCAGGGTGCGATTCGACCAAATTCCGCTGCTGCTACTCTCCTTCGCGCCAGCCAGTTGACTGTCGGTTAGGCGCTTGCGAAGCAGTCGTCCCCGTACCCGTTGAAGTTTACCATTGGTCATGCGTCAAGGGCATCAATTATAAGCTTTCTAAAGAGCGCCAGCAGCAAGACCAGCTGAAGTGGTGCCTGTCCTGGGCCCCCAGATGGTGAAAACTCGACCCAAACGGCCAAAGTTGCACGAATGCAAGCTTGGGCAGCACAGCCACGATGGCATGCAGCTTCACAAACCAATCACCGTCGCGATGCGGAGTCGGCCGGCGCCCCTGACTCCCACTCGGGCCCACCTCTCCCGCACACCGGAGTGTGGGAGAATCAACTTGCACAGTGTTAGCGCTGTTCACGTTGAATGAACGCCACAGGTACAGGCGGCCAGATGTGGCTGAGCAATTATCAGCCACACTTGACAAGCTGTACGACTGTTCTCGATCAAAGAGTCATCCAACAATATTCCGTATTGCAATGGCCCAAAGCGTCTCGAATGGTCTTTGAAGGACCCTCAACGCACGTGCGCATTAGAGAAAGAGGGCTGTGTGGTGTGTGGCCACGACGCTATTTGGCTTGACATTTGCTCTAGGTAATTACCACTATTGACAGTGGCAACAAACGCGCGATCGGCGCTGATATGAATTATCTTTCGCTGGTTTACCGCAACAAGAAGATCACTGGAAGTGAGTGGTCGGCATGTGAGAACTCAGGCCACTGCATTCATTGTGCTTCTCGACTCGTTATGCTCCGTAATTTGGTCATCATGCACTGCCACCGTGTACTGCAAGCAATGTACCTACGTATCACAGGGTAATAACAGGGGGTTATGTCTGGGCTACTGTGCGAGATAATGCTGCCGCACGGTACGTCATTTATCGGACCCATTCAACTTGCTCCAAAAAGGGGGCAGTGCAAGACCCTGGTCATTATTTCGGCCTGTAGCTATTGCAATCGCCACTATTGCCTGCTTTCACTGATTTGCCTGAGCCCAAGTCCCGATTCTTAGGCGATGGACTCGACGAGCCTGCCGTCCGATGCGCGAAAAGGGTGCGACTGAAGCAAGGAAATAATCAGATTGACGTCGATGCAGGGACGGAAACCCATTAGCCCGTGTGGCATCGAGGAAACCTGTGTGGGGGACATCGGGAGCTGGGGTCGCATGCACTAAGACCGCTAGTAATGCTTAGTCATGGCTTTTGAGCGAATAGATCCCTGGGATTAGCCCGCTGGCCTGCTGATTTTGTAAAACAAGCATAACCTGAGAGTGGAGCTTAGCCCGATCGAGAAGACGGGCAGAAGGACAGTGTCCGCTCCTGCCAATCCACTTCCCAGCGCACCCCCTCCCTCGGACCTAGTTAGTAAGACCCATGCAGGCAGGCAGGAGGCAGGCAGGCGGCCTACTGTACAGTGACATGGAGCGACTGGAGCGCTCTCTTTTTCGCTGGCTGCTTCAACTTCTTTTCATCTCCAGTCATCTTCGGGGCGCTACCTAACTATGACATGCTGCATTCTGGGCGTCCCTCACTCCTCTTCTTCGGCCCTTGACGCACAGTCTATCGGCGCTTAGACTGCCAGGCCTCTTTTGTTCTTCACTGTACATCCTTAGTTCATTCCTTCACCTCCCTTCAGCCCCCTTCTCTACCAGCTCTTTTCGCCTCTTGACGCAGCAGAGGCGCAGCAGTGGCATACGTTGCGAGATCAGCCTCGTCTACGGAACTACCAAGACTTGAGCGCAACCTGGACGAACCAAGAGAGCAACCAAAGAGGCGAGCGACGCTGCAGGTCCGCTGTATACATACTCCACGACCACTCGCACATTCAAAGCTGCTTGTTCCCGGCCCCCCCCCCACGCACCCGAAACTCATCAGCTTTACCGAGCTTAATCGCCATATCTTTTTTCTCACTCTCCCATCTAACCCTTTGGGCTTTCAGGCAACTTGACCCTTGCCCAACAAGACTGGTTCGCGAATCTGTTGCCCAGCATGGCGACGCCATCACCGCCCTCGACTGGCCTACCTCACCACCAACCCAGCAACAGTAACAACAGCAATACGTTATCACCACCTACACTATCACCGCCGACGCTCCAGGTGGACACATCTCGGCAACGCGCTCACAGCAATGCCGATACTGTACATTCCCGGTCATCGGGTCTCTCGAACCCGTTCCTCACGCCAGCCGCGACAAGCGCAGCCTCCAGTATCATCGAAGATCCCGAGACAGCTCTTAGGCCGGATCCTGGCACAGAAGCCGACTTCCATGTTGAGAACAACCCTTTCGCGTATACCCCCGGCCAGCTCAACAAACTTCTGAATCCCAAATCATTATCAGCATTCAAGGCGCTTGGCGGACTGCAAGGCATCGTGAAAGGACTACAAACCAATGTGCACACGGGTTTGTCGGTTGATGAGACGGAGGCGCCGACACGCGTCTCCTTCGACAGCGCGACGAAACACCACGACACTTCATCTCTGCCCGAGACAGACTCGCCGGTTGCGCACGCCCACACCGGTGGAGAAGCGTTCAGCGACCGCATTCGCGTGTTCAAGAAGAACGTCTTGCCTCCGAAGAAGCCGACGCCCTTCTATGTCTTGGTGTGGAGGGCATACAACGATGTCGTTCTCATTGTCTTGACAGTGGCCGCGGCCATCTCCCTGGCACTTGGTCTGTACGAAACCCTTGGCAGGGAACACCCCCCGGGCGAGCCAATGCCCGTCGATTGGGTCGAAGGTGTGGCTATTTGCGTGGCCATTATCATTGTGGTCGTCACGCAATCATTCAATGATTGGCAAAAAGAACGTGCTTTTGTGAAGCTCAGCGCGAGGAAGGAGGAGCGCGAAATCAAAGTCATTCGGTCCGGCAAGTCGGAGCTGATCAGTGTTCACGATGTTCTTGTTGGCGACATTCTTCACCTCGAACCCGGTGACTTGGTACCCGTTGATGGAATTCTCGTCGAAGGACACGACCTCAAGTGCGACGAATCCTCCGCAACTGGCGAATCCGATGCTCTCAAGAAGACCGGAGGCGACACAGTCATGCGCGCTCTCGAGTCAGGCCAGAGCAAGGCTGAGCTCGACCCTTTCATCATCTCGGGTGCAAAGGTTCTGGAGGGCATGGGTACGTTCGTCGCAACGTCTGTTGGAGTCAACTCCAGTTTCGGAAAGATCATGATGTCGGTACGCACTGAGATGGAAGCCACTCCTCTGCAGAAGAAGCTGGAACGCTTGGCCCTTGCCATCGCCAAGCTTGGTACCTCTGCCGCTGCTCTCCTGTTCTTCGTTCTTCTTTTCAAGTTCCTCGCCAATCTTTCGGACAACCCCGACACGCCGACTGAGAAGGCTTCGACCTTTACTGATATCCTGATCGTTGGCATCACCATCATTGTGGTCGCTGTTCCCGAAGGTCTCCCCTTGGCTGTCACTCTGGCACTTGCTTTTGCGACAACCCGCATGCTTCGTGAGAACAACCTTGTGCGTGTGCTGCGAGCTTGCGAAACCATGGGCAATGCCACAACCATCTGCTCTGATAAAACCGGCACTCTCACCACCAACAAGATGACCGTTATCAAAGGCACTTTTGGCAAGGTCAGCATCACAAAGACCGAGGGAGAGAAGTCGGAGGAAACCAGTATGGCGGACTGGAGCTCGAATTTGCCCGAAAAGACCAAGCAAGCAATCATCCAATCTGTCGCAATCAACTCAACTGCCTTTGAGGGTGAAGAAGAAGGCCGGCATACATTCATTGGATCCAAGACGGAAACTGCGCTGCTCTCCCTGGCGAAGGAATTCCTCGGCATGGGTCCACTGGCGGAAACGCGTGCCAACGAGGAAGTCATTCAGATGTTCCCCTTTGACTCGAAGAAGAAATGCATGGGCGCCGTCATCAAGCTGAAGGAGTCGCAGGGTGGTGGTTACCGTCTCTTGGTGAAGGGTGCTTCCGAGATTCTTCTCAACTATTGCGGCAGCCGAGCCAATATCGACGATCTCAAAGTTGAGGAGCGTTTTCCACGAGAGGAGCGCAAGAAGATTCGCGCTATCATCGACCAATATGCCAGCAAATCTCTTCGCACTATTGGTCTAGTGTATAAAGACTACACTCAATGGCCTCCTGCCCACGCTGAAGTGGAAGAAGGCCATGCCGACTTCGCTTCTCTCCTCCACGATCTTGTCTTCATGGGTGTCGTGGGTATTCAGGATCCCGTTCGTCCTGGTGTCCCTGAGGCTGTGGCCAAGGCCACACACGCCGGTGTCAAGGTTCGCATGGTGACAGGTGACAATATCATCACTGCGCGTGCTATTGCTACTGAGTGCGGTATTTATACCGAGGGTGGTCTGGTCATGGAGGGCCCTGCTTTCCGCAAGCTGAGTGACGCTGAATTCAACGAAATGCTTCCAAGGCTGCAGGTCCTTGCTCGGTCCTCCCCCGAGGACAAGCGCATCCTTGTGACCAAGCTGAAGGCTCTTGGCGAGACTGTTGCTGTCACCGGTGACGGCACAAACGACGCGCCTGCGTTGAAGGCTGCTGACGTCGGTTTCTCCATGGGTATCTCGGGCACAGAGGTCGCCAAGGAAGCCTCCGCTATCGTTCTCATGGACGACAACTTCACCTCGATCATCACGGCCCTCAAGTGGGGTCGTGCCGTTAACGATGCTGTGCAGAAGTTCCTTCAGTTCCAGATCACGGTCAACATCACAGCCGTGCTGCTAGCCTTCATTACCGCTGTCTACTCACCAACAATGGACCCTGTTCTGAAGGCCGTACAGCTCCTGTGGGTTAACCTGATCATGGACACCTTTGCCGCACTCGCCCTCGCTACGGACCCCCCCACGGAGAAGATCTTGGATCGTCCGCCCCAAGGCAAGAAAGCACCCTTGATCACCATCAACATGTGGAAGATGATCATTGGCCAGGCCATCTTCCAGCTGGTCGTGATCTTGATTCTCTATTTTGCCGGCCCCGAAATTCTGAACTATGATCGCTCCGACCATCACAAGATGAGGGAGCTTGACACTGTCATCTTCAACACCTTTGTTTGGATGCAAATCTTCAATGAGTTCAACAACAGGCGTCTGGACAACAAGTTCAACATATTCGAGGGCATTCACCGTAACATCTTCTTCATCATCATCAACATGATCATGGTCGGGCTCCAAATTTGCATCATTTTCGTCGGATCGCGCGCGTTCGCCATCAGCGATGGTGGCATTGACGGAACCCAGTGGGCTATTTCGGTCATCGTGGCCCTCATGTGCTGGCCGTGGGCCGTCTTGGTTCGCTTGTGTCCGGACGCGTGGTTCGAGGTTGCCGCCAAGACTGTCGGAGGTCCCTTTGCCCTCGTCTACCGCTTTCTGCGCAAGGGCTGGCGCGCAACAATCGGCCGCCTGTTCAAGCGCTCCAAAAAGGACGACGCCGATGGCGAGGAGAAGGATGCTGCTGATACCGCTGATATCAATGAGCACACCGTCACCGAGGAGAAGGTCAAGGACCTCGAGAACACTTCGAGCCCGGCTGCGAATGTTCCCATCATTCACGTACCAGATGAGATGCCTGCGACGGAGAATGCTCCTGCGATAACGACCACGGCCCCTGAGCCACCTCGGGTCGAGGTCACATCGGATCATGAGCTCCCGAAAACCTCATAATTCTGTTTTGTTCATATTTCTTGGAGTTGGTGGCTTTGCACTATAGTGCCGTGATTTTTCACATTTCAATTCACGGATAGATCATCACTGCGCGGACATTTTTCGGATGGCATTCACAGTCAGCAACCGTTCGGTGCTGATCCTCGCCATATTCATGTTGGCAGTGCCCGGTGTGGCAAGCATATAGACAGTGGTAGCGAATTATCAAACGTATCGCTGAAGGATCTTTTGTGTCTTTCTCGAACAACTTTTCGAAACACGGAATTACCAGTGCTCCTCCTCTTTGTTGACTTTGTTACACACTCCTTTGCGTTGACCTCCAACAAGAAACTTCAGGCAATCAAATCAGACAAAGAGACACGACAAAGCACAATCAAGAACTCGCCGGTTTTTAGAAGAGCATTGTCTTCAGGCTGACAACGAGGACAAGAAGTCGACCATAGACACCGCTTGACACTCAAAAAGGGCCACTGGCCCAGTCCTAACGCACATTTCCTTCGCATCTCTAGACTCGATATACGCGAACAAGCTAACAAATTTTCAAGATGTGTATCACACTAACTGTTCATCACACCACATGCCCCTCGAACCAGCCAATCGTCCATATCCCTGAGACGCAATTCGACATCTACCACCCGTTCCACGAACCGAGCTGCGACTGCGCGCAGCTAGTACCTGAAGGGCGCGAATGGGTCCGATCATGCAATAGCCATGGACCCTGCTGCAAGACTTATAGCATGGAGATATGCGACAACAGGGTAAAGTATGGGTATTACAAGTGCCTCAAATACCAAGGCCAAGCCCATCTGGTGCTACGCTATGGGTCCAGAGGCCCTTTGACCGGCTCGACAGTGTCCAAAGACTTGCCCAAGGAGCCTAAAATTCTTGGAAACCAAGACTATGCCGATGCTATCATGCGAGTACTGCATGAAGTCCTCGAAACAGGGGTTGCGATCCGAGAAACGCAACAGAAGGAGCACATTGCTTGGCCTTCTGACAACGAGGATCTGAGAAATGGGCTACTATCGAAGCCTGAACACCATCAACTTGCCCAGGAATGGGAGACTAACATTACCGCCTGGCGGAGGATGTGCCTTCAGGTTGCCGACTTTCCGCCATACCACCGAGCGAAAGCCACGGGCGAGGACTGGCTCAAAATCACTGCTTTGCCACAATGGCTCGCTGCTTTCAGAGCGAATCTCGTTGACTACACGGAAGAAGAGCGTGTTGAGCTGGCAGACAATCCAGACGTCGAGTGGTTGAGTTTCCCAGAGGATAATGGTAAGTGTCCCCCCTTTTGCTTTCGAGTTTGGAACAAGCTAAACAGAGAACTGCAGATTTCAGCAACAAAATAATCAAGGAGATAAATGACTTTTCCAAAATTGTATCAGACATGATGAGTTTCATCGACACAATTGAGTACGGCAATGAACTTGACACCGAGGGGGAATCTCTCAGCAACCTGTGCACACCGTCGTGTGACAACCGCTTCGTTATGGAATCTCCCTGCGGTACCACATTCGTCATTGACAACGAAATGGAGTCTGATGTCATCCATGAATGCGGTGATGAGGCTTCTCAGACCGAGCTGTCCATGGCTGAACCCGATGAAGGATCCTTCAGCATCGACATTCATCGGGGATGTGAAGATGAAGGTCAACATGGGGAACCCTTGCTCCCGTATGTGCTGAATCAGTGCCGCCTTCACGGCGAGGAAACAGGGGTTGGTCAAGCATGGCATATTGTGCTTCGACACCTATATGCCAGCGGCAGTCTGGACACTGAGATCGCTGCCCTCTGCGAGGAAGCAGGTTTGGTACTTGATATGTATCAAGAGGCTGCCGACGCGAAACAGGAGCAGCGAGCAGGCGAGCTATATGATGAAGCCTCCATGATCGCCAAGTTCCTCCAGGAATACAGGGAACGCGACTTACAATACCAACTCGACACAGGATCTTGTGCATCCGAGCCCATCTACGGCCCCACTGCGATGTCCATTCGTCGACCAAGGTTTAACAGAGCGTTGGAAAGACATGCCCGGCTGCTGGGTATCGAGAAGGCGTATCTGACACTTCCTCCCCAGGAGCTATACGTTCACATGCTCAACGATCCCAATACCACAGCACTAAGCATCGAGGAGATTCTTGAAGGCCATATGGTCCCCCCCTGGGGAGCTGTTTCACTCGCGTCCCGTGCGCCTTCTATGGGTGAGCGTGAGCTCGACAGCGAGGACTGCCTAGACGCTGTTCGTCGACCGCAGAGCGATGAATTTAAAATCCGAGGCGCGTCTGGGGCGTCAGCAACAAACCATACCATGGACAAGCAAGTCACAGATGGTATGACCGATCAACAGCTGAACACGCCGTCGGGCTTCATCAAACGAAAGTTCAGTAAGGCGCCACCCTGGAGACAACACGCCATGGTCACAAAATCATTGCATCCCACAGCAGGTCCTTCTGCAGAAAGCGATGTGACCCACAACATTGTCGAGGCTGAGAGCTCGCCTCCCCTGAGTCGTAGCGGTGTCCAGGGCGAACAAGGCATCGAGATTCCACGACATCTGTCAAATGAGTCATGTATTTTCGTATCTTCTGACCCAGAGGAGTCAAATGAGAAGCCAGGAACACCACCCACTGGACTTATTGACCTTGAGAAGCCTTCTATCCCAGAGGTTCCCGAAGAGCACGAAGATCTAGGATATGAAGCGGGCTACGAATCAGTGACCAGCTCTGAAGGCCATGTGACACCTCTGAGCACTGCACCAAATATGCCGACGCTTTCTCTCCTCGGTGGCTCTGCTTCGGGGGCTCCAGACCGATCAGAGCGACCGCGTACGCGACATGGATGCGCCACGAGACCCAGCGGCTCCCATCGATTCTCGCCGTGCGCCCGACCACAAGCTTCGAACGTACAAATCTTCAAGATGCGATCGACTGGTTCGAAATCCCGCACATCGATATCTTCAAGTGAAGGGTCGACCGACGCTCCCCCTCACCGGGGCCGTCGACCGGCAAGAGGGTACGTACATCTTCCTGAGAGCGATGGTGACAAAGCACCGCCCTCAAATTCCACGGCCCCATGTTCATCAAACTCGACCAACAAGCCTAGCTTGACCTGCGAGGAGCGCAAGGCTTCTCTGGGCTGCAGTTACTCTGAGCCCTCGTTGCCTGGATCAGACACATCAAGTGATGGCATGATCCCCGAGGAACAGGCACCTTACAGCCCTACATCAGCCTCGTCCTCCGATGTTTCAAAAATCGAGGAGCCTACTTTGAGTGCATCTAGCTGTTCGAGTGAACCTTTGGACGAGAAGTCACGCTCAAACAAGCGCAAGCGCTCTGATAAGCCTGAAACCGAAGGGCCCTTGCACAAGAGAGTCGCTGGGAAAGGTCCGAGGCGAACACCTGTGAAGACAGTGGCGAAGATGGCGTCTGTGCCCAGGAGGGAAAGCCCGCGTCTCAGAGGTAAGGCGAGACGTAATTATTGTGAGTGATGGGTAGACATACGTAGTAAGTATTCGTTGTTTGCATTGGGGCATACAGGAGTTATAGCAATTGTCGTTTCCAAGCTGCTTCAAACGGTTTGTGATAGTCCTTCGTGAACGCGGACGCACCATGATCAGACCCTAGGCCTGACTTTGACCTGAAAGTTGATGGGCCTGACATTGAACCATCCATCCATGCCCACTTGCTCGATGTTGTAGTTCTCGTCCACCATCTCAAACTCAATCTCACGCAGCAGCATGGTGAGTACAATCATGTTCCACAGGAGAGCATAGTGCTTCCCGATGCATTCACGCTTTCCGTTGCCAAACCACCTTGTCGCTGCGCGTGGAAGCTTCTCAAACTCGGGACTCATCATCCTTTCCGGCTTGAAAGCCATTGGGTCCGGGAACACGGTGGGATCACGGTTGACACCAGCCAGTACCAGGATGATCGGCTGGTCGTGTGGGATCTCGTACTTGCCCCCGGCGAGCTGAATGGGCGACTTGTTGTCAGAGGGGACGGGCTCAAGATTGAAGCCTGGGGCCGGGTGTCCCAGTCGCAGCGCTTCGCGAACAACGCCTTCCCCATAGCATAGCTTAGGGATATGATCCATCGTGAGGGTTTCTTTGCCGACCACCTGGTGGATTTCTTCCCTTGCCTTGGCCATCACTTCCGGGTTCTTGAGGAGATAGTAAATGGCCGATGTGATGAGGCAAGGCGCCGTACTGCTGCCAATCGGCATGGAGACGATCTCGTCAATGATTTCTGAATCAGTCAAGGATTTACCTGTCTCGGGGTCCTTGTGCTCCATCATCGCAGACAAGAGGTCCTCTCTCTTCGTAGGGTTCTGCTTGCGGTAGTCGACCATATCCTGGGCATATGCGCGCATGGTGGCTGTGCTGCGCTTGAACTTCCGCCAGTAGAGGAGGAAATTGAGGATGCCCGGACGAGTAGGTCTCATGACCGCTTCAGCAGTCGAGTTCTCCATGCCCTGAATCATGGGGTGTTGCTTGCCTTCGAGTCCATTCAATTTCTTGCCATAGAGCGTCAACGTGGTAGCTTCGAGGTTGAGCCGGTTGAGCTGCTCTACCAGCGTGATCTTATTGCTGCTGTCGCCCAGGTCCTTCCACAGGTTGATGAGCTCAGAGGTAGTGTCCCGCATCTCTTCAAAGTGTAGCCTCATGGCTTGAGGTGACAGCTTCGGGGCAATGATTCGATGAGCGATGCCCCAAGAAGCCTCGTGATCGTAGGCCGTGAAGAGGGCATCGTGGACGGCGTACCGGATCTCTTCGATAGGGCCACCAACATACTTCCTGAAGCCTGTTCTGCATTAGCATAACGACGCAAGCTGATTGTGAGGGAATCGCACGTTTCTCGTCGGTGACTTCTTCAGCTAAATCAGCGCCCGCAACAAAGACAATGCTGTGTCCAAGGACAGTGATCTTGAAGATCTCGCCGTATGTCTCGGCGAGCTTCTTGAGGGACGCCCAGGTGTTGCTCGGCTTCACATCCAGGACATTGCCGAGCAGTGGCAGGCCTTTTGGCTGAGGAATCGGTTGCGCCATGACTGCGATGATATGTGGCTTGGCTTTTGAAGAAGTCGAGGAAGCGAAGCAACAGCGAGGGGGACGTCAAAAAGTATCTAACGTTAGGCGTCGGCTGATGATCACTGCTAGGCCGACGTGCCACTGGGAGCTCGCATCTTGTCTCACTTTAGCCCAGCCACCGTCATCGGTCTTGTGTTCAGCTGTGCATTCACACGAAGCTCTACCCTTTTGGTGCCGACGATCATGGTGCTACTGCAGCTGCACCTGCAGCTACGGCAAAGGGGATGGGACTACTGCTCATTCCAGCGCAATGCCCACAGTAGCCCATCGTTGTTCATCATTCAAGTTAGCGGATCGGTGAAAGCTGGAAAATCATCATCACGGATGCTGTCTAAAGAGTTGCTTGCATTGGCGCGGCGTTGTACATTAGCTCGCGCTAGATGCGGGACGCGGACGCAGCCGTGGGCATGGGGCGTACAGAAGCTGCTCGGCAACTTGAGTCGCTTGACCCTCATGAACCAACCATCGACCGTGCTTTACAATCGTTGTTGCTTCTGATGAAGACGGTACAGTGAGACGGTCTACGAAGGCGCCCGCTAAGTCCGATCTAGCGGATGGTTGATCGACGGATCGTGGACGGACAACGTGACACTGTTTAGCGAATGTGAGCAATTCGGATCCAATGGAACATTTTGGCAGCCAAAATCGCGAGTCGCGACTGGAAGAGTCGATACATCCAGGAGTCCAGCTTCCAGAGTCCAGAGATGTGAAAAGCGGTGATGTGTGATGACTAATCAGGCGCCCCACCAGCATCCCCAACTTGAACCTCCCAAGCTCGACCTCCTCCAAACGCGTGCCCCTGACACGTCTCCCGCCCAGTCCACCGCATCACCCCTCCAACAACCGCAATCATGACGCGCGCGCAGCAGACCATTTCGCTCGCTCTTCTCGTCTCCTCGGTAGGTCGCGCGTTCTAGCTGCTCCGGCAGCAAGGCTTCATCCGCAGGAACACCAGTAGCAGCTAACATGGACAGTTGTATCTCGCCCTGTTCTTCGAGTTGATCCCGCTTCCCGCCCTCGTCCAAGAACAAATCGTCCCATTGGTACGCTGTGACCCTATCAACCGACTTGTACTTCAGCCGAGAATGGTTCTGACAACGCACAGCTCCCATTCTGGGCCCTCGTCTCATTTGGAGCTCTCCTCCTGTTCCGCCTCGGATACGGCATCTTCACATTCAACGACGTTCCGGCCGCGCATCAGGAGCTCATGAAGGAGATCGAGCTCGCCAAGGTCGACTTGCGAAAGTTGGGTGTGGATGTGGACTAAATCTTGCCTCGACTGGCCAAGAAGGGAAAGAAATGTCACAAACACGGACGAGGTAGATGGAGGAGGAGCATGATAGCATTATGCGGGGGTATCTGCGAATGCAAGAAAAGACAAAATAATCAACGCGACAACGCCTCGCTAAATTAAGCATACCATACCAATGGCTGTCCAACATTGTGGGCGTCCGTCACGATTCGCCGACGAGCAGTGATACCACCTTGCGCACTGCAACCCGCGGCTGCTCACCTCCCTCGATGAGATCCTCGAACAATTTCGGCAATTTGCCCAACACGCCTTTGGTATCTGCTTGGCGCCCTGCGGGCTGTTAGAGAGGGATACAACGCAGGCAGGGGTGGAACAACTCACATTTCCCGGGCGCCCCGAGTAAAACGGCGACTTTGCTGTGCGCCTCGCCCGACCATTCAAAGTCGATCTTCCATTGAAATCGCACCGATGCTGCTGATGGTGATGATCCACCCGGCGATGGAATCTGGATGTCGAATGCTTGTTTCCCCATATAGAGCAAGAGGTCCGTATGGCTTGGTGTCATCTTGTTGTCATCCTCTCCATTTTGCTCTTCAGCCCTCCTTTTCCGTGGCTTGGGAGCGCGCAATTTCTGGTTCATCTCGAGGATGGCTTCGGCCGAGCCGAGCTCAGCCTGCATTTGACACCAGAACTGTGCTCTCTGCTCCGCTACACGCACCCATTCACCCATTGCCCAAGACGCGATCCCAATGTTCCTCTGCATACTTCGGTTGCATTGCCCAGTGCATATTTTCTCCAAAAAGGGGCCGAGCTCGTTCTTTGCGCTTGGCTCGAGTGTTGGAACATCCAGTGACGTGATGCGAAGTTGATGTACATCAATGGTCAGCTCTATCTTGGCGGCAAAGAGTCCCGGTGCACGCCGTGAGCGTAAATGCACCGTATAAAACTGCTGCAAGGGTTGATCCGCGGCAGTGGGTGCCATAGACATCGCACCCAAAACTTCGAATGGGCTGAACAGTCGCAAAAAGGGCAACTCCTCTTCGGCTGTCATAGGCACAGGTCGATGCGACTTGATGCGGGCTTTGTCTTTCTCGGCTTCATTCGATGGTAGCACAGACACGGCCGGCTTGGCGAACGGTATAAGGGCCATTGGGTTCAACGCTGCTTTCGCCAAAAGATGCGACTGCGCCGGGCGCGAGTCCGCACCGCCAGGCGCATAATGCCGCCTGAGAATTCGCTGGATATCGTCCTCTTCCGAAAGCGACACTATCCGGCCAGCTTTCTGCAGTGCCCTTATCCTCTCATTTTGTCGTCCCGTCACCTGCAGATCCTTTTTCAGACTTGCCAATTCCGCTTTCAGCGCCTCAAGCTCTCTCCGCTTGTGCGTGTTTTCGTCAAATGCAGGTAAGTTTCGGGCGTTGTCAGACTCTTCAGATAGCACAGTGGTCTGTCTCAGTCGACTCGGCTGAGTAGCTGTTCCGAAGAGTTTCCTCTTGGACGGCGAAGCCATGGCATTCTCCATGTCAGTATCTGGGCGTACTGGAGGGTTCTTAAGGGGCGAGCTCGGCTTGGTCTTGGATTTGAATGTGCGCCGCCGCGATGGACTACTGCTGCTGTGTATGCCCCTCGGAGGCGTCGACGTGACAGGATCGTCGACAGACGGTGGGAGGTCCGGTTCTGGAGCTGGCTGTACCGCTGCCGCGTCTCCCGAGCGCCGCAGGCCGCGCCTGGCGAAAGGATCGAACTCTTCCTCGTCCTCGTCCGCCGGCCGGGGTAACGGTCGTGGGGCTGGCTTCGCAGGCGATCGCATAGGCAAGGTCCGGCGTACCGGGCTAGGAGATTTGGACGGGGACGCCGACATCCTTCTTTCAAGAATACTCGGGTTGAAGCGCGCCATGCTGGTCTTGGTAGGCGATGCATAGGACGGGCGATTGGTCCTTGACTGTTGCGACGAGGGCCGCGGCGCGTCAGTTGCCTCGCTGTTGTCGTCATTGGGGGGCGATGTTCGCCTTCTTTTGGGCGAAGGCGCATCCATAATTGTTCAAAGTTGTCGTTCAATGCGACATGGTGTGGCCTTGTGAACAATTGAATTATACTGGTAGAGATATTGACAACATCCTGCCTCGAACTGGGGGTAGGACCATAAGTCGCGGCAGTAAGTCGCGTCGGAAACAAACAATGTGGGCTTCACCGCCTGCCTCTTTTAGCTGCACGTCGCTACTATCAGTGATCAAGTTCCTGCACCAAGCTCGATGAACCACAATCTGTGTATCTTGAGGTTTTGAACTAATTCAATTACATACATCCCACTATACGTACCATCTTGCAAGAATTGGTCGATTTCATAGGATTGCTTGGCAGCTGTGGTCGGTCACGTGCCCTGGCTAACCGAGGGTCGGTCGAGGTCCCCCGAAATCCGGCGCGTGCTTCCGCAAATTTACGACGTCACTCTCGTTTTCTCCATTTGCTCTGCCAACAGTGTCCACCCTCCTGCCGACAGCTTCATCCCTCTCTTTCACAAGCACTCGTCGCGGCCATGTCTCTCACTATGAGGATCGCGCCCCAGCTGCGCGCCATCAGCCAGGTGGCTGCGACGCCCGTGGTGACACGTACCTTCACTACCAACACCCCCAACACGAGGGAACCCAACGACCCCCAGACCCAGCGTTTCCCCATTGGCGCCTTCTACCAGGCCATGCTCGACTATCCCTCGCCCTTTGGCTTCGACACCAAGCCCGAGGTTCCTCCCAAGTCCGCCGACCCATCTGTCCAGCCTGCGGAGGAGCCCGCCGCCGGCAAGAAGAAGCCCGGCCGCAAGGCCAAGACCGAAAGTACGCCACCTCCTACCTCCTCACTTCCCCCTGATACGAGCACTGCTGAGGAAAAGGCCCTGCGGGTGTTCGGTAAACGCTTGGACGGCGAGAAGGACATTGCCGCGCACAGTGCGAACAAGAAGAACCAGTCGCGGTTAATAGGGGGCGTGCTGGTGCCGCCAGAGCCCCAGGAGCCGGACAACTGTTGCATGAGCGGGTGTGTCAACTGCGTGTGGGACCTCTTCCGGGAGGATATGGAGGAGTACCGGGCGAAGCGATTGGAGGCCGAGTCTGCATTAAAGGCGGAGGATGGAGGGGCAGGCGATGTGATTACCACAACAAAAGAGCAACAGCCCATAGCGGGAATGAAAGTTGGTGATTCGACCATCATTGGCAAGGATACGTGGGAAGATGATCTGTTCGCGCATGTGCCGGTCGGTATACGAGAGTTCATGAAGCAGGAAAAGAGATTGAAGGAGAAGCATGCAAAGGAACAGCAGGCAACCTGAAGTTGGGAGTTGGAGTCCGCACTCTTGGATAGAGATACCCTCACGACAGGCACGACTACAACATAGCATAGAACAGCGAATAGAATTGTTTGTGCTCTTAGACTGGCACACCGGACTCCTTGGCTAGCCTGTCGTGCTCCTCAATGTCACCGGCCTCCCAAGGGTAGCAGATCCACTCGTCGCCGACCGTGCGCGCAGCGTGGTAGCGACCCTCCTCCATCATATCGTTGGGGAGGACGCCCTTCTTCTGCTTGTCCTTGTTCTGCGAAACACTGTTAGTCTCTATCCGTACCCGTGACGTGGCGTTGACCTACATGCAGAACAAAGATGCTGAACTCTGTCTTGGGCTGGTTGCCTCCAAGGCGCTGCCTCGCGGCCTCTACATCCTTCTCGAGCTCCTTGACGGCGTACTCCAGGGTCGTACGGGTATCATCCACCTCGTCCACGATCAGGATCCTCTTGCCGACCAGGTTGGCCATCTCGCCCAGCGAGCTGAGATCCAACCACTGTGTGCGCGTCACCTTGGTACCGGGAGCCTCGACCTGACCATCGCCCTCTGCGCCGAGCGTCTCGTACAGGGACAGACCGATGGCTTGGATGGGGATGTTGGGCGAACCGGGCTTCTTGAGGAACGAGCGCAGAATGCGGGCAGGCACGTAGCCGCCACCACCGATGGCGATCATGAGCTGGGGCTTGCAGTCGGCCAGGAGCCTGTCAGCCGACTGCTGGCAAAGCTTGTGGACATCGTTGTACGTGACGTAGACTTTTTGGACCATGATGGGCAGATTTTTTGTATTTGTACGAGGTCGATTACGTTGCAAAGAACGACAATGTGGGAGTCGGCGGCGCGAGGAGATACGTGTGATTATCACGGTGACAACGTCCGGACCGGTGGAGTAGTCGAGGGTTGCCCAAGAGGAGAGAGAGAGAGGAAGGGAGGGAGAGGAAGCCGAGGATGCGGTCAGATTTAGGGTTCTTTTCAAACTTTGGCCAGCAGGCAGACGCCGCCAGCGTCTTGGTGGTGCTATCCGTCTCTCCCCGCGTCTCTGTGTCTGTGACTCTGATCTTTTTTTTTTCTTCGCTGTGACTGCCCCTCCAATCCCCACAATTTACTTGCGCCCTCCAATGATCTCATGCCATCGTGGGATGCCTTGATCTTTTGTCTTTGAGATGTCGGCGAGCGCCGAAGAGGCCGTGTGTCAGTCTGGTGGGCGAGGCAAAAAAGCTCAGCAACTACGATGGGAGATGATGACGACGGCTATCGCACATTTCGTGGGTATGCACGACAGCATTGATAGTAAGTAGTACCTTGCTTGAGGTTGTGTTGTACAACAGAATACAATCACCCTTTGTGTCATTGACCCCACCAACATCTAAGTAGTACTCAGGCTATCAGTCTATCACCGCCAAAAACATCACACTTTCTTCGCCAGGCCCGACAGCATGCATCCAATTCACAGCCCTCCTCTGTGCCCTGTCTCAGTGCAACCCCCAGACAGGGGTGTCCTGCTCCAGTCTTAATCATTCCAGATCAATTCAAATTCCTACACCAGTTCACAAGCTGACCTTATTTCGTGCATGTGAAATTCACTACATCAATCAGGCACGTTTGCTTCTGGTGGCGGCGAGTATCCACGTATGTGGACGATGCTAGACACCACAGCGGGCACGGAAATCTCACTGTTTGAATGAGCGGTTGCTGTGGTACTCTTAGCTTTGTTCGGATATCCAGGCACCACATCGCGGACTCCTCCAACTCGGACTACAGATCGCAAGCACTCAACTCTGGACAGCGACACTTTCCCGGCTCAAATGTCGAGAAGCCGCTGGTTCACAGGCAGAGGAAAGTCCAGCACGACGCAGCCGTTACTCTCGCCTTCTGGGTCTATCGGCCTAGGGAGACGCTGAGACCCAGTCGAGTCAAAAGTTGTGTCATCCAAAGGCACGACGACACAATTGGCAACTGTGGACTTGGTCCATCCGTCAGAAGCTAACAAAACCTCTGCGCGTGTGTGCGCCTGAGGCTGGTCCGCAAGACGCATGAGCTGGGAGTGTTGCGTCTCATCGCCGGCTGGAACGTAGTACAGCATTCTCTGGGTTGCTTCTGAATGCTCCCTGATTGCGGTTGACCGAGCTGCCACTCGCCCACAGAAAGAACCATTTTACGTGCAGTATCTGTGCGAGTATCTAGCTAGCTTTGCCGACAATGACTTCCGGCGATGCCGAAAATCCCTGGACTGGCGCGTCTCCTGCCTGGCGCACTTTTACCCCGTTATCGTGTACGCTGGGCATTATCGATGGAACCACATGCTCCTGCTACAACCAGTGAGAATGGTGTCCCCGAAAATCTGAAGCGCATGGGGCCTAACTGAAGATCCAGTTTACTTCCAGAAACTTTTACTATGAACCCTTCTTCGGGTTATGATGATTTTCCCAATGGTGTACCTAGATATCACCAGCATCTTTCCAATACCATCATAGCATGCTCGTCCGCACGCTCTTCGTCTTCACGCTGATCCATTCAGTTCGCACACCGAGCCTATGGAATTCAGAGCACAATCTGTGTAACCAGCTGCGGGCTGTGCGGGTAGGCCCGAACCTTATTATGTGCGACATTATCGATGGATGCTTGGGGGCGAGACAACATGTGTGTACGGCAAGCCGGGATGATCGGATGTAAGCCGCGTTCATCGCATGCTATTTTGATGGGATGGAAATTCAGGGTCCAAATTCAGGGTCCAAATTCAGGGTCCAAAATCAGGGTTCAAAGTTCAAACTTAAAGACCCTTGTTGGGCCGCTTACATGCAATGAACCCTTCGGCTCAAAGTTTATATTTCTCGTGAGCTCACGCGGCGGAGGGAATACACCAGGTAGAACGAATATCAGCCTGTGCCAGGATCATATCCCCATAATCATTCATGACATGGACAATTCACTGGGAGTACATATAGTACAACACATCACAGTGACAATTCAGTTGATGACAATTGTGTTGATCATTGATAGTAATAACAGTGTATACGTTCTCCAAGGAAATATGATCGCTTGTGTGCTCCTACGCACATAAACTTTGCCAACCGAAATCCAAATCCTCCAATCCGTGCACCGTTGTTGTTTTTGTGGTTTTTTGAGTTTTGTTGAGGACATAATGTCCACAGCACCCTTGCGAACTGACCACAAATGTGTGACTCAAAAGCATCCCCAACGCTGTGATAGAAACAGGACACGTAGTCAAAGACAGATCGCCTTGAAGCTCATGGGCTTCTGGCGGGGGGTATCGTGGTGAAAATTCGACTCGCTTGTGAGCTGAAGAGCTCCAAAAAAGGGGTATCGTTGTCTTGCTGAACAGAAGGAAATCTCTGACGTTGCCGTCTCGTAAAAGGCAGGTCCTCGCCTAGAGGTGGAAGCCCTGGTTGAGGAGGAATTCGCAACCATTGCCGGCGTACTTGACATCGGCGGCGTTGCAGACAACGCGGCGATGGCACACCCGGAGGCGAAGAGCAAGCTTCCAGCGCTGGATGAAGAAGCTGCGGCGGTCCTCGAGGCGCTGGAGGAAATTGTCCTTGAACTGAGCGTGGTGCTGCTTGATCTGCGCCCACTTCTCATCGGAAACCTCCTCAAAGGCGAGAAGGAGGTCCTTCAGGCGGGCGTCGTGGCACTTGTACATGTCCAGGCACTCTTGCTTGACGGTCTTGACATCAGTGGCCCGGTCGCGGGGCAGAGAGTACATGCAAGGCGCATTGGTGTTGTAGTAGCGACGGATGCCAGCAATGGAGTCCTTGGTGGCCTTCTCGGCCGCGACGACATAGTCATGCATCTGGTTGCACAGAAGCTCGTCAAAGTCATCATGAGCAAATTCAATGACCTCCGTCTGGGTACCGGAAGTCATATCCTTTGTGACCCTCATGGCGGCGGCCTGCTTGGAGCGAGAGATGGCGTTGTTGAGGCGACGGCGAGCTTGAGCGGTGTGGCCAGCGGCGACAATGGCAGCGTGGTTGAGAGAGTTGAGAGACATCTTGATGAGAGTGTAAGATGTGACTACTGAAAGCCGGTAGTTGCTTGGTGATGAAGTAAAGCGAAAAGACTTGAAGTGCAAAGTCTTGGGTAGCTGGGGAGCCGGTTGTGGTATGAGCTCAGAAAGAGAAAGTGAGTTGTCAGAGTGAAGATAGATTGTCTAATAGACGGGGGAGCAGGTGCTTTAAGTAGTAGAAGCACAGTGCAACAGTCTGTCAGATATCGAGCTAGTGAAGGCTTGAGAGCGAGTTCGTCTGTGAGCTGAGTGAGCAGTATAGAGAGCTTGGATCGTAGATGTAGGAGGAAAAAAGAAAGTACTTCCAAGGCAGGGGGGGCGGGCTTTTATTCTGTTTTCAGGGTCTCGCAATCAGCCAGGGTCTTAAGGTTCTTGAGATCAGTCAGGGTCTTGAGGTCGTTCAGGGTCCAAAAGCTAAAGTGTCACGCGGCGACTAGGCTTTGATGTCAAGGACCCTTGTAGGCAGCATACACTACAGAATTGGAAAGAAGCTTCGCCGGCTCGCGTCAAAAGCCAGGAGATCCAGGGGTTAGTTTGCATAGTCTTGAAGTTGATTAAGGGTCCAAAAGCTTACCGCCTATCACAAGCAGCCTCATAGACAGCATACAGCACAGAATGGGAGGGAAGCTTTGCCGGCTCGTGTTAAACCCAGGAAATATTGGCGTATCTTCGTATTGACGTTTTGTATCAAGGACGAGTTCCCAACCTAGCTTCACGTAGGTTTGTGTAGACATTGTTTGATTTTCTGCTGTTCTAGCCGGCAACAACGGAGTATTTGCCAGAGGCCCTGGTGTCTCACGAGCATACCATGCCAGGCTCCTCCACGGAGAGCTCGGAATGCTCACAGCCTCCGTCTCTTTCGGCGCAGTTGCGAGCCATCACATGGCTTCAGCCCATTGTCGATGCGAGGAGTGGGTTCTATGTGGTGGTTTAGAGGTATCCAAGCTAGTCTGCCGCTCCTGCCGGCCCTGCAAATGCACCACGTCCGCAATCAGTTTCCAAACCCGCAGAATTATGCTGCAGCAGCACTGAGGTCCACGAGCTCCTTGCCCTGCTTCAAGTCTGCAAACCCATAAGCCTTGCTTTCCGGCGGTAGCGTGCCGTCAGCAGCCCACATGTCCACGAGTGGCTTCATAGGCTCGAGATCCTCCGGCCTCAGCAGGTCCAGCGTCGTTGCCGTCAAGACAAAGTGACTGAAGCAGCTGTTGAGTTGCTTCTCCAGGTTCAGCTGATAGAATGGGTCGAGGAAGTGGTCCCAGTACAGATGAGCGTAGACGCGGAACATCTGTAGGAAGATGGTGCGGCAGATGCCAGGGAACTCTTTCGGGAACCCACTCCGCTTTCCAATGTATTCGTCGGCACCATTGGCCTCGGGGTTGGCAGCATCAGCATAGGGTGCTGAGGACACACCAGCTGGGTCTGACGGGAAGAGGTTTGTGTCATCAATCTTGCCTGAGATCCAGCGCTGCATAAGTGTCATATACTCGTATGCAGGTAGCTCAACTGGCTCGTGACGGCTGTTCAGCCAGGTGTATGAGGTGCTGCTTCCAGCTGACATTTTGGGGCAGCTTTGACGGTTGCAAATTGATGTGCCATCCTCATCCTTCTCAACCACCACGCGTACAAAGTTCCACAGCACCCTATAGTGCTCGACAACTGGGGTTTCCCTTAGCATATAACGTGAAGCACCAGCGGTTTCTGGACTTACCCTGATGAGCTATCCACTCGCCCTGGTCAACTGTCTTGGGCCTCGCGCTGAGCGTCATGAAATTACCCTTGACAATGTGCTTCGCACAAGCGCGACTCAGCCAGGCAGGCAGAGGCCGTGGCCAGCTGGACACAGGTCCATCAAAAGGCAGGGGCCCCGATGCAACAGCGCCTGCAGGCGTAGGCGTTGCCGCTGGTGATGAGGATGCGGGAGGCGGCAGGAGGGGTCCCTCAGCCGGGCCGGGACTCCTCTCGGTACGGCCCGAGGAGCCTCGGAAGCGGGCATTTCTGCATCATCAGCACATTTCCAGTCAGTCTCAGAAGAGCCTGTTCTTACATTCCGGAAATGAAGTTGGACATGACCGATATTGTTGTGCGTTTGGTGAAGTGAAGTCAAATGCGGTGGTGGGCCAGAGGCTAAAGCGGTCAATGGCAGTGGCGGCCGGCGGTGGACCCTTGTTTAGAGGGGCACCTTCCGTCCAGGGGTCCGAGCTCAACTGTGGCTGGTGAAGGTGGCTGAGGCAGATAGGCACCTGTGGCTTGGTAACGCATCTTTACTCCCGAGTGTCCCGACTCCTACAGGCTTCCCCATTTTCAACAACGGACAGGATCTGTCTTCACAAGTTCGTAGTAGTGCGAACTCTTGTACACTCGCGACTTTCCAAGAGCACAAGGAAACACATGTTCACAAGTATATGCCCTCGATCTGAACTTGAAGGACACCTCGTCAAGAACTTGACTGATACACATCGCAACGTCCGAAAGCCAGTAAAATGGCGCGGCTCTCACTCTGTAACAATGCAGAGCCTTTTACACCATCGTTCAAAATTGTGCACTGGCGTTCTCTCCTTCAGAACCGAGATGGGAACACCAATTTCTAGAAGACTCTGATGGACAAAGATGCCACGCGGGAACAGCGAACAACGACTTGGTCGATTTTGCTACAAGTATCTCCAAGATGCACTGCTCTTCGCTATCCGAGTCACTCGCTACTGCAATTCCCTGACGAGAAGAGCGATTCGGGAATCCCTCCATCACAACTGAACTCGTTATACACTGGTGATTCAGGTACTCGGAAGGAACACAAAGGCCTGAACACAACCCCGACCTCTCCCACACCCTGCCTGTACTTCACCACACCCAACCTACACAACCATCTCCCTACAATGGCTAGTCGCCAAGAACGCCCTACTCTGACCGTGAGCATCCCATCCGCTGACGCTTTTGTGAGTCCGCTATACCTGGGGCGAGCGGAGCAGACAACCAGCGCAGACAGCATAGAATCCAGCCTTGAGCGAGAGCCATCATGGACTCCAAAACCAGTCAATGACGCGGAGTATCGAGCTGAATGTCTGGCTCGGCGCGAGCGATACATCCTAGCCCTCCAATCCTCAGGCGATGCTGGGTTCAACGACTACCTTCACTGGTACCGTGATCACCCACATTCATACCCTTTTAGACGCTGGGATTCCTGCAGTTGCACTTATACAGCCTCGACTGATTCATCCAGCAGTGTGCAATTCTCATCTTATGAAGATGAGGATAGAGAAGGTACGCTTGTGCCTTCTTATGTGGACACCGCCCAACCCAAGTCATACGGTGCATGCCGTCAAGCATTTTGGAACTTGGATTCCACTCGTTTCCCTTTAGGATTCGGATCTCCGGATAGTGCCAGCGCTGATGAAGAACGACCTCTTCTGTCGTATTCGACCCGCCGAGCCGAAGTCGTGTTTGGCGGTGAAAAGGAAATTTGCAGTGGTAGCATGGCGATTTGCTCATCGATTGTCGTCACGGCCATCACCTTGGCTGGGCTCTTGAAGTTGAGGGACATCATTTTCTAGGGAGATATTTGTAGCGCTAGACGCTCTTCCAGATGTCAATGGTTTAAAGGTAGGTTCTCTAGATTTGGATTTAGCGCGCACAATCTTTCTTTTTCGAAGCGAGGGTTCTGTCTAGCTGCTGCTGATTTTCGCTCACTTGTCGGTTCATATAGTGCATGAGTAGTTCAACGTCCATTCGAAATTCATCCCAATGAAAATACAAATATTCATCGTCTTGTCAATTGTGCCGAGAAACGAGGATCGCGCTGTGACCCTGATGAAGTCAAGTCTGTGCATACAGGCTTCATTTTTGGACAGACTCGTTCTGTGACACAGTGACAGATAGAGAAACACCAAATGGAAGACATACGGTTACGACAAGACTGATGTAGATGCGTGCGGTCGACCTGCTACAGGGTGAGCGAGTGGCATCGCGCTCTTGCTCAACTGGCACTACGTAGCCGCTCCACTATTACTCCAAAGTGGGCCAGACAAATTTCTAGAGGCTTCTTCCGTCGCTCGAGCTTCCTCTACATCTCCTCTTCATCTACCATCCAACTCTCAATCCAAACCTTCTTCTCTCTCTGCTAACTCTCCAGCTGTACACTCTCGCACTGATATACGCGACCGACTCATATTCTGCTTTAATTGTAAGTCAATTTTCCACGCGCGCCGTCCACGCGCGCCGTCCACGCGCGCCGAACACACGCTCCCTTTTGCTTTATGATGAAAAACCCAGCTGGCACCAGTCATAGAGTGACTTGTACTCCCTTCATTGATGACTATCATGCTGTGGTCTACCAGGCCATCCTGATCAAGCTACCTCAATTCCTATTCTTTGCGCATTCATTGTTCAAGTCAGGCGCTAACACGCACTGTCGCAGGCCTCCTAGCTCTCGTCGACACCGAGTACCGAACCGTCAAGATGGTCCTGCACAACCCCAACAACTGGCACTGGGTCAACAAGGACGTGTCAGAATGGGCGCGCGAGTGGTTCAAGGACAACTGTCTCAAGCTCGAAGCTACCAATGGCGACGTCACAGCCCGTATCTCGGGTCTCCAGTCCATGGACGGCGACGTTGACGTTAGTCAGCGCAAGGGCAAGGTCATAACCATCTTCGACGTGAAGCTCGTCCTCGAATACTCTGGTAAATCACGCCCGTCGTAGAGGAGCCCCGTAGTGTTTTCTTTTGTCCGTTCTGTCACCACCAGGCACTGACGCCTGTCGGTAGGGTCTGCTCCTGATGCCGCTGACGTATCCGGCTCCATCACCGTCCCCGAAATTGCCCACGACACAGAAGAGGACGAGTACGTGGTATGTCACCCTCCTCTTCGTGTTTCCAACCAGTGACTGAATTTTGTTTTTTTCTGCGTGCTAGTTCGACGTGGATCTCTTCGCCGAGTCCAAGGAGAAGCAACCCGTGAAAGCCCTCGTAAAGTCGGAGCTTGTGCCCAAGCTGCGCCAGATCTTCCAGAACCTCGCCCCAGCGGTCATCAGCCACCACGGAAAGGATATCCAGCATGCACAGGGGTCGAATCCCTCGAGCGGCTTCTCCACGCCTAAGATGTACGAGAAGTCCGGCAGTGCTAAGCCCGCCGCCACATCCACGACCCAGAGCTCGAGCTCGTCCAAAGTCAACACAACTACGGTGACCGATTCCGTCGAGTTCCGCACAACAGCGCAAGAAGCGTACCAGGTCTTTGTTGATCCTCAACGCATCGCTGCGTTCACCCGTGCGCCTCCCAAGGTCTTTGAGGGTGCGAAGGAGGGCGGCAAGTTCGAGCTTTTTGGCGGAAACGTGTCGGGCGAGTACTTGGAGCTCGATGAGCCTAAGAAGGTGGTTCAAAGCTGGCGGTTGGCGCAGTGGCCAGCTAACCACTACTCGACCCTCAAGATCGAGTTCGATCAGAACGACGTCGATCACGTGACTATTATGCGTGTGACATGGGATGGTGTGCCCGTCGGACAGGAGGAGGTTACCAAGAGGAATTGGACGGAGTACTATGTCAAGAGCATCAAGCAGACATTTGGGTAAGCTCTGCGCCCACTCTTTTTTCGCAATGATACTAATGTTCGCAGCTTCGGCACCATCCTATAAGCACATTCCGCGCACACGCTCGAAGAGGACATTGGAACTGGGGCTACTATCCAATGTTATGGCGGGGACGATGTTCAGGGATACAAAACCTAGTCGCGTGGGTTCGCCACGCCAAACGATGTAATTGAGAACATGATGATGATGAAGAGACACGAGATCGCATGCATCTAAATTTGATTCAGAGACTGCTTCTTCCGTGGCTAAGGCGGGTACCTCCCACCATTGGCGGCCCTCTTGTCGTAACGCTTCCGCTCTGATAGTGGTTCACCATTTTCGCTTCCATGATAGTGGCCAACAAGGAAAACGTCCTTCAAGTTTCCCCAAAAGCCAATGTCGTAGACGTTCTCGACATCACGCAAGCTCCGAGGTCGTTCCCACTCGCCCACGCCTGGACACTGTTGTTCCGGCAGAGGCGGCTCGGCGTCGTCGGTGGTGACCATGATCGTTGCAGGCAGCTTTGGCCATCTTGTCCATGTAGGTTCGCCGGCAATCTGCCTATTGGTAGGCAAAGGCCGGGCGAAGGCATATCCGTCCCGGGTGTCCTCCTTCCATTCTGACCATTTGAGGGACTCATTCGTCGTGACGCCGGCGTACACCAGATACAGGGAGTACAGGAAGAGGCCCCAGATCAGCGGTGATATCATCGCAGCCAGCAGTGTCGATGCGCCCAAGCCGAGATGCTGGCGAATACCGATGCTGAATAAACCGAGCCACCTGGTCCATGACATTGTAGTGTTCGGTTTCCACAGCTGCCAGGTTGGGTGATTCTCATGCACGTGCGCTGATAGCAGCGACATTCCCAAAACCCCTCCATACGAGGTGAGAATCGCGGTCGACAGCAGCAGAAGCAAGAAGTAGTGGTGGTTGCCTAGTCCAACACACGAGTTGATGAAGATGCAATGGTGGTCGCTGCGTGCCACACACTTCTTGCACACGGTGCAGTGCTTTGATCGAGGGGGTTTCGGCAAGTTGCATGTCCTGCAAACACGACCTGGATGGAACAGGATGAAGTCGTAAGGATAAAGGGTCATGAGGTGCGGCAGGGACTCCTCGGTGACGTATCCTGGATCGGCAGCGCATGCAAGGTACAGGAAGACATAGGGGCAGACGATGGCCAGGCAGCCCGTGATCTTGACGGGCAAAGACATGAGTGGCCAAGCAGTCGGGAGGAACATCATCTCAGCTACGGCAAGAGTGGTGACGAAGAAGATCTGACACTGTCAGCCGCGGACATTTCGAGACATGATGTACCGAAGTTGGACTTACCACAACCGTCGGATGACGATCATACATCATGTAATTGCCGAAGCTGGCACAAGATGTCGACAGCCGACCAGCAGTCACCCGCTGATCGATTTTGAGCAAGACATTTGGCGTGTGAACCCATATTAGTCGGTAGAGGCCTGCGATGGGTGTATGTCTACCCACGTGCCGATCAATATTAAGCTTATTTCTAGGGTGGGAACGCCAGCTGGTCGACAAGAGTCCAAGCAGGCTACACTTACCGAAGTGCCGGGAGGCGGCCGAAAAATGTCACAAAGGTCATAAAAGAGATGCCAAATATGAGGACGAGGACTCTGCCAAAGGGACCCATGATTGCCGTGGGCTTTTCCGTTCTTTCTCGGGGGCCAGAGAAAGTAGACAAACCGGGGTGGTAGGCTCCAGCGAGGAGTTTCAATAGGAGACAATGTTTCGCAGTGGAAGCATATCGCGGTCGTTTCTTAAGCCATACCGTAGAAGCAAGACCCGTGCGAAACACAAAGCGAGAGTTTGAGAAGAGAGAGAACCTTTGCGAAGCGGATGGGGAGGATGGGACTGGACATTGTCATAAGGCGCAGCCAAGGCGGCGGGTGATCGTAATGCATCTAAACAGGGTGGAGCGCACCACTAAGTGCATACTCTTTAAATTCCGGGAGCTGCCCGATCGGCAGTTCACGTAGTGAAAACAGTCTCGTGAACCGACCATCGCGCATTTAATTGTTTGACAGTCAGTTGCAAAGTCATGTAATCTCGTGTTCTTTGAGCACCTGAGGTCAGTGCGCGCTCGCAGATGTGAATTCCACCAAAAGTCAAAAAAACGGCACGTGATCCCGCGACACAGTGGGGCTCGCGTCACGTCACCTTCAGTCCTCACCTGGATTATCACGCGTAACATCTACCGTCTTTCGTGACGATCTCTCGTGACACGTTCCATCACCTTTTAAATGGCCCTGATGCCGTGGTATGTCGTAAGCGCCGCCATTCAGCTGCCATCTCAATTCTGAACAGTTCAATATGGCATCAATATCCTACAACAACGTCCCAGGCGAACAGGGCGGCAACATCTTCAGTAACATCAAGTTCTGGATCCACAGAGGGGTACCCCTTCGCTCAGACTGGGTCAAACATGTCGAGGTATGGCCTGTCCCGGTTCTGGATACCAGTAGTTAATGCGCCTTAGGAGAACGGTGGACAAGTCGTAAACTTGGAGAAGAATGCTGACTATCTCATCGCGGATCATTTGAAAGCCAGGAATGCACCGGATGGTGCTTACAGCTGGAAATTTATACAAGAATCAGTCAAGAATGGCGCGTTGCAGATCCCGGATCGTTATCTGATCGGACCCCATCCGGACGATGTTCGAAGAATAGCGGCGTCAAAGGCACCGAAAAGCACACGCACAGCATATACCAAGGAAGACGATGGTCTTCTAGCCCGCCGCGTCTTGAATAATTGGGACGGCAGGAATGGGAATCTCATTTACAAAGAGCTCTATACCGAGTGCCCTCGGCATCCCTGGCAATCATGGCGGGACAGATACGTCAAAAGATTCAGTCATCTTTCGATGAAAGAGCTCGAAAAGATGGCCCAACATGCTCCTGCACAGGGCACAGCGGGATCCTCCGCCAACCACCCCGCTGAGGCCAGTGTGTTAGCAGCGTCAGTTGCCTCCAAGCAAAAAACCCCGGGCTCATCAGAACGGCAAGCTAAAAGTCATGCTGGTTCCTCCAAGCAGGACACAGCTCAAACGACGAACCCGCCGCAGATTCAGAGCCCCGAGGCCACACGACAGGCGAACCTGGATCACTCGCCCAGGGTTACCCGCAATGTGAAACGGGTTCGAGGGACCAACTCTGAGGCCAACTCTGAGAACAGCGCTGAGAACAACGCGGAGACCAACGTGGAGACCAGCGCCGAACCTCAACCGAAGGTCGATATCGCAGCTGGAGCCGTTGACAACGAGGAAGAGGACGACCAGGATAACGAGGAAGAGGATGCAAAGAATCAATTCTACGGCGATTTGGAGAACTTTGCTCTTCAGAGTGGAAAGTCGGTTCAATTTGAGCTTCGCATCCAGGGCCATGGCCGTATTGAGCTTTGGGAACTGATGCCACCTGTCTTCGCACAAGATGCCCAGCCGAATGACATTGACTGGTCCCAAATTGCAGCCGATCTGGATATCGAACCAAATGGGAAGAACATAAACAAGCTCCGCGCTTACTTTGAAAAAAATGTAGCGGAATTCGTGGCACACTTGTACACTCTGGAGCAGAGCCGCGACGACTCGGCGGACGAAGGCGCAGCGCATGAGGTATCCCAGGACGCTGGCCCCGCGATTGAGGCTTCAGTCGAGTTACCTAGGCGCAGCCGAGAACATGCGGTCGACTCTGGGTCTATGGAGAACCGACCTGATAAGCGCCAAAAGGTTGACCACGTCCCCAGCACACCTGGCGCAAGACTTCAGCCTACGACTAGCCAGGCCCCAGAGGAACAGCAGTTCACAGGCACTGCGCGGCGTCTCTTTGTATCGAAAGACCTGCCCGAAATCAAGGACAGCCAGGATGATACACAGGCCATTCTGCAGAGCCCGGCTGTCCACCCAAGAAACGTGGAAGCTACCCAATCTGCCGATCAGAGCAGAACACCGAGAACTCATGCTATCCAACGTGAGGACACAATTGTCGACACTTCGCCCTCCCAACAGCTGCAAGAGGAGCTGAATAGCTCCCCCAGAGTGCATCGACCGTCAAATGACGCCGACATTGGGAGGCGTGACCGATCAATCTCAGTAGATGAGCTAGAGCCAGTGGCACATGCTCACCCATCCGCCAAAACAACCCCCCCTCCTGGTTCTTCTCATCATCCACCGGCTCCGAGTAAGCGGAAATTGCCCTCCTCCTTCAACACCAACGCGCGACCTCCACCCTCGAACTCCAGGCCGGATACGAATGGCCATAGCCACGTTACCCCAGCTCTGTCTTCCATTGAAGAATACATCATGTACTACGAATCGCTTGGGTACCCTCGCTCCATCATCAAGCGGGCTCTTCAAGCAACGACCATGACACCCGGTGGTCCCGCCGCATTCGCCATGGAGCATCTGAATCAGCGGCATAATGACCTCCCTTCTGATATCGCAGGTGTGTGGACGGACCGGGACGACCGAGCCCTCCGCTTCGTGATGCTTCTGTCCCACGACGGGCAGAGCCTTGATCGAGAAGGCAAAGACCGCCGTGAGAGGTTGTTATTGGAAAGGGCGAGGTTGAAGCGAGCCCGGCTGCTGGAGAAACACGGGAGGCAGCGGATGAAGCTGAGAGAAAAGTGGCTGAAGGTGAAAGGGCTCAGCTAGGAAGCAGGTCTCTATTGGAACTCCGCTACGAATTCATAGCTGTGGCGTAGTTGCGCTTCCAAGCTGCTTTCTGCTTCTTATCTTGGGCATATTCTAAGCGAATGATACTCGGCGCTTCCTTGATGAAATGCCCACCCGGATTTGAACTTTCACATTGCCCCGGTCACGTTGATGCTATGCATTGGCGTGGCGATTTGAAGAAAAGAAGGTGTGTGCTGAAGAAATCACATTAAGATCTCCATGATCAACTTGCTATGTTCTCTAGAAAGACCCCAGTGTATCAAATGGCTCCTTGCGGACTCGCTTCGTTGTCCTGCCCATCGCGTAAAAGAATTCGACCTCGCAATGTATATGCGCCCCAGTGCAAGTGCCGAAAGATGGTGAATAATGTAAAAGCAATAACGCCAATCCCATATGTCCCAGTATCCCGCTCTTGAGACCCAAATCAAAACGCGCGTGACAAGAAATTACCCCGGGAACCGCCATCGCTAGAATGTTCGCGAGCCCATTCGCGAGCGTGAATCGAGCTATGGTTGGTTGATAGAGAGTTGTCCATAACAGATGTTGAAGACTTCCAGTTGTCTGCAGCGATGTACTCTGCAGTAATGGAGACCACGAAGCCAAAGGCCTCCCCGAGACCAATCAGTGCAATGTTGCGAGCGAGAGAAGCTGGCAAACCCCAAGAGCCCGCGACGATGGTGAAGGCAGGGCAGTAAATGTAGGGCCACCAGCCTCGAATGCCAAAGTCCGGCATGAACATGTTCAGCTTCGATGCGGATGACGCAACGGTATCAAGCGTATCTAAAATGTCGTCTGCTCGCCGTTGAGCTTGGGAGAGACGGTCAACGTGCTCATGATAGCGGAAAGAAATGTGTTCTGCGTGGGCTTCAAGATTATGCATCCCCTAGTCTTGTTAGAATGAGGAGTACAGCTTGCAATGTTACACTCACCTGCTCAATCTGCTTCTGCCTGCGAGCGACCTCTTCGACTCTTGCTTGAGAATTGACCTGCTCTGATCAGCTGTAGCACAACAACGAACGGAGCCTGTACTGACCAACTCATTATGTATGAGGACAGAAGATGATGCAGCAGTGGCGAGATTTGCCGCGATCACTTCAGCCTCAGCATTGGCGTGCATTGTAACCCTTGAGATGGCTGTCTCGTGAGACGCTTCCATCTCTTCCTGCTGTCGGTGTGCCCCAAACATGATCGCAACGAGTAGCTCGTGTAAATTCTGAGCCTCATCCGCGCTTCTCATGATGGCCTGTTGTGAGACTCCGGCCGCGGCAAGTACCTTCTGGTCAAGTATGTCCTCGAGCTGCAGCAACCCTCGACGGATGGCATCTACTCTTGGATCCAGTCCATCCACCAGCGAGCCGGCTCGCTCCAGTGCATTGTTCAAACTGGCCAGACGAGACTCCATGTGTGATTCGACCTCTGTCGTCAGGCGTTCGAGAACCTTTGACACACGCTGATACAGCCTGATATGCTCATCTGAATGTGTCAGTTGGGACTTTGGCGCAATACGTAGGCACATACCTTTCTTGTTGTCTGCCCTCGCAGCGTCGCAGAAGCGCAATGCTTTATGACGGTAGCTGATCCATGTATTCCATGCTGAATCTGACTGGGCTAGACCCTCGAGACATTTGTCAATCTGAGTCGTCGGTACGTGCAGTTGGGGGGTGCTCGGGATCGGAAGACTGGCCAATGTAGTCTCTCGAAAGGCTGCGCACTCGGAGGGGATGCGAAAGCTACCACGCTCAAGATCGCAGATCGCTAAGCTAGTAGCGTAGGAGTCGACAAAGTCTCGCGTCAGGCGACCGCTATCAGTATGCACGGTTGCTTCATCCTTTCCCTCGAGCAGCTGGCAGTGGTTGACGAGCAGGCGTGCGGCATTGCGATGGCAGAGAGGTTCGCTCTCGAGCTCTCGCAGCTCGCTCAGGGCAAGTGAGTATGCGTTGGAGAGCCGCGACTGGTCTTCAAGAGAGACACCGCCACTGTTCCTTTCGTAGTCTGTACATTGACGTTAGTGAATACCACCAGTGATATCGCCTGGACTGACCTTGCTGTCGAGCATACCCCCATGAAAGACAATGGGCAATTTGAGCACCTGCTCCGAGCAACGAAATAAATACATGCAAGAGCATTGCATAGGGCGGAGGCGAACGAGTAATTATCAACAGAAATATGTGTTTCGTTGGCCGGGGGTTCCTAAAGAGAGGGTGATGATGTGTTGGTGAGAACGAAGAGATGCCTTGCTCTGTAATAGATTTTGCACCTTTAGCTGGCCTGTTTCGGCTGATGGGGAAGGAGCAGAATGGGGTTCCTGCCCTGGGTTTCCTCTGGTGTTACCTCATTTGACTCTGTCGAAGAAGGAAGAGGCAATGCATGAGGTGACGCTGAATCGCCGTCTCTTGTGCCGTTTGTGTTTCTCAGCTGTGGTTACCGGGTCTATAGTGAGTCTTTACTTTTAGTCCGGTAGTGCATTTAGGTCCGGTCAAAAGACTCTAGATGATAGGGTTTTTTGGTAAGTGAATATTTCGCTTGAAACATTGATCAAAGCTATCCCCGTCAGGCTCTTTCCACTTCCATCTCGTATCAAAGCTGGCTTTAGGTCAGCATTCAACATCGACCACCACGTATCCAAAGATGCAAGTGTCCGTCAGCTACACCAGCACCAGCATATCGAAGGCAGCCAAGCTTTGGTCGCAATGAACAGAGCGTAGACGTCGATGCGATCGTGTACGAGTGCACACCTCGCGTGTAGGAAGCGATACCACAGCCAGCCCAGACTTCAGCGCATGCCATATGAGCACAAATGGGCCTCTCGTCTTCTCCAGAGTTGCTGCAAACGCCATTCAAGAAGATGCTCCTGAGGAGCTCGTTGCAGAGCAAGTGGTTTGCGGATCACGCAGAGACTGTTCGTCCGGTGTCAACGATCGGATGACTGGCGACATCACTGTTGCGCTGCGCGCATCGCCGCATACACCTGCACGAGCTGCCTCGACCTCTTGATAGTGCTCCAACAGTCCTCGCACCAAGCGACCCAATTACGAAGACGACTATGGTCGTTGGCGACTGTACGCGTTGGCGCCTAGCATCGGTAGTTGAAGCTCGCAACAGCGCGGGAGTCGGTGACTGTCGTCAAATTGTCTTGCAGGTGGATACGCATGACGTTGGTATAATTTACTATTATTCTCCGCAGGTAATTGTGCAACATCGTACCTGACGCAATCTTTTCTGCCACCAGAAATGGCGACTGGTCGTGTTTGTTCACGGTGTAGTACTCAAAAATAGAAATCAAATTACTATCTTCTCACCGCTAATAGAGCCATCGCTACGATTCACCTGCACTATCACAGTCGGCGGGACCTGTGTGTGCGCGCGCTGTCCGCCAGCCTCCCCGCCTCCAAAAACCATCTCGTGGTGTGTGCATCGCCGATCAAAGAGCCGCCGCTGTCAAGGATTCCATTTCACTCACGCCACTCTTTCTTTCCCCTTGTCCCGCCTCACCTCACATTGACGTTTTTCACGTCCTCCGACGCGCTTCCTCCCGGATATAAGCAGGGACCCTCTCGCTCCAGATTCCACTGGGCGCGAGGGACTCAACTCAATGGTCTGGGCTGCCTGAACCTCCCTCCCGCGAGAGACGCAAGAGACGTCCAACGCTGTTATTAGACAGCCGAATCCTCGCGGGAGACACGGTACTTTCACCTGCTCACGTTGGTAGAGACGACCGCTCACGCATTCACAGGTGGAAACTATCATCAATTGGGTATTATGTGTATCCAAGTCGACACCCAGTGGTCATGCGGCCATGTTGGCTTCTTCAAGGTCAAATTTTGCGATAAGCTCTTCAAGGAGTGCAAAGGCACGTCTGTGAACCACGAAGTCATCCATAAGAAAGAAATGTGCAGTGACTGCAAAAGAAGGGAAACCCTGCCCAATTGGACTGCGAGATGAACCAACAGAAGCACGGGGCACAGAACAGTCTACCTTGCGACGCTGCGGTATCAGGACCTACGGAAGACAAGAGAAGAGAACAGTTTGATTGTAGAGTATCTACAAATATGCCCATGGGTTTGGGTCTATCAAAAAGCACCACGTTCATGGCGCCGTCGACGAGCTCAAGACAAGGCCGGCAAGCACCTAGCCTCCGCAATCAAATCCTCCTACCCGGACCAACAAGTTTGCTGGTTGACTCAATAGCCGCCAACTACATATGCCACGGTAGCGGTATGGTACTTCCCCTCTAGGAAGCACGAGCAACCGCTCTGCAACTCGGCACAATTGTCGCAGCCTTCCTTGATCATATCAGGGAAGCCCATGCGCGCAAGAGACGTACACGATGTCGTGGCGAGCGATTCGCAGGACCGCGACGCACGTTTGAATATAATGTCGTCGCTAGAGTCCGTGCTCAGCTTGACCCAAGACTTCCAGCAGTCGCCATAATCACAGATGCTATAAGTTGTGGGATCCGGCTTGATTGTCTTCGTCTTCGTGATCGTGCTCGTGTCCTTGTCGGGGGCCTGGGTCTTCTCTGGAGCTTCGGGACGGTTCTCCTGCTCGGGTTCAGGCAGGGGCTCAGGCAAGGCCTTGGTGCAGTAGAAGTAGCCTGGGTTGATGTTCCCAGTGTGGCAGCCTTGGCCGTTCTGCAGACCTGGGTTCAGGGTGAAGAAGTCCTGGAGAGGGATACCAGCCTTGGAGGCCAGAGAGTCGCAGTTGTCCCCATCAAAGGCCTGGAGGAACTGTTCGCAGGTAGGGAAGGCTGGCGAGAGCATAGGGGCTGGTGTGTTGACAGGATTGGCCAATTTGACGATTCCGTCGATTATGGAGGGCAGTTGCCAAGGTAGCATCTTGGTGATATTATCGACTGTAGTTTAACGATATGGATGAAGAAGATGTTGATCTCCAGATGCCCACGTCGTTAGTCGAGCCCGGCGCGGCTACTTGTACCCCCATAGTCCCTTCGAAATACCTAGTCAGAAAACATGTCGTTTGCCTGTCTATGGAATTCTCTATTCAAGGCCGGAAAGAGGTATTCGCCATGTCGATGAGACACGAACAACGAGCATCCTCTGCACAGTTATCAAAGCGGAGGCGGAGCATGTGCATGATTTGGCTTTGCGGTTATGAGTAGCTGCAAGGGCAGGTATGAGGCGATAAAAATGGTTTATCAGTTCTTTCAACATTGAGCGGTCTTATTGAGCCATGGTTTTCTATTCAGGCCATCTTCAGCCTAATCTGGTGACTACCCTACATCAACGGCCATCAGATGTGCTTGGGGTGCCATATTTAATTGACAGACTACCAAGGTCAGTCTCCATAACTAAAATAGCATACATAGTGAGGCGCGCTGTTGTTTTGAGATATGACATCTGTTCTCATTCAATCCTAGCTGCTTGATGCGCTACTGGTGGTAGGCTTGTGGTAATCTCGGACACTTAGTTGTTCATTTCCAGACAAACAATGAGAAAGCAGCTATGATAGATGATAATTTATGGCACACATAAGTTACATATTGTATAGTATGTCATCGACCACCTTGATGGGCTACGAGTCCCTCAACGCCTCGATATCGTTGATCTCTTTCACAGCCTCAGTGGAGAGGACGTATGGCGAATCATCGTCTACACACACACTGTCCTCGATTCGCACACCGAGTCCTCGGAAGTGCGCCGGCCACCGCTCATCGTTCAGCACATATACGCCAGGTTCTATGGTCACACAGTGGCCTCTTCTCAGCTTTTCCCTGCGGCTGTAGCCCGGGCAATCATGCACATCCAGCCCGATATAGTGCCCGACGTGGTGAGGGAAGAGCTGGCTAATGTTGCTCATGTTCACATCGAAGCCGATCAGTTTCAGCTGGTCAACGAGACCGCGCGTAGTGACGCCATGGATGTCATCCAGTGACAGGTTGGCAGATTCGCGGCACAGCGCGACGCTTGTGCGCTGGACGTTGAGAACAGCTTCGTACAGATCCCGCTGAGCCGGCGAGAACTTGCCATTGACTGGCCACGTCCGCGAGATATCTGTTATGTATGTGCCGTATTCGCCGCCAGCATCAACCATGATAAACTCCCCGTCTTTGAAGGTATTGTTGTTCACGGTGTAATGGATGCAGCTGCCACGCTCACCACCAGCGACAACAGGGATGTATGCAGGGCCGTCGCAGCCGTTGATGGTGAACTCATAATCAAGGAAAGCATGCAGATCCTTCTCTTTCGTCCAAGCCTTGCGCATAGCGTTGGTGATGACCCGTCCCGAGATCTGCCCGGCCCGACGCATGTTCGTCACCTCTGCGTTGCTCTTAATGGCTCGAAGTTTGTTCATGACCGGGAAGAGGGGTGTTTTGGCAGGCTCCGAATTGGCTCTGGCAAAGAAGTTGTAGATCGGGTTGCCCGGGGGCGCTTGCGTTTCGGTGTATATCAGCTTGGCCGTGCTCAGCAGTTTCGGCAGCAACGTCTCTGCCTTGCTGTTCTCGAAGGCCTCGTCCGCATTGAAGACGTCTTCTGCTGCTTGGACGCCGTTGCGGTACCCTGACCACTGCTCCTCACGCGGATCCTTTCGTTTAACGAACATACGAAATTCGTAGTCGCCGAGGTTCGGGCCTGTCTTTTGGATCAACGCAACCGCATCTCCTTCCATCCATCCTGTCAACCAGAAAAAGTTCGATTCTTGTCGATATGGGTGGAAGACAGCTCCTGATTTGTACTGAAGGCTTGCGGCATTGAGGACTGCGACACTGCCATCTGTCATGGAGTGAGCCAGGGCAGCTCGTCGATCAGCATACTCCTGTGCCGTGATGCCTGGGGTGACTATGCATGTGAGCTGTAGGTTCGAAAGGCTGTCGAGTGTAGGCACGTACTTTCCCCGGATTTGAGGACATGCGGGTGCGTTTCGTGGACTGGCTGGCCGAATTGTAGGTCGGCTGCAGAGACATAGGTCGTCGCGTAGCCTCTATGCGTCAAGCCTCGACATGTCTGTGAACCTGTCAAACGCGAAGAGACACGCTTGCAGGCTGTCTGCGTGGGGCGCAGGAGATATGGTATCGATCGGAATGACGGCAGAGAGAGCTTCATTTTATCGCGAACACAGGGTAGCGACAGGAAGAATCAGGGGCTGAGTAAAGTCGCATATCGCAAAGCAAGCGAAGGTAAGGCGGTGGCCGTCTGAATTACTTAGCTGGGCGTCATGTCCAATGGTGATGTTGCCAACGATGTCGCACAGGTCAAGAATTGTGCCTTGCAGTTGCAGCTGCATATCACAGTGAAAGGCGGGGTGCGTACAAATGATCACACTGTACGTCACACGCACTGTGGTTGCCAACGTGACTGTGCTCAGGCTCGGTGCAGTGCACTGTCCACTTCCTCAAGTCAAATAGCCATTGCTCTAGACTCTACATCTCAATGTTGATTGAGCGTGAAGCCAAGTACAATCCCAACCACGACAGCTTGAACATGTCAGGTCCAGAATCCCAATCAAGCGATGAGCTCAAACGAAACAGTGCAGGCTGTCCGTCACCATCGCGGCGGGATGGCCCGTGCGTTATTTTGACAGGGGGTACCAATGCGGCTTAGCGCTGTTGTGCCAAGCGCGAACGCCAGAACGTCTCCAACGGCAACGACACGCCTCGAGCCTGGGCAAGCCATTTGAAAGCACGCTCTGCCCCGGCCTCGTCTTTATCAACCACTCCCGCACCCAAAACCAGCTACAACACGCTCGTAATCTCGTCTTCTGGTTCCGGTGCAAACATCTTCTGTCACTCTCGATGCTTTCCTGACACGCCTACACCCTCTCTAACCATCCGAATCCTCGCCTGCTCGTGTCCTCGACGTGTCGTCCTCCACGTTCGGTCTTCTCGCGTGCCCCCACACCACGTCGGCCACCAGCCACCACCTAAGAAGTCACCAACCACGGCAGTCACTCGTGCTCTGGGGTCCTGGGACATGAGGAGTGCAGATACTTGGTTTTATGGCAACCATATCTGTGTCTCCCACGCCAGCTATTGCTGCCATGGCATCAAGACGCGGCCCTTTGACGAACAACCCTAATGTCGCCAACTCGCCACTCAGAGTAGCCCCGGCAGGCTTTGCCAAACCCAAGAGGCCATATGCAGTGCTTCAGCGTGAGGAGCCCTATGGGCAAGCTCCTCCCAGCAAGAAGCAAGCAGTTGAACAGCGTGTTGCCCGATCGCCATCAAAGTTGCCCAGGGCCCAAGCTCTTCCTCAGCGTGGATCCACAACGGCTACAACATCCCGCCCCGTCACCAAGGAGAGAACGCAGAAACCTGCAGCCTCTGCTAAAGTATCGTTGCAGGATGAACGCGAAAAGGACGCCTGGAAGAAGCACTACAGGGCGAAATTCCCCAAGATGGTCTTCTACTTTGAGAGTATCCCTGAAGATATCAGAGCTAAGCTCACGAAGAGAATTACCTACCTTGGTGCTGTAAGTTTATATGCTTTGTGCAACTAGAGGAAACATGCTCACCTTCTCTCAAAGCGTCAAGAACCGTTTTTTTCGATCGATGTGACCCACGTCATCACGACGCGGGCTATTCCAACCGAACAACCAGAAACACAGCCAGAACCCGAGGTCGCGCCCCAGGACGAACCGGCGCTGGCCGAGCAGCCTCAGACCATCAACCCCTCACTCTTGGATCGAAGCTCGGCTCGACGCAAGCTGTTGCTTGAGTTCCGTAGCGCTCCCTCACGATCACACGCCTCGGCCGACCCTACGAAGCCTCATAAGCCAACCCGCAACAGCGATGTTCTACACAAGGCCAAAGATATGGGCAAGAAGATATGGTCATTGGAAAAGTTCTGGGCCATGGTTTCACTCCTCTGTGAGGCAGAGAAGCCTAAGTTTGACTACCGCGGCTCGGGGACATATAGTAATCCCGTCCCAAGGGCAGCAGGCGAGTCTGCACATGCTAGCCTCAACCAGATGCTCAGGAACGAACGCATCAACGGGCCATCGGACCGCGACGTCAGTGCTCTGAGCAAGGATCTCACCTACTTCAAGGGCCCGCACATTTATGTCTTCGACATGGAGGAACGACACAAGCCGATTATGGTCCGCGAGTATGCCAAGGTCTCTAACAAGATGGACGGCGACTGGCCCCAGTTTCGGAGCGTTGGCAGCGGTCGCTGCCCCTTTGTGGAAGAGGACCCGGAGGAGAAAGAACGGCAGAAGCGTCGTGAGCAACGTCAGCTCCAACAAGAGAAGGACGACGCACGTGCCGCCGCGGCAAAGCAGGCGGAGGCATCAAAGGCGCAGGCTCAGGCTGCGTTGCCGAAGCCCGTCATTGGGAAGCGGACGCTCGGAGAAATGGAAGACGGCCACAACAAAGTCCGAGCCCCTGCCACCTCGACAATCAACCCAGCCAAGGCAGCTCTGTCCAAGCAAGGTTCCCAGAACGCCTTCGTCAGTCGCAATGAAGGTGGTCGGCTGGTGCATGGCGAACCTGTGGCTTCTGGTGTGCAGCCTTCCAACATCACCTCCGCCATCCGCTCGCAGATGATATCATCCCAGGCTGGGATTACGGGAATCAAAGCTGGCACTAGCAAGGAGCTTCACGGCCTGCAAAGGCAGGTTTTGCAGAAGACTGGGGCCGTATCACAAGAGACCAGTTCCCGTCGGCCCGTCGATAACTCCGTCGAAGGCAGGTCTAGTCGATCTGTACCTTCGCTGAGCCGGAAGACATCCCACAATGGGTCGATCCCCGAGGCACACAAAGCGACTGACAGTCGGGACAAGCGCTCGCAGTCCCAGGCGATGAAGAGCAAGAAGGACATGAAGCCTGGTTATTGTGAGAACTGCCAGGAGAAATTCCGAGACTTTGATGAGGTAAGTCCTTCCGATTTTATCATGAGGCCATGGCTAATAACTCCAGCACATCCTGTCTCGTAAACACCGCCGGTTCGCTGAAAATCCCAGCAACTGGGTGGAACTGGACGACCTGTTGGCTGAGCTGACGCGACAACCCAAGGAGTTTATGTCGTCGCCAGGCTACGATCTCTGATGATGCTCACGACTAACCGACCACCCATGTCAGGACACTGAGCCATGATAGCATTGGCCTGATTCATTTTTCTCGCAATTGCCTTCCGTATTACTGAGAGCCACCTCCAGCATCTGCTTGATTCCTCTTTCGGGATTCAAACGACCAGTCACCAATTTCCCTATGTTCATTCTCGCGAATATTGCGCCCTTATTCATCAGCCTCCATGTGGACCAACCCGACTCGCATGCGACGGCGCTTGGCAACATGACGACCGTCTTCGGACCACAATTTTTTTGGACTGCTACACACACACACACACACACTCGCGACCCTGGCGTTTTGATTGGTCTTTTTTTCTTGGCTGCTTGTTCACAAACCGCTATGGCGATTGACAGCTTTGGCGGGAGGGCGACTCGGCGAGATGGGGATAACATCACAAGGGATCATGCATGCCCCTCTCCAAATGCACGGCTAGGTGAACGGATGGAATATGCATGGGAAAGCCACACGAAGGGGATGGTACATATGCAGTAGCCGTGTATATATAATCGGCATTATTCAATGACAGGACATATCTGCGCCCTGAATCTGACTCGCATACGGTATCCCATGTCCCATAGGCGCCGCTATCTCCGGCGATAGCCGTTCGCAAGGGATGCATATTCCTTCCGCATTGACGATGCTGACAACCTGCTTGAGTGCGTTATCAGCGTAGGATTGCATGGGCTCTACAACCACTTGATCCGGCAGGTGAGTAGTTAGGGTGCTCGCCTCTGAATACACACACCGTTCTAAACTTAGTCTCTTGTAGCTTCCCATCGACTCAGCGGTCCATGGATACTGACGCGCACACCATTGCCATCACTTGCGTCAACCTACGGTCTTCATTGTCACTCCCGCAGGGCTAAGGGCTGGTCGCAGTTGAGTCTTCTTGGTATTGGACTACCGGTATGCTCTATACCAGCAGTACTGTGATGTCGTGTGCTTACAGTAGTTCCAATTCAACGATAAGGGTGGGGAATGGGGTGAACGAGTTATAGTCTTGGTACTGGCCCTTGAACGTGTACGGAGTACGTCTGCAGTAACGTGGTTGACTCCTCAGAAACGATGCACTCGCAGGATTACATGGAGTGAGGCCGATGCACATACATGTAGGCGGCGGGCACATTCTTATCTGGGCCAGTGCCATGGCAAATCGGGAGCTACAAGGACTTTTGATGCCTCTTCATCCACCATGTGTGCTGGCTAGGCTGGGCTACATCGTGGTCTCGACGATCCTATGTACTGTCCATGTACACGCGGCGTCGTGAAGAAACGCACCCTCCGGTTCCGAGCGCGCTATTCTCGCACCTCCAAACCGACCCCTCGAATCGTTTATTTTCTAAAGATTGAGCTGCACCTCTGCAACTGCATGTAGCTCTTTTGCAGCGAATTGGCAAGGGCAAAATAGCGTGTTTAGGTTCAGCTGGACAAGTGCCTGTCCAACAGAATAGTCGTCGGTTCGGAATACGTACTATGTCGTGTCGTGTCGTCCTCAGTCTCTGGCTGCGGCTGTCAGCGCTCAGGGCTTCTGGCTCTCGCTAAATCACAGCGGCCCTAACCCAAACGGGCTTAAATTGGTGGGGCTTTGACGGTTCGTCCACCGATACGGAACTGGAAGGTGCGCTGATGCAACTTGATCCAACGAACCTCCACTTCCTGCACTTTAGTCCCTGGCACAGGCTCTCCAATATTATTTCGTGTCCTGCATCATCATCGGGTTGAAGAGTGAGCGGTGTGTGCGAGATGTATCAGTGACTTTGTGTCATGAAAGCTACCTACTCATGCATGGACGCGAGATCCGACAGGAGGCCTGGAGACGCAGGTCTCCTGCCGCGAAGTCTCCTGTGGCTAAGTTAGCGCGTCCACCCTCCTTCCCCTTCTTTCTTCTCGTCTCACGCCTTGATCGCGTATACACTGTCTACTGCTACAGCTGTTAGATCCACCACCCCGCGAAAGGTGCGGACTGGTGATATATCTATATCTGTACGCTGCTTTCTTCGCTTCGCTTCGAGGAGCTGTCGTTCAGACCACCCTCTCAGGAGTCAGACCTGCCCAACGAGAAGACCCGCGGGATATTCGCATCACCAGACATAATGACGGGTGCAAAGACAGCAGAGCATGCAAACTCGACCCTCTCCTTGTGGCGGAACCTACAGTCGATCAAAAAGTCGCTCAAGCCTGTTGTGCTCGACGGAACAGCCCTTACGATCCCCGATGTCATCGCAGTAGCCCGCCATGCTGTCCAGCCTTCGATATCGAGAGACGAGGAGCTAGCAAAGCGTTTGCAGCGAAGCGTGGAGTGTCTATCAGCGTACCTTGCCAAAGAGACGGTGGTGTATGGTGTCAACACTGGATTCGGCGGGAGCGCGGATGTCAGGACGGACGACATGCTCGACTTGCAGATCGGACTGCTGCAACACCAGAATTGCGCCATCGTGTCACCCCACGACAAGGACGTCAACAACAATGCGGAGAGACTGCCATCCGACGTCATGCAGCCCGAATGGGTCCGGGGTGCCATGGTGACCAGGGCCAACCAGAATATCAGGGGCCACAGCGCCGTGCGCCTGGAAGTGCTGGATGGCCTGATTGCGATGCTGAACAAAGACATTGTACCCCTGGTACCCCTTCGCGGAACCATCAGTGCTTCGGGAGATTTGATGCCCATGGGATACATTGCAGGAGCCCTCATGGGGAATCCGGATGTCTTTGTTCAGGTCGGAAGAGGAAAGCAAGCCAGGGTTCTGCCGGCATCGCAGGCACTTCAGGAGACGGGCCTGTACACAACAGGCTTGGGCCCCAAGGAAGGTTTGGCCCTGATCAACGGTACTGCCCCTAGCTGCTCGCTTGCAAGCTTGGTCCTATATGACGCCCAGCAGCTTGCCTATTTGAGTCAGGTCTGCACTGCGTTCGCGTCAGAGGCCATGGCTGGGAATGTAGATTGGGCGGCGCCTTTCATCCATGCCATCCGTCCACACCCGGGACAGATCGAGGTAGCAGCCAACATTCGCCGCGCCCTTCGTGGCTCGCAGCTCGTTGTCGGCCTAGAGGAGAGGAAACACTCGGGTAATGGTCTGTGGCAGGACCGCTATTCAACCAGGACAGCACCGCAGTGGATTGGCCCTTACCTGGAGGACCTCCTCCTTGCCCAGCGACAGATCGAAACCGAATTAAACTCGACGAGTGACAACCCTCTCGTAGACGCTACCCCAATGCCAGGGTGTCCACCTCCATCAGGTGAGGTCTTTTCGGGCGGCAACTTCCAAGCCGTTGCGATCACGTCGGCTATGGACAAGACTCGTCTCGCTCTCCAGATGATCGGCCGCATGCTGTTTTCCCAAGTGTCGGAGATCATCCACCCTTCCACGAACAACGGCTTGGAGGCGAATCTCAACGCCAGCGACAAGGCGAACTTCACATTCAAAGGCATGGACATCAACATGTCGGCATACATGTCTGAGCTGGCCGCACTGGCGCACCCCGTCAGTGCGCATGTCATGAGCGCCGAAATGCACAACCAGGGCATCAACAGTCTGGCGTTTGTCAGTGCGAGGCGGACCATGGAGGCGGTGAACATTGTGAGGATGATGGCTGCGTGCCATCTGTATGTGTGCACGCAAGCTGTCGACCTACGAGCCTGCCACCTCCTGTTCTTTGACGAAGTCAGCAAGAAGCTTGCCAATGCTGGCATGGGCATCAGCGAGGATGGTCACAAGAAAATCATGGAAGCCATTGAGTTGGCTTGGAAGGCAGCCAACGAGAGCCACTGGTGTGACAGGATCAAGCCCACCAGCGACGCTCTGTGGAGTGTGCTGGCCAAACTGCTCGCTGGGGAAGGACAGAGCGGTTCATTGTTGGCCAGCCTGGCGGACTGGCATTCCAAGATTGCCGCCATCGTTGAGGAGACAGCCAAGGGGATTTTCTATCCCAACTTGGCGATCACGACCAGACATGTGGCTTCTCTCCTGGGTGACGGGACAGCCCCCATCTACAACCATATCCGTGAGACCCTCGAGGTGCCTTTGCACTGTGGGCTGGACGATGATCCGTTGTATTGCCACCGCCGTGGTCTTCCGTATGAAAAGAAGAAGACGATTGGGTCCTGGCTCGGATTTGTTCATGAAAGCCTTAAGGACGAACTGATGGATATGGTCATGAGGGGGCTAGACGGCGGTATTGATGTTAGGAGAAATGGGGTGACTGTGGGTGCGGTGAACGGGGCGAAGGAGACGAACGGCACTAATAGTCACTGAGCGTCATAAAGGTCCTAGACAGTAACATAGAACCAAGATTAGACTACAGATAGAAAAAGAAAGATTTGAAGTCGACCATATTTCTGCAGCCAGCGGCCCAGGGCCCCAGAAGCCAGTTTCCAAAGACCATGGGGTGATCACGTACAGTGTGAGCAGTATTAAAAACACCGTGCATTTCTCAACTTGCTTTGGCATGTGGCGCCTCAGGCTGGTCCAAAGTTCAACCTGTACTCGCTCGCAGCCAGCAACCTCTTATTGAACGTCTATGCCACATCTGCCTCGACAACACCAGAGCTGGAGCTACTCACCATGGACCCTCAAGCATCGCCCGCACCCATAGACTCCCCCGAGTCACCGCCCTCACCACCATCTCTACCGCTGACGCTCTCAGCGAGCGTCCAACTTCAAGACCTGGACAGAGATGCGTCCCTCGCTCTCGCGACGGCAGCACCGTTTGCATCCGAGAAAGTCGTCGTGCGTTTCAAGCCGGTCGGCGCTGCGCCTGCGCTCAGTCAGGATATCTGCAAGATCACGTCGGAGCGGCGATTTGAAGAAGTCGTCCGGTACCTCAGGCGGAAACTCAAGTGCAAGGACACGGATAGTGTGTTCCTCTACGTCAACAGCGCATTTGCGCCCAGTCTCGACGAGGTCGTGGGCAATCTTCACCAGGTAAGTCACCATTCCTTTAGGATCTAGTCAGATGTCTGACCGTGCACAGTGCTTCAAAGATGGTCGAGATCAACTTGTTGTCGCCTACTCTATGACTCCCGCGTTCGGCTGATGAATGCGTCTTCCAAAATCCTCATGCTATGAAAAATATCTCAAAACGCCGTATGCCATGCACTCGCTCCCTGCCAGAAACCGCACTCACAAATCTTCGATCGCTTTGGCAAATGCCTCCACCTCCTCCTTAGGCGCAGGATACGTGTGTTCCGGCGATGGATACGCTCCGCTCTTCACCTCTGTTCTATACGCTTCTAGCGCCCGATAGGCCTCGCCCCAAACATTGCCGTACTGCTTCACAAACTTGGGCAGGAAGCGACCGGGCGGAAAGTTGCCCAGCATGTCTGTTTGGACCAACACTTGACCGGAGCATCCCTTGCCGGCGCCGATGCCGATGGTGGGGATGCTGAGCTTGCTGGTGATGAGGGCTGCCACGTCTTCGGGTACAGCCTCAAGAACCATGGCGTAGCAGCCGGCCTGCTGCACGGCCAAGGCATCCTCCAGTATCCTGAGCGCACCGTCTCTGGTCTTGCCCTGCACGCGGAAGCCGCCCAGGGCATTCTGCCTTTGCGGCGTGAGGCCAACGTGGCCCAGCACCGGGATGCCGGCCGTCGTGATCTTCTGGATGGTGGGCGCCATTTCCTTTCCACCTTCCAGCTTGACGCTCTGCACCCTACCCTCTTTGACGAAGCGGATGGCCGTGGAGAGGGCTTGCTCAGGGGAGATCTCGTATGATCCCATGGGCAAGTCGCCAACTGTGAAGGCAGCCTTGGTCGCCCGCGCGACACTTCGGCAGTGCAGGAGCATCTCTTCCACCAAGACCTCGGAGGTATCCTCCATGCCTAGTGCGACCATGGCGAGGGAGTCGCCAACCAAGATCATGTCCATGCCCGCCTCGTCAGCCACCAGAGCTGATGGGAAATCATGGGCCGTCATGACGGCGATGGGTTCTTGCCGCCGATGCAGAGACCGGAGAGTTTGGATGGTGACCTTTTTGCGAGGGTTGGCGGGAGGTGTGCCCATGGGAGAATGTGAGCTGTGGCGAACATGGTTGTTGAGTGAGCATAGTGGTGCGAGGTTGGATGCGGAGGTTCGCCCGGAGCGTGCACATAGGAGAGGAGTGCGTCGCGTGAGCAGGGAGGCACACGACCTCACGGACTTGTACATGATGATAATGCCCCTGACCTCGGTGTACCGACCAGCCAGTCAATCGATGCACTGCGGTGGTTGTTTTGTTCCGTCTCAAATAGGTGCAAAAATTGTCCTTTGCGATATGATTGAGGATCAATTTGCCACAGGCGAATTATGGGACGCACGGCTGTTTTTATTCAACGCGATCCCCATCATGATAGTTTTTACTGTGTAGAATTGAGACTCTGCGGATGTGTTTTTCTGAGAATCCCCGAGGCACGCATCAGCCCCACCCACTTCCCAGGTGGGCAATTTGTCAGGGCGGTTTACCGGTCCAAGGGAATAAGGCCAGGCGGCTGAGTCAGGGCCGAGGTTCGAGTTCGGCGGGTTTCGACACTTGTCGACCACAGCCGGGGATTATGCGTCTTCTACTGCACAACAACAAGTGCCAGTAATTTATTTGCTTCTTTGGCTTTCACACCTTGGAGCACAGCTGTATCCATATAGTGAGCTGAATGGCCTGTACAACTACATCATAGGCAGACAAAAGGGCCAACTGTTGGTGGGCCTTGATGGACAAACGTGAAGACGAAGGCCAGTCCGCGATTATAAACTCAAATTTCCTTTTATATAATTCTAGCCATCTTCTTCACATTACTACAGCCGCGAGAGATCGTCATGTCGTTCTCAACTGATGCGATCGCAAACGGCAATCGCTCGCATGTATCTAGTCACGTGCATGCCTCACAGACGGTAAACCACATTCCCCCGCACAATCCCCCTCTTATCACCTTATCGAGCCCCTCCAAATGGCCCCTCCCACTCCCGGAACCCCACTCCAAGTCGTGCAGTGCGGTGTCCCCGCCGCCGGCAACGGCCTGATGGCACCTTCCGCGTGACTGGTCTTGGAGATGATGATGTGACCGACCACCCACGTCCCTCCATGTCCTGTTCCCAATACCTGCCCAGCGGACCTGACGATCACAATAACAGCTACGCGATACGGCCGGCTTAAACACCACCACCTATAGAACCTCGAGTTTGAACCTGCCCCATATCGCCAATAAGGAACGCTTCATAGTTGGTTTTGGTCGTGGTAGTCAAACAAACGACTTGAACAAGAACGATCCTTGCCTCTGCATCTCCTCCACGACAGACGAACAGACGTCGGCGATTCGCTCAACCGAAGCAACACACATTTTCCACGAACGACAAGGCAACCGGCCTCGTAGACGATCCGAACTCACCCACGATCCAACGACCCGCCGTAACACCTCTCACGACACACCAACAGAGGCGAGCCAGGAGGGTATCTCCAGACCCATTGTCAATATGTCAAGCCCACGCCGCAGGATCGAGACGGACGTGATGAAGTTAGCAACTCCCACCAAGCGTGCTAGATCCAGACTGACTTTGACAGGATGTACGGATTGCTTCCTCTCAGATCCTCGTGTTCGCTGACACTGGTAGGTTGATGAGCGACTACGAAGTGACCCTGGTCAACGACAACAGTGAGTGTGTTTTGTTCCGACGCAAAGCCAAGCTGACCCGTCTCAGTGTACATACCTCCGCATTCGGCCAAGCCAAGTCGGTTCTAACGTGCCATTCAGGTCCGAGTTTTACGTCCGCTTCTCTGGCCCAACCGACAGTCAGTCTTACCGATCCAGCATCTCCCAGTCGACATGCTGACGTCTGCAGCACCTTTTGAGGGCGGTCTTTGGAAGATCCACGTTGAATTGCCCGACAACTATCCCTACAAGTCACCTAGTATCGGCTTCGTGAACCGCATATTCCACCCCAACATTGACGAGCTGTGAGTGGTTGTTCCACAAGTGCTAGCTAGTGACAAGCACTGAACAAGCAGATCTGGCTCGGTATGTCTCGATGTCATCAACCAAACTTGGTCGCCCATGTTCGATATGATCAACATCTTCGAAGTGTTCCTGCCACAACTGCTCCGCTATCCTAACCCAGCCGATCCGTTAAATGGTGAAGCTGCTGCCCTGCTCCTCAGGGAGCCGAAAAACTACGAAGCCAAAGTCAAAGGTGTGTGAACCGCTCGGGTACAATGGGCTTCATGGCTGACAAAACCAGAATACGTGAAGAGATACGCAAATCAAGAAGCAGTGGACGACGCCGGCCGCGAGTCGGAGGACGATGACGCACTGTCCTCGGTGGCAAGCTTCGACGACGACGACGACGAGCCCGCTGGCCAAATGGACGACGTATGAGGATTGGGAGAGACGAGGCATGAACGAACTCTGTGGATCTAGTTGTTCGTATCCGAGCGCATTGTATGATAGTTTCAGCTGGCTCTGGGTTTGGCGTCATCACATTATTTCTTAGCGCGGGGCCGGTACCTAATAACGCTACTCTAGCCACTCAAATGGGAAACAACAAACGCCTTTCAACATGGAAACGCCGTATCCCGGGGTATCATGCAAACCATCCAAAACGCCTCGCTCAAAATCAGTCTGAGTCATAATCAACCAGCCCACTGGTCGGTTCCTGCGCCTTGACGGGCGGAACACCATCTTCCCTGCTGGCCAAATCCTGTTTCCTTTTGACGCCTGCGATCCTGGCACCCGTCTTCTCTCCTTTGCCGTCCGCAAGGAAAGGGTCGTGAACAGCCCGGGTGTTGCCCATCAGTTCCTTGACAAATCCACTCTTCCTTGTATTCGCCTCCTTGTCCCGCTTCAAAAGTCGTTCCGGCTGCTCGAGCTGCTTGACTGCCGCCGCACTTGCGAACATGGGCTTGGCCATGGCAGACTGTGTCTCTTTGGCCGCGAAATCCACCAAGGCTGCTCTCCTTTTGTCTTCCTCACTCTCAGGTAGGACGTCTAGACCAAAGTTCATCCTGTCCTGCAGGGCCTCTGTGTCTTTGGCCATTCGTTCCCGATCGTGGCGGCCAGCGCGAAAAGACTTCCGTAGCTTTTGATTTTGGGAGTACGTGTCATGTCGAAACTTGTATGAATCGTCCAAGAGATCCTCGATGCGGTCGTTGGCTTGGATGAGCGCCTCCCGGTCGCTGATCGTTCGTTCCAGCTTGGCAAACGCATTCTTTCGCAGGGCCTCCTTTTCTTGGTCCGTCATAATCGGCGCCACGCCCGACTCGTCCTCGCCATATTCCCTCTTCGTGCCGCCCGAGAGCACGACGTACGCCGTGTTCTTGGGATCGGTCTGCATGACCACCTCCCCGCCGCACTCGGTGTGTTTGAACCGGAATTCCCATATTGTCGTCGTGTGGTATTTGCCTGCCGCTTTCTTGGTCGCGTTGAAGCGCACGCCTTGCGGGATGAGCGTCGGCTGGGGGCATGTGGTGCACCAGACGTGGTAGGGCATCTCGAAGCGGATCGTGGGTGGTTGCGACGGTTTCTGGCGTTTGGCCGGGCGGCTTGAGGACGAACCAAGAGAGGGATCGGTAGAGGATGGGGGTCGATAGCGACCCATGTTGAAGCCTTGCATGATGGGCGATTGGGGCGCGCTTTGCGCGCGGCAGTTGCGTGTTAGTGAGGAGAGGTGTTGAAGATGTCAAGCGGTTGTCTACGGATGGAGTAGTGGCAGATATTTGGTCGGACCAGGCCCCGTCAGTGTAGCCGTCTGATCTACCTACCCGGCAGTTCGCTCTCAGTCGCGATTAATGCCATCTCGCCCCTTTCTTCGGGTAACAGTGTGGTTTCTCCATGAGGAAAACCGTCTGTAACATTTCTCGGGCGTCATGCAGTTGGTACTCTGATGGTGAATTTGATCATGTCGGGTCCCTGGTCATGAACGGATTTGACCCAAATGTTTATCAAACTGAAAACTGTCTTGAATCACAAATACTTTTCTAAACTTTCTATACTGACGATTTAATTCATATATATCCATTTTCGACAGACAGGTAAACTTGAATCCCGGGACATTCATCACATGAAACCACAGCCTGACTGGACAATACCCGATGGGCGGAATTCCGCCAAGTCATCACCGCTCCGCATCACATTAAAAATACCGGGCACGATCAATCCTTCAATACAAAGTGCGAGGCTTACTGTGACTCTCTTCTATTCTCTATCTACTTGTTCATCTTCTGAACTTCACAGAAACATTTCATATGAACACGAGCTCTGACGGACATCCATAAGACTCCAGCCCAATTGCGGACATGGCAGTCATCAACATTGATGTTGTCTCCGACTTTACTTGCACAGTAGGTCCCCTTTCCATGTCACGAAACGCCCATAACTGACTTCTTAGTGGTGCTTCATTGGCAAGCGTATACTGGACCAAACAATCGCGCTCTTCTTGAAGACACACCCTTCCAAGCCCACGTTCAACATCACATACCACCCATACTTTCTCTCTCACTTCAACTCCCTCGACTATACCGTCACAAACTCCATTCCACGCGCACACCTCACCGAGAAAAAACTTGGCCATTTGTCCAAAGAGCGGAGAGATGCCATGACCAAGAAAATGGAAGGTCTCGGAAGAAGCGTCGGCATTGAGTTCAAGTGGGATGGTCTCATTGGCCCTACTGCAAAGGCACATGGGCTGGTCATGATGGCGGGCGAAAGGCAGAGGGACGTCGTGGAGGGGCTGATGCATGCGTTTCACGAGGAAGAAAGGGATATCAATGACGAAGATACGATGCGCGAAATTGCGCGGGCAGCAGGCTTGACGGATGGGGATGTTGACGAGGCCTTTGCAGATAAAATCCAGGACAAGGTCGTGCGGGAAGAACAGGAATGGAGAGAAGTGGCAGTGGGCAAGGGCGTGCCAGTGTACATCATCCAGGGTCAGCATCGGATCGATGGGGCACCGGACCCGGGCGACCTGTATGAGATTTTCATCAGGGCACTCGAGGATACTGAGTCATTGTAGTGCTTCATGATATACATTGTCTTTCTGTATATTTGTGTTCGTTCAAAGGCCTAGCTCGCCACCAATGACATCCAACGCCTCTCTCAGTAGTCTCGAAACCTCGTCATCAGGATTTACGCCGATGGACTTGACAATCAGGGGATAGAGCCGCAACAGATGCTTCCGGTAGTCGCTGTCGGCATTTTCGAGAGGCTGAATCGCGTCGACCCGGCTATGTAGCGCCACGAGCTTCTTCAATAACCAGACCAGCTCTTTCTTCTCGCTCAGTGGCTGGGGCATGCGTCCTCGCAAGGGCTGGTCGGCGATGAATGCCCGTAGGGTGTTTCCGCAGCGAACAAGAAGATAAGGCGCTACTGTACAAGCAATGCGACTCTCAAGCTCAGCGGTTGGGCCAGTCGTGTCGCTGACCGACACGAGGCTGAACATCTCATCCAGCGCGACGAAGGCTATGTTGGCCCGAGGATGTGATTTGGTCGATACAGTACGACCTGGGGGAATAGTATACAGTGATGACATGCAGTCGTTGCCGCTGGTGAGCTGGTCGAAAGAGTCTTGGGCCGGTAGGGTGTGGTGTATCGTCGAGGCCATGAACAGACTCAGGGCGTAGTCCTTGCGCACGTCCTCTGATACAGACGAGGTACCTAGCAGGGGCACGATAAGTGCTCGTAACTTGTGGAAAGCTTCAATGTCGAAGACTTCGTCATCTGCCAGAGAAGGCTCGTTTTCCAACACACTGGGTTCCACCTGAATGATGCCTGCAGCAAGTCGGGCGATCTCTGTCCATATCTCATCACTGTTTGTTTTGGCAATGTCAATCTTGCTCAGTTGACTCAGTGTTGGCTCGAGAATGGACAAAGCCGTCTTTGTAGCTAGTCGCCATGGCTGCTCGAGCTTTGTCTTGATCCCAAATTGGTATTTCAGAGTAACGGGCTCCCTGAGCGCGGAAAGAGCGGTAGCTAGAGCGCCGCTCGTGTAGATACCAAGGTCAGGGTCTGCTGCATGTTGGATGACTAGCGTCTCCATCATGGCCATGCTGGCCTTGGACAAGGCGACGAAAGTACACCTAGGACCTGGTCCTGCATTTGTCTGCTCATCGCTGAAAGCCAACGTGACAAAGACTGCCAATTGTTCGATGACTGCTGATGGCACGCCAGGCACATCAGTACGGATCATGTTAATCGCATCGAGAACTTCGCTTTGAAGCTGAGTAGTTTGCTCAATATCTGAGCTGTAGTTGCTCATCGTGGCCCTTTCGACGGTGGTGTTGAGTAGTTCAAGAATCTGTTCCACTTTGGATGCGCTGAGCTGATTCTGGATCAGGGCGTACACTTGCCGCAGCGCGGACACGTAGGCGCTCAGACACGCTTGATTGTTGAATGAAGTGGGGGTGCTGGAGGATAGACTCGAGTTCGGGACGCTACGAGACCAGGTGCCCCAAGCTCGCTCGATATTCTCGGGGCTCAAGGTTGGCCCCCCTTTGCTGTTGGCCCGGGACAAGATACGTGACAGGGCTTTGTAGGTGGCAGTGTCGATGTCCAGAATCTCAAACTCAAGCATGCTTGCTAAATGATCAAAAAGATCATTCCAAAGCTTGCCGAAGCCAGGGCTTTGCAGAAGCACCTCGAGATAGTCGGCCAACAAGGCGGAAATGCCGTCAAGCACCACGACGGCAGTCCCAGTCCAGTCGCTCAACTCGCTGCCATCAGTAGCTCCCTGCTGCGCTGCTTCGAGCTCCACCTGCAAAGCAATGAGAAGCCTGAAAACGACGGACTTGACGCAAATGAGCCACGCTTCAGGACTCAGTCGATCCCCGTACGCATCGAATATGCGCAGCAATGTCTGAATGGCGCTGTTGCGGAGCTCCAGTCTGTCGTCCGAGGCCACTGCTGTCAAGCGCAGTAGCAAGAGCATCCAGAGCGCAGGCACCGATGCCTTATGGCTATGATCAGAGGCCTTTTTGGTGAGATCAGATGCTTCGCTCTCCTCCATGAGCTCTGCAGTGATCTTCAGTGATTCACTCTTGCTGGAGAGAAAGTCGGATAGGACCCAGAAGAAGGTGACGGTCTGAAAGAGTCAGTAAAAGTTTCCCAGTTCGAAACGAGCAGCTTACTGTAAGTGCGATATTCAAATCGTCGTCCTGTGAAGAAAATTTGTACAGGGTATCAACGAGTATTAGAAAGCATGAGTTGGGTAGCGAAGCGAGGAAATCTGAAGCAATGAGCTGCAGTGAGCTGAACGAGGCTCTCACCAACTTTGGTGACCGCGTCTTGATCAGGGTGGGATCAGTGGCAGCTCTCTCGTCCCCAGCCGTCTCTTTCAGGATGAAGACACTGCCAATGATGTCAAAAGCAACCTCCCAGCCTCTGACCAAGCTCTCGCCGCATTCTTCCACGATGCTCTTGAGGCCATCGAGAATGATGCGATGGATATTGACGTCGACGGCGCGAACGGCAACCGAGACCTCCCGATCTTCCTCCTGGAGGGGCTCCACCGCAGAGCTCAACGCCTGCAGCATACGGAGCTGCACGGGGCCCCGGGCTTCCTCGGGCAATGATTCGGTCAGGTTGGCCGTCTCCAGCATCAGTTTTGCCAATGTCTCTGCCGCTCTGGTGCGGACTGAGGTAGCGTCTATCTTGGAGTTGAGATTCTCCACGAGTCCCTCCACAATCAAGGTCCAGCCCGATTCGTCAGGGGGGTATGCGAGCAAGCGCTCAATGTTGATACTAGCAACCTCTCCCAACTTGACCAGGGCGAATTGGTCTTCCTGCGTCGGGGGCCCAGAGGACGCAGTTGAGAAACTCGAGACACGTCGGTGTTGGCCTGGCGCCTGCAGTGCTGGCATCTTCTCGTTCGCTTGACTCGACGGCTGCCGCTTTGTATCTGGTTTGTCGGTTGCACTTCGCTGTAGCAGCCGGCGAATTGCCTGGACGACCTGAAGAAAGGACTCGTTGGGAAAGTCAACGGTGCTCTCCATGAGCCGTGATGCCGCTGTTTCGACAGCCCGCACCTCATTTCCAAAGTTCGCTGTCAGGGATCCTCCCTCTTGCTCTCCAGAGTTGACATGGCCTCTGTAGATAGACGGTGTTCTTCCAGGCGTTTTCGCACTCGAGAAGAGAACAAAGTCGGCCTGCTGCAGCGTTTCCAACACGATCCGCCACGCGCTACTGAGAGTCGGCCCAAGAGCGATACCGAGATTGAGAAGCGCTCGCAAGCATAGCAAGTTGCGCGTGTTGAGCATGGCCATCTGGGCATCGAAGGATGGTTGACGCTTCTCCGCCGTCGGTGTGGACAGGTTGTCGGTGCTCAGCAAGCCACGCGCGTTGCTCAAGATGCTCGATGAGCCGTCGCCCGCCGAGCCGGTTCCCGGACGCTGGCCAGCCGTGAGACAAGCGGTGAACACGTTGGGCGGCACGGCAGCCTTTCCCAGCGTTGTCAGGAAAGCATCTCGAGGCGTGGCAAGCTGCAGAAGCCCGGCGACGTGTGCAAATCGTTGAAAGGCGCGCACTAGGCCATGGTAGTACTCCGAGTCCATGGCTGCATACAGGAATGTCGAGCATGTGGCCAGGATAGCGGGCCAGCACTCGTCGACGAGAGCAGCGCATATCTTGACTTCTGAGTGCATCGGATGATCCTCTTGTGTCAAGGGGTTGACGGGTAGGGGATTCTTCTTGAACGACGCTGCCCTCTCCAACCTCTCTCCTGATTCTGCATCCGCGGCGGGCGAATCCACATCATCCTCATGTTTCGCCAACTTTCTCCTGTTACGAGCTTCGTTGGTGACTGTCAGAGGCAGAACAAACTTGGCCAGTCCATCGGATAGCGATGATATGCAGGACAAAATAAGGCTGTAGGTGTAAGACTCTGGTACGGCCGGCGGTTCCGTCTTGTCGAGTTGGTCAATACAAGGCACACGGATGGTACTCCATTTGGTGCTGATTCCAACTTGCGGTCCCTCTGAAGTCGTCCCGCTGCTGATGATCCCCGTGATTCCGCTCGCCTCCAGGACTGCCTGGTCTTGGGCCGGTTCTTGGGGGGCAGCGGCTGGCACTGAGGACTGATGCCCGAGACCGATGACGGCTGGCTTTTCGGTGCTGAGGCGGACAAATGTGGCACACAAATTCTTCAAGACGTCCCTTTCTCCTTCCCGTGCGTCGTAGAGAGCATAGATGCGACGTAAAAGACTGTGCTCAGCGAAAATCCCGCGGAAGACTTCCATGCAAAGCGCCCGTTTCCATAGTGTCGCGTCTTGATCCAGCAAAGCAGTCAATATGCCTAGTGCTTCTCCACACTCTTCAGGCAAGACGTTGATATGTCGGCGCAGCATGGTGTATAAAATCCGGACAAGGCGAACAGTTGTGGCGAATGACGGCCTCCCCTTGAGGGCGCTCGTAATGAGCGGCATAGCCCTGTTCCGTAGCACGTACACTTGCTCCGGATGACTGGTGAAAACAGAGGCATGGTTCGTGATGACCGATTCTATCAGCTCCAGTCCAAAGGTTTGCGGTAAGCCTTGAAACCGCAAGAATTCAGGTCTTTGGTTCTCTGTCAGGAGACAAAGATCGTTGAAGATCTACTGGTCAGTACTATACTGCAGTTCAGCCTGAACGGACTCACTCGGTAAGCATCAAGGGCAGCGGCGCCAAGTTCCACTTCGCCGTCAGAGGTTGGCGCAACACCAGCTGGGGAGGTATCCTTTCCGCTTTCTGGCTACTTTAGCACGACCTTTTGATCATAGGGGTGGTGAGACCCACTGTCTTCCACAACAACCTTATCGAAGACAGAGACGACAAGTTGCTGCAGGGTCGCCGCCGAGGTGTTGTTGACGATGGCATTCTTGCTACTTTGCAATGTGAAACAGATGTTGAGGGCATTCACCAGAAGGTCACCCTTCAGATCGCTGGAGTAGTTCTGCAGCAGCGATGGAAGAGCTTGCAGGATTTTGAGCTGGACATCGAGGGCACCGGCGGAGGATGCCTGCATCAGCGCCTCGAGGACCTGATTCAGCCTCGAGCGCGGCAGGGCCCGCGCTACAATGAGTCGCTGCAGGCACACAATTGCAATGGCAGTGAACTTTGCATTCTTGGTACCACATGCGATGATGAAAGGGTTGACAAAGTTGACCTTGGTGGCAAGCTCTGGCAGAGGGTCAGCGGCGTTGATGGCGTCTAGTTGCGGACCTGGGGAAGTGTACCTTCAGGCGCACCCTGTTCAGAAGTGTTTCTCAAATTTCTGAGGTCGTCTAGAGATTTTTCCGCTGCCTTGTTTTGTCAGAAGAGACTCCTGTATCTTGGGAACTGGTGGCTGTACCTGTCGTAAGTCATTGTGTTTCCGCTTGCTCTCCTGAATGAGATTCGCCAGCTCTGTGGCCAGCAATTGCGTGGTCATCGTCAGCACGCAGAGCACCGGGCCGGCTCACAAGCGAGCAATGAGATGGTCCTTTGTTCCATACAGCTTCTCGCAGAGCTGGTCGCCGACAAGATCGTACAAAAAGGAGTGAATTGCTGATGCTTGCCACAGTTACCACCTGTTCCCCCGGGGGTACGTCTGACGTTGTCCCCTACAGCTCTATGGCAGAACCCACACCGCCTTCCCAAGTCGTTGGCCATGAAATGGATACCCTAGACGCGGTAGGCTTCATGCACCTCCGTGACGTGTCTCATGATTATGATGGACATTGAATTTGAGGCTTTCTCCTTGATTCTTCGAGGATTTTACGTGTTTCTTGAGTCTCTGGGTGTTCATAACAGCTTGAGTTTACAACCTGATTTCCCCTGTTGACATGATGCTGAAAGAAGGCCTTGTTGTCTTTCAGTCATGAATGCATCGATACTTTGACGACGACCCGATGCTAACATTGAAAAATACCATGAATTTATCATTAGTCGCTTGTGTACCCACGCTATCCTAATAACCACTTTTGCCGGCGTACAACATATCCATGTTCCCAAGAGAGACAACGCCAGCCCAACCCGAGCACTCATTAGCGCCTGGAAAGAAAACGGGCGTTTTGGTTCTATTGATTTCCTGAAGACAACCTGAACTCCTATCCTAAATGCATTTGGCGAGAGCCACACCTTTTTTCGACTAGTGAGGGACATTGGTAAAGAGGTACGACACAGACTCGCCGTTGTGTGTGCGGCGAATGGCCTCGGCTAGCGTCCCGGAGACATCCATCACTTTGAGTATCGGGCAGCGCTCCGTCTTGTCACCAAGAGGAACAGCTAGAGCAGGTCAGCTGGCTTGTCACGATGAACATCAACAAGAGACTCACTGTTGGTCACAACCAGTCCGGACAGAACCGACGCATTGATAGTATCAATGGCCTTACCGCTGAGAATACCGTGCGTGACAATCGCCCAAACTTCCCTGGCACCGTGGTCGCTGACTGTCTGCGCGGCCTTGGCTAGAGTACCACACGTGTCGGCCATGTCGTCCACCAAGATGGCCACCTTGTCCTGGACATCACCAACAAGGACCATGCGGCCTACCTCGTTGGGACGGGGGCGCTCTTTGTGGATGAGAGCAAAGGCAGTCTCTAGACGATCAGCGATGGAGGTTGCGCGCTTGGCACCACCGGCGTCAGGCGAGACAATGACGCAGTTCTGCGAGTCGAGGTTCTCGCGGATCCAGCGCAACACAGAGGGTTCCGCATAGAGGTTGTCAACAGGGACGTTGAAGAAGCCCTGAATTTGCGACGCATGGAGATCCATGGTGATAACGTGGTTCTAACTCAGTCAGCCTCTATTGCGCTCAACCTGTCCAATTACACTCACGCAGCCAGACACCTGGAGCATGTTGGCGATGAGCTTGGCGCTGATGGGCGCGCGCGACTTGTCCTTCTTGTCCTGTCGGGCATAGGGAAAGTTGGGGATCACAGCCGTGATGCGACGAGCCGAGGCGGTGCGGCAGGCGTGGATCATGATGAGGAGCTCCATGAGGCCATCGTTGACATCGCCGGGGGCCGTGGACTGCAGGATGAAAACATCCTCGTCACGGACGGATTCGCCAATGGAGACGCTGGTCTCCTGGTTGGAGTAGTGAAGACTCAGGGTGTTTGCGACTTCAATGCCGAGCCTTGCGGTGGTCAGCCTGGAAATTTTGTGCCACCCGGAAATTCAGAAGCAAGCTTACCGACTGGCGACCTGCGCGCTGAGATCCGGGTGAGACGTGCCCGACAGCAGCTTGATTTCGTTTGCCATTTGGTCCAACATTGCCGAGGAGGGAAGAAGAGGTTCAAGCCGATCGCGGGGCAGAAGGCGAAAGTTTTTGGCGTCACGGTTCGTCGGGACTGGACAGATCAGCTGGCAGTTTGCAGGACTAGTCTGATGGCGACCGCAGCAGGACGGGCGCTGTGAAAGTAATGCAGTATCAGATGTTTGCCAAGCAGAGAGGCAAGAGGAGCGACGTTGGGGGATGGAGATGAAGATCAAGTGAGCCACGTATGCAGGACACTGATGGCTATGAGCCAGGTGAATTGACTCGGTCGGTGAATGAGATTTTTTTCCATCATGGTTTAACGCGGTGGAGTGCTATCCAGGATGCCCGCGCTCAAGGTTCAAGGCGACGCGGGTGTCTTCGCTGGGGGAGGTACTTATCCATGTGCCGCGTGTGCCATTGTGATTGAAGTACCTTTTGTTAGCTTCTCCAACAACCCGTTCCAGCGATGGGCAGCACAGGACCTGGACAGGAGCAGCCAGCCAACCAGGGCCTCGTCGAATCGACATGCGCCAGACAAGGCTGGACGTCATAATTATTTTGAGCTTGCACTTGTGTCAGCCATTGCCTGATGTGTTGCGACGATGTGCAATGGACCAGAATAAGTGGTGGTAGCCAATGGACACTGGTCACTACTAGTAATTATGGTACCTTAGTTCCACGACGAGTAACTCGTAAGTACGGCATGTGAACAATTCCAGCGGATAACGCCCCTACTAACGAGGCCCGGACTGAAGTTCCTGAACGTTGGATTAGCGCCGTTCAAACGGATCTGGGCGCAGGTCATGTCGGCTCTGTACTAACCGCGCCCCGCGGTGAGCCGCTGTCAGTCCCCAAGCCGCAAACCGCAAACCTCAGCAAGAATTTCGCACACCCAAAGTTTCAACTATTAGCATCACAGACAAAGCAAAGCGCAGTGTCTCGTGACCTTTTTCGACTCTCCCACGACTGTATCTGCCCCTCGAGCCCTCAGTTATCTACGATAGAGCGGCGCTAGACAACCCCAGCCCAATCACTCACGGTGGTGGCCCTGTTGGGACCCTTGGGACCTATCGCCACACCGCCGAACCGAATCGAACCCAATCTGCAATTCTGCGTTGACACCCAAGGACCACTCTGGACCATGCTGCACTGAACACCGCAGAGCGAAAGAAGACGACCGCAACCAAGATTATGGCGAGCTACCCTCGCTTCCCTCCGCGACTCGTTTCCTCCCCGTCGTCGACCTCCTCGCTGTCCGATGCCCTCAACCCTCGCAAGCGCAAACTGCATCTCCTCGTCGCCGCGGCTGGCCCGCGCGATACGTCCTGGGCACAGGCTCTCGTCGTCCGACTCTCCAAGAACCCGCACATTGAGGCGCGCGCCATCATCGACGATGTCGTCCCCCGCCTGGCGCAGACCGTCATCGTGATGCCCAACCAGAGCCTGGCGCCAGGGCAGATTGACCACGCGGACGATGCCGACTTTTACAAGCAACAGGCGTTTGAGCTGATACAGTGGGCCGACCTCATGGTCTGCGTGCCGTTGGATGCGGATGGCATTGCGAAGATGCTGGCTGGGATCGCGGATACGCTACTCGGGGAGGTCCTCCGAGGGTGGGACACGTCCAAGAGCATCGTGCTGGTGCCGAGCATGAGCACGCACATGTGGGCGAATCCCCTGACGAAACGGCAGCTCAGCAAGATCCATCGCAAATGGGGCTGGATCAGGGTCATGGCACCCATCACATGGCATTACGAGGGATCGCACAACCCCAAAAGGGTCCCCATCTGGAACGGGTTCAACGAAGTGCTGGCTATCATCCAGAACCAGGCGGACCTGTTGGGACTCGGTCGCGACGTGGAGATTGCCACGGGCGTGGCCATTCTCCCGGATACCAGCGTCAAGGTGGAGTCCAAACTGCCACCGGAGATATGGACGATCATTCTGGACTTCTCGGGGGATTGGGAGCTGGCCAAGGCTCTGGGGATATACACCAACCTACCGATGCCCAAGTGGTGGTCTCTACATCCAAGGGATGCTTCCAACCCTCTACAAGCATACGAACACGAGCTTGAGTGGACGACCCTCACCTGCAACGCCGCGGCCATCTGCAAAAAGCTATCACAATGTCCGCCGAATTTCAGAGATATTCCAGCGCAGGTAGTCCGCCTCGTCATCCGCTTTGCGCTGATCGAGGTGCTGGCCTACCTAGAAGCCAACCGTCCGGACCTCTTCAAGGCCTTTGGTGGGACGACACTGCCGACAAAGGCGTCTGCCTGGTATCCCCGCACGGACGTGCTGGACTACTGGCTGACGAGTCGCTGGTTCCGCGACAACCACACGTACGACGCGGAATCGGTGGACGGCGCATCCAAGAACGGGCACGTACGCATCTTGGACTGGTGGTGGCGCCATTCCGGGTTCCCCCTGCGATACACCGAGGCAGCGCTGGAGCAGGCGAGTGCCAATGGCCATCTGCTCGTGCTCGAGTGGTGGCGCGACGCTGCCGCCCAGGATGACAAGGTTGTACTTCGACCGGGGCGGTCGCTCCTCTGGGCCACGCAATTCGGTCAGGCAGACGTGCTACGATGGTGGGATGCGTCGGGCATACCGCTCGCCCACGGCGACGGGGTCGCGAAATGGGCAAGTCGATGGGGGCAAGTCAACATCCTCGAGACGTGGCGCCGTCTCAAGGGCGACAGCAAACTGGCCCGCGATGGCGATGTGTTGGTAGCGCCCACGGTCCACCAGCACATGGAGGTGCTCGAGTGGTGGCGCCGTTTTGCCCACGGCGAGCTGGAGGGCATGGAAGGGCGCAAGCAGCAGGTTGAGTTTCGGACATGCAACATTGAGGAAGCGCTGGAGGACAGCATCGGCGACCAGAGTCGGGTGCGGCAATGGTGGGTGAAGAACGGGTTGAATCTCGGCCTGCGGAACGAGGAGTGGCTTGAGCAGCGACATCTGTGAGCTGCTTCTCTGAGGAAAAGATGGGAAACGGCGTTTGTCTGCTTTGGTGCTTTTTTAGGAAGCGTGCATTGGGTATCATGGCGTTACAGGCAGGCACGTGCTACGAAGATAATGACAATGATGAACTATTGCCATCTGATCTTTGTCCGCGGGAACCGATGGTTTGCCAATAGTCAGAGCAATGCGGCGTCGACTGACTCGATACAAGTGGACCAGGCAAGCAAGCAGCTCCAAGTTTGTGGAAGTCTGCGGCCGCCCAAGGTCATTTTATTTCAGCAAACACGAGTGCTTGCTTGCTTGCGCAAGGCTGCGAATTGCGCCTTGTTGCGTGGACGTCGTGCTCTACGAACCTGTGCTGCGACGGCAGCCTGCAGATGTTTTATAGCTATCCGCATCAAGCCGTTGATATATGCGAGCAAACGCGTCTCTGTCGGACAGTCGGAGTCCGTCCTGGACATGACCGGCGATCATTATTGTCCCCACCTAGAAGCCAGGGCCAAGGCGACGCCGCTGCGGGTGGCTCATTCATGCAATTTCGCAATCATCTGAATAGGTACACGATCGCGCAGGATGGTGGACGAGTGCCCGGTGCCAGAAGTTCCAGCATGCGGATCTGCTTGTGATTGTTCTCGCCAAGTAACAATGCCTGCTGTACAGACTACAGAGCGACATCCATATTGATCAATAAGTATCCCGGATCCTGACGCGGACCCTGGCGTTGGTTCTGGAAGTTGGATCCTCCGCGGCGGTCCGTTGCCAAGATTTCTTCATCGCGAGCGCACGCAAGATCAAAGTCGACATGGATGTCATGGAACCCCTGGTCATGGTGCCTGAACAGGCTGAACTGGACTGTCTGGCCAGTGGACTCTGCCTCAGGGCCAGGCTGGATGCCGCTGGAAAGGCAGGTGACCGACCGCTGGCAAGGTGGATGCAGTCCAGTCCTCACCGCCTGGCAGAGACTGGAGACATGGGGACATGGAACCTCATTAGCGAAGCCTCCTGCAACCATCCGCGATCTCTCTCTATTGTACTCCATAGTCCATGTCTCTACAGGCTACAATTCACCATGCCCCGCCCAAGCGAAGGGGGCATGGCCAGATAGTCGCATGAGTGTTGAATATCCGCGTGCATTACGGTAATTGCTTCCCTTGGAAACAGTGTGGAATTACTCGACAGCAGGACGCACGCTCTAATTAATATAACGCTGGGAACCCCGCCATCCGCCACAAATACTGGGTGGGACACATCACATCAGCTCAGACATCCTTGTCTTTCGCACCCACCATCTTTGCCGGCCCCTGATGATCTACGTCTGCAAGTCACCGCTGCTCAGTGCTCTGCTCGCGAGTCACAAGTCTGTCTGCTTTGGCGAGTTTGCGACCAACGATCACCGTCTGGCTGTGGGTAGTACGTAGCGCTGCGCGAGTCGGTTACCAGCAGGACAATCTGCCCAGAGCCCCATACGAGGACTGGAGTAGGCTGAGGCTCGTGCAACCGCAAACGGGACCCTTGGGAGTTGGGACTATTCATTCCCTAGATTCATCAGAATGCGTGCGGATCCGCCCATTGCCAGACCGAGACACCACTTTCCTGACGATTCAGGGCCCCAGCAAGCGCGTCCTCGTCAACGGTCAGCCCACTTCGTTGTCGATTAATACTTTTACGTATAGTAGGCGGTTGGTGACTTTTTCTCCCGAGCAGCAGCAACGCCGCTCTCTCGCCCACGACACCTGAATCATCGCGGTGGGCCCAACCGGACATGCTCGCCCATTGATCCTTGTACCTAGTCTAGCAACTTCTTGTCCTGTGTGGGTGCGCACCGCTTCAGCAGTGTCCATACTGCCTGAATTATTGTCGTCGACACTTTGCCATCTCTCCAACTTCCCCAAACATTCAATTGTTCGAAAGACACGCCGACACTGGGCTGTCTGCGTCTGCGACCCAGCTCTCATCCAACCTCGACGCCGCCCAATTCGACCGCACCTCTTTCTCGAGTGAAGGCTGTCTTCCAAAGACTCCGGTGGTCTATTCCGTACACTGGACTGCATCTTGCGCAGGCGACATATGGGACGCCTTCTGCGACTCACTCCAGCGAGGTCCCATTGGCGCATTTACATGCTGGCCCCAAGACAGTCTGTTGCTGTGAGGTAGGAAACAGACTGCTGGACTCCGCGACGGCCGTCGACCGTCCACTGCGACACGGCAATGCCTCGCTTTGCGTTCCCGATACCGGGCCGCAGCAAGAAGCAAACACAACCCCCGCCCAACGAGCCTATGAGCAAAGCCCACAGAGTACTTGGATCGCCACAGCTCAGCCTCGACTCGAACAGCCAGCCATGGGACGCCAGGTCGAATTCGGGACTCAGCGTCTCGCTGTCGGAAGCAACGACAGCGCAGACATACGGTTCAGCACGGGGTCGACCGCGACAACATAACCGGGAGCGAGATTGGTCGAACGAGTCCGATATACTACCGCACAACGGCCTGGCGGAAGGGTACGAGGATGCTTACTCGGATTACACGGGCAATCTGCGAAACCAGCCCTCTTCGTCCACCATACGCTCCTGGTACGATCGAACGAAGCAGCCGCTGGCCGTCTCCCAGCAGACATCAGCGTCGGCCATGGCCAAGGGTCTCCCCTCCAAGGCGCAACGATTATTGGATATGGACAACAACCACGGTAGCTTGGCGACCAAATCGAAGAAGAAACCCGCCGACCTTGATCTCTCGCTCGCGGTACCGGGTGGCAGAGGCAAGACACAGCGTTTCCAACCGTCGGGAGGCCCTGCAGGGGCATACGTAGCACGATCACCTTCTTTGCTGTCGCCCTTGACACCCGGGGGAACCAAGCCACGACGAAGGATTCAGAAGAGGCACACCAGCGAAGATTTACGGCAGGATCATGGCAGCCACCGTCAACCAGGGACCAACGAAGGCCACATGCCTGGCGCCGACCGGCTAGATGAGCTACCGAGTCTGTACAAGCATTACGAGCAAATGTCATTTGCCCAGATCATGGATGGAAACCAGGAACCAGTAAAGGCTGCCGTCAGACCGATGCGACATGCGCTGTCTTCTCCGGACAGACTGGACGACGTGGATGAGCAGACAGCTTCGGCAGTTTTTCATCACCAATTGACGTACTCGCGAGACGATGTCAGCAGAGCACCGCGCGACAGTCATGGCACGACCACGAACACCCACTCCACGCATAGCAGCTTGTCTACGCAGCGCACACACCCGACGCAGCTTGGGTATCCATCGCAATGGAATCACCCCATCCAAATCGTGCACGCACCGACGCCAACCAAGGCCGAGCACTCTCCCATTGACTGCGGAGAAAGTGTGTCAAGTCGGCACACGAGGACGTCAAAGGCCTCGAGGCGGACAGAAAAGAGCATGCGGGATGCCGATCTGCAAGAGAAAAGTGTGCTGATGCTCTCCTCCGACTCGGAAGAAGACGAAGATGATCTGGACAGTGCGCAGTCGCCAAGAAACCTGGCTTCGTCGTCTTCCGTACATACGGCGCCCTCCTTGACGGGGAGTGGACAAACGGGAACCGACGACTTGGAGGCTGATGATGCGCTCTACCCAGGCGGATTGCAGCCGGAACCTATAAGAAAACGCGTGAGTAGAGCACCAGCCGGATTCCTCACGATTCCCACCCAGCCCTTGAATAAGTCGCCTTCACCCCCCATGTCAACACCATCGACGGGCAATCCGAGAATGAGTTGGGCCGAGCCGCTCAGTCTAGCTACTTCCAACTCCACGGCGTCGCTTTCGACCACGGCCTCGAGTGGCGGCACTGCTATGGTACAGGAAGCTCGGGCCGTGACTCTGGTGCCAGCACAAGGGCCAGAGCCCGAATCCGACGAGGAGGCGGCAGAGTCTGACCTGGAGTACGACCGTCCGCAACACGTGATGCGCGACCCAATGCTCCCGAGCAAGACATTCGAGGCACAACCTCTGAGTCCCTCGTCCATGGAGTTTTACATACAGTCTCCCACGTCGGGCGACTCCGATGAGCACTTTATGGGGTTGACGCGCCAGGAACAGATGCTCATCCAGGCACTGCGGCACAGACGGGAAACGATGCGCCAGCTACAGGAGGCCGGCGGCGCCACGGAGGACAGCTCGCGCGCACACTGGCGGCAATCAAGCAAAGGGCACCGGTCAAACACATCCGAGGTCACCATTACAGAGTCTACATTGAACTTTGACTTTCCCGCACCACCTAGCCACAAGGACAGTGGGTTGGCCGGCATCATGAACAGGATACAGCAGGATCCGACGGAAGATCAGCCCAAGGGCGGGAGCAGAGGGGCTTCAAGCGGCGGGGATGCTCACTCGAACTCGCGCTCAACAGACGGTACGGGCTTTGCCTTGTCACCGCCGCCGCCATCTTCTCGGCGCTCTGCAACTTCTCGGCGCTCTGCAACTTCTCGGCGCTCTGCAACAAACCTGGCCAGCAACATCGCATCGGGACACGAGGACACCTCCAGTCTAGACGTTGGGACTATGCTCGAGGCAAGAACCTACAAATCCGAGGAGTTCCTCAAGGCTCGCGCCTATACGGGCCAAAACCCGCAGCCTTCACGGGATAACTTCCGCCGCCAGCGTTTGCCTGCGGATCGAAGACGCACGGCCAAGGAACAGCTTGATTCGCCCACCACATCTGCGGATCGCCGACCTGCTGTGGCCGATGAGAAACTCCCTTCGTCGCAGCGTGTCCAACCCGACCAAGGCGCCGATGTGCCCCGTCCCGATAGCCCCATCTCGGCAGATGCGTTCCCCTCTGTCCCGGGACGGCGCAGGACATTGAATAGTCAGAGTGTCCGGCTGAGCGCGTTCGGACCTCCTGCGCCCGCCAACGGCGAGCTGGGCTGGTGGGGAGACGAAGACTGATGCTGCTTCCCATGCGACTACAAAGTCGTGTTTCTCTTGTATATATTCTATTTCTTTTTCCCATACGGCTGCGTTCTCGGGGAAGACATTAATACCAGGGTGGCAGGGGCAGTTCTTGGCCACAAGGCCCCAGGAGTTCCCTTTTGTTTACATACACACTTACTTCTACATCAGCGTCGAATTACAGGGCCACATGTTTGCTTTGGGCCGGGCATGGGGAGGGTTGGGACAGTTCCCACTGGCGGGACATGATATTTACTATTTAATCCACGTACCATGTACTAGGTGTAATCGATCATGCAGAATGAACTGGATGATCAGTTGATACCACGCGCAGTCATGTGCTTCCAATTCATCCCCCCTCTGCCAATGTCGGGACCTAACTTGTAATTCCGCTCCCCCAAGTCATGAACGCATGCCGTCGTAAACAATGTGCTACACCAAGCCCCCCCCCCTATCATTCGTACGTCGAGCCCTCGGGGGGTTGTTGGAGCTTCTTGTTCGCCGGGGCCGCCATGTACCGCCTCAGCTCGATCAGGATCGTCTCCATGGTATTCTCCCGCTTCCACTGCGCCAGACAGGGCAGCATCTTGGGGTCGACGACGCCGTTACGCGGGTTCACGGCGGGGAGGTTGATCTGGGAGATGAACTGGATGGTGGGCGGCTGGTCGGGGTACGCGTCGCCGCAGTGCATCTTGAGAGAGTAGATGCGGTTCTCGTGGACGCTCTGGTGTACGGGTTAGCATGGACGGCCTAGGCAAGGGCAGGCGAGTAGACGTACGTGGGGGGGACCAAGGATCGTGCCGTTCCAGTTACTCATGAGGAGATCCTCAGAGTCCTCGAGACCGTAGCTGCATGCCTCCGCGCCGAGACCCTTCTCGCCCTTCTCGAGCTCCTCCAAGAGGCGAAAGTTGCGGGGAATCTTGGCCATGGCGATGGTCTTGTTTGTGCTTGGGAATGGCGACTGTGATTACAGATCGTGACGGCGAAGGGACAACTGAAAGCGAGCGGATGAGTGTTTCGTGGTCTGCTGAGTCCCCTCGTGAGGTGGGCGCTATACACTGATGGCGGGGCAGTGGACGAGCAGCTCTGGAATTACTCGCGTGGCTCATCAGCTCCAGCTCCAGTGCTCAACCCAGTCGTGTGACGTGCAAGAGCTGGGGCGGCTAAGCCTCGGCTATGCCCGAGCTCCTTGCAGCTTCCCCCGGATGGACGAACCTGCGTCATCTCCAAATCCCTTGTTGTATACTCTGCATCGTGCGACACGCTTGCGCTGCCGCCTAATTCTCCCATCTTGAAGGTTCACTCGAGACGCCAGACTCTTTAGCCAAGAGAGTGACGGGGACAAGTCGAGATGGCGTCTGCATTGACGCGCGCAAACCTCCGGGCACCGCTTACCCGACCGCAAGCAAGCAGCCTGCTGGTCTCGAGTCGGTTGTTCAGTATATCGTCAAACTCGAGTCTACCCTCCAACAGCTCGTCATCAGCCTCCAACTTTGGCATTGGCTCCGGGCCTCTACCGACATACTTCCAGAAACCTCGTCTGCCCGCTAACACCATCGTCCGATTCGTCCCGCAACAAACAGCATGGATCGTCGAGCGCATGGGCAAGTTCAACCGCATCCTGGACCCGGGTCTGTCGGTCCTGGTGCCGTTCATCGATCGCATCGCCTATGTGAAGAGCTTGAAGGAGGCGGCGATTGAGATCCCGAAGCAGAGCGCCATCACGGCAGACAATGTCACCCTGGAGCTCGACGGTGTGCTGTTCACGCGGGTCTTTGACGCGTACAAGGCAAGGTAGGCGCTCAATTTGTTTCACAAGGACTGAGAATATGTTGCTGATCAGAGTAGCTATGGCGTGGAGGACGCCGAGTACGCCATTTCCCAACTCGCACAGACTACGATGCGCTCCGAAATCGGCCAGCTCACACTCGACCACGTCCTTAAGGAGCGTGCCGCGCTCAACACCAACATCACTGCTGCCATCAATGATGCTGCCGAGGCGTGGGGCGTCACTTGCCTCCGCTACGAGATCCGCGATATCCACGCGCCCGCCGCCGTCGTCGAGGCCATGCACCGCCAAGTCACCGCCGAGCGATCGAAGCGTGCCGAGATTCTGGACTCGGAGGGTCAACGGCAGAGTGCAATCAACATCGCCGAGGGTAAAAAGCAGAGTGTGATCCTGGCGTCCGAGGCGTTGAGGGCCGAGAGGATCAACACGGCCGACGGTGAGGCCGAGGCGATCCGGCTCAAGGCCATGGCCACGGCGCAAGGTATCGAGGCGGTGGCCAAGAGCATCACGGACGGAAAGGCGGGCGCCCAGAGCGCCATGAGCTTGAACGTCGCGGAGAAGTACGTCGACGCATTCGGCAAGCTGGCCAAGGAGGGCACGGCGGTTGTCGTCCCCGGGAATGTTGGCGACATTGGTGGGATGATTGCCTCGGGGCTTAGTGTCTATGGCAAGGTGAATGAAGCACAGGCCAAGGCGCTGGCAAGGAGGGCCATTGAGCCCAACAGTGAGGAGAGCAACGAGGCGACTAAGGGGGAGGCCTCAGTGGAGATCCACAAGAAACAGATGAAGGACACTGTCCTGGAGGGTTTCAATGAGACCGCCGGTAGTCGGTAGTCATGTTTGAGGGAACGAAAAAGTTTGCCGGGCGGCACGGCGTTTAACCATGTATCAATAGGGGGGGTCATCACTTCTCGTTCTCCGTCTACAGGAAGCTCAGCTCGGGCGCACGAGGCACGTCACTTGTCTTTATTGTACATATCAATACCAAGCTAACACCTCAGCTATGCGTGCAGATGTCTTTGTGAATTGCAGGAATAGTGAGCCAGCTGCCCATCGAACATGGCTTTCTGAAATGTACAGTGGCTCCGACATTCGACCCCTGAGTCAGATACGGAACGTTTCTTTGATCAGTGTACCGACGACTTCCTCGCATGCAAAGACCACTTTGAGCTGCTCGCCTTTCTTCGCGTTCAGCGAGACGACTATCTCCTTACCGCCACTCAACTTCTTCGTGCTTCCTCGCCAGAACCAGACCAGTCGTCCATTCTCACCCTCAATGACGAGCGTTGTCCACGGCCGTGCCTTTTTCCACTGTGGCATTTCCTCATTGTCGTATGAGATCAAGATCCTCGCTATCCAAGTGCTATCGCCCTCTCGCCCTCCAGGTGGTCTTGACACAACGTCGAGCTTGAGATTCAACAGCGGGAAGCAGGCCACAGCGCGGAGCACCTGCTGGCCAAAAGGTGGATTGCGGCTCAACAGCCTCTCAATGTGGAAAAAGTCCATCCCTGACAGTTGGCGGATGTTCCGCACGCCTGCCTTGGCCAGCTTCTCAGCGCGAGCAGGACCGATGCCCTCGACCTGGAGCAAGTCCTGGCCGTTGCCCTCCCAGACACCCGCCTTGATGCTCCGCAGAACGTCCAGTCCCGTGGTCACACCACGACCATCCATTCTCTGGCCGAGAATGTCGACGAGGCACCGCAGGCACTTTTCGAGGATGTTGTAGATCCGACCTCTCTCTCCGTGGAGTTCCTTCCTGGCCGCGGCGCTGAGCTTGCTGGGCCAGCCATCGTTCATGAGATCAATCTGTACCAGGAGAAACACCTTGTGCCATGGCTGCGAGACGGCTTCGCGGATGAGGTACGGGATGGGCTTGGTCTCGTTGATTGTTCTGAAGAAGGCCTTCTCGGCAGCGTGGATTGGGAAGGACCGAAACTCGGTGGCTTGGGAGGCTGTCTGAAGGATAGCCCGGCGATCTGGTGAGCCAGGGATGGCGGAGAGGATGGAGAAGGTCGGGGTAGAAAGCTTGTAGCGCAGCTGGAGAGACGCAGGGTCTGGCGGTGCTGGTGGGTGCTGAAGTTTGGGCTTTGGTCGAGGTGGTGGCAGCATAGTCGACGGGATGAGGTCGGGCATGGTATCGAACGGATTTGAAGCTCAGTACTAACCACGGCTTCAACGTAAATGCTGCGGTGCCTCTATGAAGGCATGATTCGAAAATGCAGTAGGATGGTCTCGCGGTGTCCTGCCGGTTCGGTGCTCAGGTGCTCTTTCCGTACTTGCCTTTGCTACCTTCAATGGCAGGTACGAGATCACACCCATATCTTGCAACCTTTGATGTCGCCGCAACTATTTTCTAAACCACCTTCGTACTTGAATTGGCACTTTCCAAGAGACTTTGACAATAGGTATTTTGAAGCTGCAACGGACTCGTGGCATCGGGGAGGCTGACCAAAGTCAGCAGATCCCTTTGTTCTTCAAGCTCTTCCACGTTGTTGGGCAGTAGCGGTGGCTTACATCTTCTCAAGATCCGATTTGGGAAGGAACGCAGCGCCTGGTGTCCATGCCCACGTGCAACTGTACTTCCATGTTCAGACGACGGGTGCGAGGATACTTCCATGTGCCTCTATACTGGCGGAAAGTTGTGCTTTAAAATTGCATACCATATTATAGGCTCGATTCATCTATCTCAGAAAAACATCTAGCCGTTGTTGCCTGTCGCGACACCCCAAAAGTAAGCGCACCAACTACCAAGAACCAGCGCGATCAGGACACCGAAGCAGATCAGCGATGTCCTCATGTTCTTGGCCTTGTTGACCCCGAAGAAGAGCTCCCTGCGCTCATTGAGCTCCGCGCCACGGGCAATGCGCTTCGAGCGACTCCATTGCAAATGTCGCAAGTCAATTGACTTCCAAGAGATCAGGGTGAGACCCAGCGAGACGACCACAGAGCATCCCGCGAGAATGACATAGACAATGGTCACCTTGTCATACGAGTTGTTGTCGGCATCCTGGATTCTACCTGTGACCACGCGAACGATGATGTTCATGCTAGCCTCGTCAGTTGAGATCACGCCTCTCATGTCCGTTTCACTCACGCGTTGTTCATGGTAATCTTGACGGCATAGGCCGAACCGAATACCGTGCTGTCCCACATGGAAGTGCGGGTGCTGTCGATGATGGTCGTAGGTCCAAAGCAGTACGAGAAGGCAAAGATGCCAAAGGAGGCGGCTGTGCCCTTCACGTTGTCGCTGAAACAGACCAAAAGCATGGACGCGAAAACGCCGACGCCGCAGAAGAACACTGCAGAATGTGAGCAAGTCGAAGGATGAAGGTTCTGATCACGATTTAACTTACAGGCTGAGATGCGTTGCCCGAAAAGGTCAAGGAACACGCCCAACAGAGGAACCACAAAGAAGCCAGCATACTGGAGGACGGCGCTGTACCATCCTGCGGTGATGGAGCTGGTTTTGAATCTTTGCTCGGCAAGCTCGGTTGCGTTCTGCAGAAAGACGACGGCCGTGCTGGTCTGGAACAGAGAAAAGGCCATGACGGTCCAGAATGACCAGGGAAGTTGCAAGACCTTCTTGAAGTGAAGCTTCTTGCTCTTCTCCTGGAGCTTCTCGCCCGTTGCAGGGTCATCTATACCGTGGTACTTGCGGTTGGCAAGCCTGGTGAACCAGTAGAACACACCCGTCATGACGTTGGTGAAGATATTCATGAACACGGCGACCCAGAAGACCCAGGCGAAGTCACCTGTTCTCTCGGCAATAATGTTGGCGGACGCCTTGCCGGCAAACGCGCCAATCTTCCCGATGCCGAGCTCGAACCCCAGCGTGGAGGCAAAGCCGTTGTTGGGGGCAAACCAAGACGAGAAGACCTTGTACTGGGCAACCTGCGTGGCAATATCGCCCAAAGCGCTGATGACGCGCCCACCAATCATGAATTTGTAGCTGCGTGTCTGGGCAGCAGCAGCGACGAGGATGGAGCCGACTGAGTAGATGGCGTTGCCATACAACATGGCCCCTGGTATCATGTCAGTTGACTGCGCTTCGGCCAACGAGAGAACTTCAAGACTGACCTGCTCCGCCAATCCTATCGGTGACGACGCCGCTCAGCATCATCAGCGCCGTGACCATAAAGTCCTCACTCGCCTCGAGGATCGAGAACTGGGTGTTGTTGATGTTCAACTCCTTCTTCATGGTGCTTTTCATGGCACCAGTGACACCGGAGCTCCATTTTGAGCCGAAGCCGATGCAGGTCACGAGCACCACAGACGCGAGTTTCCACGACAGGGGGACAGGTTGCGTCGCGCGCTGGCTGGACGTGTCCGACTGGGATGAATCGACCTCAGCCACAGCAGTGTTCTTGTGGCCTGCCTCGACGTGCGTCTCTTTGTTCGCCTCGGCATCAGCCGGCACGAACACTGGATCCTGGGCCATTCTAGGGTAGCGCGGCTAGTTGGGGAGAAGAAGGAAGGTGTGGGAGACAGAGGAGAATGCCTAGGCGTCCTCAATGGTTCCGACCCGGGGAAGCGCCCTTCTTTATTTTTTCCAAGGACCCGGCATCGCAGCACCGACAGATTGATAAGATTCGGAGGGCCCATCTGACGGTGGGTCTTATCAGATCGATAAGATGGACACAACATTCGACATGGCGTGACAGCGGTACCGAATCGGCCAGTCACAACGCTCGAGGGGAGCCGAGACTCCTGTCCGATGACGGGCGAGTTTCTTTTTTCCCCGATGATGGCCTGTTTCTTGCGTTGGGAAGACTCCATCGCCGCTAGCATGAGCGGGAATGGGTCAAAAAGGGGGACGCGGCGCCCCGAAAAAAACCTCGCGTCGAAATTTTTCACAGTGAAAAATCCGGTAGACGCAACAACCCTGTCATTTGCGGGAGCTGTCAGGCGCAGGGTCCACGCATGCATACGTACGTAGCTGGGGCAGCAATCGTGGCTTGGGAACTTTTTCACACGAGCTGTGTTCGATAGTACGTAATGTTGGCGAATTTAGAGTTAATCCAGGCTCATGTGTCAAACTTGGGCGTCGTCACGTCGTGTGCGCCCCCGTCTGGGGCTCTGCGTCGGCCACAGCATACGACATCAGGTTTGCCGCCCGGCTGCATCATTCGGAACGACCAGCTTTGCAACCTATAGACGTCTGCGGCAATCCACTGAAGCCACAGCGTGGTCACGGTCGGTAGCCAGAACTCGCACGCAACCTGCCTGAGGATCTCCAACCCCGTTGCCCATGCCCGTCGTCCACTGTCTCTGTCTCCCGTCAAGAGGTGTGCGTGAGCTAGTGACAGATGTATCACGGCAGTCGCGAAACTAGTGAGGGTGTGCATGTCGGAAACCCTCCGGAGAAGAGCCTGCCAGCACGCAACAGCTTCTTCAGGCGTGCCACTCACATGGGTCATCCGAGCAGAAGCTACAAGCCGACGTATATGGAGCTGTTGATCGTGGATATCGTCGAGTTCCTTGGGTTCGGTGCTCGAGAGCTCCTCCAGCATGCAGCCTGCGGTTTCCATCCGACCCAGGCCGATGTTGGCCTCGACGCCGGCGAGAAGTAATCTCGCAAACCAGCGTCGGGACCGGTCCGGTGGAGCAGTCTGGTCCATCTCGGCCTGCAAAAGATCAATCGCCTTGTCGTACTCTTTCATCTCACAGTAGACGTCTGCCAACCTCCCCACAAGCAGCCGCCGTGTGTTTGACCGCAGTGGCTTCGCGCTGCCCAGTGACAAGAACTGGTTCAGGGACTCGCGAGCGGCTGGGAAGTCTCCAATGGACTGGAAGTATCGCGCTGCTGTACTCTGCAGCCGGAATGTCACTTCTGTGTCGAGGCTGGACTGTGGTTGCTGGGCTTCCCACTTGTATATCCACGACGCAACATCCTTGTCGTATAGCTTGATCTTGGTTTCGACGAGCGACACGTGGAGTCGCCCAAGAAGACCATGATCACGCCGCGTGACTGGTTTGGGTCCTTTCCAGTTGAAGTCGCGAATTATGGATTCAGACTTGACGAATTCGCCGTCGATGCGTAGCAGTGTGCTTTGGAACAGGACCACGGACGCGTGTAGATGGTACGGCATTGATTTTCGCAGCAGTGATTTGGCCAAGGCAACAGACGACTGACGGATCGGGACAGAGTCCCGCTCGGCAAAGTAGAGGACGGCCTCGGCGGCGTGGCTGCGAAGAGAGACGGGCACCTTGTGGGTGGTGATCGCTCTCTCTACCACTGGCCACATCAAGGTTTTCAAAGGGACAGACCTAGAACGCGTCAGTGTCGCTACTTACGTTTGTGGGCAGACAAGGCAAGTCGTACCATTCCAGGTTGCCTTCGAGACAAGGTGGGCAAATGTAGCATAATAGTTTTTGGGCCATCTTGCCGAGATGCTCGACTGTAGCCGGGACAAGTGCGTCTTCGAGTCTCGACTTGGCCTCGGCGGTCAGTGAGAAAAGCAAAACGCCATCTTTAGTGGTCTTGTTCTCTATGTCAGGGCTTGACTGCGCGGGCGATAGGTTCTCGTCATCGGATGCCAAGTTCAGAAGTTCTGCTGGGAGTCCAAAGTCGAGCGCACTGGTATCTTCCATTTCCCCGTCATCATTCCAACGTTTTTGTGGTTTCTGAAGACGGTTGAAGATCACGTCTGGGATGTCTGCCCCGCCGAGTGCGTGCAGGAGGAGCAGCAGGAGATCTGAAGCAGGTAACACCTGTGGATAGTCCACGACGAGGTTATAATACGACAATGGTGAGGATGTATCTGGATCGAGAATGTCAGTCAAGTGGGACATTAATTTGTCTGGTTTCAGCGTTGTCACCTTTGAGCTCTCGTACAATGAGTTCCTGGATCTTTTTTGTGTATTTCTCGCCATTGGGCGGTCTGGCTGATTCCAATTGGCGAAGGATGTCAGCGTCATCAACTTGCAGATACCTCTCATAGCTAGCAGATTGTCAGCGTCCGGATGAGATGCGCAACCGGATCTGGCTTACGTGGAATAGGGAATACTCAAGGGCAGCCACAGGATGGACCCCAGACTCCCAAGCTTCCTGGCAATTTTGATGTACTTCCTACCAGCATTGCGCAATTCGGTATACCTACACTGTCCTTTCAATATGTTGGCGATGTGAGGGGGTATGGAAGTTTCGTGTTCCAGAATTGATTCGAGAAAAATCACAACGCAAGCCATGCGACGCTGGAGGTCTTGCAGTCCACTGTTTTGATTCTTCACTGTCCAGAAGCTATCCATGCCCCCTTGTAAACACTGGCCTAGACCTTCCGCCGGCGTCACAGTCGATTTCTTGAGCGACAAAGCTTTAGAAGTCCTATCAATGTTCGAAGTGACTTTGTATTGTATTTTGCGTGAAAGGCCTTTTGACTGTGCCAAAAGGATCCGTATGTCGTTCAGATGAGCGTCCAGGGTAGCCGCCAGCTCAAGGGCACGGCTCTCGTTTGGGTGGTGCGCGAGCGTGTGGATCGTGCTGCAGAGGCAGACAGCCATTGTCGGTGGATGCTGACGCGCAATTGATCATAATCTTGGAAATGTGAGAACAAGGATCTGATTCTTGATCCCGGGAATAGTCGCGCATGCGGCGTGATTTCATCGAGGCGAGCCTGGTGCGGATTGACGGAGTCGGAGGTGCGCAGTTTTTATCTGATCTTGGTGGATCTTGTTCCTCGCTGGCATTATTATGGGTCTTTCGGCGGCCGAATTATCTGATCCGGAGGAACTCTTTGCTCATTCGAATTCAATAACAATTTCACAATGTGTCAATGACACAAACCGCAACGACACCCAGGATCACCAACAGCTCGAGCTTGTACGCAGCGCCCATGGCACTTTGCACATCGATCAATTGGGAGATCTTATTCCAGTAGCGGGTGGCGTGTTGCAACTGCCGCGAATCGTGACTTGAAAGGCAGTCTCGACTCTCACCTCTCCTCACTGCCACAAATGCGAGCAAGGTACACGGCAGGGAGCCCGTAATTCCACATCACATGTACCCCAGATCAGGTGTTTGAATTCTTGCAGACTGTAGCTGTTGTACAAGCCCTTGGACCGGCTACAGTCGAGGTCACTTCAATACAAGTACTACTTACTTATCCCTCTCGAGCAAGCTGCGATAGTCATGGTTGCACTCAGTGCTCCTGTGCATAAGAGAAGTGCTCGAGGCACATGTCCGCCCGAACCTGCCAAATTTGCACGCAGAAGCATCTCATGATTCAATGTGTAAGGTACTAAGGTGGTGACGTGCCCAGCAGCTGCCCGCTCGTGACTTCTCAGGCTGCTTGTGTACAATGGCAGGAAGGAGGCGCCTTCCTGTTGTTGTCGTCTACAAGTGTTTTATTTACCAAACACTGCCCATCTCGCCCACGAAGATGACTCTGTCCTTTCACCAAACTCTGACACTCATCTTTTACCTAGTATCTTGCTCATTACAACCATTACTATCAATCAATTATTCCTAATCGGCCACCCGTCCAGCAACAACATCATCATGACCACCCCCTCAACCTCTTGCTGCTGCTGCCACATTGTTCCTCCACACCTTCTCCGGGCCATTGCCAATTCGGAAGAGGTCTCCGAGACAACTAGACAAGCTGCAAAGGCCTCTCTCGAATCGCGTGACAAGTACTCCTCCAAGCGCAAAGAGCTTTTTGATCGACTCACTCGCCCCCGTGGCTACAGGACGCCGCAGGGGTCACCGTCCGCCTCCCGCCGCAGAAGCATCATTCCCGATACGCTCCTTCGACATCTTGCCCACTCCTCCCACCTTGATGATGAAGGACGCGCTCGTGCGAAGCGCGACCTCGACCACCTCACACAGGTCTTGCAGGGTGTTGGCACTGCCCATACGTCCGAGCAGGTGCCACTCGCAGATGGCCAAAAGAACGAGGTCAAGGACCGTGCATCTCGTGCTGTTTACGACGCCGAGAACAATTTCGATGAGTATGAACTCCCCGGGAAGCTCGTCCGCTCCGAGGGCGAGCCCAACACTGGGGATGAGGCTGTCGACGAGGCGTACAAAAACATCGGCACCGTACTCGACTTATACAAAGAGCATTTCAATTGGATGTCCATCGACAATGAAAGCGCGGATGTGATCAGCACCGTTCACTTTGGCGAAAATTATGAAAATGCTTGTAAGTGAAATCCTGCTGGACGTTCTTCTCAAGTTGGCAAAGCTCACCACTCTAGTCTGGGACCCCGAGCGCAGGCAGATGGTCTTTGGCGATGGTGACGAGTTCCTGAACAATTTCACCGGATGTATCGATGTCATCGGGCACGAGCTGACCCACGCCGTCACCGAGCATACGGCACCCCTGAATTACTGGGGCATGTCAGGTGCTCTCAACGAGCATATATCCGATGTGTTTGGCATCATGGTGAAGCAGAAAGTCCAGAACGAGACAGCTGCTGACGCAGATTGGCTGATCGGAGAGGACTGTATCATGCCCGGCGCCAAGGGTACAGCGCTCAGGAGCATGAAGGCACCAGGAACGGCATACAATGACGCACGATTTGTAAGTGGCCAAGTTTGGAGAGAAGCAACTGATGATGCTAACGCTGCCTGTCACAGGGAAAAGATCCACAAGTCGGACACATGAAGTCCTGGTACATCATGGCCGATGACAACGGTGGCGTTCACATCTTCTCGGGCATTCCAAACAAAGCATTCCAGCTGGCGGCTGTCTCCTTGGGGGGGTACTCATGGGAGAAGGCCGGTCAGATCTGGTGGAAGACCATGAACAGCGGCCGGATCCCACCGAACTGCACCTTCAGGCAGTTCGCAGACGTGACCATTGAGGTAGCCGAGGATTTTGGGAGGGATGCGCCGGCCAAGGTGAAGAAGGCGTGGGCAGCCGTAGGCGTGATGGACAAGGTGCGTCGGGCGCCAGGCAGGTGTACCGGCCTGTAAGGGGTCGAGTCGGCTCTTGAACCTATGATAGAAGTCTCCCTATAGAACCTACAATACATCACTTTTAGAAGAGCTTGAGTCCTCCAAAATACTGTATTTACAAATGCTCGCGTGCCGCTGGCAGAAACTATGTACCTGAATGAAGTCCCCAGAATGACGGGAAGCATGTTGTCCTGACTCCCCATTGTCCAGAGCTCCATCGCTTCGCCTTATTTCATTCCTCGAAAATTCTTACGCCCAGGTGAGGGTGGCACCGGCTCCAGCGAGGACAGACTCGAGGTTGCCGCTCCCAGCGAGCTGGTAGGAGTAGGGCAGGTCACTGCCGGAGAGGGTGCCCTCGGCCACGTCGTAGGAGGCGCCTCCCAGGTCGACGTCGTTGACGACGACGTAGCCGGTCTCGTCCGAGTCGCGGAAGATGATGGGCTTGTCCGTGTCGGTAAAGGTAGTGGACTCGACGAGGACCTGGGCGCCGAGACGGGTGTTGATTGCCGAGTCAATCATGTGCTCGTAGGCGTTGTTGTAGACGTGGACGGTACCAAAGCGGACCGAGGGCCCGCGCGAGTTAATGTTGGACCAGCGGTTGTTGGCGTAGGTGACGGTGAGGTGGCCCGTGTCCTCGTCGCCGTTGGAGTCGGAGTGGCCGACGAGGGAGGCCTTCCAGTGGTCGTGGAGGACGGAGTTGGAGAGGGTGATCCAGTCGGAGGCGTGGGTCACGTCAAAGAGACCGTCGTAGTCGTCCTTGCCAACGTTGAGGTCGCCGGAGAGGTCGACGTGGTCGACCCAGACGTTGGTGCTGCCGTCGATGCCAATGGCGTCGCCGTCGTCGGCGTCGACCTTGGCAATGGCCAGGTTGCGGATGATGACGTTGCTCACGCGACGGACGTAGAAGCCGATGCCGGTGAGGGAGGCGCCGCCCGAGGCACCGACAATGGTCTTGTCGGAGCTGGGGCGGATGCGGCCGGGGCCGGTGAGGTCGCCCTGGACGACGATGACGGCGGGTCCGTCGGCGGACGCGGCCTCGGAGAAGGAGGCGTAGTCGGTGACGGTGGTGGTGGTGCCGCCTGCGCCGCCGGTCGTGCCCCCGTTGGAGGAGGCGAAGCCAATGTTGGCGGCTTCGGTGATGGAGGCGCGTTTCTGGATGGTGCGCTTGTCGGACTTGTCGACGGTGGGCGTGGGTGAGGCGACGGCGAGGCCGACCAGGGCAGCGAGGGCGAAAGATTTCATCTTGCTTGTTTGCTTGGAAGGGAATGGAGCCTGTCTAGGAGTTTTTGAATGTGCAGTAGTCGCAGAAGGATGTAAGAACCAGTCTTGTGATGAGGATCTAGAAAGAAACCTAGGATGAAGGGTGACGCTGCCGACTTATATATACGCTGGACACTCGATCGATCTGCATTGGGATGAGGCAGCTGTTGGAGAGCGAAGTCGTTTGTGTCTACTGTCACGCATACCCCACGGACAACGGCAGTTCATTATTGACGGGAACAAGCCAGTTGCACGAATAGGATGATCTCCTCGGAGCCGCTGGAGGCTTCGCGTGCGCATCGCGAAACGGGTTGAAACAGAGGACAGGGTGCCCTGTCCTGTGCCTCCTGTCAGGTACTCACTCGGCTCAGGGGTACGGGAATGATCACCGAGGCTGCTGCCCACGATGGACGCGTGGATGTGGTGTTTCCATGAATCAAAACGCGTCTCGTGAGCATAGATGAGGATAGGATCGTCATAGCGAGCGGCTCGCCTTTGGAGATCTGACAGATTGACACACAGAAAGAATAAATCTGGCGTCTCGGAGGAAGACAGGGTTACCTGATTAGGCAACGGGGCCATGGATTGCAGGACGGCAATGCACGACAAGTCGACGAGGACAGGGGTCTGTTGACGCTCGTTTCGACTGTCGTCTGCCGGTGTCCCGAGGAGCGTCTCACTCCAGGAGGGGGCTCATCGTAGTTGGGGGACGGGAACGATTCATTGGCGGAATATCCAGGCCCAAAAGCTCCTTCGTCTTGCGTTATGCTTCTCGAGTATGCTTCGCTTTTGTTTGCCCTTGAACATCTTCACTAACAATGACAGCGTTACAATTCTATCAGTCTGCATGATGACGGACAAGCAGGGGACAAGCGAACTCTGCATGCACCTCGCATTCGCGCCCGAGCTGTTATATGCGCCCAGAGGTCAAGCACTCGAGCTCACCAAGGACATCTCGAGAGAATGGATATTTCATGACGCCTGGAACCTGGGGTAGCGGGCAACCGGGGACGCATGACTACTTGGCAGTACAATGACGACGGCGATCGACCTCAGACTCTGCCTACGTACATGCAGCAGGATGCTGCCGCCTGTCCTATGGGTGTGCCCATTCCGAGGCGAATCTTTTTCCGTCAATGGAATGATGCCATGTCAACAAGAAGACCTAAAGGAGCTTCTTGTCTGAATGCCTCACAGACAGGATAGGCGCTTAGCGAACACTGTAGGTATTCACATGTACGTAATGCATCGATGTACATCCTCGCAGGCTTGCCCGTCTAGTAAATCACAGGCCAACCGTTCTCGTATCTGAGCAGGTTGATGCCAATCTGCGCAACACCGTCCGGCCTGTAGTAGTGGTACACCAGCACATCTGCGTCCACGTCCGTAAACACAGCAGGATGGCCAGGTCCATAGATTGCGTCGTGCGTCCTCAGCATCTCCGTCCCACCACCATTCATCATGTCGACCCCGTTTCGGTCGACGTACGGGCCCGTCACGCTCGTCGAGCGCCCGACCATGGTGCGGTACGTGCTGGCGGCGCCGTTGCAGCAGCGATCAAAGGACAGCCAGAGGTAGTAGTAGTTGCCCTTGCGGTGGATGTACGGTGCCTCAAGCTCACCCCCGTTGGCAGGTCGCGCGGCGATGGAGAGGAGGTTGTTGTCGGAGCGCTTGCCTGTGCTGGGATCCAGCGCGACCATCTTGATGCCGGACCAGAAGGAGCCAAAGGTCATCCACCACCGACCCTGCGCGTCGACGACGAGGTTGGGGTCGATGCAGTTGTAGTTGCTGTTGGCGTTGGACTCAATCACCAAGCCTTGGTTCGTCCACGAGCCGGACTGGCCTGTCGGGCTGGTGGCGAGGAAGATGGCCGACACGGACGAGCCGAAGCTCGAGGCCGAGTAGTACAGGTAGTACTGCCCGTTGCGGTACGAGATGTCGGGCGCCCAGAGGTTGAGGTCACCCTTTGTGTAGGGCGTCGTCCAGGGGGCGCCATTGGGGAAGGCGGCGCCGGCGTCGTGCCAGGCGGTGCGGTCCGTTGATGTCTTGAGGCCCACGTTGTCCGCCGTGAAGGCCATGAGGTACGAGCCATCGGGCTTCTTGACGACCGTGGGATCGTGGGTGAACGTGTCGCCGGTGACGACGCCGGGGCCGACGAACTGGCCGTGGGCGAGTGGCGCGATGGCAGCCACGGCGAGAAGGGTCTGGGCGAGGATGCTGCGGAGTGACAACATGTCGACGTTTGGACCAGGAGCCTGGGGTGGACAGTCTAAGCGGATGGATTGTTGCTCGCTGCGGGCGGGTCGTTATATAGGAAATCGCATCGCTCCAGACTCGTGCAATAATCATACGTTTCGCATGAAATTTGTAGTTCCGTTGCGACGCTCGTATCTCGTGGTTGGCCCACCACGATGAAACGCTATTGTTAAGCGCGCCCCAGACGATCCATGGCGCCCCCTTTGACGCTCGAGGGTCTCTTTTGGTGGATGGCGGAGGTTCTCGTACCGTTCGCATATCGCTTGTTGACTTTTCCGAACGACATTGGACGCGCTCGAATCAGGAGTGTGAGAAACGCAGTAGCTTGAAAGCCAGTGCACCTGTCCATCACATGATTGCCACTAATAGCGTAGGACAAGGCCGGATCATTTTCTAGCTTTTTTTTTTTCTCTCGACGCATCTGGTCATTCTCTTGGTATGTATCTGGTGGCTAGGGCAACGCGAGTAACAATGGCGACGAGCATCAACGAGCTCCTGAGTCCTGGCGGACTCGTGACCGTGTCGCGGGACGCGTTCAACAGCTTATGGCACGTCAATCTGGTACTCAGCCTTGCGAGTCCACATTGTGATACTCTTTTCATTTAATGCTGGAAATGTTTGTTTGGAAACTCGCATGATGAAACATGAGCGTCTGGTGTCTGCCTGGTCATTGAAGAATTCTCGTACGCGTCGGACTCGGACGTCCATCCAGGGGAATGGCGCTACGGCGAAAGACGCTTAGCGTGTGGGGTAGCTTGAAATATGGGTCCGGCAAATTGCCGTCGGCATGCAATAGCCCGCGTCACCGGTGAGCTCTGAGCCGTTCTTGTAGATATCAATGTCTTCAATAAAGAAAGCACGGCTTTGCAGCATCCCCCCACAAAGTCTAAGTTAGCGGTTGTAATGTTCAACAATTTGAGACCTCGCCTCTCGAAGTACGTGGTAGCACGAACAATCATATGGACAACGTGGCAGATCGGGAAGAATGGGTCAATTTCAACCGAGACCACCTGCAGGGCTCGGCCGCGCCGCTCATTGGATGCCGCGCAAGCTTCATGCTGGCTGAAAATACATTCAAAAGTGCATCGTGACCTTCTCGCCTCCGTGTGCTGTCAGTCGCCTCGTGTAATAGCGCTGCTCTCCTCGAAGTGGAGCTGAAGTAATCTACCAGAGTAACCAGACTACGGTAATTGAGGCCCATTTTCCGCGGGGCCTTGATGATTGTCTAAGACGTGCTCAAACGTTCGCTGCCATTCCGAAGCTCGCCTGACGTACATATTTGGAACCACCTGTATGAACATCATCACATAGGAGAAAAAGAGTGTGAGTAGAAGCTCCTTGAATGCTCTGGTCTTGTGCACCAATCACTCGTCCATTCATCCACCACTCGGCCTTTCATTGTTCAACCGAATAGACATGACGTCCTTAACGGCGATGGAGTAGTCGTGGGTTGTGTAGCCGAGCCCGCCTGGGGGCTGCGTCGTTTCCCACTCATCCTTGACGCCTAGGACGTACCACTGGGCGGTGGCCGGCCGGATGGCGAAGGTGAAGAGGGCGATGCTGGATATGAGGGAGAAGAGGGCGACCATGTTGCCGGCTGGGTCTGAGTATGGGCTAGAAGGATTTGACAAGCTGGATGAACGTGATTAGCCGAGTCTAGACCAGACCTGCAGACGCCATGAGACCATGCTGACCCTCAACTGTCTGCCAACTTTTTCCCTCTCCTCGAAGCTTCACTGTGGCACCGATATCGACTGGAAGAAGCCGGCAAGGCGCCAGCCGGGCATTCTGCCATTCACTGCAATGCTATGTTAGCAGCCACCTGACCCAACACCATCCGTTACGATGCGTTGCGCTTCGTGGTGAGTGTTTGCGTGCGACACGCCATGTTGATCTCAACCAGCCGTTCATGGGAGCTTGGACGTTGCAGCACGGTACGTGTATGCATTAATAATGTACATGTAGAAACTGTCAGACGATATAACAGCCAATACCACATCATTAGCTGTGGGTCCCATCTTTTGATGTTTGACAGAAACATGTAGGTACGTAGATGGGGAGAATAAGATCATGTCCCGTCGGAACGGGCCGTAGTGGCCGGGCCGGACCGCCCGTCTTTTCGACCTGTACGATGACTCACTCCAGTTCCTTCGGATCCGTGGCAACCAAGAGCTGGCTCTCTCCAGCGTGGACCAGTGGGGAGGGAGGCAAAACTTCATGTTACCATGTAATGGCAGAAATCCTGCCTAGCAGAGGAGGACATTGCAATTGCAAAAGTCCGACCCTGGAGGCTCCCTTGGAACTTATTGTTACTTCTCCTATCTACTTAACGGATGCTGGCTGTCAAAATGCTTATCGATTGGTGGAAACTTTTCGCTGACATTGGCCTGATCCGGACTCTGACTCTGAGGAAGGCGCGGCGCTGGTAGCCCCGCTCAGTACCTTACCTTAGCCAAGTACACCTCTTTCTTTCTCGCCGACATCATCATCGGCTTGCCCATCGATAGCTCTTGCCAGTTCCGGCGGAAGGATACGATATCCAAACGAAGCGAATTCGATCAAGTTACAGTAGACGCCGTGACTCGGTGACGCGGCGGGCGAGATGGGCTACATCATTAGGGATGATGACTGGTCCTCAGACGACTCGGACGTTGACGGATACTCCAGCGACCGCAGGTATTACAGCTCGGATTCCGTTCAATCTACCCGGGTGAATCCTACTGGGAAACACAAGGGCAATGATTCACCAACTGCGCCCGCGCCACTGACGAACTGGAAATCAGCCCCGGACTGGCCTAGTATCAGCCGGACCCCGTTGAGCCCCGACGATATCGCTCGGCTGAGGATGCTGTCAAACACCGTGCCCCTTGATGCTAGTGGTACCGATGCAACGACAGCGCGTTCCGACAGTGTCCATGAAGACGTCTTCTGCACACACGTGGCTCATGGTCGGGAAATCCACCTCACTCCAATGGTTCTTGCCAACTTCTCGACGATCCCAGAGCGGGCGAAAGATCGAATGTTCCGCTGGACGTAAGAGTTCCCTCCCGGAAGATGACTAGTAACACGAAATCAACTTTCCGCGGGCACTTTAGCCGAGATTCCATTACGCTTTCTAATTTCAAGGTGTGGCCATGCCCCCCCTATGCCTTGGTAACCTCCAGTGTTCGCAGCTCAAGCTTAGCAGACGGAACTCGCCGAATGTCCGGCACTTGACAACGAACAGAGGGCCCTGGCAGTCAAGGTCCTCGAATCGGTGGAACGGGCCCACGTTGAAAGATCTGGTTCGGCAGTGGTCGTCAAACTTGGGACAACTGTCCGTCTCGAGGCAGACGCGCAAGACCTTGACCAAGCACCCTACGTGTTGTTCACGTGCTTCCCCTTTCTGGAAGCGAATCCCGAACCAACCGGACGCCTCGCGACGACCACAGAATCCAGCCGTCGAATGGCGTCAAATTGGACGCAGGGTCTCATGCAGTCGCAGTATCCCTACGTCATGTTGGAGAACCGGGATCAGGAGCAGCTTGTCCGCCAACACAATGTGTTAGGCCGTAAGCAGGTCTTGCAGGTGTCTCAGTTCTGGGCACTGACTTTCAGCGATGGTAAGGTAGAAGAATGTCCAGGGAGCTCTGCTTCAAATCCATGCATCTGGTCGCTTACCGGGAAATGCCTTAGGATTACTCGTCACTTGCAGCAGAATACCCAAGGAGGCACTTCAACCTGGAATTCAAAAGTCCCTGAGCCTCAGCTTTGACCCTGATACGTTGCACGTTCGGGTTGTTGATGCCTTCAGCCGATCGTTCTGTTTCTCGATCCGACGGCCATCAACCTTATTGGTGAGTTCTGCCATACAAAGGTTTGAACGATATAGACTCCTCACAAGCTAGTAGGACCTCGAGGCAGCCCTGCACGAGATTCTCGAGTCCGATAACTCCCGAGTGCTAGGGGATTATAACATATACGCAAAGATTCCCGAGGCGCAACGACTGGTTTCGATTGCAAAGGTACTGGAGTCAGGCCAGACTGCGCAAAGTCTGCTCATTCGAGTTTCGCCATCAGAATCTGCTCCGGACAAGGTCATAGACGGCGACCGCTGGGCTGTATGCCACCCCGCGCAGATCAGCATAACCAAAGTCAGTGTGCCACCATGGAATCCACCGACGACCTCTCTTTCGCCACCCAATGTCCCGTCTTTTTTCACGTGGCCAAGCTCGGCGGATCCAAGGCGTGGTAAAAGAACAGAAGAGTGGTGGCTCGACCACGCGGATGGGGACTTTGTGGCGGGACGTGTACCGCCGCAGTGGAAGGTCAAACGCCCGCTGTTGAGGCCGGACAACTCCGAGGAGGCTACCACACGATCTGAAAGCGACGCTCGTTGTCTTTTAGACGAACTCGGTACCGCAAATCGTTCCTCGGATAATGGTGTAGATGAGCGACTTGGCGAACTGGAAGGAATGGACTTGATGTGGAGAAAGGACCGTCTGTACAAAACTCTCCAGACTTGCGTCGACCGGGTTTCTGACCTCCTGGGCGCATTCTCCAGCAACCAGACCGAGGACTCCCCGATCCCGAGGTGCTGGGGCGCGGTCTACTCCGTCATCTCAGTATGTGCCGCCCCCTGGACTCAGGGTTCATGATCTGGTTATCGCTTGACATTTGAACTAACTTCAAGCACAGACTGTCAAGAGTGTGAGCGCTGAAGCTTTGAAAACGCCAGGCGACCAAAAGAAAACCTGGCTGGCCGTCAATCGCAGATGCCCATATCGACGAGGCGTCTGGAAGCGGTCTTCCGTCAGTGGCAAGGATAGTGACTGGGAGTCGGCTTGGTTGCGCCCGCCTGACGAAACCAGTGATGCCGGCGTTTATTCCTACTTTGTCGACGAGCATGCTATGCAGCCCGAGATGCCACGGTCTCTTACCGCGTTGTCCCTTGTGGTTTCGCTGGAAAGTTGTTACAAGTGCAGTCGGGCGCAGGAATATTGCTCCGTTGATCGGCTTCGCAGGCACCTCCGGGACAAACACTTTGACGCGAGGGAGAGAATGCGACCAGGGTTTGAGCAGGAAACCTGGGCATTCATGACGAGTTCAGACAGGTGGGCTACGGAATTAAAGCTGCACTACCTGGAGCTTCTCGTGTTCATGGCCGCATACACAACCAAGAAATTGCTCGACCGCTGCCTTCATCTCCAGCACGGAGTGATGGACATGAATTCGAACAAGGACCCCAAGTACCTGATGTGGCAAGAAATTTACTGGGCATTTCTTGCCGTTGTTCACTTTATAGTCTCTTTGGAGAGAGCCGCTGAGCATATCGACAAGACACTCAATAACGCCACGCCAGATTGGGAACCGATTATAAATCTACCACCCGCCTTCGAAACGGTGACTCGGTATGCGGCCATAGCCATGACTGCCCTGGACGACGCTCGACTTGACCTTTATCGTGCGGTCCAGATGTCGGCTGGAGATGAGCAACACAGCATTCCACCGTCCATCACATTTGGATCCAACGTCACCCTATGTGGTATCTTGTCTATTCTCGCCACCAAGCCAATAACCGTAGATGAGTGGACCACGGAAGGGGTAGTGCATCTTTACCAAAAGGCCCAAACGTCTCTGGTAAGTCCTGGATGCGCCCTCCGTTCCATCCTATAGGCTATGATGCTAAAGCAGATCTCTCCGTCCATTAGTCCCTGTATGCAAACATGCGGCCTACCAAACGACTTCTTCGATCAATCCGCTTCGGACGCGAGGAACTCACCGCCATCCAGCAACTCTACTCGTGTCAAGAGCGCGCCATTAAAGATTTTGTGCTTTTATGCGCCGACAACACCTACGCCACTCGGAGCAAGCGTCGGGCGAACCAGTACCAGTTCGCCGAACAGATGGAGAAGGCCATTCTATCACACCTTGCCGAGGAGTCGAGGCGTCTCGACGAGCTTGCCAAGACGTTTGCCCGGCTCGACGAGCGGACGTCCTGGAACATTGAGATTTACGAGTCGGACCACAACAAGGCCATCTTCTTGTTTGGCGTCGTCGCCCTCATCTTCGTGCCGCTCTCGTTCTTCACGAGCTACTTTGGCATGAACACGGTCGACATCCGCGACATGGACGCCGACCAGGGCGACTTTTGGAAGACGGCGTTGCCGATATCGGCAGCCGTGGTCGGCTCGGCGCTGGTCTTTGCGTATTATGGGGAGCATATCCGAAACTGGCTGTCGCAGCTGCCGTTGGTCTTTGAACGGCCTGTGGCCAGTGACGGGGGCGAGGTTGGCACTGTCAAGCGCGATGGCTTTCGTGGCGTCGATGGTATATTTCAGCTGCCGCCGCCGCCGCCGCCGCCACAGCCTGCGCTGTCTGCTGAAGAGGCGCAAGTTTTGCAAGTCTTCATACAAGGTCTCAAGGAGGCAGACTAAGGGGAAGGAGAGTCCGGGCGGCGAAGCCGTGAATATGGAATGGATAACTAAGTAGCTTGGTGGGCACGAGGCTGTTCTTAAGCTACTGCTTGACACAGGCAATGTCGAGGGGGGTTCGAGGGATGGCGAGTATCGGCAGACGTCGCTATCATGGGCTGCTGAGGCTTAACGTCAAATCCTCCCTGTAGCCGTGATAGTTCCGCTTGTATATAATGATCCAACGAACCCCTGACACGCGATGGGGATTCACTCCTCCTCTTCCACCGCGGGAAATCCTCTGGCCTCAACGGGGCCGATGCCCACGACGCCATCGTCTAGGTCCGGGCAGTCTTCGGTAACCATTCCCCGTCCGTCGTTCCGGTAAAGGCTCAAATTTCCATCCTTATATTCCTCCATTATCGTTTTGTGCATAAGGTTCAGGCGAGCTACGGCGGCATCAATTCACCCATTTCCATTGCCCCTGGGCTTGAATGAAATTCTTCATCTCCTGCTGATCCCGGTGAAGGCAGACCAGACGGTTGTTAGTATCTGGCACGACCCTATCCTGCTCTCACAGCTGTCTAGAGGTTGTAGCATCCGTCACAGAGCATAGTATCCGTATTAGTCATGAGATTCAGCTCTTCGAGCCCCCGCCTCTCGAAATGCGCGGTATTACGTACCAGACCGTAGCACCAACAAATTACAATCATCTATTGGGACCTTCCGGGGGATTCTGGTACGATACTCCGGCTGTTCGAGCTGTCATGGGTGACGGGCAATCCTCCATAATCCACGACATCGGCTCATGAAATAGAAGCACCAATGTAATGAATGAATAACCTTACTTTTCAACAATTACTATCGCAAGAAACCCTCAATATCCCGATAGCTTCTGTCATTTGGTCTCTGTGGACCGTGGTTGCTTTCCCGACGCTGCACGTTTCATGTTGCCCCGGCCACACACTATCGCAACCCCTTAGGCCTCTGCGATAGCCCGGCCGCTACATGTATCAACCCCTTCCCCGTGTTCGAAAAGAGCAAATGTCCGGATTTAAGCTTATTGTAAGGTTATTCCAAAGTCTAAAATAGTACCATGCGGGGGTGCGATTGCTTGGCATTACGAGAACGACAGCAACGTTCTTACACCAGAATGCCTGCGCAACGTCGGAGAGGAGCGCATCCGAAGATGCATCATCGCCACCTTATTTTTGGTCTGCGTACGTACATAGAAGTCTCTCAGAGCCGGAGGGGGGTTTCATAGTGTGTCAAGGAACCTTGTCTGTGCCTCTTTGCGCGGTAGACCGTGGAAGCATACGTCTCTCCACGCTCAACTATAAGAGAAGGGATATACTCTCCCACGGTGGCATGTTGGACAGTGCACGAATTTTTTGATCACTCTGCGTCTTTGAGCTTCTCTATCTCTTTCCATCCGTGGTTGTATTGCTTCTCTTCTCGGCTGGCCCGTTATATATCGTTCGGTTCATACACATTACAACAACACCATCGCCAAAATCAACCGCAAAGCACCGAATACCCTCTAATTCCTCCAAACAAGATCCCACTTGTTCAAGATGAAGCTCTTCGCCACAGCAGCCATCTACTTCCAGGCTACAACCGCTCTGGCGGTGCCGACACTCCTGGCTCGCGACACTCACCATGACAGCGTAACCCTGCAAGGGGGGATGGTTGCTGGAGAGAAAAGCGCAGGAGGACAGCCTCTTGAGAACTCTGACGTTGTCGAGGGCGGTGATGCTGTCGAGATTGTTGAACCCCCTGCTGCCGGCGGTAAGGGCGTCGGAGCCGGCGCCGGAGCCGGCGATGGCGATGGCGATGGCGACGGTGAAGAAGGGGCGGTCGAAAACGAAGTCGAGATCGAGGCACTTTTCGGAGACACTGTGGCACTCGAGGGCGGCGACCTCAAGCAGGATGTCCTCTTCCCCCCTAACGTGCGTCCCCGTCCTTGTCACTACTGTTCATCCCCGGATGATGCTGACCTCTCCTAGTTGAATGGTGTCCTTGAGGTCGAGTTCCAGAATGCTGAGGCTCGCTCCCTCGTCGTCACGGAGAATCCGGCTCCTGCGGCCGCGCCGGCCGGGTTCGAGCACTTTGAGAACGTGACTTGGATTGTCGAGCTTGCCGATGGCACCGAGGGCTTGACTCTTCAGAAGATTGACTACATCCTCAACGCCGCAAGTAAGTGATACGATTGATCCTGGCCAGCTTTTTACCACGTATAGCTTTTGTGCTGACCATGTCACCTTTTACTGCTACAGGCACTCTCGATATCAGCAAGGGCCAAATTGGCCGCTTCTGTGCTGAAGCCAATACCTTTGTTATTGATCCTGCGGTTGGCGAGCTGGAATTTGAGGTGGAGGAGAACGAGCTGACCTTGACGGTCGACAATATGAACGGCGAATGGGGTGTCTTTCTCCCCACCGTCGCAGGCGGCGACGCTGGAGCAGATGATGGTGCTGGTGCTGGTGCTGGCGCTGGTGCTGGCGCTGGCGCTGGCGACGCAGGGGAGGAAGAGGCCACTGCTGGAGAGCCCGGTGCCGGCGCGGGTGCCGGCGCGGGCACTGCCCTGCTCGATGCTTTGATGGCGTTCTTCGAGGAGGCTGGCGGTGCAGCTTGAGCATGACTAGCAAGTGAGACCAACCGTGCGTTCAGGGATCCTCCGTGCGAGGGAGGATTGAGGCACGTGTAACCTGCATACTATGGCTTGGCCGAAAGGATGCAACGGAGGTCTGCATGCCGCAGCGGAGCGATGGTATCAATCTGGGGGTGGCTTGACGGCGGACAGCAGCTATTGGTGGCATTTTGCCTACTATATGACAGCTGGTACAGCCTCGCTGCAGGGTTTGGGAAGTTGTATGGCATTTTGAGCTGCTCGTCGGCTCGCATCACAGTTCTTCCGTCCATACAAGTCCATTGTGCCTGCCTATGCATCCCCCAGGATGGCACGAGTAGTGTAATACTGTTAGCAAAGACGGCTGTGTTTCTCCAGAAGCAGCATTTGGTTTTTGTGACTGGTGGAAAGCTGTCAATCTGTGAAGGCACCCACTTGCTTCTACTTCTGCTTTGCGAGGCCGATGTAGCCATGGCCTGGCAGAGTATAAGAGTGAGCCCGCCGATCATCGTCCAGGAGACGAAAGAACGTAACAACAGCCAACCTACAGAATCATCTCGACTGTGTTCATCATGCACGCGCTCACTCTTCTCGGCCTCCTCCCCGTGGCCCTGGGCTGCCTGAACGCCAACACCAACCCCTGCGCCAGCTTCATCAAGTCCAACGCCGCCCAGGCGTCGCCCTTTTGCGCCACGTTCACCCAGAGCCAGGTCACGGCCACCACTGGTCTTCCAGCGTGGGCGACCAACTGCAGCAACAAGCCAAAGCTCCTCACGGCCGAGTGCGCTTGCCACTACCCCGGAAACGGCAACCCGCCTGCCCCTACGACTACCACGCTCACGACGAAGACGACGACGGCGGCTGGCAGCAACCCTAATCATACGGGCGTCACTACGACCCTGCCGCAATCTTCGGGCGCTGTTGCCACCAATGCCGCCATTGTCGTGTCCGGCTCCCTTGACGGCGGCATGAAGCTCTACGATCGCAGTCGTACGTGAGTCGCTCTTCGCCTGAGAGTCCATACTGACGGGTGGCTAGCTCGAGTCTGTGCCGAACAAGATGAGACTGGCGAGAACGACGCAATGTTCATCCTGGAAGATGGTGCCACGCTCTCCAACGTCATCATCGGACCAAACCAGGCCGAGGGTGTCCACTGCAAGGGACAATGGTACGTTGTCCGACATTGATTGATCTTGTCCGTGATGCTGACCATGTCTTAGCACTCTGTGAGCTTGCTTCCCGTAGAGCCTCTTGGAGAGCAATGGTCTGTGCTAACAGTACCCAGCATCAACGTCTGGTGGCAGGATGTTTGCGAAGATGCCCTGTAAGTTCCAGCCCTTTTCTTAGCAGAGTCCAGTATCTCATCCCCCTTGCCATGCAGTACCATCAAACAGAACAGTGGCACCTCCTACGTCATCGGCGGCGGCGCCTTCAAGGCATCGGACAAGATCTTCCAGTTCAACGGCTTCGGTACTCTCGACATCAAGAATTTCTACGCCCAAGACTACGGCAAGGTCGCCCGTAGCTGCGGCAACTGCAGCAACAACGGCGGTGCGCGTCACGTCGTGATGGACAATGTGCTGGCGCGGGACGGCGGCGTGCTGTGCGGCATCAACACAAACTACGGCGACACGTGCACGATCAGCAACAGCTGCCAGGACAGTAATAAGACTTGTGATAAGTATGATGGCAACAATAGCGGCAAGGAGCCCAAGAAGAATGGATCGGGACCTGATGGCCAGTTCTGCAAGGTGAGCGGTTTCAGCACCAGCTGCTAAAGGGGGATGGAGGGGGACAAGCAAGAGTGTCTGTCGATGAAGCTTACACGAGCATCAACCCTGATCGAGTGCCGGGTGCGTCTTACATGTTCTCGACGAATGCCAGGGAGCCGTCAGCCGGCCGCCGAAAGCTCATTCTTCCCCTGACAGACTTTTATGTCCAACGTTCTTCAGCTTGCGATTGGGAAAAGAAGTCCTTCGTCCCTGGCTACATCTCGACTAGGATGAGCTCAATGGGCTAAAGAAAAAAAGACGAAAAGAAACATAAAACACCCGGTATTCGCTGGTCGTCACCGACCTTGCTACTGATTAGCCCCTTTACGGCTTAACGATAGGAGAGCAGACAGGATTCCTTCCCTTCCTAAGGAATTACGTTAATAATCGGTCCGCCCGACCCGCTCCGTGGGGGACTAGGACTATGGGCCGCGAGTTGTCTTTGTCTTAACTCCCAGAGGCAAGTAACGCTGCTAGGTTTGGAACTAGAAGCTATGTCCATGAGTTGTGCTATCTACTCTTCAACCTCCTGATCTGTGATCTCTAAAGCAAGAATGCTTTCGGGGATCTGGCCATAGGTAGAAATACCTCTCTCAAACAGCTGAAAAAGCTCCTCGACTTGGTCCTCGGAAGTGCTACCCGTGATACGAAACACGCGGCCACCGATGGAGTAGTCGCTCGCTTGGACGCACTCCGTGTGTTGAGCATTGGAAATGAAGTCTTCTGCCGCCGCTTCCCTTCCAGGGTTGGTGTAAATCCATCTATGGCCGTGAAGTGCGTATCCCGGTTTCTTGATGCAATTGTCGATGCCACCAGGTCCAGTGCGTACTAGCTGAAAGCATGGCTGATCGGTGTCTAACTTGGACCAACTGTTCCACCGCGAATAAAGCGAATTAATGTCCATAGCTTCTGGGTGTTCAACCAGTTAACTTACAGTCCCTGCCTATGTCGAGAGTTGCAATTCTGGCAACTGGCCGACGCTCCCGTTTCTAGATGCATATGGCAACATACTCCTGGTGGAATGTTGACACACCGCCACCAGTCACCCTTACAGTCCAACTTCTTATACATCTTGAGATCGACTGACGACACGGTGCCCACCAGAGTGCAGAGTACCCCAAGAGAGGTAATGGCAATCATAGCTGACGAAGTGTGAAGTTAGACAGTAGCGTGTTGTTGTTCATAGGACCTTACAGAAGTGAAAGAGAAATCTAGTCAAATGAAGCTGGTGTTGGGATGGAGAGTCATAGATATAAGAGTTTGGGGCTTAGTTTGATGCTTTCGGCCCAGGAAACCGAGCTCGTGACTAAAAGGCGGTGTATCTGCAATATGAGATGGCATTCCAGCTGCACGAGGTCTCTAGACTTAGAGACCTTTACTGAACGCGTGTTCGGTATCATAACAGCTAGTCTAATCCAGTAACTAACACTTGACTTTTGAAATTAAACACATACTGTAATTTTCTCACCTAAAATACACATATGGGAAGTGATTTAAGTAATACTTTACCTTATGATTTGGACTGAATATCAGGGCTGTCAGTCCATCTTCTACGTTCGCAATCAACAGTCAAAAGATCTAGGATTTTGAGGCCTTCAATCACATGTGTCGGCTGCCGCCCGTTTAACGACACGTGCCGCGCCCCCACCTCTTAGAGGTGGAGGCGCGGGCCGCGCGGCGAAGGTCGCAAAGACCACCTTTATCAGCTTTGGACTAATAGGAATGCCTAGATGCCTGCCCCTGGCCCGCCCCCGCCCCCGCCCCCTGTCCCTCTCCGGCCTCATGTACCTATTTAGCGTCTCGGGCCCGTTATTTTCCTCATAACCACACATAGCTGCCAACCGTGTATCACCATAAGCCTCATTCTATCTATATCAGCCTAGGAAGCCTCTCCAGTGTCGATTTCTTAGTCACGCACGAAGTCTGTTAAACATGGTCCGTATTAAACAGTATTAGATCAAATAGTTAAATCTCGCTCGAAATCCGTATCAATCAATCAAATCGACCCCCCCTCCCCCCATTTCGCAGCCAACAGGATAATCAGGACCAACAGAAGCAGGCAAAAGAGCCGCGCTTGCCGACAGGTGCAGTTCTGACTAACTAGATCCGTCAAGGGATGAATAGCAACTGCCTTGTATGTGATCGGAAGCACAGGTTAGAGCTGATATAACTCGTAAGTACTACCCAGCTATTATTAACCTGAGAACGTGGCAGAATATTCGGCAGGGGTGCGGGCTAATCAATCAGGCCAGATGCAGGGTTGTAGTTAATCAGTGGCTACTTCGGTGTCTCTGCGAGCTGCTATTAGCTCTAGCTTATGCTGTTGGCTCGGACTGATAATATTGACCAGGACTACGTCATAATTAACTTCGATAGTGTATGTGAAGTGCGAGCACCTCGAACCGGAGACTTGGAGTATCCTGTTCAGATCCGGTGTTGTTATCAGCAGTTGGCCGAAACTCGACAATGCTGATTACACAGTCTCGCTAGACGTCCGCCCCGCAAGGCATGCCCTTCTTGTTCAGGCAATAAAAAGCCTGATAGGCTAAAGGCAATTGAACCATGTATGATTGCCAATAGGGGTGCACTCGGCGCCAAAATGAGCACCATCAGAATGCTTGAAGCTGTAATTTTAGAGGGCAAAAGAAGTAATAGGCATGGGAACTGATAATTATTGCCATGCCGGGACAGGGCCCCATTGCTCATCGCCCTTACTACCCACAACTTGAATTCCAGGTCTCACCCGTGTTCCCAGCATTGGCCACCCAATCAACGGGGAGCTTTATGTCACCTTGTTACTTTCTGGCCAAGGTCGAGCAAATGATATTGGAGGCGGACAGGTCTAGCTTTCCATCCTCCAGAAGATGAGCGCACGCGTCGTTGTCGAAAACTCATATTCCATCTCCACACCGCTGCCCATCGTGTAGGCCAGGTAATTCCAGGTGTCGTAGGAGATGTATACGCACCGCCGGACTGGGCGGCCGAACTAACCTGGGCGGCACTCTAGACTACAGTAGGTAGCTGCCAACCTACCCCGCACGACGACAGGGCACGATTCATACAAGTGTTGTTGCTCCAAGCGCCACGTGTACAAAAACATCAACTCTTCTAGCATACGTGCCTCACCTTCTGTACCTTCCTCTCCATGCCCTTTCTCGAAATCAGGAAGCTCAAGATATATCAAGACACTCGATCAAAGAAGATCAGGCGCTTCTCTAACCTTTCTCATTAACTATGGACGATGTCACGGGTTTATCGCCAGGTCTATGGGGACCCACAGAATTCGTCGTCCAACCAAACTGCATAGGATACCGTGATCAAATGGGCTCCGAGCGAGAGATATTTGTGCCTCAGGGTGCTTTAGAAGCGGCTTGGGGCTATGTCGAGAATAAGGATTGGGACGAGTTAGCGAAATATGACACGTGCGGTAAGTCTCGCCACTTCACTTCACGCTCGACACACGCATTAACTTGTTTCGTAGTGAATCAGGGCTATAGCGATCAGGACTATGTACAAGTTTCTGTTCAATTCGAGGATACGAGTAGTGGTTCTGAGATTGAAAATGCTAAGCTTGAGACGTGATGGCCTCACACTCCGCATTGTGGGGGACGAAACTTCAGTGGTCTTAGCACAGTAGGAGGCAACGACTAAGAGGATATTGACAGGAAGAAGTTGGGGCTTGTCGCCGGAGAAGTTATTTAATAGGCACCATACTAGTAGCATTTTCAAGGCGATAACCAGAATGGGAGGGGCAATTCGACAAATGTCCGCATAATTACATATCAGATATTTTACACGGGCTACTGATTTACAGACTGTCAAAGTTCAGGTTGTATCTCACCGGGGTCCAGGATGGCTTGCTTGCAGACGCATACAGATTTGTGACGAGTCGCAATTCCACCAGATCATAGTGGCGACCAAGACAAGTGTGATTGTTGCGAGCTGGCCGTTGACCCTCGTCGAGTAGGGGGTGCTGGATCAAGGCAAAGAGCTGCTCGGCCCGGCTCGTCGCTGGCCGTCAGCTCATTGTTGAAATGACGAGCTCAATGGACCACCAGGTGGGCAATGAATATGCGTCGAGGCTCGGGCCCTCTGCTGCTCTGGTATGTCTAAGTTGTTAGTGTTTCAGATAGCACGACATGGAAGCCGCCATGATTCCGCGATTCTCACCCACCGTTTCATCAGACCAACCAGCCGCGGGAGGCGGGCTGGCACAGACGGTTGCATTGCAGATTCCAGCTTCCCAAGACGGGGAATCGCCCGCGCCAAATATTCTCCTAACGCACGGGAGACCCCTGGATGGTCCTCTAGCGTCAGCCTTGGCTGCGAGCGTTCCGCCCAAACGGTTTGAGGCTTTGAGCCGTCTGGCTTGCCTCTTCGCCGCGGTGCCTCCCCTTCCCAAAGTGGTTGACCGAGTCTACACAGGATGCCATCGTCCAAGTCATCTGGCCCTCTTTGTGACTGGGACCTACATGTACGCTCTTTGGTCATAAAGCCGTGGTGGCGCACGAACGCGGACCGGTTCCCCAGGCGAGGGGAAGACCACCCACAAGCATCTTCATCGATACTATCATGTCACAGATCCCAGCAGGCGCCGAGGGCACGGTGGCCGGCGTGATGCTCTACTGCTGCCTCTGCTTGATCGCCAGCCTCCTGCTGGTTTGGCTGACATGGACGCACCATGAGCGGACGAGCTGTGAGTGAATTGCTCCTAGATGATGCGCATTGCGCGGCCGGCCGTTAGTTCCGTCCAATGACACTCATGGGCGGCGCAGATGTCGCGATTCTCTCGTACTTTGCGACGCTCAGCACCACGGCCTCCCTCGTCCAGCAAGTATACGACATTACGCGGTACCATGGTCTCGTCGAGGAACAGTTTGAGAACCGCAAAATGCACCCTCACAATCCCGAGGTTGCCATTGCCAATGGATCCGTTGGCGTCAGCCTCGTGTTGTACTACATCCGTACGTGTCCGATGGATTCACGTCCCCCACGAAAGGGCCCTATTGACATTCCCCACCCGCAGAATATTATTGCTACGGCGTCGAGGCCATGTGCGTCATGTTCTGGTACGAGCCCTCACTTCTGCAGCCTCGTCTGTCTGCCTCGCAAGTGTTGACATCATCCGAGGGCCGCTTCCCTTGCCCAGTCTGTATATGGGCTATCGTCCCGACCGAAGCTCAAGAACATCCTTCGCCGCATCAACCGCGGAGGAAAACTAGCGGCGATACTGTTTCCCCTGGTCACCACCCTCCTCCTCCGAGTACCTCAAGTGCAAGACAAGTTTGTGTCATTCATCCTACTTGCCGACCTGCCACGTCCGTTCCCCTGTGGACGCCGCAACGAGTTGCCAGAGGAAAATGTCTAGCTAACAAGAATCGTGCAGTCATGCTTAGCCTCTTCTTCGGCTGCATCCTCATGATCGCCATCCTCGGTCGCTACATCCACACGAAGCGCAAATTCGTGCACTGGAGCCACGATGAAGCCTCCTCCACCGGGCACGACCTCTCGGCACTCGGAGGAGGCCGCGGCACCGCATCGACCGCACGCCCGCGACACAAGCGAAAGGGAATCTGGGACCGCTGGCTCATGGTCCGCTTCACCATTGCGTTTGGTGCCCTGAGCGTCTTCGAGGTCACAAACACCCTCTTCCAGCTGCGTTCCGTCACAAATGCGCAGGACGACTCGGCGGCGCGCGCGCCTGACTTGTCCGCCGAGAAAGTCAGGGGCTCCTGGGTCTTCTTCATGCCCGGTGCCACGCCGGGGTTGCTCATGTTCGTCGTATTTGGCACGACGGCACCGTTGAGAAGGCACATGTACGAGACCTTTGTGCCGCGTCGATGGCGGAGGCAACAGCAGGAGGGAAGGGAGAGCCCACCGGATCCGGCTGTGCCCCTGGAAAGACGGTGGTCGGAGCGCGCGCCTACACCGCCACCAAAGGATTGGCCGGTCTTCGTTGAAGTAAGGCGACTGCCGGTTCAGGACAAGATGGGAGGGTCGCGACGACCCGGCAGTGACGAGGCGCCCATTCTGGCTGTCAAGCGACATGAGGAGCGGCATGGTGGACGAGGCTGGGGAGGGAAACATACATGTAACGATCGTCGAGCCTGAACTTGTAGTTGCGCTTCAAGCATATTTGGATTTTTCATTAGGAGCCAGTGCTTTTGTCGTAGCCTGGCATTCACATCTACGCCTACGCCTCCTTGAACTGATCCCACTGTCGCGAACACCAGCAACATCCGAGCCTACAGTCCGTAAATAAACGTCCACTTGCGATCAGCATAGCGGGTATTATCGGTCCGCTCGCACTGAATCTCTTCCTCGGTCTTGTCGCTCATGGTCTTGAGCTTCCTTCGGTTGACGTGCTGCAGTGTGAAGCGATAGGCGAGATACCCAGCCAGCGCCAGCGCCACAAAGCCCAGGGTGGCGTAGAACGGGATGTGATAGTCCGGCTTGTACTTGGGGCGGTAGAGCTGCGCGCCAATGACGCCGGCCAGGTTGCCGAAGCCGTTGACACCGAGAACAAGGGCTCGTTTTCCGGGTTCTGTCTGCTCGTCAGCACGCCCCTGCTCGTCGTGGATGGCGGAGTGGGATGGCACGTACCGGGTGTGTTGCCGCTGAGCCAGGCCACTGTGAGGGGGGCTGACACGTAGCTTCCGAAGAGAAGGATGCAGAGGCCGGCGTATTTGCCCCCGTGGGAGCGGACGGCGACTGTAATGACCAGGCCTACAAGGGCCACGAGGATGCCGCCGATAATGTGGAGGCCGCGTTCCTTTCTACGAAACGTGTGTCAGAGGGCAGGATACACACCACAGCGGATCCGTGGGCTGGGGAATGTCTTACCGGTGATCAGAGCTCAGCGCGAAGAGATACAGTCCAACGGCACCACAGACAAAGGGGGGCACAGACATCTAGACTGTCAGAACACGACCGCGGGGGGGCAGATGCCTTACGCACCAGATTTGCCTGGATGGACGAGTATCCGAGGCCCTGGACGACGAGGGGCAAAAAGACCGAAAAGGCCTGGCTGGGCACGCTGGCGCAGATGTTGAAGAACAGCACATACCAGAGCTTCCAGTCCTTGCCCGTCTCGACAACGTCGCGCTTGGTCAGCCTGTCCTGCTCCACGCCGTCCTCGCTGTAGGCGTGGGATACATAGAGGGCGTTGTCGGCCTTGATGCGCTCGGCGGCAAAGATGCGCTCCTCCTCGCTGAAGAACCACGCCGACCCGGGGCCTGTGGGGAGCCAGACCCACGCAATGAGGCCGAACAGCATGGTCAGGGCACCTTCAATGACGAAGAGGTACTGCCAGTTGTTGAGGGGGCCGGTCCGCAGGTGGAAGATGCCATATGCTGGCGTCTAGTTAGTTGGGAGCGGTTTCGGGACGCGGTCATGGCAAGATGCATACCGATGGAGCCGGAGAAGGCACCTGCGATGGCGTACTGGCCATAGAACAGGCCGATCCTCGTGGCCAGGTCGAAGCGGCAGTAGAAGAAGGAGAGATAGGCGACGGCGGTGGGGTAGAAGCCAGCCTCGAAGGCTCCGATGAGGAGTCGGGTTGCTATCAGGGCGCCTCGTCCTTTAATCCACGCCTGCGCAAGAGTGATAGCGCCCCAGCCAATCTGCCGAGAGAGAGAACAGGGAGTAAGCACGGAACATGTTTGCCTGACGTCCAGGGCGGATAGAACATTGAACATACCATCATGATGGGGATCCAGTGCTTGGCACCGAGCCAGCGGCCGACAGCGGCCGAGGGAGGCTGGAACAGCACAAAGGTGATGAAGAAGAGGGACACGGCCAGGTTGAGGTCCTCGGGACTGGCACCAATGTCGCGGGTGAAGCCTATCGTTGCGCCCAGTCAGCTTCGTGTCCCGGAGAAAAGGAGGCGGGCTTGCAGACCTTGCGTCTCTGCGTTGCCAATATTGGAGCGGTCAAGGCCGTTGAAGAGGTACAGGAAAGAGAGGATGGGTAGAAGGGCAAAGTCGAGTTTTCGATTGACCCTTTTCGCCATGGCGATGGACTCGCGCGACTGGACATGATCGGTCGTCGACACGGGGCCCCTGGCGGCCGTCGCGATCTCGGCCAGCTTCTCATGGGGCTTGCTGACGCTGCTTTTGGATGTGCGGCCGGCGAGCTGGGCATCACCGGACGCGGCTGGGGACTGTTTCCTAATGGAGTCCATGTTGAGGGTGGTGGTGAATAAGCAGGTCGTCAAAGAGGCCCAGATATCGCAAGTCTCAAGGCGGCCACCGCTGGCCTTTTAATGTTGTCTGGAGACCAGGGGTGCGGTGGAGGCCCAGAAGTTCAACCCATGGGAATTCACACGTCCGGGGCCCCAAACGAACGGGTTCGTCTGGGGATGAGAGTGATGGCGCTGGAGATGGTTGAGCGGCTCGCCTTGTCAAAGCTCCACAGGGTCGGGGCGGCTCTGGTACCCGCCATGGTCGCCAGGCGGCACGGTGCCGCTCAGCTGCTTCAAGCGGCAGCTGCCGCCACACTCTGGTGCCCTCTCCAAGTGTTGAGCGATGGTAAGGTATGGACTATGGAGTCGCTCGCCTGGCGGCAGTTGCCGCCGGACCATACAAGCTAGGATGGGAACTAGACAACCGAGCAACGTGAGGAGGGTACGGTACCCCATACGGCTCACCGTCCAGCTCGATTGGAACGGCGTCTGGTGTATTTACAAACGGCCATGGAAACTCACGACCACATGGGATCCGCTGCATCTCTCATACTTGGTCCTCCCACGATCCTGGTGGCCGTCAGTTGTCAGCATCATAAACACCATGGGTAGCATCTCCCCCACGAATTGTCTGGAGTCCGAGGCGCTGCCGCAGACCAAGGGCTATGGCCTCCAGGGCACGCACGACTACTCGAGACCTGTGATTTTCGATCTCGAAGCGCGAGCCCCGAGTAAGACGGTGGACATTGGCCGCGACGGCACCTCATTGTCCACGGACCTTGTTGGGCGGGTTCGTTTCCCCAGACTCTCTCTCGCCGAGATAACGTCACTGACATGGTGTGCGCAGGTCTTGCAGCTTGGTGTCTTCCATCCCAAGCACGGCATCGTTGTCGCCGTGCCCTTTGAGCAGTTTGATGGTTCGAGGTTCCACGACCCGGCCTATGTCCGCGACTATCGCACCCGGATGCTCACCTGCCTGCGGGATAGGACGCCGGGTTTTGGCCTGGACCTAGGCCAGCCCTCGTCCCTCGTCTCCGTCCGGATGGCAACCTGGAACAGGGCCGTCTTTGAGTTCTCTCTCGGCCGTGGCCTGCATGTCGTGCATACGGCGCAGATCCTGCGGGGCGGTGAGCTGGTGCAGTCGGCCACCGTGACGAATAGGGGCGCCGAGAGGGAGAATGTCCGAGCCCGCCTCAACCTCGGGCTCAGCCTCAATCGAGCGTCGTACGGCCAGCTGACGGAGGGAGGCCCGATACCCCTGCCCCCGAGCCAGAATGACCTGGTGCGGACGAATGGTGGCTGTGGTTTCCGAGTCACTAACCCTTGCCTGGGCGCCCGTCTGGACGGGTTCCTCGAGGTCGATGGCGTTGCGGTGGCACTAGACGGCCTGGACGAGCAATTGGTGCGCGAGAGACCTTTGCACGCTACCCATTTCGAGGCTGTGAGCATCGCGCCCGGTTGCAGCGCCAGCCTTGTGGCGAGGTACAGGCTGCTGCCCGAGGCACAAAGCGACGAAGCGTGGCTGCCGTTGCCCATCAAACAAGCCAAGGATACGGGCCATGTCGAATGGAAGCGGGCAGAGACAATAGGGACGTACATCATTCGCAGGAACGTGGATTACGTTCTCGCCAACTGCGTCGTCCCGATCTCGGACACAGCATCGGCTGTCATCACGGACCACGTTGCGTTGCCCCTGGGTTGGAACCGTGACAATTAGTCAGTACTCTGCTGCTGCTGGAGAGGACATTGCTAACATGGGGTCCCAGCTGGCAAATCCGACTGCTCTACAAAGTGTACAAGAACCTGCCCAGTCTGGTCAATCCGCCCGCGGCCGAGATGTACAGGCAGCATGTCGCACAGGCGACCAAGGCGCACCTCAGGTGGGTGTTTGTGGAGGCCCAGCGGCCCCACGGATTCTGGCACAGATCGTACCTGGTCACCGGCCTGCCCAAAGACGGACTAGTTTTCCAGCTGGACCAGCAGTGCTACCCGATACTGGAGTTGTGCGACTTTCTCGAGTGCTTCCCGCACGAGAGCGGGTTTGTGCTGGAGGTTGTCGAGGGTGGCGCGCTGGCCGAGGTCCTCGGCCTTGTCAGCTCGAAGCAGGATCCTGGATGCGAGCTCTGGCCGACGGACGAGACGCCGGGCGACGACGCCGTGGTGTACCCCTTCCACTTCTCCAGTCATGTCTTGCTGTGGCACACCCTGTCAAGACTGCGAGGCCTCTTGTCCCAGCTTGGCGTCGGCGCGCTGGACGAGATGACGGGGGGTCTGGACCTGGACCTGGACCTGGACGACCTCATCAAGAGCCTCCGGGAGAGGACCATGGAGCATTTCACGGCGATCCACCCCGGATCCGGGCTGCGCATGTTCGCCTATCTCACGGATGGCGGCGGCCGGCACACATTCTACCACGACGGCAACGACGTGCCGACTCTCCTGGCGCAGGACTGGGGCTTCGTCGTGAACGGGGAAGAGACGGAACTTTGGCGGAACACGATGGAGTTTGGCCTCTCGCCGGCGAACGAGACCGGGTACTGCAGCAAGGGCCCGTACCACGGGCTGGGAAGCGTGCATACGACGGGCACGTGGACTCTGGGCCTCTTTCACGAGGCGGCCTACGCGGCGGCGCAGGGCGATGCGGACAGGCTCGCGGATGTGTGGCGCCGCATAGCCGGGGCAATGCAGTGGGACGGGACGTTCTCAGAGGCCATTGACCACGAGACGGCCGTGTGTTCGAGCAAGGCGTGGTTCAGCTGGCCGGGGTCCATGATCGGGGCGTGGGTTGTAGATATGAGGGCGACAGACGCGTCCTGCTTGTACTAAATGCCGATGGACGTGAGAGTACGAGTATACGTCAGCAGCTCGTCTGCCTCATGTGAATGTACCTGCCGCGGTTCTTCTGGGACGCTCTGAGGGTGCCTGGAGGTACGTACTTGTGTTGATTACTAAGTAGGTAGAATAGTAACAAGAGCTGGCAGGAGCATGTAGGCTGAAGCACGCGTGCCCCCTACCCTGGACCGAGCCTGTTCCTGACACTAACCGAGTTGAACTTGGAGAGGTGGGGGCGGGGCAGACTTTGACTACACCAATCATCGGCCACCTGCCAACGACTCTCTGCTCCTTCCACCAGTTGGATTCTCATTACTTCCGCTTCCAGCCTTCCGTGAGTTTACTTTAGACACCTGACGTTCCACGACTGGCGCCCCGGTGCTCACGTGAGCCGTTGCTCGCCAGGCTCCAGGCTCCAGGCTCCAGCAAATGTCCTCTCTCGAACCACAAGCAGTTCCCGAGAGGCTGCCCGTGAATCCACGACGACGCAAGGTGGCGGCTGGCGACCGAAAACGAGTCCCCGTCGCGTGAGTGAACATGGGCCAGGTCCCAGGATCTCAACACGACTAACCTCGCACAGATGCAACCACTGCAACTCGCGCCGCAAGAAATGCTCCGGGCAACGGCCATGTCGACTGTGCCAGTCGGCTGGCAGGGAATGCGTGTACCCCTCCCAGCGAGAGAGTTCCTCAGGCACTGTGGCCGCTGAGCTGGAGCAGCTTCGCCAACGGTGCGCTGCCCTCGAAGTCGCCCTCGCCGACGCCACATCCACCAGTGAGGACAGGCAGCCTCTGCTCTCCCACCACAGTCATGTACGACTCGGCACACCGCCGCCTGTCGTCAGCGAGGCTGCCCCTGCCGCGGCATGTGCCGGCACCCCCAGCACGCCGCCCGATGCCACCGAGGGTCGCATGCTGCATGATCCGGATGGCACCGTCCGGTTTCTGGGCGAGACCTCGGGGGCCACATTCCTGGACTACCTCAAGGAGTTCATGACGTCCCTCTTCCCCCTGGCCCCCGAAGAGCCCTGGGCCGCAAGCCCGGACTGGGCGTCCCTCCCCGACACGGGCGTCCGCTTTATCTGGTCTGTTGGTCGGTACCAGACGCACGACTCCCGTCCCCTGAGCGAGCCCGAGGTCGATCCCATGTGGCTCCCCACCCGCACCGAGATGATCTTGCTGCTCGCCGAGCTCCGCTACGCCATCCAGGACGGCAACGGCGACTTCCCCTCGGGCGGCATATACTGGTGGGGAGACCTCGAGACCCTCCCGGTGCCTGGCCCGGGGGAGTCTGGCCTGCACAGCAACGAGCAGCTGGCCCTGTACCAGGCCGCCTTTGCCATGGCCTGCCAGACCCGCACGGCCTCGCTTCGCGGCGCCGATGCACGCAAGGCGGCCGAGGCGCACTCCCAACGGGCGAGGATGCTACTGGGGAACCCGCTCAAGATGCCCCGGAACCCTGCCGTGCGCATGTCTACCCTAGCCCTCATGGCCTTTTACCTCATCGAAGTCAACCGGCGCGACGCGGCCTACGCATGCGTGAGCATGGCCATCCACATCGCCGTCACCCACGGCTTCCTGCGCGGATGGGTCGACGAGCCCGGAAAGCGGTTATGCTGGACACTGTACATTCTTGACCGCTGGCTCAGCTGCCTCATGGGACGGCCGCCCACCATACACGACGATGCCGTCCGGATGGCGTTGCCGGTCGAAGTCGCGTAGGCCACACGATCCTCTCACGCGGTGCTAGAACGGCTTGGCTGACAGCGACATAGATCTCTCCCCCCAGCAGCAGGCCTCATTGCACATGTTGAACTGGCGCGAATCTCGGGCTACATTGTGTGCAACACGTACAGGGTTGCGCCTTGGCGCGGTGCGTCGACACAGAACAAGGCGCCGCAGCACTGCGTCGATGAGGCCGCACAAATGCTGCAGTCCTGGCAGGACAGCCTGCCTCTGCCGCTGCGGATGGATTCTGTGAGCTTCAACAGGGACCCGGCCGTGTGCATCCTGCAAATGTCCTTCCACCAACTGGTGGTTCTGACCGCGCGGCCTATCTTCTTCATCGCCGTCAAGAAGGCCGTGGCGGAGCGCTGCATCCAGCCCGGTGGCATCCCCTGGAGCCCCGAGGGCCACCCACGCCGGCACCACATCGAGGCCGGGCTCGCCTCGGCTGGCTGGAACCTGCGCATCGCGCGGTGGCTCGTCCAGCTGGATGCATCTAGGCGCTTTGCCCACGCAGAGCTACACTACGTCTTCAACGCGGCCATTATCCGCGTGCTCGAAGACTTGGCCCGTGAATCCCTGCCCGTTCCGGATCCTGACGTCACCTTCGCCCTCGAGCTTCTCAAGTCGGATGCCGAATCCGGGAGCAGCTATTCCCGGGACTGCTGGGTGGTTCTCACGGGCCTCGCGGGGCTGGTGCAGGCGTTTAATGCCATGGGCCGCGCCCGGCAATCCTTGTCTGACCAGATGGGTCTGTTTCCGGGAGAGCAGAGCGGCGCAGCGTTCGACGGGATGCATCATCCGGCAGGCTCGGGATCTGTGACCGTTCAGGACGACCTACAGCTGTTCCAACTCAGTCAAGGGGACACTCTATACCGCGAGTTGGTCGGCTGGATGGAAATGGATGACTATTCGCTATATCATAACTTTGATACATGAAGGCGTCGTATGCCAGTTCGTAATCATGGGTGTACGAGCTACTGCTGGTGCGAGTCTGACGACCGCCCTGATTATGGGCCAAGGCACGCTCGACCGCCAAAAACATTGAGCACTGATCCAAAAAAACATACAACAGCCGGTATTCGCTGGTCGTCACCGACCCAACTACTAATCAGCCCCTCAGCGGCTTGACTATGGGAGAGCGGACGGGATCCCGTATTTTCCACTGGGTATGGTCGTATGTGACAGACAGTGTTTTGTTGATGGCTATATACATCTGGTTATTGATTATGCGACTCTGAGCTTAGGCGCGGACGGTAGAGTATTAGAGATTCCGCCGGCCTACAACTATTACTATCCTGTGTATAAAGCTAAATTTAGTAATTATATACTAGGTGATTAAAGCTATCGTCGGCTAATTAAAGTTAAATTAGTCGATAAAATACCCCTCGGCAAAAAGTGCGAAAACACACACCAGCCGGTATTCGCTAGTCGTTAGCGAACTAACTTCTAAATAGCTTCTCAGTATCCTTATCTATGGGGGTGATGGCTTCCAAAGCGGAACATAATGACTCCAAGGTGAAAGCAAATGTCGCTTCAAGTGGCAGCATTTATCCCGAAAGAAATACCATTCACACTGGCATAACATAAGGCGATACGGTGTTATTCGTAGTGGCCTTGGACAACGATTCGATCAGGAGGTAAGGCGATGAGTGTCAAGGGCTGGTCCCTTTCTTGGTCAATAAGAGGGGTGCTCTATTGGGCCTTTGTAAAGCTAAGGAGAATCAACAAGGGAGAGCTCTAGCTCTGTTACGTACAAGTAGTTGCCGGAAAATACTAGAGCCTCTTTTGGTCCGTACTAATCCGTGCTCCGCACGGCATCACATCTACGGGCATGTCGTCTGGCCCGTGACAGATACCATCTAGATAAACTACTATACAGACCAAAAAGATAACACTCACGAACAGTTGGGCCACAGCAATATTCGTCCTAACGGCTGCAGGGGCGTGGAAAGTTGAGCTCATCATGTTCCCATTGTTCTTGTATACAAGTATCACGCTTCGTCCTGGAACAGAGTAGTTGCCCTACGAACCTGTGGCAAATCTGTTAGCATTGTTAAGCGCCTTGTGCAGGGGAGGCTTCTGACCTCAAAGTCCAGAACCGAAGCCGCGGAATTGTGTGCTGGCACTGGTGGAGCCACCGAACACGGAGGCTTGAGCATTCTTCGTGCCAAACGAAGAGGGCCCATTTCCAACGCCATTGGTATTAGAAATTGGGTTCCCGAATAGGCTGGAGCCTGGTGTCTGTGTTGGCGGTGGTGCCGGGGATGACTCTGCTTTCGATGGCTGGACAGACGTGGATCTACCGAAAGCTGGGTTTCCAAAGAGCGTCTGTGGTGCCGGGGATGACTCTGCTTTCGATGGCTGCACGGACGTGGATCTACCGAAGCCTGAGTTGCCAAAGAGCGTCTGTGGTGCCGGGGGTGATTCTGCTTTTGATGGCTGCACAGACGTGGGTCTACCGAAACCCGAGTCTTTGGCAAAGAGCGTTTGCGCTGAAGGCTTTGAGGGCCTCACTGAGCTAGAGTTCTCTGCCAAGATGGATGATGGATGTGCCGGGTTTTTCGGATGAGGCGAGCTTTGCTTAGCCGTTTCGGATGCTAACAATGATTTAGTCTCTAAAAGTCGCACATGACGATTTCTGTGGTTCGTAGACAGTTATGAGGACTTACTTGAAGCTGAGTGCCTACCCGAGGTTGAAGCCGGGGTATTCAAAAAGGACCCAGGAAGGACTATATGTACTTGTTAAGCATTTGTAGAGTAACGATCGACCTTTCATAGTAGTTGATCAGGGTCAACCTACCTGTTCTCTCGTGTAGACGAGATCTTTGGCACCTTTCCAGGCCTTCTCTGAGGATATTGGCTTCGAGTTGAAGTTCCAGTCTCTCCGCTTGAACAGTCTCAGACTCAGAGGCGAGTTCAATCAGTCGTTCTTGATCCATTCGAACCACCGTCGACGGCGTCAAGATTGTTGGGAGGTCAGAAACAAGACAGTTCTCAACAGCCAGGTTCACAACATTCTCGGCGAATGTTCTGAGAGACATCTAAGAGCACCTATTAGCCTTGATCAAAAACTGCGCTGACGGTTTTTTGGACCTTAAAGTGTGTCATTGCCATGCCAACGATCTTTTCTGTACCGAATTCGCTAGCCTTGGCTGCCCTAGCACTGCGAATTGCCTCCTCGACCTCTTCATGTGTGAGACCCTTTCCCGCCTTGTCGGTGAAAGCGGCAGGAAACTTTTCTTCGAGCAGGCTTGCAACACGTTCCGCCTCCCGCCCAGTAACCATGGACGAGAGGGCTGCATGGAACTCCGCGTCAAGCGGTGGGCCGTATGCAGATACATATGGCCGGAGAATCTCTTGCAGTTTCTCCTTCAGCAGCTTTCGCCTCTCCTCAAAGAATCTGCCTACATAGAGCACCAAGATAGCGTTAGTGGTCTGCTTGTCGGCTCCAATGATGTGAATGAATAAATCTTCCACAAATGCCTTGGCAAAGTCGGCAACTTGATCCAGGTAAACGTCCGCGATGCCAGCCCACGGTTTGGCTTGCATCTTGAAGAGTTGGAATCCCAGGTCACCATTGGGCAAACCGGGATATTCGGTCCCCTGATTTGCCGCCGCCAGCTCTTCGAGCTCCTCGCGAAGCTCAGTCTCAGATATTGGAGTAGGGTCTGAAATGTCCTTGAAGAGATCAAGAAATGGCTTTAGGTATTCGGGCCCATCATCTCCGTTCTGAATCCACTCAAAGGCGCCATCATCCACCGAAAAGCCTTCTTCATCGTCCCATGCAATCTCACGATCCACTCCTTTGGATACCAGGGTCGCGTGGAATGCACGGTTGAATGCTCTCAGTAGCGCACGTAACTTTCGCGTCCCCTGATTGTTGTACAAGTCGCCGAAAAACTCGTCGCCGTACCGCCCATCGATGCCATCACGCGCAAGGCGCTGAAACCGCTCGGCGATCTCTAGCAAATACGTTCGCAGTTCATCTGGTTTCGAGCGGGGCTTTCCAAGCTGCTCAATGGCTCTCTGGCGAGCAGATAGGCTCTTCTCGATCTCTTCAATCAGGCCAGGAAGTGTCTTCTGGATATGTTGCAAAAGCACTTTGCTGAGCTTCTTTCGCAGGGGTGTGATGCCGCGGCTCATCGGGATGATGCTAGACCATGCGCCGGACTGGAAGAACTTCTCTTCTTCCGTATCTCGGTCGTCCGCTGTCGCCTCTTCCTGGCCCTCTGGTCGATTTCGCAGAACATGCCACCCTAGCTTTAGCTTGTGCTTACTTTCTTGACCTCTGATGAGCTGGAGGCACTTCTTTTCATCCTGAGATCCCGGTGCCGCTAGGTCAGGCTTCGTGATGATGCCAACCGTGCGCTCCCTGTTGGGATCGTATCTCTTGGCCTCTTCAACAACTATTTGGTTTGCAAGGTTCTGATTGGCCGAGACAACAGCGAGAATAATACTCTTCGACTGCTTCATGTAGGACTCTGCGAGCTCCTTCACGATCTGCTTGTCCTCGGGAGTTTGGTCTGCAGTCTCCGAGTGAAAGAAGCCTGGCAAGTCGACAAGAGTGACGGGGTAGATGTCTGGACCGGCTATCTCCACATGAAGGATGTCTTTAGAAAAGCCTTTCGAGCTGCCGACGCGGATCCCCATCTTCTCCGTGGCCTCATTAATGATCTCGGGGAGAGCATCCTTGTCAAAGCTGACCCGACGGAACTGCTGAGAGGAGCCGGATCCAGCCCCAGTAGCACCGTCAATCCTGACCCTAATCTTGGTCTCCGGGCTTCGTCGCAGGACCAACTGCGTCGCGAACCGAGTGCAAAGGTCGCCCTTGGTGGGAAAGCGGACGCGGGAAATGGCTTCCAAGACGGAGCTCTTTCCTGAAGATTGGTCCCCAACGACGATGATTTGTGGCAGATTAACAATCTCGCCAACGTGCATCTCTCGGAGGCTGTCGATTGTGTCGAGCAAAGCCTTTGCCTCCGGGCTATTGAGCTCGTCCAGCCCCACGGAATCAAGTGCAATATCGAGCGCGGCCATATCTTCCATAGCTAAAGATAGGGCTGTTTTGGCTTACTGGTCTGTGATAGAATGGACAAGGATAACTTCTGATGGGTTGATACAAGAAAAAAGTACAGGACCGGTGGAAGTTTGGAGAATGTTACCAGGCTCCAGCGCGCCTTGGTGTTTTGTAGTAAGACATTTCCTGCACCTCATTGACCGGGAAGCAAGAGATTGCAGCTTGGAACCAACAGCCCAGCACTGCCACCCCAGTGACCCCGAACCCAGACTACCATTGGCCACAGGGGGTCAGCCCATCATCAGGCCGCATCCTGCAGATCCAGTCTTTTTCGAATTAGTGAGCCTAAGGCGGCTCGTCGAAACGGATCACAACCTGGGGCGCTTACCAGTGCACGGCTCGGCGGCTACAGGTCGCGCAGCACATCCTCCATGAACAGGCGGCATGTGCATCACGGTCGTCACGCAGCTGCCAAGCGGATAATAGACGTGTTGTGGATTGACGGGGAATAAGTTAACGCCAGAGGCGGGTCGCGAGATAAAGACCCGGACTTCATGTTGTTGTTAGCGTCTCGTCCGGGCTAAGCCAAGTGCTAATTAAGGCGCGGCCCGTGCCTGGCATGGGGAGCAAGCGACGACGCGCAGGTGTGTGGGGATTTGCCTCATGTGCTACGTACTTGGTAGTTCAATAATATCTATTTTTGGAGGCTATGGGTTACGAACTCGGAAGACCCAACCTCCAGCAACGCAAGGCATTGCACGGAAGGGAAGAACTAGACGGGATCCCGTATTTTCCACTGGGTATAGTCGTATGTATAAGATTTCCTGTCAGCAAGGTATATATCTATGTAAATTGCAGAACTATCAATGCAGGCCGCAGAGCATGGCGACAAGGAAGCTCCACGTCTTGTACCGAACGCCAAGGCCAACTTGTGCGATGGCCATCAGGCCAAATAGAGCTCCTAACAATGCATTTGCCGGCACGTTGGGTCGGTACCTGATGATGGCCATGGAGATGGGACACGTCTCCAACGAGCACACTATCGCGGTTGTATTGGTAGACATGGCGGGCGGGCGGGCGGGCGGAGCAAGTCGGGATTTGTCGGTGCTCAAGGTTCGATGGAGGACCTGGACAGGTGATATTGATGTCAAAACTGCGTGGTTCATCCCTCTTCGCCCAGGTGACCAGGGCCTTTATAGTATGCCCAATTGGCCAGCCATGTGTCGCTGGTGTAGTTGCGACTTGCGACCGAGCCCTGGCCCACAAAATAAGGGCGTCTCGTCGCGCAGTCCATAATAGCCCATTGCTTCCCTTCAGCATGCCATTTCGGGGTTCAATGTTGGAGTCCATGCCCAAGTAAGCTCTGCTGCCCGAGTGTAGCCAGAGTCCAGACGCTGTACACGCACCGAGGGCAGGCCCACTGAATTACTCCACGTCGTAGCCACCCTGAAATGGCACACTAGACTAGTACACTAGTCCCAACCATGTTGGTTGCGTCCAATGGACGACCAGCTGTGCCACCAAGTTGAGAATGAGAATACGTAGATCCCCTGAGTGGAGCCAGAAGGCCGAGGAGAGCTCCATATGCCGTCCTTGGCGGGAAACTAAGCCCCTTTTTTTTCACGGCTTTGCGGATCTCGTCTCAAGGACCGAGTGTCTCCTGAACTTCCTTTCAGCATGGGGCTTGTAAACTTCGACGACGCCTCCTGGGCCTGGCCCATTGCCACGTGCCATGCCATACCTCGGAGTGGCTCAGCCTGAGGCTGTCCTCCCCGTTCGCCAATGTGGACTGGAAAGACGACCCTTTGCATGTCTAAGCAGTTATTTTCAATGCACGTGGAACGCTCTGGCCTCGGTGACGCAGTGATCTGGAGTTTTCGTAACCTTGTTGGGCGCAGCGTCACTATAATTCCAGATCCTCTGACCGGAATGACCAGTTTTCCACCTTCGCGTAGTCGACAGATCCCCATCCTTCCTGCAGCGGAGGACACGGCATACTAAAACTCACACGAATAACACGCTTATTATCCTTGATGAGCTGGGGACCGTCTACAGAGTAGCCGTGAATCCGGTAGCGCTCCTGAATGTCTGCGGCGACGCGCGGGAAATGGGGCCCGGTCTTGGGTTCGGCAGACTCCTCCAGCTGGGTCAAACGGGCACTGATGACGGCCATTGTCCGCCCGTCGGCTGGCCCTTCTCGACCCTGCTCTTTAAGCATGCTGGTGGCGAGGCGCCGCAGCGACGGGTCCCTGCATTTCGTGCTCACGATGAACAGAGGTCCAAGAACGCCAGGTCGGCATGTGAAACGACTGAATGTGCTTGACTTGATGCGATCTTTAGTGTGTATCGACGCGGCCGCGTTGCTAATAATGCTCTGAAACAGGGTTCGGTGGGTGTCGTGCGCGCTCTCAAAGGGGCTATGCATGCAGAGTAAGAAGATCAACGTCGTCGTGACCTGGGATCGCAGAGCATAGACCTCGGCGAGGTCCATGGCTGTCTCGCAAGCGGACTCGGCCTTGGTCGAGAGCCGTGCTTCGAGGCGTTCCGTGAGCGTTTCCAGACTGCCACACACTGCACCGAGTTTGGCCAAGACGTCGGCCTGGTCCCGAAGAAACATGGGGTCTCTTTGGGCGTAGTCCGAGTACCTGTGCTTCGGGCCACCACTTCGCCCTATAAAGTTGTATGCGCGATGGAGGGCGTAGGCGGAGGCTTTGATGGCGGAGCCTGTGCGACTAAACGCATCATCGTCGTCCGCTGCATGTGTGTGTTGGGGTTCGAGGTGCATAAACGCCGGGGTCTGTGACATTGTGTAGCCACCAACCGCCACGCCAATCAACACCAGCTCTTCCTCCACCACCTCTAAAACGCCGGACGCTGTTGGGCTCGAGCTACCCTGTCGCTTGGTGTCCAGAATCTGGCACGCACCAAGGAAATGCATAAACGAGTTGGCCTCGTGCTGGCTAAGAATCTCCACGCCGGACAGCATGAGCGACGCGACCGCGCAGGACTCAGGGGTTGCGCTGCCGTCGTCCACGCTGGCTTGGAGCTGCCGGAGCGCGGATCCGTAATAGTTCAACGTCGGCGGATGGTCCTGCGGAATGTGGCCTTTGAGTAAGGCCTCGTAAGCAGCACCGAATGCGGCGGCGGCTGCCTTGGCACAATGCACGCTATGAGAGAATTGAAGAAAGGGGCGTCCCCAGACTCTGTCATGCTGCAAAGGCCGATTGTCGCGATCAAGAGACATGACAAGAGACGCGAGATGGCTCAGTCGTTCCACCTCGCGCTCTATACGCGCGCCATCTCGTAGAGCAGGCTGCAACACCGTCGACGCGTCGTGGGCTCTGCCCTCGTCGTCGTAGCCGCCACAGAGTCTGCCTCCTCGAACGCAGCGCCCGCACATGGGCTTCTGCTCATCGCACTTGACTCGACGTGCTCTGGGCTGGTCAGCTGATGTGGCGACTGGAGTTTGCCTTTTTCAAACGGCGGTTGCATGCACACGTACTTGCGGGTCACGCATCCCTTTCTCGACTGGGAGTTGAGACGACGACGCGGGCTGTGGGCTAGAGCTCGACTGCCCCGTGGAGGCCGGCGTGGACGGCATTGTCGTTGCCAGCATGTATTTGCGGTCGAGCAGTGCTGGTGCTGAGGCGTGCAAATCACATTGTTATCTTGACGCGCGACGCTGCTTCTGGTTGTCGAGGCTGTGTTTCCCTGAGGGATAGAGTGCCTGGCAGTGCAGCGCTAGGGCGTCTGTCACTCTGTCTACCCTATCTAAGGAGCCTGGTGGCAGAATGTTTATAGAATGCGGGAGAGGAAGTTTCAAGACTAATTTTGAGCTATGAACTCATGTTCGCATTTGTGTCATTTAGTAGCAACGATCATTGAGGAGTGTTGATTCTTAAACTGTTCACTCATAATCTCACAAGATTTGATTTCACATGATCTCTAATAGTTGGTTCCTAACACTGACAAAGGCAACTTGCCTGATTTGAGTCCAAAATCCTCATCCAATACTACGACGTTATGTCGGAACAGCATACAAGACGCTCTCTCGAGAGGGTCTACCCCCTGGGTTAAGTTAGGTGGCTGTTGAACTTGGTGCGGCCGGGTCGGGCGCAAGCACGCATCTGGCTCCGTCATTGTTCGATGAAACGGGGCCCTGGACGACCATCTCCGGATCGCCTCCGTTCACGATTGGGAATCGCCAAATCTCCCCAGTGTTGTTCTCGGAGGCGTAAAGATTGCCGCCACCGGAAGAATAAACGGCACCCCAACACCCGGAACTACCGTTCACGAGCTGCCCATAGGACTCGAGAGGGTCCCATGTGCCTGTGAGGGTGTTGAACCGCGCCCTCCTGGCATCGCCATCAGTCTGATAGATTATGGCGTAAGTGTAGGGACCACCTCCGGGAACAAAAGCCCAGTCAGCCACTGTATAGTCCGCTCGAAAGCCTGTGCCGTCTCCTTGGCTCAAAACGGTGCCAAAGGTAGGCGACTGCTGGTCGACATCGATCTCGGCCCAAGTTCCGTCAAACAGTGCCACCCACAAATGGCCTTGGCTGTCGACATCCCCGGTACGCCAATTCCCAGGCAGGTTGAGGGGGTAGGTAGTCGAGTCGCCATCTGAATTGATACGGATCAGCCTGTTTGATGCGCCATTCATCCCCAGAGAAATACCCCAGATGAAGTTGTCAAGGGTATTGTATCCAATGGCGTTGATGACAGACCCGGCAGCACCAACGCTATCGTTAATTTCGACGTTTTCCCCTGTGGTGAGATCTAGGCGGTATAAAGTATTGCCTTGTATGAGGTAGCCTCCCGCGTCGCAATCAAATGTTGGTTCGGGGGGGGGGGGGGGGGGGGGGGGCGGGGAGGGGGGGGGGGGGGGGGGGGGGGGGGGGGGGGGGGGGGGGGGGGGGCGGGGGGGG